GAAGATGCGTTCCAAGGTAAATGATTCTCTTTGTCATGTATTCATTTGTTTAATCTATGTTTAATCTCAAAGAGTTTTTTTCCCCTCAGATATTCATCCAAGGAATAGTCTATGGAGACTTGACAAAAGTAGAAGCTGAGAAAATCTTAGAGCGAATCAGATCTGTGACTCTGTCTAAAGATCCAGTTCCAGTAGGATTGAGAGGAATTCAAAGAGCTAATCTTCCTATTGGCATCAAGACCCTTAATGAGAAGGTTAAAAGCAAGTGCAATGCTAATTCTTTAGCAAAGGTGATTTGGCTAATGTGCATTCTTTTGTATTGTTTTATTATAATGATTTGCTAATGTGAGCATTCTTTTTCTTTTGATAGATTTACTATCAAATTGGAACAGGAAAATTCAATGCAAAGCAAACATCACTTCTACAACTCTTCAGCCAAATGCTAAATGATTACTTAACTGAACAGTTAAGGTTAGTGAATTTCCATAACTGAGGATGATCGCCCCTACAAGTATTTGCATTTTGATGGTTGCCCGTTTAGAAATTGATCATGTTCGCCCCAACTAGTATTCCACTTATGATTCTCAATGTCTTAAGAACTTTTTTTATCGACCTGTTATTTAGTATTTGCATTTTGATGGTTGCCCGTTTGCCTTTCTGAAATGCACTCCTTTCATGTGAAGCAAGAAAACATTCATAATTTCAATGCCATGAAAGTCACAATGTTAGGATTTTGCTTCTCCAGGACAAGAGAGAATCTATCATATTGGCAATGCTGCGAGACTCATTTTTCGGGTGGACTCAACGGTATGTTTTTAGCTGTTGCCTCTCCGTTGCACGACCCATCGTATCTGTTGGCAAGATTAGACAATGTCATGGTTAATTTTGTGGAGGGACTGGTAAGTGTTTATACTAAAACATCATATCTATTACCTCTTGCTTTTTTTTATTGAGCTTCGTTGTTAATATTTATAGGTAGATCTTGATGATGGTATCTTTAGAGATTACAAAAGAACTATGCTTTCCGCCATGAAAGATGTCGGTGGGGATGAGATATGGGTCATGGTGAACGAGGAGAGGTGTTTTTCATATGGTACAATTGAATATTTTTTCGCTGTTTATGTGTTTATTCGCTTATGAATGTTTTTATTTTCAGGTACCGGCGTGGTTTTTATTCTGAAGTAAAGTCTGTGCTAAAACAGCTAGAGAAAGCTGATCTTCGCGACTTTTACAACGAGTACTTCAGTGATACATCTTTTGTACGTCGTAGGGCTTCGATTTGTATCTGGGGATGCAACTCTTCTTCCCGGGAATGAAGAAGATATCTAGCTTCCAAAAGAGAGTGATGGGTGATGAAGAAGTCCCTGCTGCTGTATTTGGCTTTTTTTTACTACTATTGTACTTCGGATTGGAATTGTAACCATGCAAAACAGGATCTTAGAGAAATGTTTTGTCTCAGTTCCACGAATGTTTGCTGCAGAGTTCTCTGTACTATTTCCATTTCCTTGGTATAAACTATAATTACATCTTCAATATTTTTGGTTCGTTGTTTTGCTTTATAGATTTAATAACTGCAAACGTCATGGTTGCAAAGACACTACTCTGCTTCCTGTAGAAAGAGTATTGATCTATTCTTATTGCAGAAATGGTTGTAGATACAGGGAAATGTAAAGCCTAAAGGAAAATGTTTCATGAGCAAGTGATATGTTTTGTACTTGAGTTCTTCTCTATACTTTCAGACTTTCCCTCTACTTTGTTTCTCTCCCATTTCCCTCGTCTTTGTTTCTCCTCTTCAGTCTCCGTCTTTTACGGCCTGCATCATTACAGAACCCCACAAGCCTTCATCAATGCAAATCGAAAGTCGAGAGCGAAAAGGAAAATGTAAAAGCTCCAATAATCAAATGACAACATGTTTTGATCTCACTGTTTGTTTCATGAGCAAATGCAATGTTTTGTTCTTGAGCTCTTCTCTATATGTGCCATTCAGTTTCCAGTCCAGTCTTTCTGATTGTTCTTATCAACTCCTCAGTAAATTCAGACAGATCTCATACAGCATTTGAAATAAAAATTCCCCAAAACGCATTCCTGCTTAAGACCTTTTACATCGATTCCAACTACAACCAACAAGCTTTTCACATGAATTGGCACGAAAAACTCCCGAGTTGCATATCATCTTCTTTCAAATTCCAAATTCTTCCCATTTCTAATCAGCAAATCAGTTGAAAGCGCTTGAGCCTTCCCAATACTCAGGAAGCTGCTTAGGTTCGAAGAGCAACGCAGCGACGCCAGCAAGCTCACCGAGACCAAACAAGTAAGTGGCTTTCGGAGAACCCCTTTCTCCTCGGAGCAGCTCCAGTCGGATTTTTCACTGTGAAGAAATTGAAGAAGAAGAATGAGCGTGATGGTGACAGAGGCACAGAAACTATCATGACTTCGGATTCAGCTCAAGAAACGAGAGAGATTGAAATGATTGTATTTCTCATTAGTTGTAATACTAATGACAAAGTATCGTTCCTTTATGGCTAACTAATTAGCAACTAACATAATGCTAACTACCAATCTAATAGAAACTGGTGGGATAGAGCCGCCATTGGCTTTGAAAACTCTGCTTACTACAGCTGCGTCATTGAATGTCTGAGTTACCCTTCAAGAGCTTCGAATCCTCCATATGCAGCTGTGAGACCGGCCAGATAAAAAAAATGAACAAGATGGAGATTGTTTTCTTCCTCTGGACCGTCTAGATGATTTCCTGTTAGAGAGCATCCTGTGATTACAACAGTAAACAAACCGATGTCCATGTTCATGAAAGTAGATATTCAATCCAAGAAAGTATGTAAGTTTAGTACCTTCTCACACGCGTAACATTGGTAGGGTTCATATTTGTTTCACCATCAGCTTCTTCTTCATCGCCAGCACTTGTTACAGCACTGCTCCTCATTGGTGTAGCTGCAAATGAAGCAGATTTGGGATTTGTTGATACGCCTTCACAAGAACTCTTGAACACAGCATGAGAAAACACAATAACTATCAAGAACACAAATTTGTTGCACCAGAAAGCCAACTTAAGAGCTTTCACCACTTCTTCTTCCTCTGCTACCCCCTGTCGCCTCCTATCCACAACTTTCATAACTGTCCCGTTCCTATACATTATAATCAACGTTAGTCCTGTTCGTTTTCCTAACGCAACGTTAGAGATGTGCGGCTAAAAAGTAATGAAGGACACGTCAGCAACATGTCAAAATCGGAAGGTTGGAGGTATTAAAAACTGCCGCCGGCGACAAAAAACACAGATGCGGTAGTCGCTGCAATTTACGAGCGGCAACTAAAGTGGAATATAGATCATTAGCGATTAAACTTACGTTAAACTTTTTCTCTCGTGTTTGTTAAATTTTGGCCGCACCTCTCGTGGCTGTTATACAAAAATCACTAGACGTAAATCAAACACTCTGTCTAATCTCTTTCACCGCGACCAGCGTTTCACCCGCTATTCTTCCTTTGATACTGTCCCGAATCCACCTGCCATCATAAGACAAACAAAATAAGATTTAATACACTCCTGACCTAAATAGTTTTTATCAAATTCAAATGATGATTCATAATTCTGACCTGATCCACGAAGTTGGGAGAAATTGTTACTAGAGTTCTGAAGATCTCGGCAAGTGAAACTCACAGCCAAGTCATAAAGGAACAGCGACTTCTTTGCAGCTTTCTTTAGTGTTCTCTTTCTATCTACATGATAGTTTAGCAACATCCCATGTAGTGCCACAAGCATCCCCACAACTACAGCAATCACCAGAACCTTTTTTCTTAATCCGTGGCTTTTATGCCATTTAGAATTGTTATTAACAATAAGGCTTCTCGTCATCTAGACCGTTAACGGAAGCCACACATTTGAGAAATAGTAGTTGGTCTCTTGGACCGTCGAGATCTTGAACGTGGCGTTACGATTAATGTTGCTCTCTCATTCTTGGACCAACGATGAGTTGTCTGAACAGAGTCTAGCGTTTTCTTAATCAGGAAGCTTAACCGAACCGGGCAAACATAGACGGTGGGCGTTTCTCTTGGTTCGGTCCACTTTGCAGACCCCGTTACCGCAAATCCGAGCTATGTCACACGGGTTTAATACTGCTGCCCATTCAGGTACCCATTGGTTTTGAACCGTTCATGTTGTTGTCCCATCGGTACAGCCGGAGATTACCGTTGTCCGCTGAATCGTTTTTTATCGTTAACCGGCCGGGAATTACTTCTATTGTTGTTACAGTTCCGGTTTTCGTCTGCCGGATTCCTGTAGACGTACACTGCTCCTGTAGAGGATTCTCCGTAAACAATCTTGAAGCTTCTGGTGTCATCAAGAATGGCGGTAACGCCTCGGGCAACATTCAAAATCTCTAGGAGTAGTTTGCGTGAGGTTCAAGATTGATGCTGTAGGTTAGGCCGAGGCTAAGCGAAGTGTGTTGCTGCAGCATTTTCAGGGAGTAATTGCCGTGACGCGACGGGAAAGGATAAGAAGGGGTCATGAATACCGACTGATACGTATTAGTTTTCGCAACGATTTGGGCAGATAAACGAATTTGAAGGGGTCATGAACGCCGTCAGTGCATCGTTCATCCTCCATCCGTGCATGTACCGCCTTAGACAACGCCATGAGTCCCCATACGGTACACGTCATCTTCTACTACGCTTCGTAGTCCATTCGGATCATTTGACCTCGACTCGGTCCGGAAAGCCAAAGTTTCCGTTGCCATTGATCAATGGCTGAAGAATCTGATCGAAATATTTTGATACTATTCTCTGGTTGTAAAGTTTTTTTGTAAAACAATGGACACATCAGACGACAATTTCTCAATTGGAGAAATCTGTCATCAACATTTTTAACTATGTACGAAGTGAAAGATAAATAACTAGCGCAAACTTGGATTTTATGTTTTGTTTATCCTATTGTTCACATTTACTAATAATGTAAAAGAGAGAATATTATAGATTTCAACATTTGGATTTTTGGCGATGGAAGAGATTCCTACCCAACAACAAATCACGCTTTCACTATATAATTATGCATCAACATCTCTAACCATCTATCAAAAGTATAAACAATAGTCAGATCTGAACTCTGGTATATTAAGGACTTGAATGGTATGTATAACTTAGATAACGAGCACAGCAAATAAGAGTGAGATAACAAAACTTCGACAGGAGAAAGACATCGGGCACATTATCAGACAAGGAAAGATTATTCAAAATCAAACATAAACATCAAAGGGGTTTTTCAAGTCATAAAAAGCATCGCAAGTTTAAGTTACAAAGCATGGGAAAACATTTTCCGGCGGATAAAAGACAAAGATAGAAGGGAAATTGTTGCTAACTTATGTGGTGGATTTGGCGTCTGAAAAGCTTTGCGCTTCTTGCTCTGGAGGAATCGCATCTTCCGAATTGAACATCCGAGCTATCCTGAGCCAGGTAAAAAAAAGCATCCAGACATATATGAGAAAGCAAGAACATCTACATATTTATATGCTTAATTGATAGTATCATCTATGTGTATATACACAACATTAGCTAGACTAAAGACAGATTGTATACCTTGATGATGGCGACATGATTTTTTTAAAGCCATAACTATTTGCCAACGTTCTCTGTAAAAATGTAAGTTTCGTGATTAAGAATCAAATCAATGAATATATAAATCTATAAGTTTTCGTGATTAAGAATCAAATCAATGAAAACAAAGCCTAAACCCAAATTTCTCAATTGCAATAAAGTAAAATAACCTTTTTAATCATGCTCCGCTTCCACATCCCTTGCACGTTCCTCCGAGACCAACGATTCAGTGGTCGACATCCAGTTTTCCGCCCCATTATCGTTCTGCCTCTGACACTTTAGGAACGCTGGAAGCCCTAGTGGTCGTATATATACCCTAACAATTTGGGCCTGAACTTAGGTTTAGCATTTTCAACTACTGATCCGGCTCATAATAGTATACCCGAACTACCTCTTGTCTTCTTCTTTTGGGCCTATACCAAAGTTTATTGTCTTCTTCTTTTGGGCCTATACCAAAGTTTATTGTCTTCTTCTTTTGGGCCTATACCAAAGTTTATATCATTTGTCAGCTGTAAATAGTCTGGATCGAGTCGGGTTCACCCGTTTAGCGCCTTAGACAACGCCATGAGTCCCCATACGGTACACGTCATCTTCTACTACGCTCGTAGTCCATTCGGATCATTTGACCTCGACTCGGTCTGGATCCCCTTATCGGAGCTCCTTTCCATGTACCCGCCCGCTGTTGATCGGGTCACCAAAAATCCAGACGGGGTCTGGGGTGTCAAGTGTAACGACGCCGGACTTCGAATTTTGAAAGCCAAAGTTTCTGTTGGCATTGATGAATGGCTGAGATCAGCCGATGGACATGAGGAATCTGATCTAACGGCTTGGCAAGACATGCCAGAAGATCCCTCTACTCGGTCTCCATTTCGTCTACAGGTACAAGAAGATTATATATATATATATATTTCTTTAAAAACAATTCCAAACTACTATATAAAAATAATTCTATTTTGTGTTGCAACTGTATATTTAAGAAATATTTTAATTTATGTATTTGTTTTTGCAACGATTTGGACAGATAAACGAATTTGTAGGGGGTGGTGTAGCGATAGGCGGCCTGAGCTGCCCACACAGATTAAAGTCATGGACGGAAGCCCAACGCCGTCGGTGCGTCGTTCATCCTCCATCCTTTTCACCTCTGCCCTCCTATTTAACGGATACTGACGCCGTTAAATACGACCGTGAGTCATACGTGAAGCCCACTGCTTGGCCCATTTCAACCAAAACAGCCACCGCCACGTTTAAATTCTCTGGGGCCGCTTTCAAGAGATGCCTCGACGAATACTCTATCGACGGAATATTCCCTAAAGCCTCGCCGTTCGATGTGTTCGCCGCTCTTTTCTGGACACGTGTCGCTCTGGTGAGGGAGCGCAAGAGCGATCGAGTCTGTATGTGTGTGGATTTCAGGAGGCTATTGCCTAATCCGCTTCCTTACGGTTTCTTCGGAAACGCTTTGAACTTTTCGTCTCTTGAGACGAGTGACGTGGTGGATAAGGGGATTCGACACGTGATACGTGTGGTAAGCGAACACGTGGCGAGTTTAGACGTTGACAAAATCCGGTCGGATTTGAAGCGGGCTGGGTCCCAAGAGAAAATGTACGGTGCGGATTTGACGATTGTGAACATGGAGCATATGATCGTAGAAGGAGAGCCGTTGATGTACGGAACTGTGTTCGAGGACGGCGTCAAGCCTGTGCACGTGAGTTACCGGATCGGGAACGACGGCGGAGAAGGGGTGATGCCGTCACCGGAGAAAGGGTTTGGGAGGACAGTTACGGTGAGTTTGCCAGAGGAGATGTCGAAGTTACTTTCGGATCAAGAAATCCTCCGATTCGAGCCCAGGATTATTCTAAGCGGTGTAATGTGATATATATATAATATAATATTCAAAATAAAAATGTGATATATATAATATATATGAGTAAGATCTTTAAAAAATGGAATATCTCTCGATCCACGTACGAATGGTTTGCAGAATATTGATTAATAAGGTTAAGATTTTTCTCTTTCTTGAAAGATATTTAATCATTAGATTACCCCTACAAGTGTAAAGTATTCCACTTTAACAAAAAAAGTGTAAAGTATTCCCCATACGCACCGAAATCTTTTAATTTACTCGTGATCGGTCACGCCACGAGCTTTTGCTTCTTCCTCTGAAAAGATTTGCGCTTCTGGAGGAATCGCATCTTTGGAATTGATCATCAAAACGGCTAGACGGTAAGACCCCGTGCACCTTCACTATAGCTTCGCAGTGACAACCTTGATCGAATGTGTAGGATAGGTGGGAGGTCCTCACATAGAAAGACCAATCCTGAAAGACCACTCTTTTGTCATATACATAACATTAGTTAGACTAAAGACAGAATGTATACCTTGATGATGGCGACTGAGCCATGAAATTAGTAGCCGACGACTCTTTTTTTTAGAAATATTTAGGAGGCGACAACTTTCTCTGTAATAATGTAAGTTTCGTGATTAAGAATCAAATCAATGAATATATATCTATAAGTTTTTGTGATTAAGAATCAAATCAATGAATATATATCTATAAGTTTTTGTGATTAAGAATCAAATCAATGAAAAACAAAGCCTAAACCCAAATTTCTCAGTTGCAATAAAGTAAAATAACATTTTTAACCATACCCCGCTTCCACTTCAGTTGGATGTTCTTCCGAGAACAATGACTCGGAGGTCGACATCCAGTACCGAGAGCTCTGATTTTAAGGTTTCACCGACTCTGCCGCACCATTATTGTTCTGCCTCTGAAACACTTTACGGACGCTGGAAGCCCTAGTAGTCATATATATACCCAAATAATTTGGGCCTGAACCAAGGTTTACCATTTTCAAATAAGTTTCCCTGTAATAATATAAGTTTTGTGATTAAAAATCAAATCAATGACATATATATCTAAGTTTTGTGATTAAGGATCAAATCAATGAATATATATCTACAAGTTTTGTGATTAAGAATCAAATCGATAAAAAATAAAGCCTAGACAGAAATTTCTTCTCAATTGCAATATAGTAAAATAACCTGCTCAAGCAAGAGCCGCCCATTGTGCCACTTTCGAAAAAAATAGGTCTATTGATGAAATAATGTTTCTGGGACGAACCTATGAACAGAACATTAGCATTGTTATCATCGTTTGTCTTTGTCTTTTTCGCGGTTGAAGTACTACTTGTTTAAGGAAGTGATAGGTATATCAAACTATTTGTAGAATCTGGTGGTCTTGATCTATGTTCTAACTTCCACGTATGTAGTATTAATTAGATATTTCTCTAGAAGTGAAAGTAAAAATTACAAATTCAAGTTACTAAAAGTCAAATTGTGTCAGTTTACTCGGAAATTTAGGTTTATTATTGGTGTCATGACAGTAAAAAGTGGAAATGATCAAATCGAACCTTTTTATTAGCTTTTCTCATTAGTGCATCTGCAATTGAAGGAATAAGATTTCATTTTCCTCAATATAAATTTATTTCTTGTCGCTGATATGATATTTTATAGTAAATCTTTCGGGAGGATTCAACCAACCATGATCAGTTTTTTGTTGATGGTTAGGGCTTGAGTTGACCCTTCGATTTTGGAAATGGACCTTTCAATTAATGTGGTCCACATATTTCACTTATTGACTTTTCACTTCTATTTTTTTCTGCTAATTTCACTTCTTTGTGTTCCTCCAAACATATACGTATATCCTTCATATACTTCCTCCATAACCACAATCTTATTCTTATGCAAATAGTTTCTGCTTTCTACTAAACTAGCATCTATATAATATATTGAACATATAAAATCCGAGAAACCCTATTCTTCTAATGATTATATACGCTTTCGAAATTGATGTATATCCGTGTTTGGTTACAAATAGATTAATTAATGAATCCATGGTATCGTTTTTTTTTTTGTTAAGAAGATTTAGATGTATAAATATGTTGAAAATGACATGTAAATATGCATTTATAGGGCTCCCACAAATACGGCCATAACATTTTCAAACCCTTATTAGATTTCAAATAATTTGTAACATAGTTAGGATTCCAATTGACTCGAGTTGACTTTCTTATAGGCTTGATACCGTACTGTTTTATGTTTATAAACAATGTGTGCTATGTACAAGATCGAGATATCCTTCGTCACTGTTCAGAGTTAAGATATGTATATTGTATAATTATTTACATCACGTTAAGCATCGGTTATATTTATATTTTCGATGATAATTAAACTCATGAGTCGATTCAATCTAAAAACATCTACTTAGAAACCGATGTGGTGAAAAATATGATGATTTGATTTGGAATATTTTCATACGTACGTTTTATGATAAATGTCGTATTAGAGTTTTATTTTTGTTTCAAAATGATACTGCTTTGCTTTTTTTTTCAGTTTTGTCTTTAAAATAAAAAAGTGAATCAATTAACTTATTTAATCTTGTTTCGATATAAATATATATATGTATCTGGTTTTATACCTGTAAGCTATATACGTTTCGTTATAATCACAAATATGACTGCAGAAACATCTAGTAATTAATGTTGAAACGATACAAAGAAAAACCAATTGGATAATATTCTACGTACAAAATGAGATGGAGAAATCATTTTAAAAAATTGCATAATCCATGTACAAATAATTTGTTTAAATATGTTATTGTGAGAAATAGATTGTAGATATATTTCGTTATCTGATAATAGGAGAGATGGAGAAACGAGGGGGATTTTCTAATTTTTTATTTATTTATTTTGTTTTGGTTTGGAGAAGCAAAACCAAGCAGTTGTCTGTGTGCGACGCTGTGTTCGAGGACGGCGTCCTGTGCACGTGAGTTACCGGATCTGGAATGACGGCGGAGATGCCGTCGCCGGAGAAAGGGTTTAGGAGGACAGTTCGGTGAGTTTACCAGAGGAGGAGATGTCCAAGTTACTTTCGGACCAAGAAATCCTCCGATTCGAGCCCAGAATTATTCTAAGTGGTGTAATGTTATTTATAATGAGGATCTTTAAAAATGGAATATGTCTGGATCCACGTACATATGGAATAAGGTTAAGATTTTTCTCTTCCTTGAAAGATATTTAATTATCAGATTACCCCTACAAGAATAAAGTATTCGCCCCCCCCCCATACGCACCGAAATCAAAGTCATAAAACCATCGCAAGTTGAAGCCCTTTTACGTACGATCGATGATGAGCCGCCGACACCAGCTCCGACGATGATGATGTCAGAGCACCACCTTCTCTTCTTTCCTCCACTGTCGCAACCGCCAAATTCGTGGCCTTCTTCCTCCTGTTGGTGACGTGGAATTAATACTGTCCAAGCTGTTTAGCACGGAGGTCGGAGGCAAGTAACGTCCATAAACAAACACGTTCATAAAAGCCATTATCTATATTATTATAAATAAGAGATTACTGTAAAAAAATCCTCAAACTAAATTATTTTTGTAAGATTAACTTTCACTTCAACAAAATACAAGTCAATAAATCCATTTTAAAAGTCACCCGCTATATAACCCTCCCGTCATCTGAACGTTATATCGATAATTAATTCAAAACTCAGCTTTTTGAATCTGTAAACTACATGCTATTTTATAAATTTTACTAAATTTTTACCAAAACTATAACAAAACAAAATAAAAATAAAAAGTAAGAAAATGAAAAATAAATAAAGCTTTTCGTGAACTCTTCTTTCCATCTTCATCTTCTCATTTTTTTTGTTTGCCTAATTGAACTCTCCAATCTAACAAGAATTATCAAGGTCACTATTTCATTTCAAATCCAATCCCTACAATGACTATTATTGATAATTCTTTGCTATTCATTTAATATCTGAAAAAGTTTGGATTAAAGGTATAGATCTGGATTTCAAAGTATAGATCTAGGTTTGAAGGTATAGATATAGATTTGAAGATTTGGATCGATGTCTTTAGGCAAAGAAGAAAACTCAGACAAAAGCAGCGTCGATTCAAACATGGGACACACAAAAATAAAAGTTCAAAATCAAATTAAGTCTTTCAGCTTAAGAATTTGATCGTTCTTATGGAGTTTGGACTGAGATGTTCTTCAAAATCCAAAAAAAGAATTATATAAAGTATCGAAGAAGAAGGAGAGTGGAGCAAGGAAAGAGAAGGAGAAGATTCTATTTTTCTTAATCGATTTTCAAACTTCTTCCTGTTTTTGGCTTAAAAAACAACAGCAAATAACCAAACTTCATGCTGTTTTACTATAATAAAACACAGCGTTTTAATTTCTGTGAATTTTCCTCACAGACGTTAGACTAAGCCACGTCATCGATATAAGGAAGGGTCATATAGCGGGACACTGTTTGACTTGTATTTTTTTGAGGTGAGAATTAATCTTGCAAAAATAATTTAGTTTAAGGGTTTTTTTACAGTAATCCCTATAAATAAATCCTCGATATGGGAGAGTTGAAAAAATGACGCATCTAAAAGTATTTATTATAAATTAATTTACGAAAAAGTCAGTAAACCATTTTAGATACTTTTTAGATGCAGGCATACAAGATATTGTCCCCACCCCCAGATGATGTTTAAAATCTATATATAGAAAAAGCGAATAACAGGTACCACAAAAAATATTTAATCTATGGTATTATAAATATATATTTTTTAGTTTCAATTAGATAGGATAATAAAATTCAAGAAATGAAAAGGAAAACATTCAGTTAAAAAAATTCTGGGGAATCAAACAATTAAAGTATACAGAGAGCTGATAACAACAAATGTAAAAGGAAATGCTGTTTTGAATTATATCATAAATTTTCAATACTTGAATGGGACCCCACGTGAGAAAAGAGAACTAATCCCAAAAAAAAAGGTGATCGAACAAATAATTTTTCTGAAGACTGGAATCTGGGGAATCGAACCGTAGCGCAATACTTCACCAGAGGCAGTGAAGCCCGCTTCAGCATCTTCACTTATCATGTTCATGTTTTGAAAGCAAAAATATTATATATTTAACTCCAATGATATCGTCTGTTCAGAGTAAATTAAACGTTTTCAAATCCTTTTTGAAATGATTAAGATTTAAAAATGACTATTCTTTTATTGTTTGTTCATTTTTAATAGAAAAAACAAGGTGTAAAAATGAACTGAAATTATTATATAGAAGTCGAAAACTAATTACAACTTGAGGTTAAGGGCCTGTCATGTCCATGACACAAACATCCAAACACAATCTCCCGTCAAACTTACTTTCGTTCATATACAAGCATTTGAGCAAATCTTAATAAAACATTAATTATGATTAATATACAACTAAAAGAAAAAATAAATGTTATATAATTTCATCTCTTAATTATTATATATGGCATACACAAACTAAATACTGTAGTAGGTATAAAAGCAACGCGAAAAAAAGAACTACATAACATACTGTTTTAGCAGATAAAAACAAAAAAAGAAATGTAGTTAAAGTTTCTATAATTTGAAGCGATTGCATTATCAATCCAAATACAAATTTTTATTATAACAAAACATATAAAACTAAGGTAACTAAGACTTATGAGAAGAAATAAAGTGACCGGTACTATTTCCGAGCTAAGCAAAAGGAAAAACAAATCATGTTTGAATCTGAGATTTGATAAGTTTCTAAATAGATGATTAATTATTACTATAATTTAACAGATGATTTAAAATAGCATTTAGATTTGTAAGATATTTGCCTAAATTAAAGGAATAGAAAATTATCTAATTTTGATTGTTGATTAACTTATCTATCTAAGTTTATTTTTCATTAATTAGATGTCTCGCTAAAAAAAGTAGTTCAATATTTACACAATTCGTAAATATTTGGGAAATTATGTTTAAAACAATCATAGAATCAAAATTTGTTGTGGTATCTAAAACTCTAAGACGCGAGAGATGTGTCCTTTCAAAGCAAGCTTTACAAGATGCAGCTAAAGTCGAACTTATGCCTCCAAATTCCAGCCTCGCCTGATATATAAACCTTACACTCTTATACGTCTCTAACACTTTAAGCCTAGGATTGCTAGTTCAGTAACCGAGATCTCTTGGTAGAGACCACGACGAACAGATGATGATTGGGACGATGATATTTGTGGTGGATGCTAACAAGGACAGTATATAGAGTTCGACGATCAAGAAATTTCTAGAGATAGCGCCACCATATAGATCTGGTAACGGACTGATAAACAATGTGTTTAAGGCAAGGCCGGCCCTGAAAGCCTGAACCAATCCAAATGAAACATTGGTCTTGACCCCCAAACTTTTTTAGATTTTTAGTATTAAAAGTAAGTTCTAAAATTTTATTTTAGTTGCAATAAAGAGTCTCAATTTTTTTTAAATATTTACATTTATTATTGTCTCAAAAAATATATTTAATATTTTTCAATTTTATCTTTTTTATGCTTGAGCCCCAAATTTTCAGACTTCATAGTGATGGATAAAACGGAAAAGGGAGGTTGAGCTACAGTGATTTAAAGAGTTACATGGAATTGGCTGGTTTGGATGCTAAGGACGACGAAATCAAGGCCATAATTAGATTGGGTGGTGGCGATTCAAACGGTTGCATTTCGTTCGATGGTTTGCTCAGGATTTCAGGTGCTGAAAAAATCGATTCGTATATTAATGCCACAAGGTCAAAATATTTGGAACATTATGTTTGGAAAATTATGTTTCAAACAATCATAGAAGCAAAATTTGTTGTGGCCTCTAAGACTCTAAGACCAAACACAATTGTCACTGCTAGTACTGTATTCAAAAGGATTGATTTTAGATTAGAGCTAAATAGATGTTTCTATCTTATTTTGGAAACAAAGTTTAAATTTCTACCTCAGCGATAAGTAGCAAAGAAATCACGAAGACCATTCTATCTGAATACAAGTGTTGTTTGAAGTAAATGGCTATAGAGAAAAACTCGGCGATTACGCATCAATAATTTGAGAACAATTCACATCTTTCCTTTTAATTTTCCAAACGTTTTGGGGTATGAACTTGTGTATTAAGTTCGTATTTCATATCTTTTCTTCCAGCCTCTAAATGTTTCAATTTTCATCTATCAATTTATCTACAATGTTTTTTTTTATTTTAGATTAATATCCAAAAAGTTATGGCGAGAGATCTATTTTACAGTATATTTGATCTTCCAAAGCACTCTAACCAGCTCATGTTAGAAATTATATCTCTAATGGGTCTTACGCCATAGATGAGAAGTTGAAACGTTGGAAACAATCACTTTTGATTATCTCAAATATTATTGTAAAATTGGTTACTGACTTAACTCACCTTAAACATAATGTCTTTCTTTAATAAATTTTTTTGCTTGTATCTAGCAGCTGGTATCGAGACTAATTGAACCTTTGCAGAGTATACGTTTTTGGGCATACCAACACTAATTCTCAGAAAGATTATTAAAATCTTATTGTTTCGCCATTATGTTTTTAATTAAAAGAAAAAAAAACTTGCAGCTAATTCTAAACATTCGTCAATTCTAAGCAATAAAGAATACAAATTAATAGTCCTGAATGATGGACTTACAGTCTTGCTGGTATGAGCAGATACAGTTAGTGAAGCAGCCGCAATGATGGCTGTGAGAGTTGGCAGTTTTCATGACCCGCCAAAGTTTCAGGGTTTATCCCATTTTATTGAACACATGGTGTGTCTAAATCTCACAGCAATAATGATGCAAGTTGTTATTTAATACTCCTTCCGTTTTTTATTACATGATGTTTTAGAGTTTATTTATTGTTCCAAAATATATGATGTTCTCACATTTCTATGTTAAAATTAATTATATTTTTATGGTTTTGGCTGTTTGAATTCTGAATTCTATTTTTTTATTGGTTAAACTGTTTTAGAAATGATAAAAAATTATGTTTTATTTTGAAAAAATAAAGAATTAAATGATTTCTTAACCTGTGCGAACTTCTCTAAAACATCATCTATAACATCTGATAGCTATAACATGGTGTCTGATTTTGAGAAATCTTTGATACCAAATCATTTATTCAAATATATTATTGGAATTTGATACCAAATCGTTTTTTTCAAAATAATTGATGTCACATAAGATAATACGAATGGATGGAATATCGGATATATTAAGCCAAGAAAATAAATTAATTTTCTTGTAAGCTTCCTGATCAAGAAAACGCTTAAGCTTATCCACCTTGATGTCTATGCCGGTTCGGTTAAGCTTCCTGACCAAGAAAACGCTGGACTCTGTTCAGAAAACTCATCGTTGGTCCAAGAATGTGGGAGCAACAAGAATGTGGGAGCCTTACAAAAACAAATATCTGGCATCAGATTTCCTTGTATGAAGAATGGGAAGACATCAAGGTGGATAAGTTTGTGGACAAGCCTTCTATAACTCTGTTGCACAAATGTGACGAAGGCCTCTCAACTGTGAATTTTTGTGTCTATCTGAATGTCACAAATATCAGGTATCATCTTATGACTGACCTGTTTTTTAGACTTCTGAATAATTCGTTAACCGGAATAGTATATCAGGTGAGTATCAAACTTTATAATTCTCTGATGTTCTTATGTGAAAAATGTTATAATGCATCTTTGTGTATGCACATGGAAAGAAATCTTAGCTGATAACTTCATTGTCATTGTCTGACTACAACAAAGTGATGTTAAATATAAAAAGCTATAGAGAAAGACTTTGTAAATACTTATAAAAACAATTCACATCATTTCTTTCAACATTACCTCTTCTCATCAATCTGATCCCATATACCATTCCCATCTTCCACTTCCAAATCAGTACACACACCTCTTTTATAATTTTCTAAGGACTCACCATCTATAGCTTTCTGTGTATATTACCAAATTAAATGATGAACGAAGCTCGATTAAAAAAACTAAAGTAATAAATTTGAAATACTACTAAAAACCATTAATAAACTCTTCACAGTTATTTGTGTCAACAAATATACACCAACAACAGAACGGTGATAAACTGATAATTAAACCATTGATTCCACAATTCCACCCAAGGGTCTGACTAGTTCAACAAGTAACAAGAAATTGATTTTATTCGTTTTGATGGGCCTCATGGCCCAATAATTTCGCCTACTTTTCAACTAGTAACCAGGAATTGATTTTATTCGTTTGATGGGCCACATGGCCCAGTAACTTCACCTACTTTTGAAATGTAACATATAAAATCCCATTTGCCGCCTTTCAGTATTTCTCTGCTTTTGTCGGCTAAAAACGTAAACCCTACTAAATCAGGAATTTGTCTCTCGTGTTTCTTCGCTAGTTATAGTCGAACCCGTTTGTTGGAATGGAATTTAAGTACTCTAGATTTCAATCCGATATTCCTCTGTTGTGTCTTTAGATTCACATCAACTGTTATTATTAAAGTTTCGCACACTTCATCGTGAATTTGTTTGAAATCCGAACTAAATTGACATTACCTCAGAGCGAGAGGTCACTAGGTTTTGTGTTTGTCACTTTACTCATTGTTTTCTACATGGCAGACAGTAAAAACGCAGGAGACAATATGTCCCAAGTCGAAGAGACCTCCATGGATGTGATGCTTTCTCGGTACAGGTAATCAATTAGGGTTTCTTGTGTACACAAGCTTCTTGTGAATCGTATATTTACATGAGTGTTGATGTTGATATTTTTTATGGTAGGCTAGAGATAAAAGCAACTACGGAACAAGGAGACAGAGAGGAAAAAGGCAGCTGAAGAAAAGGCAAAGACGAAGCAAGTCGAAGAAGACATAACGAAACATATAGGTCGAAACAAGTGGCCTCACAAGATTTCAAGGACGGATCAAAAGAGCAAAACTCAACTAGTGATGGTGAGTGGAGAACAAGACAGGAAAGAAGAAAACCAAAACCTGAACCTAAAGTTGAAAAGGAAGGAAGACAGGGAAGAAGGAAACGGGAATTACGTACCTAAAGTGCAACCATGGGTTACGGATGATGTTGAAGTTGATCCGCACAGGCAAGCAAGATTGAAGCAGAAAATGGAAATACTGTATGTATAAATAAAATGGAGAGGTCAGAGTTTTACAAAGTATTCTCAAAACAGATAAAGTCTCGTGAGATGTCAGACCACTTCCGCGGCATGTTAGGATCTCAACCGCAGCTGCAGATGGTGATATACGGTATAGGCAGCATCGAGTACTCTAAGGGATCAGGTCCAAGGTTTCAGCTGAGCATTGCAATCTTGATGAAGAGAGAGTTTGATTGGGTTGGTAACGACCAGTCCTCTTCGCAACAGAAGTTAGTGTCCTAAAATCTCTGGGATGCACCGTTCTATCTGTAAACGAGGAAGCTCGCAGAGAAGCTCTAAAGCCTACTCTTTTCTTCATGCCATTCTGTGTGTACAGAGGGATTTTAGATCAAAATTGTTGTTTTCAAAAGCTCTTTGAGACTTTGACTGTTTCGGAATATGGACCAAAAGTGAAACTTTATCGTCTAATTTTTTTCGTTCTAATTTCAACGCCATTAATTAGAAATATTTAATCCACATACAATATATTGTGTTTTGCATTTTAACGCATATGGGAATGAATGCCGGAGCGATTACGTATGCAGCACAAATCGTATGATGTTTAATTATGATGGGTACGTAATGTTGCGCGCGATTTTTTTGAAACTAATAATTTGTTTTTCAAGTAGTTTCCTAATTATAAGTTTTTTTTTATAAATTTTATTATATTATTTCATAATTTTATAATTTTTTTTTGCTTATTTGTTAATATAAATTTCCTTATATTTCGTCTATGTATTGCATATTCTTGTCAATCTATTTTTTTTGTTGTTTTTAAAATAATGCGTTGATAAATTATGAAGTAAAAAAAAAACTTATTGTTAAGTTTACGAAGAAAAAAACAAATTAATGTTTGAAAAGTACATCATTATCTATATTGACAACGATGGAGGAAAATCTTAGCTGGCTCCAATTAAAAATATATTGACTATAAAAAATAAATTTTATTATGAAAACAATAAAAAGATTATATAAGTTTTAACTGAGTTATTTCTAAATTTTATATATTGTTTATATGAAGTATCACTATAATATCATGTAATACAGATTTGAGAATGTTTTGTCTTATGACTTTTACTATTATTATGCAATAAGCCTTTTGTTTGTCACACCTTCTGCTCAGTCAAAGAGTATACATAGCCTTTACTTTATCCAAATTTTGGATAAGTACTTAAAAAAATCATCTGTGTTGCCTTTTACTTTAAAGACCACTTTGTTGTATTCAGATAGTGACAATTAAGTTATCAGCTTACTCTGTATGTATACAAAGATACATCATAACATCTTCAGTTTCAGATTATCAAAGAAGTTATGGTGAAAGATCTATCTAACATGGATCTTCAACACCACTCTGGCCAGCTCATGTTAGAAATGACAACTTAAGGGTCTTAGGCAACATAAAAGAAGTTGAAAATGCTGGAAAAAAATCTCATTTGAAGACCTCCAATTTGTTCCAGTTTTGCATTGGCAGGTATATAATTCACTTTGCCATCTCCATAATATCAAATGATTATTATTTATTTACAAATGTTCATTGAGAGCATATGTTTGGGTGATTAACTTATTTTTCAGATGTTCATTGAGGTCATATGAAAGAATTGATGTTCTTCATAGCACCATATTTAAAGATGCAAAGGTTAAAGTTAAAGCTGGAGCTAATTCTTTCGTGATGGTAGAAACTGTCTTTTATTTCTTTAAGTTGACAATCATGAATTAAATAGATAATAATATGTTTTTTTGGCTCATGATTGAATTAGTTTATAGGTGAATTTGCAAATTGAAATAGAGAATAACAATCCTAGGAAAACAGCACTTTTAAATCTACAATATCTCAAATTAGTGTGAGATCAACCAATTCCGCTAGTCATGAGCAAATATAGGACAAATAAGAATATGCAGTTTGAATGATTAGACGTTAGTTCATGTCTCTGCAAGCATAATAAAACCTTGTTTCACTTTGAATGATTACAAATCTGTTGTACTCGAGATTGGTCTATGCTTCATTCTGATCACATCATCAGAATCAGCAAGTGAAGGATCAGCTTCTATGGCCATGTGATTAGGTAGTTTTGATGATCCGGTTGATTTTGAAGGTTGTGCTCATCTACTAAAGCACATCGTTTTCAGAGGATGTTTGTTTTGTCTGTTTCCATGGGTATTTGTATCAATCATATTTGTATATATAAAATAGAAAATGTTAGAAAATTAATTGTTGTTGGAATGCTTTTTAAATTAATGCCACAAGATCCCCAAGAGTATTGAAAAATAATTTTGTATTAATCCTTAATCTTTCAAAGAGAACACTAGTTATATGCAATTACTAATTTACTACAATCGTCGAAAATTCCTTATGAATATAATATAATGAACCAATTAGTCTAGATTCCTTACACATAGGAAAAAAAGTTAGTCACTAAACTAACTAAACTCACAACTTGGTGATTGTGAGCTTAATTTTTTTTGTTTAATTTCAATGCAGTTAAAAATTTACATTCAAACCCATATGAAAATATAATGTATTCAAAAAGAGATCAATACTGTCGATTCAGGTAGCATTTGCTTTTTTTTTCTTTTCGTAAATTTTATCTAGATCTACTCAACTTCATTATATATTATTTTCCCATTATTTGAGTTTATTTCATTCTAACCGATTTCCCCTTTAAAATAACAGTTTTTAAAACTACAGTTTCACAAACACAAAAATAGTTGTGGGCTTGAACAACTGATGGCGCATACAGCTACAACAGATGGTTGTACTGTTATTTTGTGAGATTTTGGAAAATCTTTTGTTTGGGATCATATAATCATATTACATCGTAGTAAATTTGTGTCAACAAAAATGCTGAATCTAAGAGGTAGTTACTGACTTTTATTTCTTGAAGTTGACACTCATGAAGTAAATAGATGATACTATGTTTTTTTTGGCTCATGATTGAATTGGTTTGTAGGTGAACTTGAAATTTAAATAGAGAAAAAACAATCCTAGGAAAACCGCACTTTTATATCTACCAATATCTCAAATTAGTGTGAGATCAACCAGTTACACTAGTCAATGAGCAAATATAGGACAAATGAGAAAATGCAGTTTAAATGTTTAGACATTGATTTAGAGTTGTGCTTGTTTACTGAACGACTTGCAGGTTTGTATCTTATTTTTTAAAAAATATTTCATTAATATGTTTGTTGTATGGTGATCTATTTTGGTTTTCTGATTCTATATTAATCTGATTTGTATAGCTAACATGCTTGATTAATGATTATCCAGTGAAGTATTGGATTGACTTAGTTTCCTTCTCGCTCAAGGGAGAAGGTATGATAAGCATTCATCATGCATTTAAAAAAAAAATGATAGTATATATTCCAATTGTAGCTTTTTTTGTATGCCGAGTTAGAAACCAACCATGGTTTAACTCACATTACAAAGAAAACAAGATTCCAGCTTATTATAAAAAAAAAAAAAAAGTATTAGCATTGCTAAAGTGCATGATTTTCTACGTTTGCCACCCAAAAATAAATTTTTGCCATCAGATTTCCTTAGAAGAAACATTTGTCAAGATAACCAGAGCGAGCTGGTGAAGGTTGTGGGCAAGTTTTATATAACATTGTGGCACAAATAAAAAGATCCCTCAGTTGTGAATTTCTGTGTCTATATGAATGTCCCATATGGTATCAGAAATCATCTTTTGTCTGGCCTCTCTATTAGACTTATAAATCTTTCATTAATCCAATGTATCAAATTTTATGATTCTTTATATGAAAAATGTAATAATGTATGTTTGTATGCACATGAAAAGAAAGTTGGTCAATAACTACATTGTCACTATACTACTGAATACAACAAAGAATTGTATTGCACATATAAACGACATACATAGAGTCGAATTTCTATAAATTTACGGTACCAGTGACAAATTGCTTAGGGTACAACAGAAAATTGAAAGAGTGGGTTAGTTCAAAAAATTGGAGCAGTCATTTTAAAAGAGATGATGAGTCAAATTTAGTCTTGGCATACAGAACAAGCAAAACTGCACTGTTTATAATAGTGGGTTTGCTTGATCATGAGCAAGGCCTAAAGCCCACTTCAAACCCATTAAGACTGCTTCTTGTTCGACAAAGAACGACGACGTCTTGCTGGTGATCCCTTGGTCCGTGGCTAGCAAGCTGCTTTCACTCTAAAGCGTCACAGACTCGAATACAATCGAGAGAATACAAGTCTTAAAACCTTAAATCAAGAAAAGTGAAACGGAGATTCCGTGTCAACGATGATGTCGTCTTCTTCTCCGAGTGGCGATTCGACTTATAGCTAAAATCATCTAAGATGTCGAGACTTATCTCTCTCAGTCCAACCTCGATTCTAACTCTGCTCTCGCCTTCCATCAAGAAAGGTCTCTCCTTTCGTTTCTCAGTTTACTCATCTAGGTCTACGCATGGGCTTCTTCTTCTTCTTCTTATAGCTCAATCCCAGATCTACTGTACTAATTTAGGAGTGAATTTATGATCTAATCACATTTAGCTTCTTTCATTGATTCCTGAATCATTCCGTCACATATTGCGATTTGTTGTAGACTGTATATGCTTAAACCTTTTGTACTCGTTCGTGATTTTTCCTTTTTTCGTAGGATTCTGTTTAGGCTTCAGCAGTATAAAGTTGTCGAGATGAAGCTGCTTGCCCAGCAAAGAGATCTTCAGGTTCATTTCTCCCTTTATATAAGTATACATGATGAGTAGTGGTATTGTCTCTAGCTCTTGCTCTTGCTCTTGCGATGGATGTTTATGTGTGATGATGGCCCAAATTATCTTCTTGAGTGAGTCACTTCTTAACAGTTTTGATTTCTTCTATGAAAACTTTGCGTCCATGTGAAGATTCTCTATTGTTTTTTTGCTCAAGTCTGGAATAATTTAAACAATTTTCTTAGAACCTGATAAGCGTGCTTGCATTTGAAAGTAGGATCAATGTTGATTTGGTTGCAAAGACAATAGGGTACTGCTAAATCAGCAATCAGGTTTCTTGTGCCTATGGGCACTTTAACTAAGTCGTGTTTGATGGTGACAGCAGAACAAGTTGTGTCGCAGAACATAGTTCTAGCTTCACTGGAAGAACTATGTTAAAAAAAAAAAAAAAAAAAAATTCCTGGGGGATAGATACTTGGGTGATGAATATGGCTTTACTCTTAATCGGTCACGGCACGAGCTTCTGCTTCTTTTTCTGAAAAGCTTTGCGCTTCTGGAGGAATCGCATCTTGGGAGTTGATCATCAAAACTATGCTGAGCCAGGTAAAACAAACATTCAAACATATATGAGCAAGCAACAACATCTACATATTTATATGCTTAATTGATATCATATATGTGTATATAGACAACATTAGCTAGACTAAAGACAGAATGTATATCTTGATGATGGCGACTGAGCCAGTCATGAAGGTAGTAGCCGACGAGTTTTTTTTAAAGCAATAACCATTTGCCAACTTTCTCTGTAATAATGTAAGTTTCGTGATTAAGAATCAAATCAATGAATATGTATATCTATAAGTTTTTGTGATTAAGAATCAAATCAATGAAAAACAAAGCCTAAACCCAAATTTCTCAATTGCAATAAAGTAAAATAACCTTTTTAATTATGCCCCGCTTCCACTGCCGCCATATGCTCAGCCGAGAACGATGACTCGGAGGTTGGCATTTAGTAAAGCGAGCTCTGATTTTAATGTTTCGCTGACTCTGCCGCCCCATTATTGTTCTGCTTCTGAAACACTTTAGGGACGTCGGAAGCCCTCAATGAATATATATCTATAAGTTTTGTGATTAAGAATCAAATCAATGAATATAATATCTATAAGTTTTGTGACTAAGAATCAAATCAGTGAAAAACAAAGCCTAGACATAAATTTCTCAATTGCAATAAAGTAAAATATAACCTGCTCAAGCAAGAGCGGCTTCCTCAACTTCGGTCGGGTGCACTTCTTATAACGACTAGACACATTTGACTTCTCTTTTTATGCTGATTCCCAAACATGCCTCTGAAACGCTTTGACGACGCGGGAAACCCTAGTAGTCAAATAAGTTGGGTCTCAACCAAGGTTTACCATTTTCAGCTCCTGATCTGGCCCATGATAATAGTTTTAAGCCTACAATTTCAATCTGACGACGTTTTCTCATTAGAGGTAACCGCATCAACATTTTATAGGTAATAAAATTAGTATATTAAATTAGAGCCGTCAGTCGTAGATTTTCATAAGACGTTATAGAATCGTCGATGTAACAGTTCTCATAATTTGCAATAGATTAATAAATCAGTGTTAAAAAAAACTAAGGTTATAGGCATGCGATTTCCAATAATTTGGATAGTTCAGGTCGGGTAGTCAGATAATCGAATAGTTTGGTTTGCTAAAATTTTACCAAAAATAATCCAAATTTAATTCAGGTCAGTTTGGATATTGGATAGTTTGGACGTTAATTTTATCATCCGAAATTAACTAAATTTTTATATTTTTGCTTAAATTTGGATAATTTCAGGTAAATTAGGATAATTTAAGATATTTTCGAAAAAAACAGTTTAGTATAATTTGGTATTCGGTATGCTTCGGTATAATTTTTTTTAAAAAAAAAAAAATTGGATAACCGCTCGGTTCAGCGAACTGAACCAAGAACCGAATAGATTTAAAATCTGTTTGATCGGTCGGTTTTACTTCAGTAACCGAATCAAAATCGAAAATCGAAAAGTTTGGTTCGGCTTGGTTTGGTTAGTTCGGTTCGGACAAAACTCTCAGGGTCAGTTTTGGTTTGAATGAGATGTGAACCAAATTCCAGTCTTAATATACATAACCTGCAAAACTGCACCTTTTACACCAGTGGGTCTGCTTGATCATGAGCAAGGCCTAAAGCCCACTTCAGACCCGTTAAGACTGCTTCTCGTTCGACAAAGGACGACGACGTCTTGTTGGCTGATCCCTTGGTCCGTCCGTGGCTAGCCAGCTGCTTTCACTCCCTCGTCTCTAAGGCCACGCACAGTCCAGAACACAAGTCGAACCGTTAGAACCCTAAATCGCGAAAACTTAAACGGAGATTCAGGAATCGGAGATGTCGTCTTCTTCTCCGAGTGGCGATTTGACTGAGAGAAGAGGGATTCCGGCGGCTAAATTCATCCAAGATGTCGAGACTTATCTCTCTCAGTCCAACCTCGATTCTAACTCTGCTCTCGCCTTCCATCAAGAAAGGTCTCTCCTCTCATTTCTCAGTTTACTCATCTAGGTCTACGCATCGGCTTCTTCTTCTAGCTCAATCCCAGATCTACTGTGCTAATTTAGGAGTGAATTTATGATCCAATCACATTTAGCTTCTTTCATTGATTCCTGAATCATTCCGTCACGTATTGCGATTTGTTGTAGACTGTATATGCTTAAACCTTTTGTACTCGTTGGTGATTTTTCCTTTTTCGTGGGATTCTGTTTAGGCTTCAGCAGTATAAAGTTGTCGAGATGAAGCTGCTTGCCCAACAAAGAGATCTTCAGGTTCATTTCTCCCTTTATATAAGTATACATGATGAGTAGTGGTGTTGTCTCTAGCTCTTGCGATGGATGTTTATGTGTGACTGATGATGGCTCAAGTTATCTTCTAAGCGAGTCACTTCTTAACAGTTTTGATCAATGCGCAGGCTAAAATCCCAGATATTGAAAAGTGCTTAGAGGTTGTTGCCACTTTGCAAGCAAGGAAGGGTACTGGTGAGGTTCGTCGTTGTAAATATTAATTGGTTTAGTTTTGAAAAACTCTTTTGATTATACTTCGATAGCCTCTCTTCACTGGTTTGGCATTAGTGCTTTTCTGTTTCTACGTTTAACTTTGATGCTCTGATCAGTCTCTTGTCTGCTTATTCGTAGTTTCATAAGGTTGAACTTGGTTATGCTTTGAATTCTTCTATGCAAACTTTGCTGCGTCCATGTGAAGATTCTTTCTCTAGTGTATGCGCAAGTCTGGCATAATAAAAAAAAATTTCTTAGAACCTGATAAGCATGCTTGCATTTGAAAGTCTGTGTTTTTAGTTGATTGGTTGCAAAGACAATAGGGTACTGCTAAATCAACAATCAGCTTTCTTGTACCTATGGGCCCTTTAACTAGTGTCTTTAAGTCGTGTTGGATACTGACAGCAAAACAAGTTGTGTCGCAGAACATAGTTCTAGCTTCACTGAAGAATCAATTGACACGTAGATTGTAATAGGCACGGCGTTTCATCAGTTTATACGAAAGTTGCTTCGTTGTAAAAAAGACCTGGTGCTGATTCATGTGATCTTCATCTTCTTCTTTATTTCACATGGGGTTCTTCTTACAACGCAGGCGCTTTTGGCTGATTTTGAAGTGTCTGAAGGAATATATTCACGAGCCTGTATTGAAGACTCGGACTCGGTGTGTTTGTGGTTGGGAGCAAATGTCATGCTGGAATATTCCTGCGAAGAGGTCCATTACTCTTGAAGACATATTCGATGTTCTTAAATATCTTGCACCGGGACCGTTAGAATAAGTTCTGATAATCTTTGTTGTTCCAACAGGCTACAGCTCTTCTGAAAAACAATCTGGAAAATGCTAAAGCAAGCCTGGAGGTTCTTGTAGCTGATTTACAGTTCTTGAGGGACCAAGTCACAGTTACTCAGGTACAGTGATGATACTTATAAATTTTATTCAGTTGAGCCGGCGCCTCATGAGATTATAAGTAGAGGCCTGATTTTACTTTACAGAACTGTAATTGCAATTTAGGGTAATGTAGATTGAGCAGAGAGTAGTTTATCTTTCTTGACTATGAATTTCTTTCCGTGACGAGCAGGTTACTATTGCGCGTATTTATAACTACGATGTCCATCAAAGGAGGGTAAAACAAGTTACCTCTACTGCCATCGCTGCTGCAGACGCGTGAATCAGAGATTCAAATTATAATCGTTTGGGCTTAAATGGAGGTAATATGATTTCTGCAGCACCGTTTGCCATAATCGGTTGTTTGTAACTCTTGATTTTTACTATCTTAATGAATTTTTTTTTGTTTCTGCGACAAACCTATGAATAGAAACATTAGCATTGTTATCATCGTTTGTCTTTGTTTCGCGGTTGAAGTACTACTTGTTTAAGGATGTGATAGATTAATCAAACTATTTGCAGAATCTGGTGTTCTTGATCAATGTTCTAACTTTCAAGTAGTATTAATAAGATGGGATGTTTCTAGAAGTGAATGGAAAAATGACAAATTCAAGTTACTAAAAGTCAAATTGTGTCATTTTTCTCGGAAATGTAGGTTTTATTATTGGTGTCATGACGGCAAAAAGTGGAAATGATAAGATCGAACCTTTTTATTAGCTTTTCTCATTAGTGCATCTGCATTGGAAGGAATAAGATTTCATTTTCTTGACATAAATTTTTTTCTTGTCACTGATATGATCTTTTATAGTAAATCTTTCGGGATGATTCAACCAACCATGATCAGTAAATTAAAGTAAAATTCTTATTTGATGTATCGTTCAATCATTTAAATTTTACTTTTTGTTCACTTGCTAAAAAAAGATAAAGTTCTTCTTTGCAGTATTTAAAAATATTTGGGTATAATCTCTTGTTTAGCGCCTTTTTAGACAAATGTAACATCATGTTCTGTAAAATGCCCGATTAATCAAGTTGAGAGGGTATTTATGAACATTCCGTCGTTTCCAAATAAAGAATATTACGTGATAAAAAATAATAATAAAGAAAAAAATTGATGGAGAAGAGTTTTTTGTCGATGGCTAGGGCTTGAGTTGACCCTTGGATTTTAGAAATGGACCTTTCAATTAATGATGGTCCACATATTTCACTTATTAACTTTCACTTCTATTTTTTCTGTTAATTTCATTTCTTATTTTTTCTGTATAAATCCTTCATATATTTCCTCCATAACCACAATCTTATTCTTATGCAAATAGTATCTACTAAACTAGCATTACATTTAAAATCCGAGAAACCCTATTCTTCTAATGATTATATACGATCTCGAAATTGATGTATATCGGTGTTTTGTTAAAAATAGAATAATTTATGAATCCATGGTATCGTATTTTTGTTAAGAAGATTTAGGTGTATAAATATGTTGAAAATGACATGTAAATGCATTTATAGGTCTCCCACAAAAGACATTTTCTTGGTCTAACAGCTTTCACATACGGCCATATAAATTTTCAAAACCCTCTTTACAATTCAAATAATTTGTGATTTTTTTGGATGCATTAGACGTATTTAGGATCCCAATTGACTCAAGTTGACTTTCTTATAGCTGCTTGATACGATACTGTTCTATGTTTATAAACAATTTATGCTATGTACAAGATCGAGATATCCTTCGTCACTGTTCAGAGTTAAGAAATTATTTACATCACGTTAAGCATAGGTTATAGTTATATTTTCAGATATGATATTATGGCTTAAAATCACAAATGTGTCTGCAGAAACATCTAGTAATGTTGAAACGATACAAAGAAAAACCAATTGGATAATATACTACGTAGAAAATGAGATGGAGAAATCAATTGCATAGTTCATATGTATAAACTAATTATGTTATTATGAGAAATAAGTTGTAGATATATTTCGTTATCTGAAAATAGGAGAGCTGTAGAAACGTACACGGAAAACGAGGGGGATTTTCTAATTTGTTTCTTTTTTTTAAAAATTTTATTTTGGTTTGGAGAAGCAAAGCCAAGCAGCTGTCTGTCCCCTCCGAGTTATTAAAGTGAGTTTGTCTGTTAGTGACAAATAACGCGTTTTAGGGTTCAGCGTTACAATATTCCATTTTAATCATTCATACTCTCATCTTGACTTTGACTTTTTCCTCTTGTAATCTTCTTGCCTTCTTGGGACACCCTCTCCCACAATTAAACTAGTATTTTATTAATTTGGGAATAAATAACTTTTATTTTATTTTTCGTTTGTTTAAAAAAATAATCTAAAATCAGCAAAGCCGCAATCATCGGTAGATGTTCTCACTCGAACATCAAAAAACTCACATTTCTTAAGTCAACAGGTTGTTTTCCCTCCTGCATTTTACACAGAACGAATCTTGACCTTTATAATTCTTCCCTACTCCAAATATTCTTTATTTTACAATAGTCGATTAGTACAGATCTACATTTATATTAGTTTATTTATCCTTATAACCAAATCTACAGTACTAGTCTATCATTTAATTAGATACTGACCAAAATCATATACAAAGATGAAACATCACGCTTTGTTTATCTAGAGATACATTCTACGTACCAGTGAGGGAAAAAAAACGGTTATGTTTGAAACCAATTTCTCTTGGTTTGATTAGTTGCATTGTTTGGTTTAGGTTGGTATTTAAGTTTCTCTCATGCGTAGCTCTGACCATAAACATTAGCATTTTTCTCAAATCATATTATGTTTTGGTCTCGTTTCATATTTATATGTTATTCAAGATTCAAGTGTCTGTGTCCCTAATCTCTCTCTATCTTAAGTAAGGTTTGCTCCGATGCGAGGTTCATATAATCACCGACTTGTAGAAAAACATCAGATTTCAAAGTCAATGGATACGTTTTTATATATGCACCTTGTAATTATACGAACGCACACCTGGCTCATTTGGCTTGGACCGTCGATAGCTAACTCTTTTGACCTTTATTCTTTTCAGCAATATTGACAAGTGACATGACAATAATATGTTCAAAACTTTCCAAATTTAATCTTTCAGCATTTGGGTTTTGAATTTCATGTATATGGTCAAAAGATATTATATCAATATTGATAAGTCTGCTGAACATTTTCTATAGTCATATATATGTTCACGTCGATGGACCAATTAAAACCAGATACATTCCAAGTTTCATTGTATATATAGTTTCTAGATTTATACGAATATATATGTTGCAATATGTTTGAACAGAATGTTGGAAATTGCAAAAGGTTTATTTCCCCGTTAGAGTGATAATAATAATAGCAAAAAATGATAAAAGATTCTCCAAAAACGTTAACTGAGCAAGACTTTAGATTAATCATTTTTACACGATGTTAAAAATATTTGTATGAAGATTAAAGAGTTGACTGAAGCTGATAAAGAAAACAATCAAGATTAGTTTCTAGAAAAACTACCTACGAATATCTTAGAACATTACACTCTCAATCCAAATATGAAGTTGATTGATGAAGATAACTCGACTCCAATAAGTGTAAAGCTTGGTAGAACAATTGATGGTCAACACCTTTGACTTTTGACCACTTCGTCTTATACCCATAGTGAAATATATAGTATATACATTTTCTTAGATCTGGTCTTGTGAGCAGTTAGCTAGCTATGATCCTGTGGTCAATCACATCCATTTCTTTAATTGTTTGAATTATAAAATCAATAATTTTATTTGCGGCGATATAATAACTCTACAATTCAAACTTAACAAAACCCGATCTCGTCCATGTGCGCAACACATGTATACGACATTCATGCTACATATCTATCATATATATACAAACATAGTTTCGAAAAGTGAGATTAAAGTCAGTAAGGCACTAAAATAGTATGCTTTTAAAAATATCATATCATACCGAAGGTTTATACCCTTTTTAGTCTAACGAGTCGCACTACACTTACATATACATATATATGTGTGAAAGGTATTATATTACTAGTCAATGTACTTCCTTTCGAACAAGAATAATCTATAGGAGTCGTTGCGACCCAGTTTCCGTATATATAAATAAACGCATACAAAGATGTTGATATGTATAGAAATATAGTTAAGAAAGAGCGAGTGGCTATTGTGGTAGCAAGTATTGTTATCGCCATTTGGTGATTTTGGATTTGTTTTAAGCAAAAACGTAGAAAAGGGACTGTGTGGACGTACGTCCTTCCTTAGTTTGCGGCTACTAAACCTTTTACGAGTGGACCATGTCAAACTCAGCTTTTAATTTAATGAGATTTGGTTTCCATTATTTTCGTTAATTCATTTGTGTATATATATATCATCCATCATCTCAAGACGGTACATTAAACCCCTTTAAACAAAAAAAAGGTACATTACACAATTTGTTTTCTTCGTATAGAAAAAAAGTGCACGCTTATACACACAAAAACCTCACACGTGCGTTTAGTACGTATGCGTGGGATGTACATTTTGAATTGGAACGATGGTAAGTATCAGCGCAACGTAGCATTTCTTTGGTTGATCACGCGTTTCCCTAATGTTTGAAGAGAATTGTGTCTACTATATAATTAAATAATTATTCATACTGATGGTCCACTATCACTACTTAAATATGCAGTAAAAAGAAAGAAAACAACGTAACGTGTTTACTGAGAAAATGTAGTGAGCGAAAAAAAAATAAAAAAAAATGAGAATGGCTTGAGACGGAAGCAACCGACATGAGGGTAGGGGAAATAAAAACAGCTAATACCGCGTTAAAATCACACGTTCTGATATTTTGGCCGTTCGATAAACACTATGTGTCATATAAACAGCTGCTTCGTATACGATTTTACAGTGTTGGCTGCTTTGGGTCACAAGGGACGGGTCGGGTCGGGTGGGTCCACGACCATGACACTTCATTATCCTCATACACAAAAGGTTATGTACTGAGAAAAGCGTGTAACCCCCACCTCCAAACAAAAGTATCTATATAAATTTTGTTTTTAACCGAATCAAAATTTGCGATAGAGAAATGAAAATGAAACTGCAACGAAGAAAACAAAATCTAAATTGAGACTGCAATGATTTTCTCAAGTCTTTCTTTAGATCAGCTAAAATACTTGTAAGAAAATAATTTAAACTTAACATTTGTTTATAGCGTTTGAAATTATCCTGGAATTTGTTCCATTGCATATATTCTACGTATCATTATAAATTAACAAACAAAATAGAAATAGTTAAGAGGATTTGATGACCGATGACTTGTCGGAGAAGAAGCAAACTCTCGGCTGACGTATGCTTTGTGTCAGCTTATTTCCGAAGCTTCTTTCTTACGCGTTTACTCTTTATTTTATTTGGTTTTTAAATTACTTTCCGGCTTTTTACTGTTTCTCAATTTATTAACTCTGAATTTCCATACATTTTGTCTCTTTCTGTTGGATTTAGTTTCATTTCATCCCTTCATCTTTGCCTCGAAGCATTTTTTCCATCTTATATTCTCCTCTATCTACGTGAAAGTATGTGCTCACACTGTTTTCAGTTTTTTTATTAATAAGGAATCAATACAACAATACAACAATAACACTCAAGTCTCTCTATAAGTTGACATATCAGATTTTTTAATCTTTGAAAAGCTGATACATCAACTATTTTACAAACCAATCAAATTAAAATATTAATACAACTCATCTATTTATTTTAATTTTTATATTAAGACCCATTAAAAATTCAAATACATTTTTTGTTACTAATTTGTTTTATTTTTTAACAAATCAAAGCCCAGATAATAAATAACAGCAAATAAAAAAAAAATTTTGTTTTATTTTTTGCCAAACCCAAACCCAAATAATAATTAACAGCAAATAAATAATTTTTTTTTAGCTATTTGTTTGTTCGACAGAGACGTATATGATTGAAAAGTGTAGCCTCATCATCAACTATTTTTCCATAACAACAATGCAAAAAACTTATGTTATAAGAAGCTCACACATCAGCAAAAATTTGAACCAATAAAAACATAACAATAATACATATTATTAACACACTAATAAAATCAGTTTACTATTCTGCAGACCCATTAAAAAGCTCAAAAATCTACAAAAAAATAGAAGTCGAAAGCAAATGAGGAGAAGCTCAAACCACCATAACTTGGATATTCGCATTTCCAGTGGTTACTCAGAACAAATTTTCATGGGTTTAGCGGGAATAGGGAATTCCTGGGTTTCGGTAAGAAAATGTGATTTTCAGTTTTGATAGGAAAACATAATTTATTAGTTATGGCGGAAAAAAATGATTTATCAGATTTGGCGGAAATATGTGAATTTCTGGTTTTGGTGAGAAAACAAAAAAAAATTGATTTTGATGCGAAAACAAAATATCTTAGTTTTGACGAGAAAATGCAAGAGAAATGCAACTTTTCAATTGACAAAAATACGATTTCTTGGTTTTGATAGGAAATGCAAATTTTTGGCTTTTGATGAATAATGTTATTTCTTGATTTTTGCGGAGAAATGTGATTTCTTAGTTTTGGTGGGAAATTGTAATTTGACGATTTTGGCAGAAAATGCAATTTCTCAGGTTGATGGGAAAACAAAATTTCTTGATTTTGGAAGAAATAAGCAATTTCTCGATTTTGATTGAAAATGCAAATTTTCAGTTTTTGACATATAATGTGATTTTTTGGTTTTCGTGGTAAAATGTGATTTCTTAGTTTTCGCAAAAAAACACAATTTTTTAAGAGATAATGCAACTTTTGGTTTTCGCTGACAATTGTAGTTTATCAGTTTTAGTAGGAAGGTCTGATTTTTGGTTTGATGAATTTTTTTTTTTTTTGCGAGAATTGACGATTTTTCGGTTTTCATGGGAAAATGAATTTTTTGGTCTTGGTGAAAAAACTTGTTTTCTCTGTTTTGACGGGAAAACACAGGTTCTCGTAGGAAAATATGATTTTTTGGTTTTTGCGACAAAACGCAATTTCTCTATTTTGGTGTGAAAATTAAATTTCATGTTTGACGAGAAAATGAATATTTTTGGTTTTGGCGAGAATAGGTGAAATGATTTTTTTTGTTTTGTTGGAAAGTGTGATTTTTCAGTTTTTTTAAAAATAGCAATTTAATTTTTATAATTTCAAAAGAAGATCAAATGATAATTTAGTAGAGATAACTAACTACATTTACTATTAGCATAAAGATACTTAAAAATATAATTATTTTTATTCTTACATATACATTCATAGATATTTAGCTAAAGAAATTTGATAATACATTATAATTTTGAAAATAAAAAAATTAACGATATATAATGTTTATTCATATTTAAAACATATAAATACATAACTTAAACCAATCAAAAATAAACATAATACTCATTTACATTATAAAAATAATTTTATTACATTAATAATATATACAAAATTTAAAAATATATCATGCGCTAGTATATACCTAGTTGTTATAATAATAGTGTAGTTGCCATTAGTTTCTTAATATTTATAAATCATAGGAATATCCATTTTCGAAAAATAATGTTATCGGTCTTAGTTTCGGATTATTGAATATGGTCTCTCACATTGGTTAATGCGCTTAAATAAAAAAAAGTATAAAATGCGTATTTATAAGAGTAGTGCTTAATTTAAATATAGTTGGTCTTTTAAATTAATCTTACCAAAAGTTTAACAAGAGATTAACTATTGCAACCTGTAATATGAAAAGAATCGGCGACAAGACGTTCAAGTCAAAACAGAATTAGGCGAAATGTAAAATTTTATGTCAGGATCACAGATTTTCTTTTCCCGTAAAAAAAAAAAAAAGACATTTATAATGGAAAAGACAAGTTGCCGTTAAAAGTTAAAAATCAAGGAAAGCCGCGAGGAGCTTAAAATAAATTTAAACAGAGTAATAATCACATGCGGCAGACCCACACCTTTTCGTTCCCAACGTCTACGTGTCATCTTTCACGCGCCACTCCTCCTATATCCCTTGGGTCTACCGTTTTAACCGGTACTTGTACATGTACCGTTTTAATGTATGAGTCTTGCCAAAAAATATTTTGGGGTGTCAAATAATTTTAAAAATGATAGAAAATTATTCAGTTGAAGGAAATCAATTGTTTTTTTATAGGAAAAGAAAACAATATTTTTGTTTTGTTTCAATTATATTTTATAACTATCGTACATTTAAGTAAAAATTCTTACCATGTATTACATATACTGAAAGAATATGCATGTTAAAACATACTTTTATGTTTAATTAGATCTATGTATGTAAAAAACTTCTATATAAAAGTTAAGTTATAAAGGCAGTTATGAATTAATTAAAGATTTGTATATATATGTAATTTCTATGTCTTTTAAAAAATGTATTACAATTATAATTAAATAAAAACTACAAGAATTTCTGTATTACAGTTATCACGCTCATAGTGAAAATTTGAAATGTGAAATCCGAATAACAAGTTTGGACTAGAACAAGTCAAGTATAGTTAGTATAATTAGAGAAACCAAACTGTAACCATGCCGTTAGGAGACACGACACAATGTGGGAATAAAGAGAAGGCAAAAAAAAACTGAAGTGAAGGGACAAAAATTAAATGCTCGGCGAAGGACGGCACCGTCCCGATATCATTGACAACCGTACGCCTCCCATGACCGGCGTTTACCGGTGACCAGTGTTTTTCTCCTTTTTATTATATATTTCAGCTCACCTTTTTTTTAATATTCGTTGCCCGCGTAAATGAGATGAAATAATAAATATTAAAAAAATAAAACAAATGGGAAACCTCCTAAATCCAAGCTGTTTTCCAGAAGAACCCAAAACTCCACAAAAGTTATATTCACACACACCTCTCTCTCTCTCTCCCCTTCTTATCTCAAACATAACACACAAACCATTACAAAATAAAAAACATATAATCAACCCAGAAAGCTAAAGAAAAGTTCTCTCCTTTTTCTTCCTCACGAAATCTCAGAAGGTGACAATGATGATGATATCTCTATAAAGTATCCTTTCAGAAATTCTATCTTTTCTATTACATGGAGAAGAAGATAGATCAAGAGGATCATCATCATCATCATCAACAACAACAACAACAAAAGGAGCTCAACAGTACCAAGAACACAGAGACGAAGATCGAGAGCCAAGAACAACAACAACATCAACAACAGAAGCAACAAATCTCACAAGCATCATCATCATCATCATCATCACACATGGCGAATCTTGTCACGTCATCAGATCTTCATCATCATCAGTTGGAGCTAGCTGGGAACAACATCAATCTCTCAAGCATCTTCGATACTCCAATATCTTTACCTTTTCCTTATTCTTATTTCGAAGACCACTCCTCTAATAATCCCAACTCTTTCCTCGACTTGCTCCGACAAGATCAACACCAATTTGCTTCCTCCTCTAATTCCTCTTCTTTTTCATTCGATGCCTTTACTCTCCCCAACAACAGCAACAACAACAACATCTTTTTTACGGATTTGCCCTTGCCTCAACCTGCAACAGCAACAACAAAGGCTGAGTCATCAGAAGTTGTGAACACGGCACCGACATCTCCAAACTCAACCTCAGTCTCATCTTCCTCCAACGAAGCAGCAAATGATAATAATAATACTAATAAGGATGTTACTGTTAAAGATCAGGAAGAAGGCGATCAACAGGAGCAAAAGGGCACTAAGCCACAGTAAGTAATTAGTCAACCCTCCATTAGCGACGCATTGATTTATGTTTTTGATTGGATTTTATTAAAATATTTTGAGTATTGTTATGTATAAGGTTGAAGGCAAAGAAGAAGAACCAGAAGAAAGCAAGAGAGGCTAGGTTTGCGTTTCTCACGAAGAGCGATATTGATAATCTTGACGATGGTTATAGGTGGAGAAAGTACGGCCAGAAAGCTGTCAAAAACAGTCCTTATCCCAGGTAATATATATTACTCTGTATATATATACATTATGCAGCTCCTTGCTAGATCCGTATAGATCATCCTCACTATATATACTTCTGTGTATGTAAATATACTTCACCACATCCGGTTTCTCCATTTCATAAGGATGATCTACATTTTCTTATACTATTGTGTTTTTTTTTATAGGGATATGCTATATATATTAATGGTGTGGTTGTCAAAAAAAAGTTTGATATATATACATATGTTCATTCGGAAAATCATATAAACAAACACACCATATATTCATATGCATGTTCCATTTACATATGCAGGTGACCGTAGATTAGCCCTAGAGTCAGTGTGATCTATTTATGCGGACTCTATATGCATGTAACATGACTCTATTCATATTATATACATGCTCACTATGATAATATATATAGACGACTATATATATAGATATACCTAATACGCGTGGGTGTAGGGTCCAAAATGTTTGAATTTTCGTTTCCAAGAATATATTTTCTTTTGTTCCATTCCATGAGGTTTCTGTGTTTTTTTCTTCCCTTGATTTATGTTGCTTGTGTCGGAAGATTTCTATCTCAACTTGTTCCAAAACTTCCATCTCAGATCTCGAGATCTTTATCTGTTCTTCTTCATTTCTTCCAAATTTCATTTTTTAAAAACTTTAAAGTAAAGAACAAATACATTTTGCAATTAATATTTAATATAATTTCTTTTAAATGTGCAGAAGCTATTACCGTTGCACCACAGTGGGTTGTGGAGTGAAGAAGAGAGTGGAGAGATCCTCCGATGATCCTTCCATCGTCATGACAACCTACGAAGGTCAACACTCTCACCCTTTCCCCATGACGCCACGTGGACACATCGGAATGCTTACGTCGCCAATCCTCGACCATGGTGCAACCACAGCGTCATCGTCATCATTCTCTATCCCTCAGCCACGCTACTTGCTGACTCAGCAACATCAACCTTACAACAGCATGTACAACAACTCTCTAAGCATGATCAATAGAAGCTCATCCGATGGGACTTTCGTAAATCCAGGGTCATTACCATTTCCTGGATTTGGTTATGATAGGTCACAAGGATCTACTTCAACTTCTTCTTCCATTAGAGATCATGGATTGCTTCAAGATATTCTTCCTTCCCAGATCCGATCGGATACTATTAACATCCAAACCACTGAAGAGGATAAGAAATGAGCTTCTCTTTTAATTTTTCCCGAGGCAATTGTCTTTTTTTTTGCCGGAACCGGTTGATAGGGTTTATGACGAGTTTTTGGCCGGTTCAGATAAATTGATATTACTGGCTGGCTTTCTAATGTCTTTTCTTCATCAATATTTAGCATCGTTTTTTTTTAATCACCATGAAGCAAACAACCGATGCAAACTAGGAATAGAGGTTTGTAGCATATGTGATATATAGATATAATAACTTCATTTTTTGTTTGAGTATTAATGTCATTTTATTTTAAGAGACTACAGACAGAGGATGGTTCAATCTACAATTATTTTTGTATTTGATTAAATTTATAATTATGCAGTAGTATGAGTTAACGTTACATTATAGAGTTTTTATACCATTAATTTAATTTGTAATCATGCTATCAAATCAATAGTCTGGCTCTCATGTTTATTCAGATCTTTTATTTGATTTTATTTATATCAATCCCAGTCGATGTCTATTAGCATATCACATATGTACAAGGATATTTCGGGGTTTTTTCAATTCGGTAGATCGATCATCTATATGCATGCAATGCAACCATACGAACTTCATTCATAACTACGCATTACATATATAATAGAATACATCAATTCAGTAATTAACTTCAATTTATTTCCATTATATATAATTAAGACATAGTTTGTACTTCGTATTATTGTATATGATCTGGTATCCTAGATTCTCATTGGCTAGATTGTATGAAACGCCTTTATTGAATGTTCATATGCTCAATTTTCATAACTACTATAGTATCCCTTCATACTTATTCACACACACACACATATTTATTCATAACGAGCATCTACTATATTTAATCTAAAAAGTGATAACAAAAAGCTTAAATAATACAAGATATACTTCATATCTAATTAGTCATACGGGTGCTCATTGTTTGTTTTTTAGTATGCAGATAAATATAAATTCATATTCCTCGTATATATACATAGAGAAATTAAGCGTAAAGAGAGAAGAACTCTTGGCCTTAAACTCAAAGTCTTGTGGTTTTCTTCGCTGCGACTTTTATGTTAGTCTTCAATCATCACGGCTAATATTCAAAAAGACTTTTAGGATTAGCACACCGTTTGTGTCTACATGCGTACTTGACCCACCATTAGTTGTAGAAATGGCATTATGGACCATATTCTGACATAAGCAACACCAGTTATTTAACTATTCCTAACCAAATGCAAACTTTATTAGCATAAGCTTTTTGAAATATTTACTTGCAAGATTAAAAAAAGAAGAAGACATGAACGTATTAATCTGTTATGTAATTATATTAATGTCTTTATATTTTATTATATCCTTTTTATAAGCCATCCTTTGACATTAATTAACAAACACGAACCTAAACCCACACAGACACACCGAGATATACATATACATATATATCAATCATAAAGTTGATGCATGGAGCTATATATGCGTGTATATGCTTTAGGTCTTTTTCAGGAAGCCGATAGCTACGCAAGTGATGTATGGCTGATATTAAATATAAAAATAAATGCAAAAAGCATAGAGTTAGTAATGTCCATAATGGACTGTCTTTTAATCACTAAAAAAATAGAAACAGAAGGAGTTCTAACAGGCTACTCATCAACCCTACTCCATCACTAACTAAGTATCAAAACAAATCATGCTTTGTATACTATGGAGAGTTATTACTAATTAATGTGATTCTTTAATCGCAACCATTCCGGTAAAGTTACGCACATATACATGTAGAGATTGTATGTATACATTAGTCTATTTTTTATTGGTGCCGTTATGTTAATTAAGATCTTAAATGTTGATAGTGAAAAAAGTTGAATGGTAATATTAAAATTTAAAATAACTATCAAATTTGATTTAACTTTCTCGAACATTTCATCAAGTGATTGATACGACTTTTTTATATAAAAAGTAGAAGTATTTTATATCAAACTAATCAGTATAAATTGAAGAAACAAAAAAGTTATGAAAATAAGAGAGCATGGGGTGTGAAATGTTGACCGCTCCTACATATCACAACCAAAACTAATTTTAAATACTACAAATGTAGTGTTCAACTGATCATAAGGTAAACATGTTTTCTTATAAGGAGGTTTCTGTAAGTTCACTCTGGTAAATCATTGATCCGAAATACGCAAAAGTTCAAATACTATTCTTGTATATACTGAAAAGCAGCGCGTGTTAACTGTAAATACGTATGTATATTGTGTATGCGTATATGTATATGTGTACAAGGAACTGAGGAAGAAAACAAAGTGGGTTTGGCCACAATCACTTAGGTATCATCACATCATTTAAATTCTAATTGTTATTGATTTACTCATGATTGGTTTAATAATGTTACTCATTGCAACCAAATTTTGATTTACACAAACATCTATCCAAGTCAGGGAAAGTAGTATGGGTTTATATTCTTAATTTAAAATTGAGAGTATATGTAATGAGATTAATAAGTTGAAATTTGATTACTTAATAATAATCTTAGATGACATGGTGGTGGAATTCTTGAAATCAATGAGTAGATTAATCAGTTTAGAGAGATGTATAGATTGACATAAAGACCTTAGAATAATGGAGAAGTAAAAAGTATAGATAAGATTATAAGATCACCTTTCCAAGAATGTCTAATAAAAATGATCGTATCTCTCTAAATGTTTCACCATTTTCTTTACTTCCTTAGCCGCCAGGTCATGTTCAATCAATCTTTGATTTGACTGAGGATTTGGATTTTTTGTTGTTGTTGTTGTTTGTTGTGTTGGAATATTTTCCTCCAAATTTGGATTTCATTTAATTAATTGTACTTTTAAGAACCGCTAATGTTTTAATTTATTTTATGGTTATTATTAAAAAAATAACTTTGACTATAAATAACATAACAAATTGTATTATGGAGCTCCAATTTTTTGCGAAATCGCTTACCAAATGGACGTGTGTGGTATAATACTGGAGTTTTGTTAAACGATTACAAGTACAAACTTGCATCAACAACTTGGTTGTGTAAGAGATATGTTATATAGTTGTAAACTTGTAATCAAGTTGTAGTTAAGACTTAAGAGTCTAACTGTAATAACTATCTAGTTAACCATATGTTTGTTCTTGTTAAAAAAAGGTTTTCGGCTAATATTCGTGGAACACATACAAAATCTTTCCTAAATATCTAAAACCATACCGGCCTGAAATTTGGGAGCCCCCACCCAATTCCACGATAAATTTATGGCTTTCCAGATCAAGCAAAAGAATTTGACCCATTTGATGTTCGAACCCGAGACCCATATTTTGTATCTATCAATCTTCTCGGCCCAAATTTTCTCCATTTGGCCTCACGTTGCCTTAATCCTCGTTAGTGAGAAGGTAAAATTGAATAATTAAGATTATCATGAACAAAAAAAAAACTAATCGATTTGAGATTATTTTCATTTTGCCTGATGAGAAGATAAATTATCTAAAGTTTGAAATATTAGTGTTTTTTTATTTTCTTCCCAAGGATTCTTGTTAAGAAAATCAGACATTATAGCTCTCCATTTGGATTCCAACAAAGCTGATCATTACATTACTATAGAGTACATATATGTGTATTTATTTCGCTCTCTCTACGTTTGATGCTTACCCGTTGAAGATTCTTTTTATAAATGTAATCTCTTATAATTCAATAAACAACAACTCACCTCACTAGAACTCCTTAAACGAAAATCTTTTAATTAACTATTAATATTGTTAAAAAGTATGACTCACATTTTTAAATGGAATGTTAGTTATACGTACTATAGAAAAATGTAGATGTCTCTTTAACGTCTTTCCTTATGAAGAAAGTAGGTCATCTTCTCTTTATTTTTAAAATTTTAAACATTGCTATGTAGTTGCAGCAACCATTCAAATCTGTATTGTTTTCCCAAAACACAGATATAGTGAACCTGAACTTGGTTCATTTACACGTTCAAAAATTTATAAATGTAACCAACAATGAATCAAACCGAAGTTCAAACTTATGAGATGGTTTGATACAATACCATAGTAAACCAAGGTGGCATTAATCAGTAGAATACGTAAAACCGAACCAAATTAAACGGAAATGTCTATCCACTTCCATAGTGACCAAACATAATTAAACATTCTACGAGTTAGAATTCAGTAGTAGATTGTAATTTTGATCATCATTTTAAGTAGTAAAGAAACATTTGACAAAAAAATATACTAAAATAAAGAATCTCATAGTAAAACTGGGAAGAGGATGTCATAACAAAACCAAATTGATCTTTAGTTGGTTATCACTCTCTGGTCTCTAAGGAAAAGCCTTTCATTTTCTTTTGTTCAACTTTTCATATTTGAAGCCTCAAGAAATGTCCCGAATTTCATTAATTATTTTAATTACAGAGATTTCGATTGGTAGTTATATTCGGAACAAAATTTTGAAAATGGAATAAATGAAAAAAGAGGAATGATCAAAGGGTACAACCACAAAACAAGAAGTAGCAACAGAGCGTAGCGACGATAGCTATAGATTCGACGATCGAGATCAAACTCCACAACACATCATCTATTATTGAGAAATTACCCGACAACGATAACAATCTCATGTTCCAACCGGAGCTCAGGTATGATAGATTCACCTCCGGCCACCGGGAAACCCACGATGACGAAAGGTACGACGGTAGATCCATCAACGTCCATCGGGGAGATGACATCACCTCTTCTTTTTGCTCCCCTTCTTCTTCTTGTTTTTTTGCTTGCTTTCTGATTTTGGGATCTTCTGGGTTCTCTAACAGAGGGGAGAATTTTCTAATGTTTTTCTTTAAGAGAAAAAACGAAAATGATACTAATATAATGACTTTGGAGATGATGTGTGACATGTTCTGACAGGTGGTTATGATATAGAGGTCATTCTTTAATAATTTTTCTTATGTTTAACGTATAGTCGACAAAATATCTTGGGTTTTGCAGGACCAGATAAAAAAAAGAATCCACGAATCCTAATATATGCTGTGCTATCCACTTTGATCCGGTTCTAAGAAATTTGGATATCCGATAATACTTAGAAAATAAAAATCTAGAGATATATCAAATATTTTATATATAAGAGACAAACAATAATTTTCACATTCGTAAATTTGGATATCCGATAATACTTTTTTACAAGAAACTACCTTTCTACCGTTTATTAACTGTATTTATTTTATTTCCTTGCTGCTATAAACAATAATATGTTGTCATTTTGTTTTCGACATTTTGCCATTTTCCTAATTTCACTGATTGGATCTACTGTTATATATTATCTTCTCGTTTCTTTTTGTGAGAAGTTAAAAACTTGATGAGAATTTGGTCCCATAGAAATCAAATACGACCGCACGTGTTTCACGCTTCCATTAGGGTCTTTTTGTGTTTGTCCCACTATTAATCTAAATCTATTATTGCTTTGGTCATCAAATATGCACTAAGTGAAGTAATGATCATTGTTTTTTTTTTGTTGATATATATATATTTGTCGCACTATAAGAAATTTTAGGAATAGCATATCCTATTATGTTTTTGTATGTACACTGCTCAAGTTTTACGTGTATAAATTTGATTTTAGGTTATTTGAGCTTACCTTCTTATACCAACAAGTTGAAAAAATGGTATTCATTCCAATTCTCGCATAGGACGACAAATCTTCTCTTTACTTGTCACATATTCTCATTAGGAACCCTGTTTGGTAAAAATCCTCTCCCATTTTATCTGAACGGAGGAAAATAATAAAACTGATTAAAGTTTTTGATTGTTTTTTCACAAGCATTTTTTTATACATTTGCATTTACAGGTGAACATAATTTTTTTTGTTTTGTTTTTAAACCAACTTTGTATCAAACAAAAAGTTATTTTCAACTTTTTTTTCATATATATATATTTTTTTTGCAAAGTATACGAGACACCAAAAATACAAACATAAAGTTAAGTTTGTTTTGGTTTGCAGTGAACGTTTGTATATATTTACAATTAACAAGTGTTTTTTTATTTATGATTTTTGATTTCAAGACAGGAAAGAAAATTATTCAGAACCCTTTCACATACATTTTATATCTATACAGTATACAAAACGAGATTTATACGTCAATTCTTTTATATAATTTAAAAACAATAAAATAAAACTTTAACGTAGATTTTAACTCTCAATATAAATTATATTTAGTACAGAGAGCCCTAATAAAGTCACTAGCTCAATTGGTTATTGCTGCCTTGCTGGTCTTAATAAGCCGCAGTTTCGACGCACCCCCAACGCATTTTCTTTTCCACCATTCACCTCTCTCAGACTCTCACGGATTTCTTTTGCTCTGGAGAAGCGAGAATTAACATTATTCTTTCTTCTTTCCCCGGACTGATTTTCAGGTTTTTGCCCTGCTTAGCTCCTCTTTCTTTCTTGTGCAGTTTCGTTTTCTCTAAGTTCGTAAAAGTAGTTTTAGTTCAAAGATTTTATCGATTAGGATTCATGAATATTGGGTTTTGCTAGTGATTAGAGAAAGTTTTAATCTTCTCCATATATCGAAATCCCAATGATATCAGTGTTCTGAGTTCAGAGTGAAAAACCCTTAATCGAATCATTGTTTCTGACTTCCATCGTCACAGGAAAACGAAAGAAAAAGATGGACTTTGATGACGAAGACAAACCGAAAGAGGTTTCCAAAGCCCGCAGATTCGCACCTGGTCGTGCCGGAAAGTCCAAACCCAAACCTAAACCGGAACCCACTGCAGGGAAAGCGGAGCCGCCGTCACAGTCTGATGCTCCGTCGGAGTCTGTGAGCAAGAGTGAGCACGACGTCGATGCGAAAGTAGCTGGCCCCAAGGTTGAGCCTGAGGTCTATAATGGCCCCGTTAAAATGGAGATTGATCCAAAAGTGGATAAGTTGCCGGAGACTACGGAAGTTGAGCTGATGGAGGAAGATCAGGTTCCACTGCAGGAGGAGGAGAAGGCAGACAAAGAGGAAGAAGAAGAAGAAGAAGACGTTGTTGTTCGTGAAATCGACGTTTTCTTCAAACCGTCTATTGATGCCAACACTAAGGTTAGCTAGGGATTCTTACCTTCATCAATCTTGATTAGATTCCTTAAAAAAAATTGATTTTTGCTAATTGTTTCAAGTGTTTTCATTTCTCAAAAATGTCAGCTTTATGTTCTACAATATCCTCTAAGACCTTCTTGGCGTCCATACGAAATGGATGAACGCTGCGAAGAAGTGAGTATCCCCTCTAATATATATATATTTTTTTTGTTTCTGCTTCTCTCTGTAATTTTTGTGGTCTGATCATTCTGTTTTACTTTTGTGTCTTGAAGGTCAGAGTGAATCATCATACTTCCCAGGTGGAAATTGATTTGTCTATGGATGTTCATTCAAGTAACTACGACTCCAAGTTCGGAAGTGAATTACAAATGACTAAGCAGGTATAGGTTTTAGTTCCAAGCTTAGAGATTCAAGTTTGATCTTTTGATGCAAACTTCATTTTTATTTTTCTTGTTGTTGTTGTTGTTTTTTGATAGACCTTGAAAACAACATGGAAGCAGCCTCGTACGTTGGATTATGCTGTTGGGGTTCTTTCAGGTGATAAGGTATATTCTTCCCTCTTTCCGAAGCTTGATAACATTTGCTGTGTTGTGTTGGATATCTTATTGAGTTTGGACTCGTTGACTTGCAGCTACACTTGAATCCTGTTCATGCTGTTTCTCAGCTACGACCGTCTATGGAGTATCTTTCATCCAAAAAGAAACAAGCTGAAGCCACTGAAGAATCTGCCGGAACATCAAAAAGACAGGTATGTGTCATTGATTTAACATTGCCAGAAGAATTTTGAGGTGTAAAGATTTTTGGTTCAGTTTTAGAGCGCTGCAGATTTAGTATGATTTCTCCTGTAGAGTTAGGCGTTCTTGTTTTTATTTCATTTCTACTTTCTGCTTTGTCACAAGATTGGCCTGAGTATTTTGGCTACTTATGCATCTAATTATTTCATTCGTGGCAGAACAATGGAGCGCAGGCTTCGGCGGATCAGATACCACATCCTGAAGACGTATGATAATTGGTTTTTTTTAGTTTTCATGGGATCCTTTTTTAACTTAAAGTTGTTGTTATATATGGTTTCGTAAACTTATGCTGGTATCTTTCTTCCTCCTTTAGACTTGGTTTTCGCTCAAGTATCATGGACTTCAATCCGAGTTTTGCTCCAGATATCTTAACGGAATGATGGCGAATGGGAACTCTTCAATAGACTTCAACATGAGCCCGTATGGTGTCTTCCTATTCACTGAGCTCGCTTGAGACAATTAGTGTGTTTTCCTGCTTACCTCAAACTTTTTTTTCCTTCTGTTCTTAACATCTCTTGTATTTTATTGAAGGGACGTTTATATCAACTCACTGTGCCGTGGGGAAAGCAGCAGAAACTCTGGAACGAAAGAATCATCGAGAAGGTGCAGTCCATCATGTTTCCAATATGTTATCGATTTCCCTTTTCTTGTTTTACCAAATGTCTGGTCTCATGTGTCATCGAGTCAACATTTGCACCCTTTCGTATGTCTTCCTTAATGATATATTCTTTCTGCTTTCAGGGCCTTGACCTCCCTACCGCTTGAAGAACGTGTGCCAAAGTTGCTCTGCCAGGTTGGTAGCTACTATAATCAACATTATGTATATGAATGAGTGCTTGCGTTAATATCTGTTTTTTGTGTGTTTTCTAGATGAAGTTTATCTGGATCCTGTTCCTAAGTCTAACTAACTTGTTCAATCGTAACAGGGGCCTCCGTTGTTCCGATACAGTGTTCTTAAGCATTACGCCCCAGAGGTTTCAGACGAGGATTTCTTAACGGTCCTCCAACGACATGGCTGGTTAGTTCAAGGTTTATGGACTCCCAAAACCAAGCTACTAAATCTAGACGCCCCCGTAGAGGCTTCCAGGGATTATGTGCTGGTGCTGTTCAACAAGGGATCAACAGTAAAGTACTCTGAAGTTGAAGCAACAGGTCGCCTTAGGGAGAAGGTGAAATCTATGTTGACTGTATTTGCCAAAGAAAGGCCTCTGCTACGTGATTGGAAGTTCAAAGAGCCCACTGATGTTTCCTTCATAAAATCCTACCCGGGGATTGCTGAGGAGCAAGCAGTTTTTTGGAAGGCTATGGACGAGAAGCTTACATCAAAGATAACCCAAGGAGGAAAAAATAGAGCTGATACCTCGAGGAACGCTGCAGGCAAAAATCCTTCGGCTACAGTTAAACCAGAGATCCCAACAGCTATCTCTGACAAAGGAGGGAGTTCAAGAAATACAATACCTCGTGTTGTTAGACAGAAAATGCCAGAGGATGTTCGGAGGGCGATACCAAAGGCCTTGAAAAAGGTTTTTCAAGCTCAAAAAGTTTGCAGGTGAGATTGTTGGGACTCATGAGATTATATGAAGTTTTTGGAGTTTTTCAGAATACTGGATTTCATATGGGGTTTGTGTGCAGCTACGAGACGATCTGCCAAAAACTTAGGGATCTTGCAGTTTCCACATCGAATAATCCAAAAGCTGATTCAGGCATGGCACAGCAAGTGGCGTTAGCTGTGGATGCTCACCAAGAAGAGCTCCAACAAATTATAAGCGAAGTGACTGTTAACATTCACGGCTCTTTTGTCTCCAAGTCGTCTCCGGACCATCCAGAATGTGACCACTTCAGGTTATTTTGTTGTTGGAACATGATGACCACATTTGTTCTTTATGTTTTCTGTTGAAGCTATAATTTCTCTGTTTTTATTTACCAGGGAAGTGGTGATCAATCTCTTACACGGATCTGGACCTGGAGCGAAGATTATGAAAGCTAATGTATTTGCAGCAGTGAAGGACCATCTTAATGATGACATCAACAACAACGACTACCTAAAGGTTTTTCACTTTGAGTTTTCTTTCACTTTTCTGTGTTTTGACTATAGTCTCTGACTCTCTCGGTGTTGCGCAGGTGATGCACGACCTCTGTGAAACCAGCTCTTCAGGATGGGTTTTACAGAAAGCTCGATGATGTGACATTAGAGAAAAGGGTTTGGTGATTTACAAGTTTTTGATAGATCAGGGAGTTTCATTTTATAACTTTGAGATACTCTCGAGTGGTCTTACATCGTCCTACTCTTTTACTTGGCTAGCAAAGTTAGATTCGGTTCAGGTTTCCTGTTTTGTCTACTTTACAATTGAGAACTTAACTCAATAGTCATCTTCAGATGTACATGCGAAGAAAAGAAATATAAAATATGGATTTTGAAGAAAGGGAAACTAAAATACTTGAACTACTCAATCCAAAGGTTTCACAATTGATGTGATCTCAAGTAAATAAAATTGAAACAAAAAAGTAATAGTACAGACGCATAATCTGTTGTTCATAAAGGGAGCCAGAGAAACATTGTCAAATCTATAAAGTTACTTGGAAGAGGCTGCAGATACCCAAACTCATAAATTACGTCATTTCTTCTTGTGTGTTGTTTCACCATCTTCATTCGCAGCTAAAGATCCCTCAGAATATGTGCACCAAGTCATAAGCGAATCTACTCCATTGTTAAGGAAACCTACTGAGAGAGAGAGAGACAAGAGAGCGAGCGAGAGTGCATATATGTCCTTAATCTAATTCTCTAAACAAAGTTAGAGCTTACACTAAACCAAAAGGACCACTTAGAGAAGTTAATCACAAGTTTTAAGGAGCTAATCATTTTTACCTACACCATTCAGATGTTCTTTCATAAAACTAATCAAACATGGGATCTACTTATTCAGATTTTTATAAAACGAGTGTGAACACCAGAGACTGAGATTAAGGATACGTCCAGAACAGCACAAACGACTGCAAAAAGGAGAAAACAGGACCACTATTAGTGTATGAGCTTAACAGGTTAATAATAGCACATAAAAAAAGACAAAGACTCGTAAAAAATAGTAGTCTGCAATGACAGATTACAAAGACTAACAGAGAATAGCTTAGGTTTTGTTGAATTAACAAGACTATGTATGAAAAGGAAATGAAAGCATACCATAAGGCCACCAAGAAAGCCGTCAAAGAGGACCCGGTTCCATGAATCAAAGTACAACTCTGCTGAGAATCCTGCCTTGGCCATGAGACCAACGGATGTGATCAGCATCACCACAAAGTAGAATACAAAACCGGCCAAGCCTGTGAATCCAATGATTCCTGCAAGGACTCCAGCGATGATAGACAGAAACGTCCGGCTGCAAGCAAGAAATGACGGACACAACATCAGAAACGAGAATGCTCGAACTTGAAAGCGAGAGGAAGAAGAATAGAATTGAACCAGACCTGTTCTGTATGACTTTCAAATTGTTCTGCAGATTCTCCCCACTGAAGGTTGGTATGTCACTCATGACGTCCTTTGATCTCTTCTCAGACGAACCCATTTAAGATAGCAAACAATCTGACCACACAAAAAAATTTAAGATTACACCAAATGTCTGTGTATTGGATATTACATTATCAGCAAGAGAAACTTTTCCAGCTTATAGTTTTGAGATTAGAGCACAAAGTAAAAAATTTTGAAAACAAAGTTGTTCTTCTAATCAACACACAGAGGCTAGAGCAAGTGTTGGATTAGAATCCTCAAGCGTATTGAATTGAGCTACTTATAGTGGAAAATTTCAAAGATGAGTAATTTCAACTCGATGCAACAATTTCATAACTGGGTTCCACTACTTAACATCGCAACAAATTACGATTCCTAAATCTAAAAATTTTAAGACCATGTTTCAAATAGTTTAGGTAAAGCTCCTACAACAACGCAGGAAAGATCGATCTGGTTTATCGATTCCATAGTCAATGCAACAATGGTTTATCGATCTCTTAGCTCAATTCCGATCTGCTCTGAGATCTACACAGACCTTGCAAAAAGGAATTACAAAAAAAGCAAACTTACAATTAGAAACGAGACCAGGAGGATTGAAGCAACTTATTTGCTCGGAAGGAAGTAATCGAGAGGACGAGTGAATTTGAGAGAGGGAGAGAGAAAGAGAGGGCGAGGAAGAAGAAACAGACGAGCTTTTCGAAAGGTCTGCTATAATTTTGTTTGTTTTAAAAAAAATATTTAGCCTTTTTTTTTTAATATTTAACCTTCTTGGTTAAAATTGATATTTTTTTTTTGAAAATGGTTAAAATTGATATTTTTAAAACAAAAATCACGAATGATTTGATTACATGATTTACATCCAACAAAACTGAATTTCCATAGAGACAATTCTTCCGTATTTAGGCTCAAGGTTTTATAAAATGCAGATAGCATTCGTTAGGATTCCAGGTTTTCATCAATCTTAGCAACGTTTGAGAAAAGGAAATAAAAAGTTACAAGGATGATGATAATTATTGATTGTTGTTACAATGGCGAATCACTCTGTAACAGAACGATGATGACGATGACGACACTCGGCTCGGACTTTGGAATCGAGGACAGAGACATAGCGATCGAGAACAGAGATGACAGCTTCAAACTCCGACACCTGTTTCTCGATTGCGTCCATCTGTCCCACGAACTCATCCAAGCCGCCGCTTTTGGACTTCATCTGCCCCGCGAAAACCCTCAGCCCAGCTGCCACGTCGCCCAGATCCTCGTACTCCGACGCAACTCTCAGATTCATCTTCTCCAATAGATCCAGTTGATTGTTCGTTCCCTGTCCACGACCGCAACACTCAATTTCACATAACGAATCCGATACTAATCTGTAAATTTAGGAGGAATTTTTCACCTGGAGCTCGGATTTCACCATGGATGATACACTCGTGAAGAGACTCTGTAGCGATTCAGCTAGATCGTCACGCGCCTCCGCCATTCTTCTTCTCGCTGCGACAAGACAGATGGCTCTTCTATGGTCTGAACCAATTTGAGAGAGAGAGAGGGCGAGGAAGAAGAAACAGGCTATCACACATCTCCTGAGTTTTGTAAAGCCCACAAATTTAACAGAAAAAGAGACACTTTCCTAATTTTTTGAAAAACAAAGATTCATTATTGCATATTTCTGTTTATAGTATAGTTATTGACAGAAACAGAGGAAGCTGTTCTTTTGGTCTCATGAAGTTGCTCCTTAACAATAACAATGGCCAACAATTCCCTCACGAAGACATCATTTTGGCAGAAAGTGAACAAACACAATAAATGATTGTGTAATAGTTTATACATAGTAGTACATTTGATGTGAATCGTTTTTAATTACTGCTGGCTTCTGTATAGATCGATGCTCCCTAATTGTAGCCTGGAAGTCGAATTCACGTCTCGTACACACAAAAACCGGAACCTGCAACATACACATTCATCCATTTCAAACACACATTTTGTGATTTACGACGACTGAACTCAACCAAGATGTGTACATCAGAGAACAAAGATGTTTAAACATACCTGAAGAGATTCGCTTGGAATCCGGGTGATGTTATTTTGTAGGATTTGCGTTGGAACCGCTCCTCAAACACCTGACAAGTTTGCTTGTCAAGAACATGCCATGTCGATCCACTGTCGCTACTTCCTTCAAGAACCCTGGGGAAAGGTAACAACAAACCGCAAAAATACAGCGAGGACAAATAATCCCAGATGTGTATATGTGTAGACTCTTTAAGAAAAAGGAACAAAACATTACCAATCTTTGGGGTCTCTCTCTGGGGCATCATTTGCAGACATGAGCTCGTAAGCTATGAGTTGTTGCATCTGGTTGTAGAGTGTTTTGTACACGATCCAACAACCTGTGTAAGAGGAGAGATGGGTATTTATCTCATCATATCATGTAAACACATAATCAGGGGTTTTATTTTTGTTTCAAACCTTTTGCACCATTTGGTTCCTCCCATTTGGACTCTTGGATTCCATCAAAAGCTGCGGTTGCCTGAGGCATTGAGACATGCTTATTTAGGAATGACCAAAAAACGGGGTTTAAGTAATGGTAAGATGAGAGTTGTAGTAAGTGTACTACTTACAATGCCAGAAGGAAGCTCTTCACCACTTGCGAGGACAGAACCAGAGCATACCCTGTTCTGCTTCAGAATTGGAAAAGACAGTGAATCTTTGTTTAGGTTTTGGCATTTGCTGAGGTCAGTCACCAGTTCCTTTAAAGCGTCCAATGCAACAGGCAATGCTAAAGCCGTTTTTGTGGGTTCACCCACCAAGGATATTGTGAGACTTTTGTCGTCTGCGTCTTTCTCGCTCTTCAAAGAAAGCGCGAGAAGCAAACCTTCCAGTGCAGGCAGAAACTGCTCCGGGATCGAGCTTGAGCTATCTGAATCTAAACTCAAGCGAGCCTTCCTCGTTTTGAAAGACGCATTCTTCAGATCCACTAGGACCTTCTTGATCATGTTAAGGACCTCAATTGCTCTTGCCACAGGAAGATCATCCTCAACGAACTGAGTCAGAATAGGCAGGAACGAGTCATAAATGTTGGTCACATGGTTATCAACGCATGTGCGAACTGGGCAAGAGGAAGAGCTGACAGAGCTGTTTTCGTCTGAACCAAATTCTGATCTCAGAATGCGCCATTCCTTGTCCCCACTTTGCCTTCCAGGTAAAGAAACCGAGTTATCATCAGGGGAATGCAGATTTCTCTCGAGTTCTTCCTGCTCATTGCTGTCTCGGAGTTTAAGCGCAGATAAAACTTCGGACATACACCTACTTCGCCGTTCCGTTGTCAGGGTTCGAAGAACAGCTTGCAAAGATGATTCAGTCGTGAGAGTTCGTCTAGACAAAACCTAAAGCGGAAAGCAACATCAAGACCATGAGTCAGGAATGTAAATGCAGTTACACATTCTTAGACAAACAGAACATTCGACTGTTTTTCCTGTAGCATTACCTCATTCCATTTCTTTGTATATCGCTTAGTGACATCACAAACCCCATCCTTAGAAATCGCAGTAACATAATTCAACTTTTTACCCCAACTACAAGGCAGAGATTTTGTGAGAAAATGACAGTCCATCATGGAGACTGTTCAGAGATTAATCACGGAAAGAGGAGGCAACTGGCAAGAAAGAAAACTTACCCTTTCTCATATAGCATGGGTTTGTCATAAACTCCTTCACAAGGGTCAAGATGGATCCATCTGCACAAAGACAAAAACGGCACAAAATGACTCGGTTGAAATTGATTCACGATTGAAAGTTCCTACAAAGGAAATCAACAGACGTTTGTTAGGCATATGAATGTTTACCTTCCCAATGAGTGAGAGAAGCATTCCGTCCAGACGTGATCTGTGAAGTCCATTATCTATAAATGAATAAAAATATTACAAAAACACATTACAAACATAAAAGCAATACCAACATTTTTTGCGGGAAGTGACGATGTTAGTTAGAAGAATACCAAACGAGAATCATAGCCAAACGAGCGGCAGTATAGCGTAAAGCAGTTGGCCCACTCCCCGCAACGACCTCTCTTTGTTTCTACAAGCTGCATGAACAGGGAAGAAAAATGAAACCTTGAAGTCAAGAATATATATCTTCCGATGTAGAGGCTATTTAGTTACCTTTAGGGGATCGTTGTACCGAGGGAATCGAGTAATTGTTGGACACGAGGTACATCTGTATAAATTCATAGTGAAACAACAAAGCAGTAAGTCAAAAGAGTTCGACAGCAGAAAATAAAAATGATTAAGCTTTTACAGTCCTAAAATATTCTCCTGGAATAAAGGCTGTGAATTCAGATTAAGCATGTTACATTTCCTACACAAATGAAATTATACAGAGCTGCAAAATAATTGACATACCGATATAGCTCAACTCGATTTGCTCCATAAGCAAGCTCTGAGGTAAGTGGGTTTCCCATCCCCTGGCCTATGGTTTTGTTACCACAATAGTCACAAGAAGGTTCATTGACCCATCTGCATTATCACCCAGGCAACAACAGAGAAGACTTTGCCAATATTAATAGTGTAACTTGTAATTTAGCTTTGGGCTCAAAATATAAACCAAATTTCAGTTCAACTAGATGTAATCTTTCTCTTGATTTTTTTGTATAACTTTACACTTCTGAGTTATGTAGGTGAAAATCTGAGGAAGAGCTGAGAAAAAACCTGAAGGATCTTTTGAACCAGAAAAGTAGCTGAAGCAGGAAAGCGTAGTCTTTTTCATCTTTCGATGGCTCGAAATTCCCCTCCTAAATGTTTGTTAGAAACTTGGATCAGTTAAAACTCTCACATTAGATTCTAAAGCTCAAGTTAAACCTCAACCTAAAACCTTAAATTCTATATTTCACCAAGAATTTCAATATCAGAGATTATAATTCTATTCATCGGTGAATATGAGCTCAAACCTTGGCCAGAGAAACCAAAGCTTTCTCCTCGAGCTCGTCTTTAGGAATAGTCTTTCGAGCAGCTTCTTGACGGACTGGATCTTCATACTGAAACAAAAAATTGCAATCATTCATCAGCACACAAAGAAATACACCAAACTCATTTTAGAAAGGATTCTAAAAAATTTAGTCAATCACCATGAGGACTTGGCTGACATAAGGCCTTATTCTCCTCTCGAATTCGCCGCTATCTTGTGCAGCAACATACTGTTGAAACATCATCGCCTCTTCTTCTGCCTGTAAGCAGGAAACCCAAATCAAAAGAGCAGCCAAAATTACTTTCAATATTGATACGAATGTCTCTAAGAAACCGAAACCATTGTTCCGAGGGACAAAGTTGGTCTCTTTGTGGGTTCTTACATTGTTACGTTCTAAATTCTTCATGAAGAACAAAAGCAATTAATACAAAAAAAGTTGACAAAAACCTGCAACATACGAGCAAACTCTTCGTCTGATTGCAGCATTTCCGCATCGGATTTCTCACTCTTACCAGAGGTTCCTTCTGACTTCTCCTCAGAGATTCCTCCCGTTGAGAGCAATCGGAGCTTACCGGATATAGAAGCGAGATCAGTCTCATCCGATACCACTCGATCATCATCTTCCGCAACGATCTATTGACCAATTAGATTAAACAGAAATCATCAGAGCTTCCATCCATCACCCAAAAAATGCAAAAAACAGATTAGGAAAGGAAAAAAAAGGGTACCTTTTGCTCATCAGGAGGAACAGAAGTGATGGAGAAAATTTGAATTTGTAAAACCTGCGGAGAAACAAATGACAGCATCGATTTACGGCGGATAATCACGTGTTCGAATCGGAGACGAATATGTATACGAAGAACGAGAGAGAGATACCTCAAGGCCATTTTCAGTGTCGTAGTCGATACCATAGCTCGAATCCTCGTGGCGGATGACAAACTTCCGAGCAACCATTTTCGCAGATGACTGAAATTCCAAAATGATCTCTTTCTTCTTCTAACAGAGAAGAAGAAGTCTTGAAGAAGTGAATTGCGACGTTGACGATGGTTCTCTTTCTCTGGTAAACCACGAACCGACCGGTTCCGTCTTAGTTCTTACTTCTTACAAACCTGAAATCGTACCATTGGTTAGGTACGATTTCATTTCGCGGCCAGATGTCCGCAAATGTGGTTTGGGACTTATCCGGTTCTACTTCTAATTGTAAAGAGGAAGGATAGACACAAGAGTGATTCTTCTTGACAGGGAGTATTATTGGTATAACTAGATGTTTAAAAATATTCTGAACACTTTTCTCATCTATTTTATTATTTAGATAAACTTTGTCTATATTATTTGAGGGCCTTTCTATTATAAATAAATAATTAAAATTGACAGCTGAAATTGGTTTATAAAATTGATTTTTATTTCTCTATTCTTTGTTTTCAATACAATATTAAATGTATTATTGGTTCATTTGTTTAAATTCCAATGACATTTTACGACTAATCACTTAATCAGTCTTATGGCAAATAGTATTAGCTGTTGCCTGTTGGTATTTAGGAATGTTATAAAAACTTTTATTATCTGTTTTACTATTTAAACAATCTTTTTGTTATTTAAGGATTTTTCTGTGATTATGGAATTTATTATAAACACGTTACTGAACGAGCAATATTATTATTTGAAGTGAAATAAATTTACGTTTTATTATATAAAAAGTATATCAATGAAAGATTAGAAAACAAAATATTCAATAATTAACATAAAAAAATATTCAATAATTTCTATAAAAGCCATTAAAACTTTACACGATTTTTCGTAAGTAAATAGAAAATTATGTGATATTTTGAAATGTTCTAAACTTTAAAATCAATTAGACTATTTAGACGATTTTTATTTATTACTTTTAAGAATTTTCTAACACTTAATGATTTATTATAAACAAGTTCTTTAGATTTAAAGTTGTATTCAATTTTTGAATAAAATTAAGTTTTTTTTGTTATTATTTATTTCTATATAGAGAGAATGTACAGTATCTGGAAATACTCTAAATATCTTTGTTATATATTTTACTATTTAGATGATTTTTTAAATTATTTTAACATTTTTTAAATTTTTAAAATTTATTATAAATAAGTCGTTTAAGTTAAATAAAATTGAGTTTTTGTTGTTCTTTGTTCCTACAGAGAGGGACTTATGTGAAGTTGCATTCAACTTCTGACTGATAAATACAATAGAATTTTGGGTGTTCTTCTTTTTTTTTTTTTTTTTTTTCGCTAGATATCTATAGAGATTTCAAGGAATCTTAGAAAAATTGGTTTATTTGAGATTTCATATAGTATAAACTAAACGAATATCCTTAGAGGATTATCCTAGGTTTCCGAAAATTCTCATAACCAATGGATGACTATTCTATCTATTAAAACTTCCTCAACATCAGCAAACCAAACTTGTTTTGATCTGTTACTGTCTTGGGGAGCCATTTACGTCGCTAGGACCGTTTTTTACACTAAACATGATTCAACTACAATTTGTACTTGTAATTATTCAGCTCCCGCCAGATTTGAATATTGAATGGCAAGAGAGACAAATGGTGCCTGTCTTGCGGTTCACCTGTCAACATTTCAACAATCCGCTCCCATTCATGAGTTGTGTAGTTTTGGCGTTAGAAGCTTTGGATGCAAGATACAAGTGAAAAAGAGATGATTTCGAGTCTCCATATATTGCTTTGACAAAACGCACATGAAATGTTAGCTCCTACGTTCCACTTGTGCATACCATCTAACCGTCGATAGTCTATTGTGAGTAGCTCACATGAAATGTTTTGCTCCCTTACGTATCTCCAACTTTAACAAACAATTTCACAAGCTCTCTCTGTACTTGAGAGCAACTCACTTTATTCGCCTCTCCGAGTTTGGTCGTAAACCCAAATCACCCTCCTCCTTAGGCTTGCACACTTGATCACTCCATGCAATCTTAGGATTTTACGGACTGTACCGAAGAAAGGCGGCACAGAGTTTATCAGTTTCCGTGATGCAAGCTTTCGGGCAATCGCAAAGCAGAAATCCTTAAATTTGTTAGACTATATGTGTTTTCATAAAAGCTTTCTTCTCTTCTCATAGAACAAAAACTTGACATATATCAAGTTTTTAAATCCACATATCTCCCATTTCATTTTCTTTGAAGTTTGAAAACATAATCTTGTAACCGATTTTACATAATCTTGTGAAAGCCAAATGAATATGTAATCTGTAAGGCAGCTCAAAATTATCGTCTGCATTTGAAAATGCCTATTCAACATTCCCCTGCCAAATGCATGCGAGATGGTTAACTATGAATCTAATCGAAATTTCAACTGCTTTTCTTGTAATACTCAATGATTATATAATTTTGGTTTGTAAGAAAATATCTGCTACCGATTTTCTACTGACCTATAGTCAAAACCAAACCAATTCAGCTTCAGTTTCTTCGGTTTACATAAACCGACTAAACCATATCTAGCTGGATACAAGTCAGTCTTTACACATTTTGAGTCAACATATGGAATTTATATGGTGTGTTCTCATATTCTCAAAAAGTAATACCATATGCGCATGTACAAGGTATTCAACATTTTGGCCAGATTTCATTCCTAAAACGCAAAAGAGATTCTCATTTTGAATAAGTATTAGTGCCGTTGTTGACACGCGTTGTTCCACCTTATCTTTCTAGCCTGTTTATATGTAAAAGCTAATCCTCTCAATCAGATCCAAGCAAATCAAACCCTATCATAACCTTGCTCCTCCATCTATCGCCAATCTTTTTGTCGAGTTCTCTCGTATTTCGCTTGTAAACGTAAGTTTTCTGCTCTGTAGATCTCAAAGTACACTGATTGTTAAACCATATCTATGTGCCCCCGCTCTAGTTCTTGAACATCTTCACCTTGGTTTTAAGTAAAATTTTCTTGGATTTTAATGAATTGTTTTGCGTCAATATAATCGATGTGATGTAGAAACAGTACTCGTTTCGAGGGTTTGGATTATATAGATTCGTTCAAAAATCATATCTCAATCGCATCATAATGATTCTGCGTGTGGTTTCTTGTTTGAGTAATTTTCATTGACCTTCTGCTTCCAGTTAGGTTTTAGAAATGGTGATTGTTGAACCCTAGCTCTCCCCGCTATAGTATAGTTGCTCAACATTTTCACCTTCCAGATTTTAACTGAAGTTTTCTTGGATTTTAATGAATTGTTCCACGTGGATATAACCTATGTGATGTAGAAAGACTCGTTTGGAGGGTTTGGATCATATAGATTCATTCGAAAGTTGTATTCAAATCGCATCATAATGATTATGCATATGTGGTTTCTTGTTTCAGTAATTTTCATTGCACCTTCAGTAAATTATGCTTCAAGTTAGGTTTTGGAAATGGTGATTGTTAAGCCCTAGCTGCCCCCACTTTGGTTGTTCCACATTTTCACCTTCCAGATTTGAACTGAAATTTGATAGGATTTTTAATGAATTGTTCGCGTCGAAATGACCGATGTGATGTAGAAACAGTCGTTTTAGATTATATAGAAATCATTCAAAAAATGTATTTCAACCGCATCATAAATTCATAATGATTATATGCATGTGGTTTCTTGTTTTCTTTGATTCAAAATCTTGGGTAATTTTCCATTGACATTCCGTAAATTTTGCTTCAAGTTAGGTTATGGAAATGGTGAATGACGGAACCACAGATACACAGGCTGAAGCTGGGAATCAACAGAAGAAGAGAAGTCTTCCCGAGGGACAAGAGTCAGATGATGATGTCTCTATGAGAAGAAACCCGAAGCGAGCTGTAGCTTGTAGAGACTTCGAGGAGGGATCTTTCCGTATCTCTCTAGATAAGGTGTACAACATCAAGATCAATGAAAAGGATATTGCCGATGATTATCCTCTCCCAGATTTTTACAAGAGTTCCGAAGCAGAAGCAGATGAGTTTAGATTCTACGAAGCTGACACTGTACATCCCAGGATGCTTCACAATTGGGCTCTCTACGACTGTGATACAAGGTTGATACCCCTTGAGCTTCTTCCCATGAAGCCTCACGACAATATCGATGTAACTATTTTTGGATCTGGTGCGGTGGTGTTCAATGATGATGGAAACTGGGATTGTCTCGTTGATTCTGACACACCTAATCCTGTCGGGACTCCCACATTCCTCAGTCCAATAAAGGAATGGATGATTGAGTATGGAGGGTCAATGATCTCGGTTTCAATACGGACAGATTTGGCTTGGTAAGCTGTCTATTGAAGTACCTTGTTCCTCACGTTTCTGTGTCATTTTGTTTTTGTTTTTGTCTTGATGCTGACGCGTCGTGTATATGCAGGTATCGACTTGGGAGACCGTCAAAGCAATACGCCCCTTGGCATGAATCTGTTTTGAAAACAGCTAGGGTTGCGATAAGCATTCTTAGATTGCTTGAGGAGCAAACTAGGCTTGCTAAGCTTTTCTTTCAACATGCTATAAAAAGATTGTCTGAGGCTGAGAAGAACGATGAGGCCTTCATTTCTTCTGACCCCTCGGACGTTGAAAGATATTTGGTCGCCCATGGTCAAGTTATCTTACAAATGTTTTCAGCATATCCTAAAAAGCATATCGTCAAGTGTTCATTTGCCACTGATCTTGCAAGAAAATTGGAGGAAAGGCAGCACACAAGATGGGTCATCAAGAAGAACGAAGCTTCGCAAAAGAATCGTTATCAGAAGAAAGATAACCTACTTCCAAGGGCAGGTATGCCACCTGCGGCGAAAAATAAATCAGCTATGCAAGCAACAACCACTCGCCTGATCAACAGAATCTGGGGAGAGTTTTACTTCAGTGACTCTCCAGAGGTTCCACTGCAGGAGACCAGTGCAGAAAATGGGGAGGAAGCGTCTGAAGAGGAAGGAGAAAATGTAGAAGGTGACGCAGAAGACACTGAAGAAGAACCTGAGGAAACTGTACCAGAACCTGTTGAGGTTCAGAAGCCTCATACTCCTCCGAAGGAACTTCGAGGCAGTTCTAGCGAAATGGGAATAAGATGGGATGGTGAGGTTCTAGGATATACCTCTGCTGGTGAGCGTTTCTATCGACAAGCCCTAGTTTTAGGGGAAACGGTGGCTGTAGGTGGTGCTTTCGTCTTGGAAGTCGATGAGACTCAGGCCATCTACTTTGTGGAGTACATGTTCGAAAGCCGGGATCATTGCAAATGTCTACATGGAAGACTCCTACAAAGAGGATCCGAGACTGTTCTAAAGAATGCTGCTAACGAGAGGGAGCTGTTCCTGACCAATGAATGCATTACTGTCCAGCTTAAGGACATAAAAGGAACAGTCCCTTTTGAGATCCGGTCAAGGCCATGGGGGCATCCGTATAGGAAAGAGAACAACACTGCGGATAAGCTTGACCGGGCAAAAGCCGAGAAAAGGAAAGCAAAAGGTCTGCCTACAGAATACTTTTGCAAGAGCTTATACTCGCCAGAGAGAGGAGGGTTCTTCACTCTTCCACTCAGTGATATGGGGCTTGGCTCTGGATCCTGCAATTCATGTAGGATAAGAGAAGATGAAAAGGAAAGGTCTAAGATTAAACTTAATGATTCTCGAACAGGCTTTTCCTCTAATGGGAGTGAGTACATAAGTGGGGATTATGTCTATGTGAACCCTCAAATTATGATTCAAGATGGATTGAAGGTTAAAGGGAAGTTCAAGGGCGGGAGGAACATTGGGTTGGATGCTTTTGTTGTTTGCCAGTTTCTGGGAATCTATATCCCAACTCAATCTAATAGAAATGGTTCCTTTGGGGTCTACGTGAGAAGGTTTTATAGGCCTGAGGATATTTCTGCAGAGAAGGCCTATACTTCAGACATCCAAGAGGTAACAACTATTTCTTATGCTATAATATATATATAGTGGTGTGTTTTTAAGTAAGAGATGTTGTTTCTTTGTTGGTTTCTTGATAAGTTTATCTTACAATCCTTTTTTTTTTTTTTTTTTTTTCAGGTGTATTACAGCCAGGAGTTATATCTTCTCCCTCCGAAGGCAATAGAGGGAAAATGTGAAGTAAGGGAGAAAAAAGATATGCCCTTACCCCGTGAATTTCCAATATCAGAGAACATCTTCTTCTGTGAACATTTATATGGCTCCTCTACTGGTTGTCTCAATCAGGTATATATATTTATTTATTCACTCCTTTACTTCCCTTTTCATTCAATTAATAAAGACATACCATAAAATAGCATATTTTCTTTTAGTTTTGGTTCCCTTTCTCAGACACGCTTCTGAGAAAGCAAAAGGGGAAGGAGTTAGAGAGTGAAGCTGATTCTGGGACTGTCAAGCGTCTGGCTACACTTGATATTTTTGCTGGTTGTGGTGGTCTGACTCATGGACTGGACCGGGCAGGTATCTATTATTCTCCATTCATCACTTAAAATCCACACACACACAAAAAAAAAAAAAAAAAAAACGGTAGAACAAGTTATATTCATTTATGCATGGTTTATGTTCAAGGTGCAACTGAAACAAAGTGGGCGATCGAGTTTGAAGAGACAGCTGGGGAGGCTTTTAAAATAAACCATCCCAAGACAACAGTCTTTGTTGACAACTGCAATGTGATTCTCAGGTAAAATAGCCAACAAAGACAAACACTTGCTCGACTTTTACTATTTCTTGTGTTGTGGTCCATTTTGTTGAGAATATATAATACGCAGGGCTGTAATGGAGAGATGTGGAGATCAAGATGAGTGTATCTCTACTACAGAGGCAAATGAACTCGCGGCTAAACTTGATGAGGAACAGAAGCGTACTCTACCACTTCCCGGTCAAGTGGATTTCATCAGCGGAGGCCCTCCATGCCAGGTATAGTCTATATATATGTTATATGATTTGTCTACAATTTTTGTTGAATATAAGCAGTGAAAGAGACGTTACTTAACGTGTGCAATTTGGCAGGGATTTTCGAAACTGAACAGGTTCAACCAAGGAATTAAGAGTAAAGTAGGGCGTCAAATGATATTAGCGTTCTTGTCCTTTGCTGATTACTTCAGGCCAAGATACTTCCTTCTTGAGAACGTGAGGAACTTTGTGTCATACAATGAAGGGCACACATTCCGACTTACTCTGGCTTCTCTTCTCGAAATGGGTTACCAGGTAATTAAAAAAAAAAACCCTAGCTATAGTGTTATCTCATGCTTTAATTATATTTTGCTTACTAGGTGTTTCCCGCACACAAGGTACAGGTTTAATTAAATTTTTTTAAAAATTTAACATTAGTTTATTTATAGATAAAAAAAAATCAGATTTTATAATGATTCAAAACGAAACTTAATATATATAAAAAAATACAATTTTCATGAGTATATTGTTTTTTGTGACAAAGCAAAATATATTATTTATATATTATTTTTAATATCTTAAATATTATCCGATAAAAATTTATATGTATGGTTTGTTATTTTGTTGCATTTATCAAACATGATAAATGATAAATAATTCTCTTATTTTGATGTAAATTGATAGATTAAAAAATAATAAAATTCAAAGTTTGCATTAAAAAAATAGCAATTTAAAATGGAGTTTTAAAAAGGTTTAAATGATTTAAAGTTTTATTTATGGTCGCGTTAGTCAAAATATTAGTAGATTAAACAATCAAATTAAAATTAGTTTAATAAAATAATTAGGATTTTTTTATTTATGGTAGTTACCTTTTAGTAAACTGAATATTTTTATGATATAAATTCGAATTTGGAAATCTAGATTTAAAAAAAAACGAAAAATAATTAAAAATTAGATTATATTAATTCGTTAATTTCATTGATGGTAATTAAAGTAAATTCATATAAGGGCAAAAGTAATATGATTGGCTCTTTGTGTCTCTTTGGTAGAAGTTGGCATGTTGCCATTATAGTAATGTTGGATAATGGTATTTTTGAAGGTGAGATTTGGGATCTTGGAGGCAGGTGCATATGGACTTGCTCAATCACGCAAAAGGGCTTTTGTTTGGGCAGCTGCACCAGAAGAAGTCCTTCCAGAGTGGCCTGAGCCTATGCATGTCTTTTGTTCCCCTGAGTTGAAAATCTCACTTAACGAAGGTCTACGCTATGCTGCTGTTCGTAGCACTCGATCTGGTGCACCTTTCCGCTCACTCACTGTGAGAGACGCCATTGGTGATCTTCCACGAGTGAAAAACGGAGCATCCAAGATTAAAAAAAAGGTATGTATGTATGCATCAGGAGATAGATTAAAGTACTTTATACAAACATATATGTTAACATGATTGTTCATTGTGTCTTGCAGTATCGACGTAATCCGGTCTCGTGGTTCCAAAAGGAAGTAAGAGGAAACAAGGTGGTTCTCAGAGATCATATCTGCAAAGAAATGAATGAACAAAACCTCACTCGATGTAAGAAGATCCCAAAGAGGCCAGGTGCTGATTGGCGTGACCTCCCTGATGAAAAGGTTATATAGTCTTATTTGAGTAAAATGCATGATTTCCTTTTTAAAACTATAGATCAACAACTTAAATGCTTTTTCTTTTTATATATATAATGTATATAGTTGATGTTAAAAGACGGGACGTGGGTAGATTTGATTCCACATTCTCTGAAAAACAAAGCAAAGACCCACAACGGGTGGAAAGGGCTCTATGGGAGACTTGACTGGCAAGGCAACTTCCCAACTTCCATCACCGATCCTCAGCCAACCGGTATAGTTGGAATGTGTTTCCATCCTGACCAAGACAGGATTGTCACCGTCCGTGAATGCGCCCGATCTCAGGTAATACACAACTCTTATGTTCTTAATATATAATTAGCAGTTTGTGTGGAAAGATTTTTCAGATATTCAGAATTGGTAGCTTCTAAAATAATGAAATGGTTTTGGTATATGAAAATTTTGCAGGGGTTTCCGGATAGTTACAAGTTTGCAGGGGGAATAAAAGACAAGCATAGGCAGATTGGGAATGCAGTGCCTCCACCATTGGCCTTTGCTCTAGGTCGTAAGCTCAAAGAAGCCTTGCATCTCAAGCAGCCTCTTCAACACCAAACCTAAAAGCACCCATGATATTGGGTCATGGTAACAATATCCATCCTCTCTCTTTAAACTTTTTTTTTTTTTGTTCACCCAAAAAAAAACCCTCTCTCTTTAAACTTAAGTCAGAAAATTTGGGATTTATCTGTTATATTTGAATTCTCCGTACAAGACAATATGTTTGAATCTATCAATCAGCTTCTTTCGAGAGCTTTTTCTCTGTATGAATAAAAGTTATCAAAGTCAAAACAGTTTTAATTGTTTTTCTTAACAAAAGAAAAAAGGGTACAAAATTTTTCACCATGTTGAATAATAAGATATGAGACAACACTTGCTCTTGCGCTTTTTCTTCACCATTGCTTCTTTCCCTTCTTCTTCTTCTTGCTGCTACTACTGGCAGTTGCAAAAGAAGGGCTTTCGTTGACATTATCAAACATACCGGCTTGTGCGGCGTTCTGCAACCACTCATAGAACTCTTCCTCTGTCATTGTTTCATCCATGTTTGCATTTGGCATTCTCTGGTTTCCTCTTTGCCCTGATGAACCACTTGCTCCTCGCTTTGCACCTGTTACGTTTGTGTTCACATGGAAGCTCGGCTTGTGTGTGTTTGCTGGACATCTCATTCCCTTCCAACAAATTCAAATTAAAAAAAACAAAAAAACATTTCAATCCTTCCGCAACAAAACCAATCAAAGCAGCAATCGCTTATGAAATGCCAAAAAAGTGAAGCCGATTGGTTTTTGGAGTACCTGACAGATATACCACTGAGAAGCTTCATATACTTTGCTGTCTGCGCATACGTAAGCACGCGGCATATCAACCTGCGTTGCAATTACAAAACCTCTCACATGACTATGACAAGAAAGCATATTAATTGAAAGTCATCAGATCAGTACAAATTGTCTTCTTGTGGCAGAGTGTATTACCGTTCTCAAAACTTATCCAATATATATAGTCCATCTACAATTTATACACATGAAATGAAAACTGTTGTGTACACAAAACCTTTTGAAACAACCCGAACAAGACGTGCTGTGAAGATTGTTCAACCCAACCATCTCCATCTTTTGCTTGATGAAACTCCTTGCAATCCTTGAGATACAGAACGGAGCTTGAGTAAATCGATTAAGTTCTAGGGATTATACTTCCTCACAAGAAGTTTCATCACTGTGTATAATATATAGTTACAGTATCTCTAAGATGCAGATGAAGAGTTGGAAAAAAACCTGGCACCATCTTGCTGTAGACTTTGATTTCTTTGTCAGAAACCAGGCATGGAAACTACCACATTTTTTACACGCTATTTGTCTACACTCTGTTAAAGCTTCCTCTCCTTCGCCTTCGCCAGAGTAACCACGTCCTCGAGTCTCCTGGTCCGAGTAGAAGGTCCCAAATTGACGAATTAAGCAAAGAGAGAAGGAGAGAAAAAAATAATACTTTGAGCAACAAAAAATGTATTTCAGGATGAAGTAAGAGCCAGGCAAATCAACATACCTTTTGAGAAGAATTCTGAAACCTCTTAAAGTAGTTCAATAGTTCTTCCTTCTTTAATTCATCGTCATATGATTTCTGCTTTACAGAATCAAGCAATACCTAGAGACCCAAGCTAGGGAGATCAGAGATGGGGGAAACTTGATGCACAGATACTAACTGATGAAATGAGTAATAAAAGCTTACCTCATATGCATTCTGAAGTTTCTTAAAAGCTTCAGCTGCTCTCTCATTCCCCATGTTTTTATCAGGATGGACCAGCATCGCCTATTAAATCATTCACAATGATTACAAACTCAGCATAAGTTTTCGTTGCTCATGAGCATTCAGCAATTAACGCAGGCAAAGAGGCATTCACAAGAGAGAAATAAACAGCCTTACCTTTTTCCTATATTCTCGCTTGAGGTAAGCCATGTCAACAGTCCCATACCTAGGTAAGCCCAAAGCTGAGTAGTGGTCAGCACAATTCAGCAACCGAGCAACTTCATCTTCAGATGTTAACTCAGAGTCTGTTCCACTAGTTGACGCGACTCCTGGGCCACGGTCACCGGTAAATCCAGGGCCGTTTTCAAATGACGAACCATTTAAGGGATCGGTGAATCCACCAGCTGTGCTCTGCTGGTTTACTTTGTTCTTGAAGAAATATATAAGAGCATCGGTTGAGATGAAAGCAAGATTAAAAGCCAAAACAAGACCTAGCCATCCGACATAACTCCATGCACTATAGACTGAATACACTTTGATGATAAACAGTCCAATGCGGTCGTGCTTCAGCATGAATGCCAGACCTTTATATCAATAAACATCGCACACTGTCTTAGACAAAATAATGCAAGAGTATGGTTTGTTGCTAGTTGCTACAAGATTGAGATAGGAAGAACTTTTACCTCCGAAGAAGAGGAAGAGCAGGGTTGTCCAAAAGCTACCATAGATCCAGAGCAAAACCAAACCAGAAATGGCAAGCGTTATAGACCCAACAACAAATCCAATGAACAACGCCACCAGAACCGTTACAACCTGTAAGTGTACGGAATATTGACATATGCATAGAAAGTAAACATATACGCAATCACAACTGAGAAATATACTTACCGACATCACTAGAAATTTGGTCATGCCGATCATGGAGAACGCTGAAAAGAGACCACACCACATGATTGAGAAAAAGGAAGCTGTTCCCATCCGGATGAAAGAATCAAAACCTCGGATTGCACAGTCCAACCAAACCAGAGACAGAAGAAGAATTATGCTGCCAAAGTGCATAAGCCATCTGAAGACAACCGGGTACGCTTGCCGAATCTTCTTTACAACAACATCACGGGCTTTATATACCCGTGATCTGAGAGAAACTAGCAAAGGCATGTGCTTTTCCATCAACTGAGTCACTTCCCTTGATATGGTAGCAGTGGGTATCCTCAGTTTCCTGACTGCTGCATTGTACGCCAGTCCGATATTCTCCGAGGGGCTGTTTGTGCTCAATATCTCCAGCAAGCTTCTCATAAGACCGTTGATGTGTTCACGACGAAATGGAACATATCTAGTCTCTTCGGTGGTAGAACCAGGTTCACTACGAGGTCTATCTCCACCTAAATCTGTCCCTGAAGAAACAGGCTGATCTTTCACTGCATCCATCTCTCTTTCTAAAGCTTCACAAACCGGACTACTTCTTTTCTGTTTATCACCTTGGCAGTTTTCTCTCAGGACACTCTCAGCCTCACTGGCTTTACCTTGGACCTTCGAAGACAGCAAAGGCTCAGAAGTTTTCTTTTTCTGCTTCGTTTGGTGATCCATTCCATTCTTCTGGTGACTTCCTTTCCGAGCCATTACACTAATTCAAACAAGTAAGTACCTAAAAGCAATCAACTGAGACTCTCTCTAGCATTTCCTGTCAGTGGAGAAGGCAGAGCAATCATGAACAACTAATCCAGATAAGTGGCAAGTCTTATACAACGCCTAGCTAACAATGAAATTACAGGAGTCCAATCAAAGTGGAAGTGATCAAATCGAAAAAACTTTCGGCAAGCTTTAGGCATGAAAACAAAAACCAACTTCAATTTTTCGTTTCAGAATAGTAATTGAGATCAAACCCATGAATAGTGATAAGAGACAATCCCGAAATCGTGTCTAAAGGCGAATTTGGGGAAGAGAGATAAAGGTACCTGAAACTCTGATTCCAAATGAGAGGCGCAACGAAGGATTGAAGAGGAGGAGATTCCATGAGATGATGAAGAAAGTCAAATTAAAGGTCGGAGAAGAAGGCCCACAAGCAAAATAACGAGACAAAGTGTGTGACCTAGAGCATCAAATTCGTGCTCATAATCGATGCACCAAATTGGGATTTATCTGTGAATTTGGTGAGTGATTAAAACGAAACTAGGATTGAACACATGAAGAAGAAGAAGAAGACAAAGCCAATGAAGAAAAACACGCTTCAATTTTGCAAATTTTGGAGTAGAAGACCGAAAGCGATCAGAAAACGGAGGTTTCGACCGGCGATGTCACTGTTTGGGATGAGCTGGTTAAAAAATTCGGTTTTCTAATATCACAAATAAGGAAATACATTTAAATATAAATATAAAAAAAAAAAATTACATGGTTAAGAGTCAAATCGTTTTTCAAAATTTTAAAATCATGGTAAGAAAATTAATTTCTGTCTGTGTCCAACGACAAATATGACTTCTTATGTTTATTAGATGATGTAAACTGAACTGATGTAACCATAACGATTATGTTGTTGTTTTAGATATTGAACCTGTATATTACCATCTAATTAAAATATTTAATATTGTTAATCACTTACGTATTATTGAGCAAAATTACGGGCTTAATTGGTAAGTGCTGTAGAATCTGTACACAACCATAATTTTTTTAAAGTATTAAATTTTTTCACAATCATATTTTACACAGATTTTTTAAAGCTACAGTTCTTTCTTTCTTTTTTTAATTTTTTTGACTGTAGAAAGCAAAATATATAAAGGAAAAAATTTGGACTTTAAAAAATTAATAATGCTACAGCACTAAAATCTACAGAATTAAAATCTATAGCCACAGCAAAAAACTTACAAATTTATTTCTACAGCAAAAAAATTAAAACTACAGCAGTAACCAATCAAACCCTACGAAACATTGGTTAACATAAGAAAATAGTCTAGAACAAGAAAAGGATATCCTTTGGGTATATATAGATGATAAATACAAATAAAAAAAGACAAAAACAAGGAGTTTCAAATTGCAAGGAAGAAGACACGAGAGATATCCTCTTGTGTACGTATATCCCCAAGAGATATCCTCATTTAAAACACATTCAAAGTACCAAAGAAACAAATTTGAAATCCTCATTGCCTCAAAGCATTCTTTAACTCTTATCCAAACACAAAGAGATTTGATCATATTAGCGTTATGGTTACACTTACAGAAGCCATGAAAGCCAAGGCAGAGGTGTACCATGGAGACAAGACATGCAGAGAGAAATTCTGTTCGCTTTTGTCCGAAATCGGTTTACCAAACCGCCTCCTTAGTAACCAGGAGATCGAAGAATGTGGATACGTAAAAGACACGGGTTTCGTGTGGTTAAAGCACAAGAAGAAGAAAGAAGAGAAAAAGAGATACCAAGACTTGTTTAGATTCGATAACGTTGTGGTATATTTCGAAGATGAAGTCACTGCTTATTTCGAGCCAAACAAGATCAAGAAACTCACCGGGGTTAAGGCCAAGGAGTTCCTGGTCTGGATCTCGCTCGGTGAGATTCACGTAAACCGTTCCTCTGGTTTAATTACCTTCAAGACTCACGTCGGTTTATTGTCTAAGTCGCTACCTTTGTCAATTTTCGAAGATGTTCAAGCTGATCATGATGTTAAGGAGAAGCCAAGAAAGGTTCAACAAAAATTCAACAACACCAAAATCTATTTTTACTAAAAAGTAACAGAAGATGTATATGTACAGTATTCATATGCTTTTGTTATTCAAATCGATTTCTCCTTTTAAAGAACATTTTGTACATATAAGAACCGTTTCTATTAAAGGATTTCTACACCGTGAATCAATTTGCACAAGCGGATCCAAGAAAAAGCAACATAAACATATAAAAAGCTTTAATTACAGGGTACTATGGTGCTGCGAAATGCGTGAGCTGAGAACCACAAAGGCAGAGAAGAGCTTCCTTTTACAGAAAACATCTCTTTCCACAACTTGCTTCGTCTCTGATACACCAAAACCTGTTTGTGAGTAGCCAAGAACACATACTCACCGGTCTGACAAATCGGGAAGATTCCAGGTACCAATCCTCTAATACACCTCAAACTTACGCTATCAACAACACTCCAAGTTTCAGTCTCATACTCTCTCATCTCCCAAATCTTCATCCACCCATCTGACAGCTGAATCGCCGACAAAAACCCGTCCGATTCCAAGAGATAAACCCGGTTACCACCATTCCCACCACATCTGATCTCATCAGGCACAGAGATCTTCCTCCACGCATCATGTTCAACATCGAGTGCAAGTATGTAACACAAACCACTCATCAACCAGTGAAGCTTCCCACCGACAAACACCACTTGGTTCTTACTCATGTGCGTGAAGCCACAATCTTCCATCGCCGAAACGAACTTCCTCCACCTGTTGGTCTCAGAGTCAAACACCAAGCAGATGAAACTCCCGTCTGGTCTCTGACCAAAACACCTGTGGTAACCAGCCATAACCACGTGGAACTTCTTCTTGGCTAAGTCACAAGCCAAGCCAACAAGAGTTGCCTCACCGTCTGGATAAAACCGAGTGACGGGTCTCTCTCGGCTCTTAGGCAACTTCCTAAACTCTCTGGTCGATGGGTTACAAACGTAGTAAACGCCCTTTTCAGAAATGCTGGAGCAACAAAGCAAACCGTTACACGAAGCCCTGATTCTCACCCTATCTCTAAGGAAACCCAATGATAACTCAGAGACGCCTTTCAGATTATCTACACAGATCAAGCTAGATTTCGATTCCGATGAATCTGATACCTCGGCAACAAGCATTGTCTCTCTTACAGAGAGTTGATTGTACAAGGTAGTGAAATATTTGTCGGAGGGCAATCTGTGCCAAGCTTTGCAAACGGATTTGAACCTGAACAGCGATTTCACAGGTAATCTAGCCAGAATCTGAAGAATCACCTCATCGGGAAAGAGAGAAACTTTCCGGTTATCCATTACCCGATTCGGCGAAATTACCGAGGAGGAGAGGGATCTACGATGGTAAAGAACTAAAATTTCTCGTCTTACCGCATCCGATAAGCCCTAGACTTGAAAGAGATCCTGTGTTTCGATTGCCCATCAATGGAATCAGGATCAAAGGAGTACGATCGGATTCATATTCTCTTTGTGACAAAGACGAATTAGGAAAACGAAAGACAAAACAATTTGAGAGAGAGCTGAGGAAAGAAATAGCGAAAATGAAGAAAACAAATAAACCGAATCGCGCGAGCGTTGAACAACTAACTATGATGGAGAAGAAGCGCGTGTTTCTGACTAGCCAATAAACAAAGACCAGATGCATCTTATCGCTTTATTCATTTTAGGCCCAAGGTCCATATATTTTGTCAACAAAAAAAAAATGAAATCAAGCTTTTTTTTATTTTGTTCATGATTCTCAAAATTTTAATGGTGATAAGTTCTTTTAAGTCCCCTCCGTGTTATATTTTAATTGTAAGTAATGAGAACAAGTTAAACTGTACTATATGAGAAAACCATATTCAAATTTTGGTAGGCGTTAATCCATCATTTGGAGATATTTAGTGCTTAATCGATAATAAATTGGTGATTAATTGTATATTTGTTTTATTTTGTAAGATATTATTATATCAATAAGTCTAAAGCATGAAGGAGGGCTAACCTCATAGTAAACTTTTTGATATGTAGGTACTATAAACAAAATGTCTAGTAGTCTACGTATATATACATTTACATACATGGTATAGTATAAAAATATAAAGTCACAATTCATGCATAGTATATGTATGTATGTAGTGGAGATGAATTATTAAAGGGAGAGGAAAGAGTAATAGAGGAGACGGATTTGTCGTAACTCGGTAGCTTTGTCTCAATGATTTGTGTCTTTGGTCACATCAGTTTCCCTATCTTCCTCAGGCAACTTAAGTTGCTTCTTTACTTCTTCAATTGTTTCTCCCTTTTCCCAATTTTATTTTCCATTTAATTTCTCGTTTTGCTTTCTTGTTCTCTCTGTTTCATTTTCACTTATTGATCATATATATGATTTTTCACCCTTCTTTATCTTATTTTTCCCATATCTTTCTCGCTAGCTTACACCTTACTTAATTCGCGTGTACCAAAGCATTACGACAATACACGTGACTTTCAGTTAATCCGATAGTTGTCGATGGTTTCTCCCTTATCAAATTTGATGGTTGGCACATATATAAAAGTATAGTTTGTTGGTATCAAATTGAGTTGCCATAACCTCCGATCTTTATTAAAATGAGGATGCATTATGATTTATGACATATACAAATGCACTTCAGATGGAATTATGGAACATTATGCCATAAACCTAGTGACCAAAATGGTGAAAGGATTGTCTAGAGCCATATACAATAACTTGGAGTTGAATATATAAGTTTGTGACTTTATTATCTTAATATGATGAATATTAAGGAAATTGGGATCTTAAGAAGAAATGAATTATTAAATGAATATTAAAAACGACACACGATTTTAATTAATCATATATGATTATAGGTGTAAGTTTTGTCAGTAGAGATTTCATGTCAAATGTGTGAACAAAAATATATGAGAAAATAAAATATAATTTTTTTTTTTTTACAGACAAAACAGAAATTATACATATATATATAGCTACGCCCGTGCGTGTAGTGAACAAATATGTATAAACTCATGCAAGACATTCTCTATATTTCTCTCAGGCTATGGATGAGTTCGAAATCGTTTCATGGATTGAAGTTTCACCAAAGCGTCATGATCAAGGTATACACACACACACACATACGAATAGTTAATCATGTATATAACTTATGTAGTTCATAATTTTCTATTGGCTTAGGAAAAAAAGGCTATTTCAAAAAGAAGAAGATGATGATGACTTGTTCCTCTTCATGATCAAATCAATGACGCTATCTTACCCTGAGCTTCTTCTTCTTGTAATTAGTAAACCCTCTCTGCTTTTTCTTGACCTTGTAAGACCTTTTCTATACCCTTCTATGTCTTCTTGCTATCTCCATTTTCTAGATGTCTCGATTCTATCCAGTTTCTACATTATTAGTTTTTCTATGCTAAGTTGATCAAGATTTTGTTGTATACTCGTAGTGTTCGTATTCCCTCTCCTTTATATGTCCCTCTTGAGCTACCTAAATTCCTCACTGATCTCTCTTACTATGTATTGCTTTAATTAAGAGATCCTATATATGTTTGTAAACACATCCCAGTGATATATTAACTCTATTTAATCACCAAGTTACTACATGCATCACCTCTTGATCGACGTTATGCATCGATTCTCACTAAATACACGATTGTTAATTAACTAGTAATTAACTTCTATTTTTCTCCAGTACTAGATAATTAGTCCATCCCTTAGTATGATTTATATATGGAGTAATAAATTAAAACGTGATTATAACAAACGTTGATACATCGCCAAGATGCCATATTCAATATGTGAACTGAATCCCCCTAATGGGTGTCTGTCTAATCACGATGAATTAATAATAAGAGACGATGGCAAGAAGTCAAGAACCGACGTTGCGGAAATGGCGGGTCTTGGACTGTTGGACACATGCTAATGAAACATGTGGGGCTCGTTTAATTGATCCCAAATTTATAAAAACAAAAAACAAAATACTGATTAGTGGTGATGAAACCATCAAAATCAACTTTTTACCTTTAAAATTCGAAGTTATATAATTTTAGGGTGAGCTATACGATTTATACGACTTGGTCTTGACTCTTTTTTTTTTGGGGGGGGGGGGGGTTCGATTTTATTGGTTTAACCATATGTTGTAATTCAGTACAAAGAATTTGCTAAAACAAATTAACGGTATGTTTAAAAAAAAAAAAAATTAACGGTAAAGAAATTTTTTCAATTTCTGTATAATCAAAAGACCCTAAACTAATTTATAATAATTGTCATATATAGCTTTTTTTTTATTGTCAACCGGATATATATTTTTCAGTTAACTTAAAACATCTACAAAAATCAATTGAAATTGCATTAAAAAACTTAAACTCAGATCTCTCAACAACTCGACGGTGTATTATCATTTACTCAAGAATAATCACATGATTACGAATGGCGATATAATGTTTTTAGCAGTAGATAACTAATAATTATATACTTAAGAAAAGAATTGCAGATAGGAAGACGACAACGTTCGAATGACGTGTTACAGTGTGAGGAAGGTATCATCTGGATAATGGTGGGATCGTCCGTACAATAATGGGGTTCAATTAAAAATTAAGATTTGCACGCGTTGAGGGTGGAAAATATCATCAGTAAGCATATATTTTCATAACTAAAAGTCTAAAACTGATAATTTTTGTTTATTACATTCCCTCAAGAATAATAATCCCCCCTTAATGGCCACCTTAAAACTCAGATATTAACCAGTGATACGTTGCCACGTGGAGATATAATAATAATAATAATCAAAAGCAATTTTTGGATTTGTCTACTTTTGAACCTAAAGCCTTTCACACACTTCGGTCCCCTTTTTCCCATATACAGGTCCCATAGACATGCTTCCTAAAAGCATCATGAATCCATTTTTGATTATCAATTTTTACTCATTTCATCATGCCAAAGTCATTATAATATATACTTTTGTTTGCTTGTGTGACATATACTGGGTTAATTAAGTAGTATGGAACATGGTGGAACCAGTAATGCTTTCTTTGGCAAAAAAATATATACTCTTAAATAAATTGTGTGTTTCCATGAAGGAACTCACTAAATACTTTTAGTTTCAAAACATCTTTTAAATCAATTCACAAACGACAAAAAGGAGATATTCAGTTCTTAATTTGATTATCAACATAAATATACTATCAAAATCCCAAAGGACACACAAACCAATCAAATTTACTCCAAAAATAACAATTTCCTAATCGCCCCCAATATATATCTAAAGCTGCTATAATATTTTAACAAACCCTACTTTTTCAAACAGAAGCTTTTCTTTTTCCTTTAACACAAATTCCTTTCACACACACTAATTAATCCACTTTACCATTCATTTTCATCTTTTCTTTTATAAATAATTTATTATCTATTCAGAAGCTTCCATAGCTGAGGAGCTGCTGCTGTTGTTGTTGCTCTAAGAGCCAAAAGTCTTCATCACTTCCAGTGTTCCAAAAACTGTCCGAATAAGAAGGTACCGAACCATTAATATTTTCAAACCAATTAAGATAACTCTGCTCCTGCATCGCCGTTAAATCTCCATTTAATAATAATCCATTGTTATCATTATCCAAATAATTCTGCGATGATGACACTTGTGGACCCACCAAATTCTGATCCGGATTATAACAGTTCTCAATCTTTCCCACTTCACTCCCCACATGATACTCCGTCAAATCGGACGCCGGAGATACTGCCACCACGCTCGAATTTTCCGGCGTGACGTAACCACTAGGAATGTTCACTAAACCCAAATGGTCCATGGCCATGCTGGTGGTGTTGTTGACTCCTTGATCATATGACGTCATCGCGAACTGATCTGAGGGAGTGGTCACGCAAGATGACGGCGCAACGGATCCGGTGGAGGGTGAAGCGGAGGCGGCTTGGATGCGCTCAACGAGCCGAGGCATCCAAAGATACCTCATGGTGTCTTTAAATTGTTTACTGTTCACGTCGCATCTAAGCTGCTTTGCATGCTTTTGAACACGTGTTCTCCAATAGTTTTTGATCTCGTTATCTGTTCTTCCCGGTAAATATTGTGCAATCTTAGACCATCTGAAAATCACAGGTAAACAAAAAATTGTATTAGTGAATAAAGTTGTGCTCAAATTATTGTCGATGCAAAATATGATTAATCATCTTTGGTGCTCAAATTATAGTAAGTAGAAAGTATTTGTGAACTTCTAGTAAATAGAAGTTAAAATGTCTCCATGACCAAAATATCAAATTCTAGTAATTAAAAAAGTAAGTGTGTTGATTTAAAATTTAATAGTACCTATTGCCCCAACGGAAGTGAAGTTCGAGAATCAAGAGTTGTTCTTCGAGGGTTATGTTTCCACGGCGGACATCTGGCCGGAGATAGTTCAGCCACCGTAGTCTGCAGCTTTTTCCGGTCCGTTTGAGTCCTGTTCAGAATCGGAAGAGACTATTATTTTAGACATCATTATGTACACGTATACTGTATGATGATTTCATACGCAAGAAACTCATCATAGTGTTCATATATGATAAAGTTATCAAATATACTCTATAAACTATATGGACCGCTCCTATGAGGCATATTGTCTAAAAGGGTCTTTTTCTCCAGCAAACTTTCGTCCATTGCGTTAGTGCTCTCCCCATATAGATGATGATCATTTATTAGCATCAGTTGTTTTCTTTTTATTTCTACACGAATACATATAGTTACTTTCTAGAGGGGTTAAATAATTGAATCCATGTTCGAAAAATATAATAATTGAGTCCATATAACGAAAAAGATTTCATTGGAATCATATATATTGATTCAAATGAAATTACCTTTTTATCAGTTCAGAAAAAGATGAGAAAAAGAAACATGAAAGGTTCACACTTTTTGGTTTATCAACATGAAGGGTTCTTTTCATTTGTGCATACAAGGCAAAACCCATTTTCTTGAAATTTCAAAAGAAAATAAAGTCGATTGACAAAAACTGGAGTAGAGAATTGAATCAAAAACAAAAACACACATGGAGCACATTCATACACACGAACACATAGATTAACCTGAGTGTGTATACATGTAATTAGTAAATGGTAGTTTAACATACCGGCGCAACGAGCGAGAGAGTTCCATCGGCCTTCACCATGAGTAGAAATGTAACTCATGAGCTTGAAATCTTCGTCGACGGTCCATGGACCTCTCCTTAGGTCCATATCATCGTCGACGTTCTCGAAATCTCCCATGTTCTTGTTAATCCGTAAGCTTCTTCTATCGCCCATACTAAAACAGAGAAACCCACAAAGAGAGATTCAAAAGAAAAAAAAAGGATCAAGACTTTTGTACTTTTGTGTTGTGTTAAATGAGAGAAAAACACTTTTTGTTGGAGTTATGTGTAGAGAGAGAGTGGATGTTGTTTGTATCCACAGGGAAAGATGGAGAAGTTGAAGGTTTTATAGATTTTTTTTTTAAAAGTTACTTATTAAATTTATTTGCAACATGTGGGAAGAAGGCATAAACGGCCGCAATATTAGAACTTTTCTATTTAATAACGTATATTTTATAATAGCAAAAAAAATCTGTGGTTTTAATCATCACCGAGCCCTACATGGGACACCATAAACCCCATTACAAGATAAAACAAGTAATATCTGTAAGTGAGTAAAAAAACTGAAACCGAAGCCGGTTAAGAAAAGCTTTCATATCTGGAGCTTTTAGCAAATTATATACATATGACATCAAGCCACAGACGAATACATCCCGGCAAAACCGAAGACGCCGGCAAAAAGTGGGCTACATGTCACACTCAATGTGTTGGCCAACTTGTGTTTTACAAGAGTGCATCGAATCACTCAGCCCGGAATATTTATCGTCCTGAACCGCGTTGTTGGGAAACTCGTCCCACCCTTTAGGGTTACATTGTTAGGTTTAGCAACTAATTTACGCGTAGAGTTACAGTCTAGATCAACCTATGTGTGACATTAAATTATTTCTCCTTGTTTTAGTTTTCTGTTAATTTTCTTCTCTATGTTTTTGGTTGCTATTAGGTTGCACACATGCATATATAGAGTATGAATTTCAAACGTTGAGGGTAAGTAGCATTTGATCATTGTCACTTAGAATATACATCAGAAATAAGATGAGACTTTAAAACAATGTAAATGAGAAAATATTAACCTATTAACTAATTATTTTTTTAGTTTGTCTTGATTGGAGGAAACCATACATTATAGTCCAAATTAATTAAGTGGAAAAAATTACTACCAACTCCAAGGAGGGTGACTCGAAAATATATTTTATGCATGATGTTGATCCTTAGATTTCCTCTCACTGAACTCTTAACTAAGATCATAAGTCGTCGTACATTATTAATGAAAATAAACTATGTAATAATGTAAATAGTGATCAAATATCTAATTTGACTCTCTCTATTAATTTTTTTTCCACCAAACGCGTTATCCCAAATTCCCAATGAACAAAACGAAAGAATTGCCGCAAAGTGAACATTAGTTAAAGGATTCTGGTAGGAATTAATTAATGTTATAAGGGTTAAATAGTGTACTTAGCTAGCACTTACTTCAGCACTATAGCTTTAAAAATTGACGTTTCACGTTTGGCTTTTCTTAGGTGTAATTCTGCTTCTTGATTTCTATTTACTCTGTTTATTATTTTTAATTAATAAGTTTTTTGTATTTTAATTCAAATTTTGAAGATAGTTCCACTTTTAGTTCTACTACTTTAATATATTTTTAAAAAATTATATAAATAAATATTATAATAAAACCACATTTTATATGTTTGGAAAATAGTAAAAAAAAAAGTGTGTAACTTTTATTCTATATTGTTATTGTTTTACGTATTTATTTCCAATTTCATACAAATTACCAGTAATATACATATACTTCATCCGTTTTTAATTATATGATGTTTTAGAGATGTGTACGGAGATTAAGAAATCATTTAATTTTTTATTTTTTCAAAACAAAACATATTTTTTTGTCAATTCCAAAACAGTTCAACCAATAAAAAAATAAGATTCAAAATTAAAATAGTTAAAACAACAAAAGCACAATTACTTTTTGCATAGAAACTTAAGAATATCTTATATTTTGGAACAAAAAATAAATTCTAAAACATCATCTAATAAAAAATAGAGGAAGTATTGTTTCGTTTTCTTTTCATTTAATGTTTTGCAATTCTCCACTCTTCTCTCTTCCACATAAACCCAAATTCATTTATCCAGCATTTGCCAATGATAATGATACTGAAAAAAAAAAACATGTACTAATATGATCGGTGTGGTTTTTTTGTGTGCAACCAACTTATATTAAGTGGGTTTTTTTGGAAGGCATCAGCCACTCCATTTTGGTTCCGATAAACATAATACTACAACAAAATGAAAAGATACATAAGCAAATATGAGAAGAGATAATGGAGATGTCCGAAAGGATTCTATGAATTTCAGAGACAATGTTAACGTTAAGTAATATTTTTGAAGTTAATCACATACGAGAGATTCTTTCGTGATTGCAGTAACATCTTTGTGTCCCAATTTTTTTAGTGTTACTTATGGACGAAGGATCATAATCACCTAAATTATTATTTAATACTTTGAGATCTTAGCGATTAAATTTTTACAGTTACCAACGATAAATCATGATGACAGAGTTTTGGCCTTTGGATAGATTAGAGGTTAATGTACGTAATTATAAGTCCATAACTATCACATCACTGGTGGTTAACAATTCTATAAAAGTATGAGAGTTAATTTGTCCATAAAATACTACAAAATTAAGAAATCAACACCACAAGTTAATTAACATAAGAAGATGGCTATTTGGTGACGGACATTCACGAAACATGTCTTTCTATCATCTCTAACATTTTTTTCTTTCTTAGAGATATTTCTTCCCTCTCACATTTTTACTTTTTTATTTATATCTTCTCATAAACATTGATTCAATTTTGGCATATTTTCTTTAAAATGTAGCTCTCATTATGCGTACACTAGTCCTAATAAGCGTTTTACATATTTTGCTAGTGTGAATTATACCAAGAAACAATTACATTAGTTAAAGTTTGGACCAATCTCAAAACAGTGGAAGATTGGTCCAAACTTTGTATTAATTTATGATTAAATATATGTATATTATACCGTTTTCTTTGTGCAGTTAAATCTAGAAACTTAACTACACTAAAACGACCCCTAATTCCCGTCAAAAAACGCATGACCCCTACACTCAAGACTGCCTACACTAATATGCTTACCATCTACGTTAATTTTGACAGTAAGTAATAAGAACTCTAAATTTTTATATCATTTCCGTTAATATATATAAAAACTTAAGAGTTCTTATTACCGCTATACTTAATGCCACATATTGTTTTTCACCAAAATATGATGCGATATGTTCGTCCAGAATGTTTTAGAAGACTAGTTTGGTTATGTGAAGACTAAACTAGTACTATAAACTTTAAAGACGTTTCCGAATGTAATTTCTTTAAAATAAATTTATGTTTTTTTTTTTTTTTTACTTTTCGGATAATTGGTGAAAAAACTTATTTTTTTGCAGATCATTATAATCAACACTTTAAGATAGAATTATATAAAAGTTCAGAAAAATAGTTACACTTAATATAAAAAGAAAAATGTGCATTGCTACTTTATGTTAATTCGAGGCCAACCAAGGTATATGGTCTAGCAATTAGACACGTACACACATCCAAAATACATGGCGTCGTTATTGGTCACTTATATATAATTTATATTGATAATATTCTTTTCCCCAGAAGTTTCTAATAGTGATTGACAAACATCACTAATCTAAAATCTTAATTATCAATTCCAATTTTATAATCTAAAGCACGAGGGATAACGCGATAATTAACGCGCATCGTGTATTCTTTTGGGAAGCTTCCAACATCTTTATTTATTCCGAAGAATCGATGCATTTATAAGTTTTCGGGTTAAAATATCATTTGCAAGAAAGGTTCTTTAAATAATACGGTAAAGGTATATCAATAAAAGTCATTTTCAGAACTCAGATCCCTACCACAAGAAGAATGGCATTATTCGAACATTCTCCCATATAATTGTTAGGAGAATTTTTTTATTATATAGTTACAGCCACAAGGCCCACACGTGATGGTTAAGACAATAGTAAAATTTCATAGGAGAAATCGTGAATGATTTCTTCATACATAACATATATGGTTCTTATCAAATAACGTAAACGCTAGGAATTTTTTTTTTTTTTTTTTTGACAGATGATTAATCCTGTTAGAAAAGACTTATAAACCAATGAAACTATCCACTTTTAGTTCGTTCTCAAGAAAGGAAAGAAAAAACTATCCACTTCTAGTATGAGAGTCATTTTCGAAGTACGAAAATATTCTTCTTGAGAATTTTATTTGCAAGGCCAACGCATTGTAAATTCAACTTGAACTGATAAAAATACTTTACCAACTTTGAAATGAACCCATTGTTGTACTTTGACAAGTTAATTATGCACTTTCTACGGCTAACCTTAACTCTCCCTACATTTCTTGTCATACTTAATTACCATGTAGAGATGAACTTCAAGGCTTTGCTTTATGCGAAACAAGTTCGTTTACACAAAATATAGAAAACTAAATATCATCTTTTTCTTCCAAGGATTAAACTCTAATTCCAATTGGTGGGTGAACATCATAATCGGATTATTGAAAAATATCTTCTTTTCAGATAAAAGAATATATCTTATGTGCATGTGGTTTTCATATAAGTTATGTGATTAGGCCAACTGTTGAAACATTAAACAATGTACCAAATTAAGTATTCTTGTGGACATCATTAGTAGGAACATTTGCAAAGAAACCAACTAGAACCAAACACGCTAGATATTTTACATGGTTTATATGTTTACTAAGTAACAATTAATCCATGTTGTGTTTTAAAAAGATTAATGGAATATTATCTACATAGATAATTAAGATGAGGATAAATCATATGATAAAATGTAGATAATGAACTGAATGCATAAAAAATTAGGAAATAATTAGTCTCTTGTTTTTCTTTGTTAACTCAGATTTATTAAAATTATTAAGCCTATCAATCTTGATTTGTGCGTTAAAGTGTCACGCAGTTCTTGTATACATTTATCGAACGACACAGTGTCAGTGTAGGCATTTCTGGTTTCTGGCCGATGGCACTAACGTCACGCTGTTTAGATGGTTAATAAACGGCAGGTAGTTTCAATGCAACATGTAGCAGTTGTTTCGACCGTCCGATCAAAATTGTTCAAGTCCAGATCATCATCATCTCTATTCCTTTGTAATCTCCCTTATCTAACCCCCGACGATAAAACGCAGGAGGAGCCATAGAAGAACATTCAGATAACACTGTGCGAGTGGAGTGTGAGTGAGAGACTCTTCGATTGTAGGAAACAATGGCTTCTTTGGCTCAGCAATTCACGGGGTTGAGATGCTCTCCACTCTCTTCCTCTTCTAGGTTATCGAGGAGAGCGGCGAAGAACTTTCCGCAGAACAAATCCGCCTCCGTCTCTCCGACGATTGTCGCGGCGGTTGCCATGTCTAGCGGCCAGACTAGAGAGCGGCTTGAGCTGAAGAAGATGTTCGAGGACGCTTATGAGCGATGCAGAACTGCTCCCATGGAAGGTGTCGCTTTCACTGTCGACGATTTCGCAGCTGCTATCGAACAATACGACTTCAATTCCGAGATTGGCACTAGGGTTTGTCTCATTCGATTTTGTTCTCCTTTAGAATATTGTGGAATTTTATAAAGTTTCGAAATTTTTGTTGTTGGTCGAGGAACTTGGGTGTATGCATAATCATCCAATTTGATAACGAGAAATGGTTTCTTCTATACTCTGTTGTTCTATACGACAATGTTGTTTGTGTAGAATTTATGTATTATTTGTGGATATGACATTGTTCAGGTAAAAGGAACGGTGTTCAAGACCGACGCAAATGGTGCATTAGTTGACATTTCTGCAAAGTCATCGGCATACTTGTCGGTGGAACAAGCGTGCATTCATAGAATCAAGCATGTGGAAGAAGCCGGTATAGTTCCTGGTATGGTGGAAGAGTTTGTCATCATAGGTGAAAACGAAAGTGACGACAGCTTGCTTTTGAGCTTAAGGATGATCCAATACGAACTTGCTTGGGAAAGATGCAGGCAGCTTCAGGCTGAGGATGTCATCGTCAAGGCTAAGGTACGTTTTAGAACTTTTGTTTGCTAATCTTGTGGTCTCTCTGGTTACAATCTCAGAAAGTGGATTATATCATTATGTGAAGGTTATTGGTGCTAACAAAGGTGGATTGGTGGCATTAGTGGAGGGTCTTCGTGGATTTGTGCCATTTTCGCAAATATCTTCGGTTAGTATTTGTCTCAGAACTATTTAAGATTTATAAGCATGATGAACATTTGTTAGCCGGAATCTTGGTTGCTTTAAAAAGATGAAAACACAACCTGATTAATGATGTGTTTTTTTCTACGTCTTTTTTTGGTCAGAAAGCAGCAGCTGAAGAGCTTCTTGATAAAGAAATACCTCTCAAGTTTGTGGAGGTTGATGAGGAACAAACAAAGCTTGTTCTCAGCAACCGTAAAGCTGTAGCAGACAGCCAGGCTCAGCTTGGAATTGGATCTGTGGTCCTCGGAGTTGTTCAGAGTTTGAAACCCTATGGTGCCTTCATCGACATTGGCGGAATCAATGGGCTTCTTCATGTCAGTCAGATCAGTCATGACCGTGTCTCAGATATCGCAACTGTTCTTCAGCCCGGTGACACTCTCAAGGTCTACCACGGATATTCTTAAAGAAGATTTTTTTGTTTCGGATTGTTAGAGCAATAGTACCTAACTTGTAACGTTACAGGTTATGATACTGAGCCATGACCGTGACAGAGGAAGAGTAAGTCTTTCCACCAAGAAGCTGGAGCCAACACCTGGTGATATGATTCGCAACCCAAAACTTGTTTTCGAGAAGGTAACACTATTTCCACTGACATACTCTCTCGATTCCCTCATTTGTCTCAATTCTGTTTTCTAACTTTCTGCTGTCTCAAGGCTGAGGAGATGGCTCAGACGTTCAGACAGAGAATCGCCCAAGCAGAAGCTATGGCTCGTGCAGACATGCTTCGCTTCCAACCTGAGGTATGATTATTCACTTGCTTGATCTCGTTCATCCATTTTACACCATGTTTTATCCGATGCACTTAAGCTCCAACAAACTAGTGTATATAGTAATCAACTTGGACTTTACAGCCAACAATTTTAGCTCCTAACCACCACAAATGAGTTCTTGGAAAGTTCTTTTCTTGGGGCTTGGTTTGTTCACCAAATTGGATTGTGTTCGATAAGCAGAGAAGCTTTGGTTTTGCTGGAGGATAATAATGAGTTAATGTTGGTGTATGTTTGAGCAGAGTGGACTGACGCTGAGTTCTGAAGGGATACTAGGACCACTCGGTTCCGAGTTACCAGATGATGGCGTAGATCTCACCGTTGAGGACATTCCTCCCGCCGTTGATCTTTAGATTCAAAAGCTTTTTTACGTATCCATAGACAAAAACACATCATTGAGCTTAATGTAATATTTTATAACTCTGTATTTTTCTTAATTGATAAATGTATTGCAATGTCCAAAGTTCATCAGAACGCTTTGCACGATCCCAACCGTCCCCGAACCTACTACAATTCACAACCTGGCCTAAGATGGATTTTTTTCAATTCGGTTTAATGTGACTATGTTTGAATTTTGAGCCACAGTGTGTATTATTTATGTTCATAAAATCTAAGTTTCACAAAAATAATAGAAGAAAAAGCATAAAAATTACCTTTCGTCACCAAACCGTCACTAATAGTACAGTAACAACAAAACTTAGATTGATAATGTCGTTACTATGATTTCTTTTTATGAGTGTGTGGAGATGAAAACCGAATCAATCGAGCAAACCGGAACTCGGTTTAGGCTCAGCAAAGAATGTCATAAAAATCCCTTAGGAAACTGCTACAAGGTTCTGTAAGATCACATCTCTACATACCAGAAAACAAGAATACTTACAGCAGCAGCAGCAGCAGCAGAAGAACGTTAAAAGAGCTTAGATTCAGGCATCATCGTGTCTCCTCTTGGACTGAAGAGCCAAACGAGCGTCTCTCTCTTTCTCAAACTGTCTGTAATCAGCTCTTTCCAAGAAGGAAACTTTGTCGAGATACTTGTCGGAGCTCTTCTTGTACTTATCCAGCTCGTCCTCAACACCTTTGTTTTCCTCCTTGTACTCTCCCCAATCTTTCTTCGTCTTGTCCAAAACGCTCAGCTTCTGTTTCTTCTTTATCTGCTCAAGAACCGCGTCAACCGCTGAAGGCGTCGCCGCCGAGGAAGAGGAGGAGGAGGCTTCCTTCGAATCCGCTTCCACTAACCTCTTCACTTCGATTTCTTGACCAGCAAAGTCTTTGACCTCGGTTATCTCCAATTACAGATTAAAAAAACAGTGTACAGTCGAATCAGAATTGAAATTAAGGTAGAGATTCTACTCCTACACAGTTGAATATATTGTTAACTTGAGACAGAGATTTTAGTCCTAAGACAATCCTTCTTCTTCCTAGTTCCAAACAGGTGAGAGAGCTTAAACTTCTAACTACATCGGAGCCAAACACACAAAACCAAACAAAAAGTTAAGCTTTTACTGACCTCAATCTTTCCCCGGCTCGATGCAGCTGCAGCGGTTGCGGTTGCGTTTCTGACAGCAGCCAAAGCGGCTGCAGCTATTTTCTTAGCCTCCTCGCTGCATGTATTATTATTATCCGAGATGATATCTTCCTTTTGAACAATTTTGTGATCCTTCTTCTTCGCATCCACACCAAGATAACTTTTCCAGTTCTGCGAATCGAGAAAAAAAACTCACAAATTCAATATCCTAGAAGACAAAGATAACAAGAAAAAAAGTACAAAACGCAGAGAGAGATATAATCTCACGTTATTAGCTGATTTTTGAGCGGACAGAGCGGTTGGGCTCTTTGAGTTAAAATTATATCGTCTCTTTGGCACTCCTTCGTTCATTCGCTCCCAGATCTCCGCAACTTTCTTAGAAACGCTGCTCGAACCACTCTTCTCAGGCGACTTATTCTCCGATTGCTCGTGCGAACCCATGCTTAGATTCAATATTTAGCCTATGTTAAAATTGAATAAATTTTTTTCTACTTATATCACACAAGAGACTGAAGATTACCGCATAGTGGAGGAGAGACGGAAACAGCTTACCTGGAGAACTGCCAACAAAAACCCTAATTGATGAAACTCTCTGAAACAGTGAACGGCGTCGTTAAGCTCTACAACGAGAGGAGAAGACGATGGTGAGTGTTGAGGAAACCTTTTCTTATATTTATCAATTAAACCACTATACTTTTAGAAAAATACAAAAAGCACCCCAAAACTTTTAGATATGTTATAAACACTCCGCTAATTAGTCAAAATTAGCTTCGACAAGATCCAAGGCTATAGTGAAATCAGATTTTGTTGACACAAATTATTTCAGTCATACTATATACAAGATTCGAAGCCATGTCGTTTTTGATTTGTGACAGTTTATTAAAAATGTCGGTTCTGCAGATAAAACAACTTTCCCAAGTATATAAAACTTAGCTCTATACACTGTTTAGTTAGTTAAGTTATTGAACATAACCATCGGTTCATAATAATCTCTTATAGTATCCATCTTCATAAAAGCTGTTCAATTATCACAGACATGTAAACAACAAAAGCAACCCTTTTTAAGTCAAATTCCATAAAACAACAACAGTCGTTACAAGGTAAGGTGTACCAAAAATGTGATCATATTCTAATAAACGTGATTCAGTTCCTTCTTTGTTTTGTGTTCTTGGAACCCTTTCCCTTTTTCTTCCATTTCTTATTCTCAAAGTCTCTGTTCTTCTCTTCAATCTCCCTGACTTTACGCTTCCTGTAAATAAACACAACCAAACACAATCACTAAGCAAACATTCCACATATGTCTTATAACCACAACATCTCTCAATTCTCAAGAATACAATTATCTTTTTTGCATTCCTGATCACAGATACTAAACAAACAATATCCCCAACAGGACATTTACAAGCGCACACCATGCACCTTCTCCAATCAACACGACGGGTCCAATTGCATAATCAAAGCTAGGTTTAGATGGATTTAACTCGATGTATCACAAACTAAAGTCCTTTCAATCAACTAATCTCAAGAAGACATGCAAATCTTTCATTCTTATGATACAGAATATTAGCATTCTTATACACTCTCTCTTAATAGACAATGGAAGTAACTTTACCTGTACTGAGTAATTTTGGGATCTGACACCAACTCATCAGCAAGAGTTGCTTTTCTATTCTTCTTCGTCACTCTACCATAGAACTCTTCAGCTGGTTCAATGACTGTGCCAATCTGGTTTTTGACACAAAGAAAACCAGATAAGAGTTGGTGTAAGACAGAAGGACGAGACAAAATTACTAGTCTGCAGCTCAGGAAACTTGCCTGGAAATATTTTTCACCTAGTTTGGACCCGGACACAACTCTCTTGTAGTGTTGGGAAGGATCCATTACATTTCTCAACTGAATAAAAAAGAGATTAAATTGGAATGGAGTTAGGAATTTGAAACCAAAAGCAAAGAACAGCAAACAACAACAACAAACAAACAAAAACGAAAAAACCCATTACCTTAAGCAACTGAAGATCCCTTTTCAACTCTGGAGTCATTGTCTGAGCGGGCATATCAAACCTATCAAATACAAATTGCAAGAGAAATGTGAATCTCGCTTTGATAATTCATATCAAACAAAAAAACGGGTACATAAATAAGTAGAGTGGTGGAAAGCAAGGTTACCATTTTGATCCAGCGGTGTCTTTGAGTTGCTTTCTAACCATCTTGTTAATCTTCCTTGGATCAGTAGGAGGAAGACAAAGTCCATCAACAAGCTCCGAATTAGAGCTCCAGAGAGAACTGCTTTCTTTTCTCTCAACTACTTTGCTTAAACTCGAACCAGTTTTCGAATCTAAAGATAACCCTGGAAGCTTCGGTTCCCATTTAAGACCGATCAATGGTTTACTCTCCGCCATTAATCTCTGTGACAAGGTTATTGTAAACAAAATATCAGAAAATTTGAAACATGTAAAAAAACAAAACAAACGCTGATAAGTACAATAAGACAACTCAAGAGTATTTTGAGAGAACGTACCAGAGTCTAAACAAGAGAAGAAGTCTCCTAGGGATGTAGAGCTTTGCGATCCTGAATTTAGATTCAAGGGTAGAAGAACCTAAATCCCAACACTAGAAAAACAGAACATCTTATGTTACATTTGACCAACAATTAAGAATCCTTTACATTTAAAACAAGAAAGCATGCGGCGACAAAACCCAGTGAGATAACAAATTTAAGAGCAAAAACCTAAGAAACTGAATATCGAGACCAAAAACCCCAGAGCTCTAGGGTTTGCCAAAGCAACAAATTCACTATTATAACCTTCACAGATATAAACCTTAATCATCAGCTAAAAACTATGATGCATCGGGGCTATATTCGCGTGAGGTATTAACAAAATAAAGGCAAAATTCCAGAAAATTTATAAATCAAAGATGTGAAAAAAATTACACATCCAAAAGATTTCTCAGGAGAAAAAAATTACAAAATATAGGAATCAATCTTTCAATACAAAAACAAATTTTAGAGGTAAGTACAACGGCGAAGAAACGAAGAAAGGAGACGAAGACGAGCTTTCAGTTACCTACGGAGAAGCAAAGCAAGTGCGGCAACGGGAGAGACGAATAGCAACGGCGGTCATGCTGAGAAACCCCAAGCTTAAACCGAATTTAGCACAAAATTCTCTATTCTTCGTGGCCCAATAGTGCCACAAATGGGCTGTAATGGGCCGTAAATATGGGCAGTTCCACAAAATTTCCCAATTCTTCTTGGCCCAATAGGGCCCATAGTTACAGCCGATGCCAAAAATAGAATTGCCCTTATTTGTAACCATGCATCATGATAGCCTAGCCATGGAATTGGAAAGTTGGAAACTACCCATTGAAGACCAAAAAATTAACCTGAAAATAGCTATTGCGTTTCTCTCTTTGCCTCTGATTTTGTATTCAACTTAATTAGGCTTCACATGACCAAGTTTCATGCTGTCTTGGACAAACTTTCATTAAGATAACGATAGCACAAATATTCAGAGGCTTTTAACTACTTGTGCTTTTCTTCAAATATTCCTTAAATGATCCATATCCAAAGACAAACACTTGGATACATTGAGCATATCTTGATATCCAGAAACTAAAAGAACCATTTAATAAGATGAGAAACTTAGGGAGCACGTACAAAGTTACGATCTGAATATATGATCTGATTCGGTTTTCGGTTAAGAGAATAAACAAAAGTTACTTAAGACATTATAAACTGCCACACAAAGCAAGAAACCAGTAAGCGTGTAATCACTCAATCGGTCTTTTTAGCAGAAGCTCTCGTCTTGGCGCAGTAGTCGAACAAACTCCCATCGAAGCATCTCCTGACAGCTTCTTTCGATAAGTAACCATTCTCGTCTTTAGCCAGTAAGTACAGTACTCCCCACTCCATTTTACTCGCTGCCCTGTTTCCATCAATTCCCACACCATTAACAAAGAGAGAGAGAAAGAGTGAGAGAGAGGCCATTAGAGAGAGATGGGACAGACCAGCCAAAGAAGTCGAATGCGTTGCGGTTCGCCTCAGTCATTTGCCACAGCTCGTAACGGGATAGCTTATCAGGTACTGTACGTGCGTACTTGCTAAACATGTTCTCCAGATTCGCCGGAATGTACCTGAAAGTTTCAAAATTTTATAGCCTCGCAGCTTCCAAAGAAAGTATTATGGAAGGGTTTATTGAGAGACGAACCTTCCTTCTGTGTCGTAAGTAGAGGTGTCGCTTCCATGTTTGGCTCTGTGGATGTTTTTGATGTGAATCGGGAAGGTAAAAGAAGGCATCCAAGTCTGTGGTTCATGATCAAAGAAAGAAAAAAAAACAGAGAAGTCATGCTAATTAAAGAACCAGAAGAGATAAAGATACTACTACTATATTCTACATCATAATTGAGATCTGTTATGAGAAACTTACAGGCAGTGTGGCGTAACTCATTGTAAGATGCACGAGGATTGTTAGAAAGAAACTAGAGATCACGTTGAAACCAAGTGCTCTAAATCCTGCACCACAGAGTAAAGTGTGTTTATTTTATTACATATGTATTCTTCCTTTTAATTGTTCTAAAGATTTTAAAGATTACCTCTGAATGTCTCGGATGGGTAGATGATACCATCACCGTCCTGGTCAAAGAAAGCTACGTGCTGCTGAAGAACAGACATGTCCTGGTGCTTGTGTCCCCTTGTCCCATTAACGTTTTCCATGTCAGGTGCAACCATCGCTCGTGGCACATCTGTTTTCAACCCATTCAGTGATGATACAAAACCCATTTTGGGAAACTATAGAACCGATTTTCTGCTTAATCTTGGATTCCACATTTATATATGGAAGTGGTCCATTTAACAAAGGTAATCCAATTTGGAAAAAATTGAAGACTTTCGATTCGTCTGCCGAATCAGTTTCCTCTACCAAATAACCGTATCGCGGAAGAAGAAACGAAAACTGATCCCAAGAGTCCAAAAATGCACAAAATGGATTCTAATTTTGGAAACCCTAATACGCGAATCGTGCAGAACAGAGGAGAACGTATATACGGAAATGGAAAGAAAAGAAAAACAAGAAATATAGAAAATGTACGAACATGGCTTGGGGAGACGATCGTCGAGATCAGTCCGGACCTTCCTCTCCGCCGTCACCGGAGCTTTCGCAGCCACCGTTGCAATCGACTCTGATCCTGCATCTGTCGCCATCGCTCTTTGTCTTTCTCTTTCTCTCTTTCGTTGTGTATTGTGGAGAGAATGTGGAGAGGCTTTGTTTTTTTATAAAGAGATCTGAGAGAGAGTGCAGTGCAACTGATTCCAAAGAACTCGCGGGAGTTGATTCCAAAGACCTCTTCTGTTGACACGTGTCCGGATTTCCACGTGTTTCTATGACTAAGCATTTTGTTTGCTTCTTCTAATAAAGAATCCATCCCTTAATATTATTATCAAACCAGAAATCAAAAATATATTTTTCTTTAGTCATCAGACTGTCACGAAAAAAATTTGGTTGCCAATGTAAAAAGATTAGCACCACGTATAACAGTTTGTTTACAACCTAGAATAAAATCTGTATCATTTTAACAAAAATCGTTACAAATGATTAACATTTTACAATGCTGCTAGGGTTAATTTCATTCTTCTCTCCATTGCATTGACCTATGACTGTTTTTGTAATTTCAACAAAAATGAGCTTTCTAAAATATTCATTTGACCAGTCACACAGGAAATAAGTAAAAAATAGGGAGAAAGCTAAAAAAGTAACCAATTGAATGGGCCCCTCCTTTGTTCTTTGCAGCCACCTTGCAGCCACCAAGGACCCACAGAAATCTCAGCCGTCGATAGACAAGACGACACGAGTGTCATCAGCTACACGAGTAAGAATCCAACGGCCAGGAGAAAACTAAAAAAAGCTGGGGAGAACAGAGACGTAGATACGTCGTCTCTTATGATCATCGTCTCTCATGGTTTGGGGGGAAAAAGAGAGGTTTTTGGTGAAACCGAGAAGACCCAAAAGGCCTTCTTCTAATCAATCATTCATCACTCATCATCAGGGCCCCCTTTGTTCTTTGATTCCGTGCCGCCGTTGCTGTGTTCGAGTAAGATTCTCTTCGCTTTTTCCGCGATTCCACTTACTGTTGATAATCTCTCTCTCGTATTCGATCTGTTTTTCTCAATCTTATTCTGGGATTTAGCCTAAACGTCGAATTATGGAAGGGAATGGGTCGATTTGTGTGTTGGTGACTTTCCTGTGGATTAGCTGATTATTGGGTTTACTTTGCTTTGAAGACTAATTGTTTGTCTAATCTCTCAGTCACTTACTTTCTCTGTAATTTGATTTCAAGCGATGACAAAGTTATTGGTTGTTGGTTTTGATGGTATCAGAAGGTTTGAATTTTCATGGAGCCATGTTGACTTTTTGTGATGATCTAAAGAAGAGACGGTCTATGTTTAAAAACCACAGCTAGGCTTTGGAATCCTAGAATCGTCTTTTAGTGAGTTTGATTCTTATAGTTTCTCAACAGTAGTTGAAAGATTCTCCTTATCGTCTTCTTTGAGTTTTTCAATGCTAGTAGTAGTGGTGGCTCCTCCTTACACGTCTTTATGGCTCATCAAAAGCCAATATTACCTTTTGCGGAAGTGGGCGTAAAATTTCATTCCCTAAGCACTGATTCCATATCTTATGTGAATTGGCCTTTCACTATCCACATGTGATTTCACTATCATCATCTCCATGATCATTTCTCTTGGTTCATAGGTTTCTGGATAATCTCACACTACAAATTTCTTCTCTTTTTTCTTTCAATCTCTCTTGTTTTCTTATGTGGTCTTTGTCGATGATTGAAGGAGAGTTCTCAGAAAATAGGGTACCAACAAGGGACAGAAAAGAGAGGCCATATCAAATGAAAAAGTTAGGAAATGTTAGGAATATTCCGGAGAGATTGTTTTTGACTGGGGATAGAAACAGAATCAGAATTATATCAAAGGGAATTTATTCAATGGTTCATGTACTCTGCTTAAAGTTATATTCTGTATATTAAGTAATGTGAGTCTCTTAATTCATGCATCAAAATTACTTTCTGCTTTCTGAATTAGGATACTGTGTGGGGGTGTTGTGCAAAACTGCTCTTGTTCTATGACTATGGCTAATGATCTCGGATATTCAACCGCTATGTCTTCATCTTTTTCAGCTCTTCATACAACTGTAGAAGAGAGATACAGCAAGGATCCTACTAACTCTTTTTGGGTTTCGTCGGCTCAGGGACCGATGAATAACCCCCTGCCTTATCAGGTGGTCTCTGGTGGCTATATGTTTTCGTCTCCCTCTAGATTCTGCAATGTTTCAGCTGTCTCAACTCATGGAAGGAATTCTCAAACCCAGCCACCAGTTTTCACCATGCCAAACGACATATTGGCTATGCAAAATTGTCCTTTGGAAGCACAATCCCAGCCAGTGATTGATCATCACCCTCCTCAAGAGTTCACAGATCCACTTGACGAGCTCTTTGATTTTTCTGACCATGTTCCTGTTCCGAATCCACAAGCCGAGAGTAACGGAGTAAGGGTGGTCTCATCTGTGGATCTCCATGAGAAAAGCGACTGGCAAAACTGGGCAGACCAGCTGATGTCTGTTGACAATGGTTCGGAGCCAAATTGGTCTGAGCTTCTCGGAGATCCAACTTCCCATAATCCGAATTCAGAGGTGCAGTTTCTAAGGACATATATGATCTCTATGTTGTTTCCTCCACATGTCATTTATTCAGTGATTGCGTGATTTGTAACAGATACCGACACCATTTTCGGATGTACCAAGGCAGGAGATGAAAGCTAACCAGCAGCAGCAGATGGTTTTATCAGAGGAGCAGCTTAGTGTGAGAAACTCATCATCTACTGCAGCAACATCTAAACAACGCATGCGTTGGACACCGGAACTTCATGAGGCATTCGTTGAAGCTGTTAACCAGCTCGGTGGCAGTGAACGTGCGTGAGCTTTCTCTTCTCTTATTCCTGAAAATAACAGCTCCAAGGCAGTTAGCTCTAAACAGTGGAACTTATTTTTCTCTTGACTTGTATAATATCCACCATAGGAGCCACGCCTAAGGCTGTTTTGAAGCTCTTGAATAATCCTGGCTTGACAATTTATCATGTCAAAAGCCATTTGCAGGTTTGTTGATTTCTTTTTGCATCTCATGCCGTTTCTCTGCTACGCTTAGTTCATTTCTCATTTTCTACCGTCTTTATACTGAACTCTTTTTCTACAGAAATACAGAACGGCAAGGTATAAACCAGAGCCTTCAGAAGCTACAGGTTAGGATTTCATATACTTCTACACTTTTCTTGAGCTTTAAATCACATATGCCTCTAAAGAATTGGTCACTCTCTATAAAAGGCTAATGTCACAGGCAAAACAGCTTACGAAGGGCCACATATCTTTGTATAAATCTTGTTTCTTTCTTTTACAGGAGAACCTCTGGAGAAGAAGATGACATCTATCGAAGATATCAAATCTCTTGACATGAAAACGTAAGAAACTTGAGTGCATAACAAACCACGAATCTTTTCTTGGAATTGTTCAGAATTTTGATTTGTAACAGGGATAAATACTTTATATGTGTTTCTAGCTAATTAATGTTGCTACTGTTTCTTTTTCCAGGAGCGTCGAGATCACGCAAGCTCTAAGGTTACAGATGGAAGTTCAGAAACGTCTCCATGAGCAGCTCGAGGTAATGATTTCACCTGCGTAATCACTAAATAACTATCCTTCTTTGCCTAGATATCATGAATATATTTGTCTGATGTTGTTTAAAATTATGTGCCCCCAGATCCAACGGTCGCTGCAGTTACAGATTGAAAAACAGGGCCGATACCTACAGATGATGTTCGAGAAACAACAAATGTTACAAGAGAACAAGAGCCCTTCCTCAGAGCCATCACCAAAGCAATGCAACGCCACATATGGAGAAATCGAATTCAGTCTTGAGACACAAACAGGAGACCGAACTGAATCTGCTTCAGCATCAAGGAAACGGGCCAGAGAAGATTAGAAGCAGTGTTAAGGTTGATTTCGTTGGCAAGACATGTTTTATTGGGAATTAAGTTAGGTGTTTTGTGGGAAACTCAGAGACGCAACAACAACTCCAGTTTTGTTAATTGTTATAAGAAAATTGTTTCTTCTTAGCTCTGTTTTTCACTTTTTTTTGTCAAATTTAAGAGCAGTTGCTTTGAAGGCCATGCAATGCAACACTAACTGAAGACCGTGTATATAAAAAATTGTGGTTCACTTGTGAAGTCTATTGTGTATATATAATCAGTTGATTTTGATTTAAGACAGTACAAATGGACACACTTCAAGTACACATATCTCTCTTAACTTTCTTCACACGTCTATTTATTCCTCTGTGTGACTTCGTAGATATGAATGAATGCCATTGTACAAATTTTAGAATCCTGTCTAGAAAATATGATTTATTTTTATTATTATTTTTCGGCTATATGAAATTTGGTTTTCATCAGTTTTTCAAATCAAAACATATTGATCTTTTCTTCAACGATTGAATAGAAGATACTAATATTACTCAATTGCAAATCTTTTAGTTTTTTTTTTTTGTATCTTTCAAAGATTTTCAGTTGAGTAGAAGATACTAATATGAGAGGAGCTAGATTTTTTTTCTTTTTCAGACATTTATTACCTTTTCCAAGGTTTTCATATAGAAAAATGATACAGATGTATCTTATATTTGTATTGTATAAAGTTTCATGTGTTAAAGTTGATAATTTACATACACATATTAAAAATATCGATTCAGATTTTGATACATATAAAACAATTAAACTGGTTTTTTCTATATACCAAAATATTAAATAAATATATGTTATATTTTATCCAAATATATAAAGAAATTTGTATGACCGATAAAGAAAATTGTATGATCATTACTAATACTAAATAAAAAAATTATATCAGAAAATTAAAAGGCAAATAAATATCTTTCATGTTTCAATTAATTTTTTTTCAAATAGTAACCGGTCACTAAAACTAAAAATAAATGTAAAGAAAACAATAAAAACAAAAATTAATATAGGATATTATAAAAGTGGTTACTAATCTAAAAAAAAGAATTGTCATTACTCAACTTCATATATTAAATTTTGTGTTTCTTTTAATTTCGCACTAAAAACCCTAAAATTTCAAATATCTTTTCGAAAAAGTCAACACCTATATGATTAGTTTTACTTCTAATCGTTTTAAAATATTCGCGCATGTTAGTTAAGTGTCATGTAAATTAGTTTATTTCACGTGTGTTAGTTTATTTTAATTCATAGTATTAGTTTAGTTTATCTTAATTGATGTCATCTTAGTTTAGTTTACCTGATTAACTTTTAGTAGTGGCGTGAAGAAATACATTGGGTGTGTTAGTTTATTTTATTTTAATTCATAGTATCAGTTTATCCTATTTGATGTCATCTTCGTTCATATCATATTATATATCTGATTTAACTTTTAGTAGTGGCGTCAAGAATACATTTTAACTAAAATGATCCCATAATCATGATGTATGATGTATCGGCTATGTATGGTATAGATAGACTAATTCTTTAAGCTTCATTGATCTATTTAGAAATCAGAAATATTAGTTCAAAACTACAAAATTATGTAATACCTTTCGCATGACCGAATTTGTATATACCAACAAAAAAATAAAACAAATACATATCATTGTCATCCCGTGTTTTATACTAAACTTTTAATTCAAGTCACTTCTACTTTTTCAAGCACCATATGAATCGTAGTTAATTGCTTCACCAAACATCAAAAAAATATATTGATTTCTGATATTACTTTAATAGACACAACTCACACAAACACAAAACCTCGCTAACATCAAACTCTCACTTGTCACCTCTTTGTGTCCTAAGAAACTGAGCTTTTGGGTTTAGCCTCTCAATGCTTATCTCCTTTCTCTCCCTTTCCATGAAAATTTCATGAATTTTTTCTTTATTGGGATTCTTAGATAAATCACTTTGATTAATTATCGATAGATATTTTCTTTCTGTGTGCGGATTCTTGGCTTGTACTGAGTGGATCATGTTATGATTCTCTGCCTCATTTTCAGACCAGCTGGTATAAAACGCTTTTTGATCTTTCTTTCTTTATAATCCAAGTGTCGTTTTTCCCCTCTAACGTATCGAAATCATATTTTCCTAATTTTTTTTGTTTTAAAGAAAATAGATTTGGTAACAGTTCAAAATGTTTTTAATATGATCGAGTTTAGATATGATCAACAGTTATGCTCTTCTCTCCTTTAATATCTCCATATTTATGTAACAATCCGTTTCATGGGTTTACTCTTTCTCCTCTCTCTTCCTCTCTTCTTCATTTTCTCATTAAGTATTTTTCTATTTCTGCTTATTCAGCTAAATTTCTAGGTAGAAACATGGATAATGTTAATCAAATTTTGAAGCTGTTTTTTTTTTTTTTCATCTGGTTTGATCTGTTTAATTTTTTTTTTTTGTTATTTTCTCTGTTGCAGGAAAAATACAAAATGGACCACTGATGAAGGAGGAAACAAACATAGTTTGATCGAAGCACCTTGATCTATCTTTTTCCCCCATTATATACATTTATCTTAGAAAAAAGAAACAAAAAGTTAGAGAAAACTCATGTGATTCCTGGTTGATAGTTGGTAAGCGTGGCTACAAAAGAAAGTTTCCTGTGAAAATTGTAGGTAAGGAGAAGAAAAGTAGTTTCCCGAGAAAATCATTTGTTTTCTCGTGTAAAGCTTTCAGTTCCAAAGAAAAGTAAAAAAAAAAAGACAAAAGAAAGAAGAAGAAGTGGGTTTGGTTCTTAGTGAGATTTGGAGTTAGAAAATAGAAAGAATCAATGGAAGCAAAAGGATATATGAGTGTCAAGTCATTAGAGAGAGTGCTTTCAGAGAAGGCACTAAAGCTTGGAAACTCATTTCCATGTCAAATCTGTGTTGTGGGGTTACTATGTGGAATCTGTCTCACTTCACTCTTCTTAGCTGCTCTCACTTCCCTTGGCACCTTCGAGCTCGCCGCCTTCTCTGTTTCTCCTACTTGCAACTCCACTTCTCAAATCATCAGTACGTTTCAAAGAAACTTTGGGTAACTTGTTGTGTGTCTCATGAACTGATAAAATTGTCAATGCAGATATGGTTGAAACAAGCATAGACCACCGTAAATTGAAATGGAAGAGCAAAGCTGAGATAGAAGAAAATGATCAGGTGAATCTTTTGGTCTCTGCTTGGGACAACTTGTTACTAAACAATGAAGACTACTTCAACAAACTAGGCATGAACAAATCTGATGTCCCAAACGCTCCACATTTGGAGAATTGTGAGGAGAGCACACGAGTTAGGGAGCGTTTGGATACACTAATAGAGAATCAGACATTTCCTCCTTGGGTATGTTTCTCCATCTTCTTCCTCTTTGTCGTCATCAAGCAACTACTATTTAATGAGCCACACAAAAAAAAAACTTGTTTCAGATCAATGGAGGAGAAGAAGAGAACTATCCATTGACGAGTAGAGCGCAGAGAGAGATATGGATTCATCAGCATCCTCTCGACTGTGAGAACAAGAGCCTCAAGTTCCTTGTAGCTGATTGGGAAACGCTTCCTGGTTTCGGAATCGGAGCTCAGATCGCTGGAATGACTGGTCTTCTCGCAATCGCCGTAAACGAAAACAGAGTGCTCGTTGCAAATCACTATAACCGAGCAGATCACGACGGTTGCAAAGGTGCATGTTCTTGAAATCTTGATGATGTTTGCAAGAATCATAAACCGAGTTCGATTTTGGTTGCAGGTTCTTCTCGAGGAAGCTGGTCCTGCTACTTTCTACCGGAAACGTCGAAAGAGTGTAGGAAACGCGCGTTTGAGTTGATGGAGAAGAGAGAAGCGTGGGAGAGTGGGATTGTCACAGGGAAACAAAACTACAGCACTAAGCAGATTTGGGCCGGGCATATCCCAAAGCTATGGGGTAAGCCTTGGAGTTACATGAAGCCCACTACAGAAGTCAACGGAAGTTTAATCTCCGTTCACCGGAAAATGGATCGGAGATGGTGGAGAGCTCAGGCGGTGAGATACTTGATGAGGTTTCAAACGGAGTACACTTGCGGTTTGATGAACGCTGCTCGACATTCCGCGTTCGGAGAAGAAGCTGCGGAGATCGTTCTCTCCGCGGGAGATTGGAGAGAGAAGAAGAAGGTTAGGACAGAGATTGAGGAACACGTGTGGTCGAATCTCAGACCGTGGATTCCGAGACCGATGCTGAGCGTGCACGTGCGGATGGGAGACAAAGCGTGCGAGATGAGAGTCGCGGCTTTAGAAGAGTACATGCGTTTAGCTGATCGGATCAGAGACAGGTTTCCAGAGCTCAACAGGATCTGGCTCTCTACGGAGATGAAGGAAGTTGTGGACAGAAGTAAAGATTATGGCCACTGGAGATTCTATTACACGCAAGTGGCGAGACAAGTCGGTAATAAATCGATGGCTGAGTACGAAGCTAGCCTCGGGAGAGAGATGAGCACGAACTATCCTCTCGTTAACTTCTTGATGGCGTCGGAAGCTGATTTCTTCGTCGGAGCATTAGGTTCCACTTGGTGTTTCCTCATCGACGGTATGAGGAATACCGGTGGTAAAGTCATGTCCGGTTATCTCAGTGTCAATAAAGACCGGTTCTGGTAACTTTTACCAGTTCTTCTCAAACTCCCCTCTCATTTGTTTCCTTCATCTGGTGTACAAAGAGTTTCACTATAATAAAGGAAAGGTTTTAGTACAGCTTTGCTTTGGTTTACAACGATTCAAAATGGTTTCAATCTGGTTAAGTGAAAATTTGAAAGACTAAAACGGAACAGAGCAAAATGGCTGTTCCCTTATATAGCAAACGTGTTCCTTAAGAATTTCACAAAGAAGATGACAGTCTACTACTAAATCAATACCAATAACACAACCAACCTTTTTCTCTCATCTAAGTGACAATCATGTTCTTCAGGATAGCGATTGTTCTTCCGGTTCTTGATTGGAACGGGAAGCCGAGCTACCCGGTTTAGGAGCACCGTGTTTCCTGTTCTTCCTGATTCTAGCTTTCTTGGCTTTCAATCTGCGTTTCTTCTCAGCTGAGTCGACCCATGTGTAATCCGACGGTATGAGGAAAGGGTCAACTTCAGTGTCCTTGTACCGGTTACTGTCGCCGTCAAGTGATTGGCCAGCACCACGAGCACCTTTCATCCACGACACCCATGAGGCTGATGACGAACTCTCTGATGACTTTGCGTCGTGAAAGACCGGGCTAGAAGGAGGCGTTGAGAATTCCTCAGATGGTTGGAGCTCCTCAAATTTAGTAAACGTGACGAGAACACGGACCGTTGGGATAATGGGGATCGCAAGCTGCACAATGAGCAGACAAGACACCGATCAGCAAAACATAAAAGTTACCTGAGAGAGAGAGAGAGAGTCCATAACGAGGCAAAAGTCATTTACCTTGACCGGGAATGTTCCTGCGGGAAGTTTTGTGGTAAGTAGCTCTCTGAGTCTCCTCACGGCTTTGACCTTATTGGCTAATATGTCGAGAAGCGGAAGAAGCTCCTCTGTCTTAAGAGGGAAATCAGGTGTTAGCCACAACACAGGTCTCAACCCTTTCTTGTATTCGCTCTCATTCTTTTTCTTCTTGACACCAACCTTGTCCTTTGCCTTCTTACCATCTCCAAGATCATCCTTGTTATTATTATTATCAGATAGTGACGACGATCTTTGGCTTTTCCCTTTCTCTTTCTGGTTACCCTCCTCTGGTGCCAACTTCGAGCCTTTCTTGGGCTTCGTCGTAGTGTCTTCAGTACCATCATGACCTTGTTTTGAGCCTTTCTTATTCCAGCCAAACCAGCCTTTCTTCTCCTTGAGAGGAGCACCGTTGGCTTCTCCTCCTGAACCATTTTCCTGGTGATCATGAACGTCTTTCTCTTCATCTTCAACAGCATCGGAATTCTCCATGCGTAGTGCAGTATCTAGTTGCTTTCTTTCCTCAGAGGTTAATACATCTTCAAAGCCATCATTCCCAGCACCATTCGCCATCTTCTCTTCATCAACAGCAAACAGCTCCTCATCAGTCATTGCTCCTGGAACTCTTCTTGATTTCACGCTCACCATCACATGCATCATGTCATACACTTTGGCTTTCCAGCTCCCGACCGTCTCTGTCCTCTCTTGCCGTCTCCAGTTCAGCTGAGGAACTAAATCAGCCTGCGTGACATCAATGCCAGGCCTATACATGTTAGTCTGAGACATCTGTGCCACTTCATGAGCAACTTCGGTTTCCGTCGGTTGTGTTCCCGCCCCCTCCAAAGCGTTCGTTACTTCTTTTTCCTTGTGAGAAAGAACAATCAATGAACCAGGAGACAGTGACACTTTCCCATCTTCCGATGTGTAACCTTCTCCTAGAAACAGAAACGTCTGGTCTGATCTTTGGATGCGGAAACCATCGAAACCGGCAAGGGTCATGTCAGCACGGAGGTTCGAACCGCGCTTCCATATCCTGTAGGTGTCCGAAGGAGCAATACGGCCAATGAAAGGAATCACCGAGCTCTCGAAATTAAAGGTTATCTCCATGTAGAAATCACGGATACGAGACGCTGAAGCAGTGATCCTTGGAAGTCTCCGGCACCATTTAGCCCAAGCAAGAGGCTGATAGTGCCGTGCGATTATCATAGCGATGGCCTCCTCTTTAGTGCAGACCGCTTCTTGCAGTGCACTCCAACCATTCTCGTTCTGCAGGCTCCAGTCTGCTCCAGCAGACATGAGAATCTCAGCAGAGACTGGATCTCGCAGACGAACAGCAAGATGGAGAGGCGTTTCGCGGCCAGGGACATCTCGGCGATCAATGACGGCCGTGACGGCATCAGCGCGAGCCTCGGCTTGCAGAGACTCTGCCTCGTTGGTAACCTCACCAGCCTTGGCTAACTGGGGAAGCTCCATGACGATTCGCCTAAGAGCCGCATGATCATGAAGCACAACGGCCAGATGGGCAGGACTATTAGTGTACTTTGAGTAATCTTCCATAGGCTCTCTCTCTCACTTGTTTATCCCAACTCTGTCTTGTCTTCTTGTTTTAAGTTTTACTTCCTTCCATATCTCAGAAATCACAAACAAAACCCTTGAAATGAGAAGGTCCTTATCTTCTTCTTCAACCACAGTGTTTCTTCTATGAGCTCCACCAAAAGCTCGAATATGAATTAAACAACCCTACAGATTGCGAAGACCCATCAATTTAGCTGGAAGAATATTCCAAAACTTTTCTCCACCGACTAAAAAAACAAATCTCAAAAAACGCAACACAAAAACAAAAGCAATGCAGTAAAAGCTAATCCAGTATTCGATCTTTATCAAAGCTGTCTGTGTTTATGTTTATCAGAGATTCAGAAGAAGCAGACGCTTGGTCATTACATATGCCTCTACTTTCTCTTTTCTATATTGTATTCATTTTTTTTCGCCTTTGTAAGAAAACATGAAAAGGAAAGGTCACCAGAAATAGCACCTGAGGAGGCTCGAGGAATCCGAAACCGAGGAGCCGCCTGATTCTCTCTCAAGTCCGATCCAAAACACGGAGGAGAGAAAGAGAGGACGGAAGAGAAGCGAACGGTTGACAATGATTGTCCAACGACGGCTATGAACTTACTTGGCCATTAATGCCTTGAAGCTTACTCAGATCTCTCTCTCTCTCTCTCTCTCTTTCTCTCTCTCTCTCTCTCTGCAATTGCCAAATTCTTTGGTTGCGACCATTTGGATTTTGCTTTACGGTTGTCTGGAGGGAGGACTGGTACTGATTACCCTTGGATTTGAATTTATTTACGACACTGCCATCGGAATTCATTTCCCATTCAGATTTCTCAGCTTTACGTCTCTCTCTCTACATTTCCAGGGTGGCTGGTTCAGCTTTGAATTTTCCATTCAGACATTTTTAAAAAATTTAATTGCTACGCCCATCACTCTTTTAAATATCTCAATGCCCTCAGTTACCTCTAAAAATTACAATATATGCCACTGTCCCAAATCTCCGAGTCCGACAGAGAGAGGTGTACGGTTTTGGACCCGCAACGTTAGTAACTCCAGAATTAGGACAAAGATACTGAGGTCCCTTTGTCTTGTTAATGACAATCATAGTTGTGCCTGAGATTAATCCTAAATCTTTTGTAATAAGAATAAGCAAAAAAAAACTACTTTCTTGGATTCCTCTCAAAACAGAACCAAACAAAACAAAAAAAGGAACGAGGCCCATTGGTTTTCACAATTCTCAACAAGTGGAAATAATCAAGTAAAATCAGCTACAAAGTACAGACAAAAACAAACCCTGAGTGAGATACAAACATGTGAATGCAAAATACAAGCCATGAGCTAGACGATTATTAAATAAATAAAATTCTGTATATTATTTAGCTACAAATGAAACGAACGTAGAAAATAATCCAAACAAAAGTATGGTTTCAACAGAAGATATCGCCCTTCGTCTAAGTAAGCTCCAATTATTGACTTTGTATATCTGGTCTGCATGATTAAACCGATATGGTGAAGTAACAACATTTGCAAAACCTTCTAAGGATTTTTCCTTCTCCTTTATTTTCTTATCCATCCCACTTGTTTTAATTTCTGCTGCTTTTAAGCCAATATGAAGTTTCCATTATATGAATACTGGCTCAGATCATCGTCATGAGTAATATAGAGGAGACTGAATCTTAGGAAGCTTACCTTTACGAACTCAGAAGGGAGCCTCCAGTGACTCATCCCAAACTTCAGCACTTCCATTAGATGCATCTTCAACATCTTCTTCCATCGAAAGCCTAATGTACTCTCTATGTGCAAAACGGTCCCACTCTGTTAATGTAGGGTTCTCACGCTCCTGTTTCCAAATTTTACATCTTGACAGTGTTATAAGAAGCCCGCATTAAGACGCAGCAATGTTAAAACATCAGACGAGAAGTACCTGACGAATGAGGAACGGATCCCTTGTTTCAAATGCCATGAATTTGTTAAGATTAAATAGGATGTTGAAGACGTTTCCAGAGAGCTTGGAGCCCTTCAGGTCATGTAGCATTATATGGCTTTCATTCTGTGGAAGGAAACAAACATCAATCAAACACAACGCTTAATATTGAAATAGCGTAAGCATATAGTAACCACAACAACATATTATTCAACCTCTGGTCCGATCATATCAATGATCTGACATAAGATATCCTCGAAAAGAACAGCCTCTTGCGCCATGCACTCCATTCGATGCAACTGCTCCTCATAAAAGAATTGCATCTCATTTCGCGTAAGAATCCCATTCGCATCTAAGTCTATGAGCTTAAACCTGGTACAATATACAATTACGTCAGATATAAACACTCAACATTTAATCTGTCTGGTACCTTTGGATTTTTATTTCACAGCTTACCAGTATTCTAGGCTAGGCTCTGACGATTTATCTTCTTCCGCAAGTATGAAATAGACAAAATCCTCATACCCCATTTTCCCTTCAACTTTGCTTGTGAACTTCCTGGCAACCTGAGTAGAAACCAATGCATTATCCATAATGACAACTTAGAACAAGGACATAAGTCATGAAAGCAAAGCACATATGAGTAACATCTTCAAGCAGCCGGTATTAAAAAATAATTCTAAACGATCAAGGCTTTATAGACAACCTGGGAGAATATTCTGTCGACAATCCGGTAAGTAAGTGCATGGTTTCCATATCTCATAAGGTTTTCCTTGTCAATCAGGAAATCGTGATCCGTATCCAGCTCCCAGAACTTGCAGTATATGACATAGAAATGCTCATATGAGAAGTACCTAGTTGCCAAAGTATATAGAAAAGTGTTGATGCCAAAAGAAGTGAAACAAAATCATATACAAAACAATAGCACGAACTCTTTTTGTCAGTACCTCAACACTTTGTTGATATCTTCTTCTTCGTCAGCATGCACCATTGCATCAATTAAGTTTCCCCGTCTTAGCTCCCTAAATGTAAGTCGACCATTTCCGGATCTATTGATGTAGTAAAATATTCTGTACGTCACAGTTTCAGCTGGCCCATCAAAATACAAAATGTATCAGATAAAACTGCATCCTTAAAAACAAAACTTTTGTTCCACCATCATCAACATTAGACGCAAATACCAAAGAATGTGGACTCACATAGCAACAAATAATAATACTGTGCACCTAATTTCATTACTAACTGACACATGATTCATAAATCAAATCCACAAAAACTTTAATAAGACGAATAAAAGTTGGTGAATGGATCCAATTTTTTTCTTAGATAACAATCGTGATTCTGTGGAAAACCTAACCATATCTTTCTTGGAATTCAGGTGTGTTTTGCAGGAACTCTAGACCGGGGTGTGTAGCCAACAGTTCTTTAAGTAGTGGTTTGAAATCATCCTGCAAGAGAAGGAAAAAAAAAGTTGAGAGTTGAAAATGCAAACTTAAGAGCAAGGAGATTGAGAAATGAACTTGCTATCATGACTGAATATGCCAATAAAAAGAAAAGTACCTTAGCAATGAAATTATGATTTTGCTGCTTTAGTATCTTAAAGATTTGGGTCGTTGTATCCATAATCAACATGTTCCCATTAACCCAATAATCAATAAATGCTTCTCTGCACAATCAAACACTACAAGCTGTTATACTTGGTTTTTCAATGCCATGATCACCGAACAGTCATGACAGAGTGACTATAAAATGAGCAGGAAGCATGAAGTACACTATGCGCATATCAGATTCCACCATAAAAAAAAAAGAGCATAGAGGCACACACCTAGTAACAAAACCTGTATGATTGACATCGATCTTCCTGAAAAGTGAAGTGGAGAAGAAAGATGGGAGCTTGCAGATTTCTCGGGTGACTAATTTGAATTCTGAGTTTTGAAAAAGTGTTAAGAGTTATAAGGCATCCCAGTGTAAGTGTTACTTCAATAATAATCATGACTACTACTTACCTTGTATCTGCAGTCCATCCATGTGACCATAGAAGAAGTGGTTGATTCTAAACATACATTGCTCTTTCATCTCGCTTGGAGGTGGACGACCATTTTGAAAATAAAACTGCAATCAATATCAACGCTTAATATCATTGCTTTTACTCCATTAGTGATGATGAACTTATATAAAATTTTGCAGTAGCAGTTTAAAAACCTGAGGCATTGGCTCTTTAACAGGCTCGTTGGTTACTTTCAGGGAAGAACCTAAGTTAGAAGGACCAGCTCTCTGTTTCGTCATACGCGGTGAACCACAGCTCCTCGGTGAAAGCGGAGGAGCACTTCCGGCAGGAAACATGGATGGTATAGAATTGCTGGTAGCAGAATTTGAAGCAGATGAACTTCCGGTCACATTCAAAGGAGCTCCAGCCAAGGCATCACGAAGCAATGATGCAATCTAAGAAACCGATTACGAAAGGAGCAAAAACAAAGTTTAGACTTCATATTCCAGTGAATGGCTGCTTACAATAATGCATATTTTAAAGGAAGCATATGGCATGAAAAGAGAAAGCGCTCATCATAAATGAAGCTGTACCTAAAAGAAGTAATCACATTCTTTCAGGGGAATCAGACTGCATAAGGAACACTATCAAAGATTCGGACTTGCACTAATCTCCAACAAACCCATCTAACACCATTAAAAAATGAAGCAGAAGAGAGTTGAGAGATCTCCGAAATCAATCGAAATACCTGTCGATGAGCTTCGGGAAGAGAAAGCCACTGGTCGAAGAGCTTCTGGGTGAATCCGGGTTTGGAGTTGAGCACAAACGAAGTCATCTCTTGTAGCTGCAACAAATCCGCATCAAGGCAAGCCATGTCTCCGGAAACAATCGCATCCACCATACTCATTATTTCACGTGATCCAATTGATCAATCGCATCAACGACAAGGGGTTTCGATGCGGAGAAGAAGGAAATCGAATCAGAAATTAACCAATATCGAGCTGCTAAAAAGTGTGAAGAAACTGCAGATCTTGAACAACACGAAGAATCCGATTCCCGAATAAGGAGCGTAAAAGTGATCCGGGTGACTGAAAATGTCAAGGAAATGCGACAGAAAATGTACAACTTTTTATTTCTTGTTCGCCGTGTGAGAAGAGAGATTAAAAACAAAAATTTAAATAATGTTTCCTTGACAAAGGAATAAGTACACTGTGGTATTAGCGGAGTTATCGGGTCACGTTGTTTCTTGTTCGCCGTGTGAATAGAAAAGCGATCCGAATATACAGATGAAAATAATTTTGAGATTTTTTTTATTGTCAAAATTAGAGTATTCAAGATGAGGTTCGATACAAAATTTTTAGCTTAGGATTTTATTAGGAAAACGAGAAAAGATACTGAGAAATACAATCGGGGATCAAAGTTTTGGTAGAAACCGAATGTAGAAACGCACTTGTGCTTATGCAGTAGCTGTAACGTCTAAAGAATGGCTTCGGAGGTTAGGAGAAGAGCTCGGCTAATGTAGTACTTGGAACAGGTACAATCATCTCGTGGGAGCAAAAGCAACCACAATTTGAGATTAAACCTGATGCTATAAGAAAATATCAACACTTTCTTTGATGCCTCACTAAAATCAAATGAAAAACCAATAGATTAAAGGCACATTAACAAATTCTGAACACCATAAGATGGGGGAAGTATCATTAGCTACAAAAGTACAGAGAAACTTGAAGATCGAACAAAGGCGCATAAACATGTGGAGTTGTGTAACTTGTAAACATGCAATCAGCAATCGCCGTTTATAAATAAATGGAACTCGTGTATAAACAGCTAACTGAAAGGAAAACAGCTTTTTTCCGGTTTTAAAAACCTGGATTCCAATTGTAAACCGTGAGAAGATATCTCCCCAAGATGACCTAAAAACGAATGTTGAAGCAGACAAGATAACTCGTCTTTCCCTTTCGTGACTCCAGAAAGCTCACAAGATTTCTTCTCAGTGATTTTTGGTATATCTGTTCAGTGATAATGGAACACCCTGCACGATGATTAACCAACATGATGATGGAATAACCGATGTTAGGTTTTTGTTACTTCTACGACAATATGATGATTTCCCATTAAATGAACATTGGCTCGCATCATCATTCATCATAATGGGTTTTATAAAGAAGAGAGTGAATCCAGGGAAGCTTACCTTTATGGACTCAGAAGGGAGCCTCCAATGACTCATCCCAAACCTCAGCACTGCCATTGGATGCATCTTCAACATCTTCTTCCATTGAAAGCCTTATGTACTCTCTATGTGCAAATCGGTCCCAGTCTGTCAATGTCGGGTTTTCACGTTCCTGTTTCCGTTCGACATTTAGCAAATTTATAAGAGGCCCGCGTCAAGAAGCAGCAATGTTACATATCTAAGGCGAGAAGTACCTGACGAATGAGGAACGGATCCCGTGTTTCAAATGCCATGAATTTGTTAAGATTAAACAGGATGTTGAAGACGTTTCCAGAGAGTTTTGAGCCCTTCAGGTCATGCAGGGTTATATAGCTTTCATTCTGTGACAATCAACAAGAAACACAAAAAACAAAATTGTCAGTTAAGAAGGCTGGAAGCATCAACTACTTCTTCGAACGCCCTATAAATTCCTTTAATATAAAAGAGCGTAAGCATATAATCCACAATAACAAGAGACATGTTGTTGAACCTCTGGTCCGATCATATCAATAATCTGACATAAGATATCCTCAAAAAGAACAGCCTCTTGCGCCATACACTCCATTCGATGTAACTGCTCCTCGTAAAAGAACTGCATTTCATTTCGCGTAATAATCCCATTTGCGTCCAAGTCAATGCACTTAAACCTAGTCCAATATATACTTGTGTCAGATAAAAACACTCAAAACGCCATCTGTCTGCCACCTTTGAATTTTTACATCACAGCTTACCAGTATTCTAGGCTAGGCTCTGACGATTTATCTTCTTCCGCAAGTATGAAATAGACAAAATCCTCATACCCCATTTTCCCTTCAACCTTGCTTGTGAACTTCCTGGCAACCTGAGTAGAAATTATTGCATCCATGATGACAGTCATCTTGAGGGAAGTAATCATTTGAAACAATAGGCACACAAAAATCATGCTTAAAGATCAAGATTTTTAGACGAAACCTGGGAGAATATTCTGTCGACAATCCGGTAGGTAAGAGCATGGTTGCCATATTTCATAAGGTTTTCTTTGTCAATCAGGAAATCGTGATCTGTGTCCAGCTCCCAGAACTTGCAGTATATGACATAGAAATGCTCATATGAGAAGTACCTAGTTCCCAAAGTAAATATAAAAGTGTTGATACCAAAAGAAATGACGCAAAATATAATTTGCAGATCAACACAACTTAAAGCTTAATTCGGTATTCACAACAACAGACAAACTCGTTTTGTACGTACCTCAGCACTTTGTTGATATCTTCTTCTTCATCAGCATGAAGCATAGCATCAATTAAGTTTCCTCGTTTAAGCTCCCTAAATGTAAGTCGACCATTTCCAGATCTATTTATGTAGTAAAAAATTCTGTAGGTAACAGTTTCAGCTGGCCCAACAAAATACAAACTGTATCAGAAACCTTTTTTTATTGAAATAAGAAACTGACTACAATGTAACTGGAGTTAAGACCTAACCATATCTTTCTTGGAATTCAGGTGTGCCTTGCAAAAACTCTAGCCCAGGATGTGTCGCCAAAAGTTCTTTAAGTAATGGCTTGAAATCATCCTGCCAGAGCAAAAGAAAGCTGAGAACGAAAATGCAAACAGACGAAAAAGGAGGCTGGAGAAAGAAATTAACTATCATTACTGAATAAGCCAATCAAAAGAAAATTACCTTCACAAGGAAATTCTGATTTTGCTGCTTTAGTATCTTAAATATTTGGGTAGTTGTGTCCATTATCAACATGTTCCCGTTTACCCAATAATCAATAAATGCTTCTCTGCATAAACGAAAAATAAATCACTCTCTAATAGTCTGTTATAATTGTTTTATGATATCGTCATCGCCAAACTCATGAAAGTACGGCAATAAAATGAGAAACAAGCTTGAAGCACACTGCAAACTATGCGCATATCAGATTCCACCATAAAAAATAAAATAAAAAGAGCATAGAGGCACACACCTAGTAACAAAACCTGTATTATTGACATCGATCTTCCTGAAAAGTGAAGTTGAGAAGAAAGATGGGAGCTTGCAGATTTCTCTGGTGACTAATTTGAATTCTGAGAATAGAAAAAGATATAAAGTTAACAGGACATACCGTATAAGTTTCAATTTAAATATTAGAAAACTCATGATTCATCTACCTTGTATCTGTAGTCCATCCATGTGGCCGTAGAAAAAGTGGTTGACTCTAAACATACATTGCTCTTTTATCTCGCTTGGCGGTGGGCGACCATTTTGAAAATAAAACTACACCAATTTCAATGTCAATCATAAATCAATCACTCTGTTAGATCATTGAAAGGGAAAAAAGGATGCACATCTTAAAATCTGCAGTAGCAGTTTAAAACCTGAGGTATCGACTCTTTAACAGGCTCGTTGAGTACTTTTAGAGGAGAGCCTAAATTAGAAGGGGCCCTCTGTTTCATTGTGCGTGGTGAGCCACAACTCCTAGGCGAAAGTGGAGGAGCACTTCCCGCTGGAAACATGGATGGTAAAGAGTTGCTGGTGCCAGGACCTGAACCAGATGCACTTCCAGGGACATTCAAAGGAGCTCCAGTCATTGCATCTTGAAGCAATGATGTAACCTGGAAAATAGATCAGAGAAAGAAAACAGTTTGCAATCTAGATTTCAGTAAATGTCTGTTTACATACTTATACAGTTTAGGAGAAGCATAACGAATGAAGAAAACAAAAATCAAACAGTCTCTTTCAGCAAGAAAAAAAAAAAAAAATCTGCTCTACACAGAACTCCCAAAATTAAACAGTAATTTAGCTATCAAATCCCAGAAACCTAAGCATCGTCCTAGTGCCCACACAACAACGAAAGATCATAGCTCCGAAAAAGAGATTCCGACTGCTACAATTCCTAGAGTTCCAGATATAATAGACTCCATAATCATAAGCGAGTTTAGGAGGAAAACCAAATCGAATTACCTGCCGATGAGCTTCCGGGAGCGAAAGCCACTGGTCGAAGAGCTTCTGTGTGAATTCGGGTCTCGATTTCAGAACAAACGTAGACATCTCCTGCAGCTGCAGCAAATCCGCATCGAGAGAAGCCATATCTCCGGAAACAACAGCGTCCGCCATACTCAATTCTCACGTGAATCGTAATCAATCGAATCGCATCAACACCGAGGAACCAAAAACTAGAAAGAGAGACTAAAATTTGACGTGGGCGAGGAGATTCGAAAGGGGGCAAATCAGAAATTGAGCAAATCGGAGCAGCGAGAAAAGTGTGGAGAAACCCTAGATCTTAAAAGAACGGAAAGAATCTGCTTCCAATAACCTTCTCTCCGATTTAGATTTTTTAGAAGTAAAGTGAATGGGTCTCGAGAAAGTGAGGGAAAATGTAGATTATTTTTTCGCTTTCTTTTTCGACCTATCAAAAAATATACAAAATAAATACGTTCGGAAAATTAGACTGTGTGTGTGTGGTCGGAAAAAAAAATAGGATTACACTTTGTATTATTATCATCATATTATGTGTGTGACTCGCCATATCTTCTTATCACATAATGTATGGTTTGTTTTTAAAAAATTACATCATTTATGTTTTGTTATAATCAAAGAAAGTGAGTGTAATCCCTACCTATTAATTGACAATGTAGTTTAATGAAATATGATGATTTTTTTTAATTTTATTGGTTAAAAATATCTTTTTAACCTAATTAAATGTGATATGGAAATGATGATGTGTAATGATGATGTAATTGTGACATGGCATTTGCTAATACATGTGGATGATAACATAGCAAAAAAAAATTTATGTGTTTAATTTATTTTAGTTCAAAAAATTATTTTATAAAAACTGAAAAATATAAAATATTTAATTATTAATATAAATTGTAAACCGTTGTTTTTTATCACATGCACAAAACATATGTTATATTTTTTTATTACATGCACATATTTGTACATGTTAAATTGTATAAAAATTATATATCTTCATCACATGCATCGACTATATAATCTAAAGTAATATTAATCTAACAATTAATGTTTAAATAAATAACCTATTTTTGTTGTCCACACAAAACAGAGGCTAAACAAATATATAAAGAGAAGTTAGAATATATCATGCTTTGTTAACCGAAATATGATTATCTACTTTTAACAGTCTTCTTGAGATTGCCTTTCCGCAATATAATCCAAAGCAACATTAATTGTATCATCAAATTGTATAAAAATTATTAGAATTGTCTTCATCACATGCACAAACTATATATTCCAAAGTAATATTAATATAACAATCTTTTACTAAATGGCCTATTTTTGTTGTCCACACGAAACAGAAGCTAAACAAATATACAAAGAGAAGTTGGAATATATTTAAGTTCAAGTAATTTTCAGTGTTTACTTTATTTAAGTTCATATATTTGTTTTATACAATGAAGTATTCTGAAATTTAGAGGCTAAATAACTGGATAAATTGAGGAAAATTAATAGAAGACGAATAAGATGATGAAATTTGCAGGTATGTACGTCTGACCCGCAAATCCGCAGCAGGTAACCCGTTCAACCAGCTATCACGGGTCTGGCCCATTTGGCTTTTTAATATAATAAAATGGGTCTTTTGTTATAATAAAATGTTTAGTTAAAATTATACCATATTTTGCTATTAGTGCCTATAATTTATCGCCTTACCTAATTTTTTATATATTACAAAAAAATAAAATATTTATAACGATTTAGATATTATATTTATGTAATTAGATTTTTAAAACTGTTTATGGACCAAACTCCTAGTGATTATTTAAATTTACATCATTTAATGAGCCGGTTTTCCAACTCTTATAAATACCCTTTTTCCAAAAGATAATGTAGTATGAAGATATAAAAAAATTATTGATTTATCACATTTATTAGTTTATTGAATATTAATTTATAGAGTTTATACTGTAATTTTATATTTTCTTATCACATAATGCTGAAGTTTATATTTCTATTATTTATTTTATGCTGGCTAAATAGTTCTTGAAGGTTGAGAGTTATGTTTGATTATAAATCCCGTCCTCAGGGAACAATAAACGAGTACAAACTACAAAGGCATGGTCATTAGTCATTACTGTTCATATACATTCTATATTTCATCAAAACAAATTAAGATAATTAACATAGTTTTACACTAAAAAAAAAATAAACATGATTAAAAAAGATATAAAAACTCTCATGGGAATTCTCCAATGGTGGTTCCAATCATGTGTTTGCCTAGTAGTAATAGGGAATTTCATAGAAGTGTTTTACATCCAAACAACAGTAAAAATCTAAAAAAATAGCACAATAATTAAGAAAAAGAACGAAAGAAATGCTAGACTAGAAAAGCTCTAAAACTGAAATTAGAATCGTCTGATTGATAACATATTTTTTTATTGCGAAATAGTGAAATTGCAGAAAAAAAGAATTGCGGAATGACTTGTTGTGGAATACATTTTTTTAATACGATTGAATAAATTATGTAGAATGGCGGAATGATGGAATATGATTATTTAAAAATAATTTTTTTATTATATATCATAAAAAATTAAAATATTAATAATTTAATAAATTATTATAAAATGATATAATTCTTGTTGTAATTTTTTATAATTTGTTTTTCAAAATAAAAAAAAAGTATATAAAATTTTAAAATATTTCAAGTTTTAAATAATAGACATAACACTATTATTAAATAATATTTTGTAACACTAAATTATTTATTTGTATTTATTTAAATAATAAAATATAATTAATTATATAATTGAATAATATAAATATTAATTCCGTAAATAATCTACTTCAAACACATTTTTCCGCTTAATGAAAAGTTCTTTGTACTTTTTGTAAACAAAAACGTAATTTTGCAAATCTTGTGTTTTTGCGTTTTTCCGCAGGTTTCTCTGATTGACAAAATTCTTGCATTTTTCTACTATTTTGTCATTTCACAAAATTTACCAATCAGAACCGAAAAAAAGAAGAAGCTCAAGCTTCAAACCGTAGTCAAAAGCCATGAAAAGTGGCAAGAAGTAGAATTGAAGTTTCATATAGCTCTCATGGTTTGTATGGCAAGAGGGTATAACGCTATACCAATTATTCAGTTTAATGAAAAACCATATAAAATATCCACGGCCAATTTTATGCTCTTACAAAGTTGCATGAAGTCATTAGTCAATACATATTATGTTTAAGGATGCATCTTAAATGTCCAGTAATATCTTAGCATTAGCAAATACCATACTGAATTTTTTAAAAATTATGGTTCTTACAAGTCCCAATATTCGCTTCTTTATTAGAATCACCTACGGTTTACTCTTCTAAAAAAAAAGCTTTAGACAAAAATATGATTGTGATTAACAACACTCGAAAATTACATGCGAGGTCTCGTATTTGTTTGTATAAAAAAATAAAAACAGACTAATATTGATAATATCAGATGTAGTAATTGAATTAGATCGTTAGTGAATTCATGTGTAGTATGTAGAATGATTGTTTTCACTGGGTACCCACGTATCTTTGTGAATTGTGATGCATGTGTAAAACATAGTTGTTCAATTGTAACATTCAAACATAGGCAAAATTGTAAAAATCATATAAATCATCTAAAACTCAAAAACTTTATATTTAAAGTTTTTAAAATTTCTAATAAAATGGCATTGTAACATTCAAACATTAAAATGGTGTAAAGACAACATCCTAGTGATTTTGAAAGACAAATCATCCGTCAAGATTCATTTTAGGATACCATATGAGTATTTGAGATGCCTCACATTTGTCTTTCTTCTCCTCACTACATTACTATGGCAAGATTATCAGTAGAAGGAATATTTTTTCTTATTTTTGTCAAACCCAGAAGAAGAAGGAAGATTTAAAAATTTGGTCTAAGAAAAATAAAAATTGAAGAAGGAAGATAACCAAAGTATGTATCTGACTCTTATAGTAAGGTGCCTGACTGACTCGTTGGTTCGTTTCTTTTTCCTTAGTCGGTTTTAATTGTTTAATGGTTTAATTGGTTCTTTTGCTAATTTAAACAAAGTTTAGAGTGAGAGAGACTATCGAAGATATTTTCTGTATTAATAATATTATTAAATTTATAAAAAAAAATTTAGGGATCTGCCAGAATATTATACTATATCATACACATATACAATTTATTATTTTAAACTAAGGAATTACAGTTTTTTCAGTAAAAAAAAAGCTAAGAAAATGCAAAACTTTTCAGTTAATTCGAGTGTTATAAAAGGGAAATTAGAAGAAAAATAAAATCACGAAACTGGTTTAGTTTAGTTTTTGAGGGTACATTAGTCCATAAGAAAAGTAAAACACAGAGAGGCCACACATACTAATACAAAGTTTGGAAAAATAATAACGAGTGGTGTTGCTCTGTTCAGCTTCCTCTTCCTTTTCTCCTTCTCCTATATAAACACAATTACTCTCCCTCTTCCCAAAATCCTTACCTTTATCGCTTCCTTCACCTCTCTTTTTTTTGCTCCCTCTGCATTTATCTCTTCTTCACCGTCGGAGCTTTCCCAGGTAAAGATCCAGTCCCGGTTTTCTCGTAGATTCATCTTTTCTCATCCCCCGTTTCCCGTTTTTTTCTTTCTTTCTTTATAATTCCTTCCTGTAATCTAGGGTTTTTAATTCATGTTCAGATTTGGGATTTCGTAACCATTTGTATTTTTTTTTGTCTGAGATTGCGAAATTCTGATGTGTTTCTGGGTATTTGAAAATTTGGTCATTCAAGTCGAATCAAATGCGTCAATCTGTGTTTTGTGACAGAACTATCCCCCGAAAGATTATATTTTTGCCGACGTAATGCATCCAATTCTGAATTGTTTAAGATTTGTAAACAGTTGTTAGGAGCTATTTGCATGAGATCTCACTGTTCCTGAGTTGTTGGATAAAAGTTGATTTTTTCACTTTTTTTTGTCGAATTTGCCTTCTCCATTCTCAATTTTGAGTCATGTATTCATGTGATCTGATAGATTTGTGTGTTTTTTTTGGCTGCAGAATGACAAGTACCAATGGAACAGACTATGGTGCCTACACGTACAAGGAGCTTGAGAGGGAGCTCTACTGGCCATCCGAGAAGCTGAGGATATCAATTACCGGCGCCGGAGGTTTCATCGCTTCCCACATTGCTCGCCGTCTGAAGCACGAGGGTCACTACGTCATTGCTTCCGACTGGAAGAAGAACGAGCACATGACCGAAGACATGTTCTGCAGCGAGTTCCACCTTGTTGATCTCAGGGTCATGGAGAATTGCCTCAAGGTCACTGATGGTGTTGACCACGTCTTCAACTTGGCTGCTGATATGGGCGGTATGGGTTTCATCCAGTCCAACCACTCCGTCATCATGTACAACAACACCATGATCAGCTTCAACATGATTGAGGCCTCTAGGATCAATGGGATTAAGAGGTCAGATTGAGTCTCTTTTGGGTTTTTGAGCTTAACAGGTCTTCTTCAATCATAAACAGAACTAAAGATTGGACCTTTTTTTGTCTTCCGTGTGTGTTTCAGGTTCTTCTATGCTTCGAGTGCATGTATCTATCCGGAATTCAAGCAGCTGGAAACTACCAATGTGAGCTTGAAGGAGTCAGATGCCTGGCCTGCAGAGGTGTGTGTTACTCTGATGATTATCGTTCGTATGTTCTTGCAAAAGATAACAAGTCTTTCTTATGCAAAAGACTTACTTTAATTTCTAATGTCTTATAGCCTCAAGATGCTTATGGTTTGGAGAAACTTGCGACGGAGGAGCTGTGCAAGCATTACAACAAAGATTTTGGAATTGAGTGCCGCATTGGAAGGTTCCATAACATTTACGGTCCTTTTGGAACATGGAAAGGTAAGTCTCCAGACTTTGCGCAAACCCATTTAATCGCTTACCGTTGTGTTTAATATTTGCTGAACATATTGGCCACTTCAGGTGGAAGAGAGAAGGCTCCAGCTGCTTTCTGCAGAAAGGCTCTCACTGCCACAGATAAGTTCGAGATGTGGGGAGACGGGCTTCAAACCCGCTCCTTTACTTTCATTGATGAGTGCGTTGAAGGTGTACTCAGGTGAAGACATTAGCTCCAAATTAGAAATGATGAACATTTTGTATGTTATAGCATGTTTAAAATCGTCTGAGTTTTTTCTTTCTCATCCTTGTTATTTTTTTAGGTTGACAAAATCAGATTTCCGTGAGCCGGTGAACATCGGAAGCGATGAGATGGTGAGCATGAATGAGATGGCTGAGATGGTTCTCAGCTTTGAGGAAAAGAAGCTCCCGATTCACCACATTCCAGGTCCAGAAGGTGTTCGTGGACGTAACTCAGACAACAATCTGATCAAAGAAAAGCTTGGTTGGGCTCCAACGATGAGATTGAAGGTACCAAACATTGTTGCTTTAAGTAGCTAGGATGAGAATTTGATTCTTTTTGTGAGAAGTAAAGACTGATTTTTGTGTGTAACCACAATGGTGAAACAGGAGGGGCTTCGAATAACCTACTTCTGGATAAAGGAACAGATTGAGAAAGAGAAAGCAAAAGGAAGTGATGTGTCTCTTTACGGGTCATCGAAGGTGGTTGGGACTCAAGCACCGGTTCAGCTCGGCTCTCTCCGCGCGGCTGATGGAAAAGAGTGATTCTGGATGATTACTGTCAAAGCTCAGTTATGGCCTTTTCTTAAATATATAATTAAGCTCAGTTATGGCCTTTTTTAGATATACATTTTACTATGAAAAAAAAGAAGAAGCAATAATAAGTGTTTTGGATTTGAGTGTCTCCTTTCTCTTCTGCTAATCTTTTCTGTAGTAAACCCCTAATTGTTGTTTTTCTTTTTGTTGAATTAAGTCGATTATACTTGTGGTCCTTACTTGTGGTCCTTTCACACATTATGTTCACTATCATCGTCAACAATCAAGTGGCCAAGTTTGAGATATTTTGTTTTCATTCATCTTATCAATATCTCTCTTCACACATCTCTAGGGCTTAAGGTTCACTCACCGTTCTTTCTTTGTCCTTTCTCTGCTGTCCACTTTTTTTTTTTTCACATTCATTGGCCAAAAGAGCCGCACGTTAACTATCGATTTTGGATGTTACTCTCTATGGGAGTGGGACCAATAAATAACTGACAACCGCATACTGTTAAATATCCCACACCGACAAAGAAAAAGATTAACTAAAAAAAGGTCACATGGGCACTATCATTTTCAAGCTAGCTTCTGTGGTATGTTCTACTGTGAAGGTTTTATTGGGTTTGGTTATGGGTCTATTATGACATAAGTTCATATAAACATCCAAAAGATTTCAAATCTTACCAATACTTAACTGTTTTTTTTTTCTCTAAAAAACAAAACAATTCATCATCCATATTCAACGATAGTAGTATCATTCAGACCAAATGGCAGAGACAATTAGGGTGTGTCACTGAGATTCTCAGATATACAAATAATATACCAAGAAGATTATGTGAATAATTCATTCCTCTCGTTCTCTCTTTTAGTTTATGATCGATTTACCTAGTATAATGGCAAACTCTAGAGATTGGTAGCAGAATATACCGGCATGGTTTCGAGCAACTCCTCAAATTTCCTGAGTACATCCTTTAGAGCATCCATAAACCCTTCTTCTGTGGAGGCATCAGCGGTTTCTTTCTCTCTGCTATTCAGCTGAGAAAATATGTTGTCATAGATAAGAGCCACTGCTTCGTTCTCTGGAGATAACGGAGGCAATCCCAACTCTTTTCCATTCTTTATTATCAAAGCCTTTATCAGATCCGCACGCCCTTGCTTCTCTTTCTCTTTAGACTCTTCCATGCTCATTTTCTCTACGAGACACTTGAGCGTCTTCTCATCTGCCAGAATCTGAGAAAATAGTTTATCGAGCTGGTCAACGATCCATGTCCCAAAATTTACATTGAAAGTTTCTGTATGTGTTCTGTAAAATATTCTAAATTTCACAAGCAAATTAGGAGAGTGGACTAACCTTACGCAGCCTTGATCCGGTGAAAATCTCAACGTTCTGGACGATGGTTATAGGTTTCTCATGAAGAACATCTGCTATTTCTTGTAGAACTGGCTGCAGTAGCTCAGCAAACTGTGCTTGTCCAAGTTCTTCATCACCATCAGCATCGTGCTTCTTAATGATGTCATCTAAGACGAGAAACTCTGTTCCAAACAAACAAGCCTGACTGTGTTAAAAAACACTTGTGTGGAATGAAACGATTTTAAAAAGCAAAAGAATTGTTGGAGAAATGATGTAGAATCCTAAAATCAAAAATATCAAAAGCAGAGAGATACATGACATAACTAATATCTTGTTTTTGCAAGTCCTTTCACGGAATTGATGTTACAGGAGGAAATATTTCGTCAATATGAAACAAGATCAAAGCTGTAAAAAGAGCAAGTAAGAAGAAACCTGAGAGAGGAGGGACACCCATCTCAACACCCATGTGTGAAAGAGCTTTTCGTATCTCGCTCTTGCAAAGCTTTCCTTTATCTTCTTCATCCAAATCGGTGAACAGATTCTCTGCCAACATTGCAAAATCATCTTCGTCCTCCAAGAATAGCTTCAACGTACTCCCATCCAGAACTGACACCACAATCGGAGTATCTGTAAACACACAAAAACAAAAAAAACAAAAAGATCACTTTATAGACCCAAGTATCTGCATCAATCAACATATTTTCGTTTCTTCAAGCCATGATCAACGATTCAGCATCAATCAGCGAAACACAAACAGGTGCATTTACGCATCCAATTTTCTATGATCCTTGCGGCTTAAATCTATTTGATCAGGTTTAGCTGTAGAGCTAAGATATTATAATATCTGGAGTGAATTTATCGCTAATACACAATATGGATGGAATGATCCGGTACCTCTAAGAGCATCGGCGACGGCGGAGACGAACACACCGAGTTTCTCAGAAGCTTGTTGGCGGTTGAAATCCGTACGCCGGAAATTGACGTCATCTCCTGCGGAGACTAGGGAGATCGCCGCTTCTTTGAGGTGTGGCGGCAGTGAGAGGCCCGAGAGAGATTCAGAAACCTTGGATTCGGAAATCTCGAGAAGCTGAGCTCCGGTGACGCCATTTTGAAGCTCCGGTAGGTTGAGATCGATGGATCTAAGCAGCTCACCGTCGAAAATCGTCAATCCCGCGTTCGACATTTCTGGAGAAAGATTGAGAGAGATCACCTGTGACTTGATAAGTTGTTAGGTGACGGTGAAAGACCGTTTTCAAACTTTTATTTTTTTTGTCTTTTTTTTTTTCCCTTAGTCAACGGAAGTCTGGGATAATCGCTGACTCTCTCCCTAACGTTATAGTTAAGGCGTAACCTTTCGAGAATATTACGGTAGTGCCAATTCGGGCCCATTAATTTAATGGGCTACAAAACTACTTATGGGTCTCATAACTCATATGTGAAGTGAAAGCTCATTTAGAAACTTGTCTTCTCTGTCGGTGGTATTTCAAAGTTTCATATACAACCTCAGCGATAAGTAGAGGAGAAATCGCTGTCAACCTCATTTCAAAGTTTCATTTACAATGTTCATAGACTCGTTATGATATCTTGCAGTCATATTCTTTTCAGTGCAATAATATTAGATAGACACTTCCACATACAAATATGAAATGTAAGGATTGTCTCTGCTTCCCAAAATTGCTTGAAATACAAGCATTAACATGACATGATCTTAAATAGTATTATTTTCATCTTGTTGCTTATGCTTATTTCTAATAAGACCTAGTATTATTAGCAAGGATTAGGTTCATTACATTCCAATTGCCGTTTAACCAACATATACATTACATATACTTATCTTTTCTTTTTCTCTTCATTTTCAAAATCATTACATATAAATAACATTATATTTACCTTATTATTAGTGATTATTCAACTATAGTTGTTGTAGTTAAACAAATGTTTAAAATTTTCATGTGGAAATAATATTCGATTACATGATTAATATGGACTTTTCATAGATTGCTAGCTCAACTAATTGACAACAAATAACTTACCTCATGTCTCTCGTTATATATATACTAATTCACATTTAAAGTTTCAAAAACATTACATTTATAGTATATGATTAATTTTAAATTAGACCAATCAAAATTGTTTTGATAACCGGATCGATTTTGGTTCAGATTAATACTAATATCATATATAAATTTATCATAAATTTACAACTAAAAATCAATTAACAATAAATAGTATATATATATATATTTAATATTATTCTAGGTTCATAATCTTTCCTTGTATATATCTTTTATATTTACAAATTGAAATTATTAACAAATAAATCAGTGTAGGCGAAAGTGACTATAATATGAATTGTATCCACACGAAAAGATACTCAGTTTTATATGAACCAAGAAAATGTGGAGCGAATGACATTTCAAATATTTTGCTCGTGGAATAACATGTATTATTTCATGTGGTTCTAAAGGAGGGGAAACTATGGGGCCCATTAAGCCTTGTTGCTCGATAAATGGGCCTACAGGCTACTATGTATCCAAAGTAAATGAGCCATCACCTTTCACGTTGGCCCCTAACACATCCCACCGGCCAGGCTGCGGAAAAAAGTAAACCGTTTTGGAATATGTTAATATGTATTCCATGAATTTTGTATTTGCGACATCTATTTTTATTTTATTTTTAACATTACGACATCTATTTTTTTTTTTCGAAGATCATATTCATTTACATAGAATTGTTAAAGTCCGAATCAGCAGAAGGAAGTTTGCTTCTTTTTTATTAGCACAGATTCCACGCACGCGGAATATAAAAACAGATAATCTAACACGGACATACCTTCATCATAATTTAGTTTGTGTAAACTCAGTTCCACCGATTTGGTTTACTAAACCATTTTAGAAAAAAAATTTGTTAAAGTCGGAATACAAAGTAGAGGACAGCCAGTTTGACGACATCTATTTATTGCATATCTCTTGTTTATAATAGAAAGTATTTGCCCATGTTCTTCAAAACTATTGGGTTATGCCAAAAAGGATTCCGTAAACTTAAAACTGAAAGTGTTAATTAAATTTAACGCCCCTCATTATATATATTCTCTCGACAAGTGTACCACTTAATGGACCCACGAAAATGCAACTTGAATTTTTTGATAGATTCTTATCCAAAAAACGATAATTTTAGTACGTTTCTCTAATCTCTAACTTCACTTTTAAAAACAACAATATCTCACGTAACTCTCAGATCTCTCCTCTCCTCTTGTAGAATGCAAATGGCAATATTAAATGGAGTCAGTTACAAAAACAACGACGACTACACTATTTAACTTCCATATTGACTAAACTAGCCCTCTTGCCACGTCAGTCTGACTTGGATTTGACCCAAAAAGCGTTGGAAAAACAATATTAAATCCAACAAGGCAAACAACAATATTATTACGTGTAGGTTTGTGATAAAATCAACAATATTGCTATAAGCCCCTCATAGTCTTACGTTTTACATCGATTTACACCAATACTTATTTTCTTATAAAATAATAAATCACCCTTTTACTGACCATTTCTTAATTTGCTACAGTGCATTTAGTTAGAATTGGCTCAGTATAATTTTGAGCTTTGTGATGGAGTCATGTTGTATTCTTATAGTTATAGTGAGAAAAATAGTGACCTTATAGAACAAATCAAAAGTTTTTGGTGTGAATGGGAATACACAATTCTTGTCGGGGCCTTGAGGGGTAAAATCTAATAATTAAATATCTTACAAGAAAAAAGAGCATATTAAAAATGCAAAGGCTGTCCAATCGGATAAGAAGAAATTTGTAGGGAGAAGAAAGTTGAAGCAAAAATTTAAAGAAAAAACAAATTAACAGAAATGGAAAAGGTTATCTCTGTCGAAGAAATCTCCGGTAGCCATCTTTGGCCGGCGGTTTCGAAAGAGGCCGATGGAACGCCGGCGATGAATCGTAGTGCCTCCGAATGGGCATTTCATCGTTTCATACAGGAGTCCTCCGCTGCCGCAGACGACGCCAGTGCCGGAGAAGCTGCGACGGCGTGTGGCGATTCCGTCTCTGGACCTCGTTCTCCGAATGTTCCGGTGGATTCCGAGAAGTACAGAGAGTTTCTGAAGAATAAACTCAATCTAGCTTGTGCTGCTGTCGCCATGAAAAGGGTATAAAACTACTCTCTCTCTCTCTCTCTCTCTCTCTCTCTCTCTGCTCACACTTCAATTTTTTGTATCTTTCTGTTTACAAATTTGGGTTTATAGGCTCGTGAATAAGATCTCCGAGAGCTTGAGCATCAAAATACTGCAGATGGAAAAAATGTAGTTTTTGTTCCTAGAAAAAAAAGGAAAAATCAAACCTTTTTATGTGTAGCTGTTACTGCAGATGTCTTGAAGTTTCTGAAATGTTTTGATGAGTTTTTTCGAAAAGCTGACTTATATACAAGGACTAAGCTTGTTTTGTTCTTTTTGAGTATTAAGATCTATGGATCTCCGGGTTATGGTTTGAGTTTGTGAACACTTATCTTCGTAAATCTGATGTGTTTGTGTTAACATTGAAACTTGATAGGGAGCTTTCATCAAACCTCAGGATACCTCTGGTAGATCTGAGAATGGTGGAGCACATACATCCAGTGCATCAGAACAAGGCTCTCTAGCTTCTTCCAAAGGTTTTTTTTTTTTTTTTTCATTGCTCATACAATGTTCTAGTGCTTTCTGAATTCTGTTAATCGTGCCTGTTAGGATTGCAGAAGATACGACTTATGTTGATTCCTTTACCTCTATGATGAGCCATTTATGTTCTTGATAGTTAATTGTGTTTTCTTGCTCGTGATGTGTTCAAGAGTGCTTTGTAAATGCGTATTAACAATTTCCAAATCCGCTTCGTTTGCAGCTACACCAATGATGAGCAGTGCTATATCAAGTGGATCTGAGCTCTCTGGTGATGAAGAAGAAGCTGATGGTGAAACAAATATGAACCCTACCACTGTTAAGCGTGTGAGAAGGTAATATATTTACAATGAAATATCTACTTACCATCTTCAATTTGCCTCTCAGAAGATAAAATCTTGCTTGAACATGAACATTTTGTTTGTTTGTTTACTGTTGTAATCACAGGATGCTTTCTAACAGGGAATCAGCTAGACGGTCCAGAAGAAGAAAGCAAGCACACCTTAGTGAGCTAGAGACACAAGTATGTTAATCTCTCGCCACATTCGTTTCTTTTTTCTTTATCTCTCATTGCTCACTTATTACAAATCTCCATCTTGTATTTTTCTTCTCTCTTGTAGGTCTCACAGCTGCGTACGGAGAATTCGAAGCTCTTGAAGGGTCTCACTGATGTAACTCAGACGTTCAATGACGCAGCTGTAGAAAACAGAGTTTTGAAAGCCAATATCGAGACGTTACGAGCAAAGGTAAAATCCATTTGTCCTCTCGGGTTAAAGAGTAACCAATACTCTCACTTAGGAAGCGATGATAAGAGTGTTGATATATTTTGTTTTTCAGGTGAAAATGGCTGAGGAGACAGTGAAGAGAATCACAGGCTTCAACCCAATGTTCCATACAATGCCTCAGGTTTCAACTGTCTCTCTTCCTTCGGAGACATCAAATTCTATAGACACAAGCATCCACTTAGCCACACCGGAGATAAGCTCAGGCAACAAAAGCAAGGCCTCGATCGGGTGCAAAATGAACCGAACAGATTCGATGCGTAGAGTTGCGAGTTTGGAACATCTTCAGAAACGTATTCGCAGCGTTGGGGATCAGTAGCTGTGAAGCAGAAACTTGATCTGTAACATTATCAATAGAGAGGGAGAGATTGAGACATAAAGTTATATGTTCTGTAAAGAATTAATTGTCTGTTATAATTTTTTTAACCCTTTTGAAGTGCTTAGTTATCTCTGATTCTGTCTTCTTCCTTTTTTTTCAAATTGTCTCCAATAGCTGCAGTTGGTTGTAGTTGTAAATACTAAAAATGTTAGCAAAAAGTTATCAAATTCGAGCTTCATCCATTTTATTTAGTGAAGCATGAGCTAGTGCAAACATTACTGTAATATCTTTTTTTGTAATGTAAAGTTTAATCCTGCATCAAAGAAAAACCTTTTACAAAGATTGTTTTGAGTTAAATAATTCTTGTTAGTAACTTAGTACTGTAGAGTTAAAAATGTTTATTTGCAAAAATTGGTACTAATAAAAGATTTTGATGTTACTTTATATAATTGAAAAGTAAGAATTGGGCGTATTTTTCAGTAATCACTATGTAAGAATAGATTTGTATAGTAGTTAAGAAAATATTAGCAAAGAAAATGAATATAGTTTATTATATTTTATTTTAGATGGGAATCTGAATATCTGGATATTGGATAAAAGAAAAAATACAGAGATAGCATTAGAACCAGAAGAAAAAATTAGAATAGAGCAGCGGTAATGGCGACATCTGTTGCGACTCTATCTTCTCCCCCACCAGTTTCTCTGCCTCTGTCATCATCTCGCTCTTCCTTCTTCTCCAATTGCTTCACAGTGAAGACCCGACCAAGTACTCGTTCCTTGGTGGCGATTCGACCCAGAATCCGACCGGAGCAGACGAGAAAGCCACTCACTTGTAATGCCCTGTTCGGTCTCGGCGTCCCTGAGCTTGCTGTGATTGCTGGCGTCGCTGCGTTGCTCTTCGGACCTAAGAAACTTCCTGAGATTGGAAAGAGTATTGGAAAAACCGTCAAGAGCTTTCAACAGGTTTGCTTATTTAAAATGGATAGAATTTGGATATTTGAATCTTCAGTTTTAGCTGCTATAAATTCGATGTGCCTTCACTTGATTCGAAGAAGATGATATGAAATTCTGGAGTCTCTTGTACCAATTCATGTGAAAAGCTTGTGGATTGTAGTTGGAATTGATGTGAAAGTTCTTAAGGAGTAATATGTATGTTTTTGAGAATTTTATTATGTTTCGAGTGCTTAGTTGTTGTATGTGTTCTGTCTGGATTAGTGAAGAACTGATAAGAACACTCAGAATGATTGGAAATTGAGTGGGTATTATATAACTTTGCTGCATAGAGAAGAGATCAATAACAAAACATTTCATTTGCTTGTTTCACCATAGAACAGTAAGCTCGTTGATAACTTTGCTGTATAGTAGTATATATAAATCAAAACATGTTGTGATGTAGGTTATCTCTATCCAAAAACCGTCGATGATTTGAGTGATGATTATAAGCTCTATATTTTCTTTACAAGACGTAGTTGTGGATCATGGTTATTATATATATAGCTGCTAGCAGTATGTTGTGTGTTCCTTTTCGTCTCTTGGTCTTTCGATTTGCATTGATGAAGGCTTGTGGGGGGTTTTGTAATGATGCAGGCTGCAAAAGAGTTTGAGTCTGAGCTTAAGACGGAACCTGAAGATTCTGTTGCTGACTCATCTCCGGTAGCAATGACCAACAAAGAAGAGGAAAAAACTGAAGTTTCGTCAAGCTCAAAGGACAATGTATGAAGAAGATGAGACTTTAGGTTTTACTTTTTTCTTGTAGCTACTACCATTTGTGCAATGAGTTTTAGATCAAAATACTCTTTTTGAAGGAAGCAGAGTAGTCTTCCTTATAAAAGATTGGCTCTCCATGGTTTTTGCAATTAATCTACAAAGAAAACCTCGCAAAACCATTAAACAACTCTAGTTATATAACCAAGGAAATGGAAATGGTGGAAGTGTGATAATACAAAAATTTCTCATGACTCTCTAAAGATCATATTCTGGATGTTACAATTCCAATCCAAAGCACGAGAGTAGTAATAATATGTCTAAAAGGATTGATTTAATTTACTGAGCTTAGTTTCTGTCTCTTTATCCTCTCAAGCGCACCCAGATTCTTGGCTGCACCGTTCTCACCGCCTTCCTCAGCATCCTTGCCGTCTTCCTCTCTCTTTCTGGCCAGTCCTCCAAACACAGCAGCAGGGACTTCTTTCTGAGCGATCTCTACATTGTCTTCTCCGTCAGACTCGTCGTCACTCTCTTCCGGAAGCTCGATATCTTCTCCATTACCTGTCAATGGTTTCACCTCAGTCGCACCTGACGACTGTACTCCTGCGCTCACAAACCCAACTATTCTTCCACCATCTCTTGATGCATCTGTGGTTGACGTTGGAGCCATGAGCTGCCTCTCCAGAGCTGCCATTTCATCTTCTGGCACTCCTGCTCTCTTCAGCTCATCTCTCGCCTCCTCCACATCTACCATCTTGTCCTTCTGCATCATGTGCTCCGGTAGAATGGAATAAGTCTGAAACAAAATCATAATCAAAAATACAGTTAGTCCTGTCAAAACTATAAATTTCTCTTAGAGCTGAAAACGATGGAAAAGTAATTATGCTTTTACACAGGGCTAACCTGACTGTAGCTTGCGGAGACGCTTCGCTTGATACGAAGCATTTCTCTATAGGTGTCTTCGTTTCCATGCTGCACCTCAAACTCGTGCCACTTGTTCCAGAACTCCGGGTCTGACCTCGGATCTGCAGACTGAGAGGCGTAATTGTAGATTGCACGAGCACGATCGATTTCTCCCAAGCTTCTCTCCAGCTCTGCGAATTTTAGGCACACGATCTTCACATCCTTGGGTGGAACCCCAGATTCTATTGCCTGCTCATATATCTCCCTGGTTCTGGGAACTCCAAATATCTCTGCTGCACGGGATATGTATATCTCATACATCTCAAGCATCTGGCCTTCTGGAACCTTTTTGGTGGCTTCCTCATAAACCTTCATGGCTCGCTTGGCTAGACCATAGTCCTCTTCTAGCTTAGCATACTGAAGGTATAAAGTCCTGACAGCATCAGCTGGAGCCTGAAAAAAAAGAGACAAGTTTAGATCACGCACTAATACTATATCACCACATCAATAGACAAGTTTCTGAAAATTTTGGTGCTTGTTTCAACAGAGAGACATTAAAAGACAGACTTTAAACCAGCACGTGTAATAGGATGATGAGCTTACCGTTGAAACCGCATGCTCAAACAACTCTCTCGCCCGCTCCAGCTTTGTCTTCCCATATCTCTTGACAAACTTTGTAAGATAGGTTACCCATATGTCTTTCACATGAGGATACTTGAATATCTTCACACCTCTTTCATACACCTTGAAAGCATCTTCAAAGTACTTGTTTTCCTCAAGAAGAAAAGCATAATTCAAGATGATCTGAGGCGTAGCTATCCTCAAGTCCAATATCTTCTCATAGACTTCTCTTGTCGATTCTAGCGTCCCCAGGCTTTCCTCCAAATCAACATAAAAGGACCAGAGTCTCAAGCATCTATGCAGTTTCATCTGGACTGGTACATCCTTTATATCACCGACTCTCCGCCTTACTTCTACTGTCGGCACAGCAGTAGCACGCCTCATCAGCTCTAATGCTCCTTTGAAATTTTTGTGCCTCAACTCCATCTCAGCCCACTCACACCACACGCTGGCGAGATGGTCCACGTTTTTGTAGTTTACCTGGACTGCCTTGTCCAAAATCACCCTGGTGTTGACCAGGTCCTTGTGGTTTTCATACAGCTTGGCAAAAGCAACCCATAACGTGTGAGGCTTCCCAACTGCTTTCATAGGATCCACAGTCCTCACTGCTTCTGTGTATGTGAGAATCTGCTTTGCTGCGTTTCCCTCAAATATTTTGACCCTACGATGCCACTGTTCAACATTGTGCGGATTTTGCCTAAGGAGCACGCTGTTTGCTAGTGCAGGTCTTCTGTTCATCAGTTCTTCTAAGCGAGCCAACCTCAGATCAACATCATTGTCGTCGTTCAACCAAAACCCATTGAGTATCTTCCTCTGCAGCTCCTTGACCGAAAGGGAAAAATTGAGGCGGACATCCTCGTCATCCTCAACGCCATCCTCTTCCATCTCATCTTCTTCATCACTTGAACTCATCATCTCCATCCTTTTGGCAACAGTGCTTTCCTCAAATCTTGAATAAACATCGAATATAACACTGAAGTCCCTCACAGTAACCACTTTCATCATCCCCTCCTCATAGATATCCCTGGCCTTCTCAAGCAAATTCTTCCTAATGTAATAATCCGCAAGAGAAGTCCACAGCGATCCCACCTCGTCAGTGAACTTCCTAATGCCTCCCCTGATGATAGCATCGACATTGAGACCCGAGATAACATTCGCATGGTGCACAAGAAGCTCGCACAGCTCCATCCAAAGCTTGTGCTTCGTCTTCCCTTTAATAGAATAAAACGTACTATCGTTCAGCACAGAGGCCAATCGCTCTGCAGATTCTTGCCAACGAGCAGACTTCACCAGAAACTCAATAAACTCCTCAATGTGAGTAGGATCATACATGAGATACCTCCGATAAACCCTAAGCGAGGTCTCAATCGGAATACCATCCTGGCTCACAAACACAAGATACGGCTCCCATATCCTGTCGTGCTGCGTAACAGGCAGAGCACAGAGCGCACGGTCAAAAGTTCTCCGGGTTCGAGTAATCAGCTTCTGCCTCGTAAGGATCTGAAGATACGTCACCCAAATCCTAGGCATCTTATGCATAGTGACTAAAGCTCTCTCAAAGGTGTTGTTGAGTGAATCATACTGAGGATGAGTAACAGGCAGATTCCTGACGATATCGAGTCGTTCCCGAAGATAAGCGTACCACAGCTTATAGCTTCCAGGAAGAGCTTTTAGAGCTCTCTCGTAGATAATGAATCGCTTCTTAAAAGGAGATTCAGCTTTAGCAATCAGATACCTCCACCAAAGCTTCAAGCTAAACGGATTACGCAGAATCTCCTCCTCGTATAAGAGATCCTCCTGAGAAGGATAGAGATCTTTGGAAATAGCCATATCCTTAGATCTACAACAGAGAAGAAACCAGAAGGATTGATTGAGAGCTTGCTCAACGAAACCAGAAGGATTTGCGAAAAGCAGAAGTAGTCTAAGGAGCTTACTTGAGAATGGGAGTAGCTAATTTCGACGGCGGTGTGCTGAAGAACAGCAAACGACGGTGAAGGTTTTTTTTCCCCGGCGTGAAGGTTTGTTACTTGTTAGGGTTGGGGAAAGGGATAAAAGATGGGTCGGGTCTACTCTGAGTAGTGTAATATTACCAATTTACCCCCCTACTCTGATCCATTCACAAAAAAATTATGTGCGGTTTAATGAAGCCCAAAACCAATTTTTTATATATAAAGCTTCGTATCTAATATTTGAAAATATATGATACACATTAATAAGAAACCAAATAGTAAAGAATACAAAAAAAAATTAAACTAATTAATAATTAACAAGATTTTCGTTTTATTTTTGACATACATTTTTTTTATTTGTTAGATTTTTTTTATATTGGTTTTTCAAATAATTAGTTTAGATATCAAGTTAACTTCTTTTTTTGATAATTTTTCTTTTTTAATTTACCTTTTTGTCATTAATTTTTATTTTATTCGTATTGATATTTTGTAAGATATAATTATGTTTTCTTTTATCTTAAATAATTAGCTTAAATATCAAGTTAATGTACTTTTGGATATTTTTTACTTTGTCAATTTTAATTTTTTGATATTAATTTCCTTTTGAATTAAAATGTTAATTTTCATTATCTTTTTGTGTCTTTTGTGTTTTTCAATTTGGTGTATTCCAAAAAACTAACATACTATATTTGACTAAAAAGAAAAAACACATACCATACTTTGTATTCACCATGCAAGAGCACAAATGTAATTCATATTCCAGAAAACTAACATAATATATTTGACTAAAAAGAAAAAACACATACCATACTTCGTATTCACCATACCATACGCAATCCAAATCAAAGCTCAAAGAGGAGTAATAAAATCAAACGTGATGTTGAGAACACGCCTATGATCAAGTAAAAATATATATAGAACCACCTGTTTGGAGAGCCGAGAAACGGAAAGAAGAAGAGGTTGGGTTTGTTCTAAGTCGAGTTATATAGACTTTGTGACCTAATCGGGTGTTTAGTAGGATTGAGATGAATGAACAAGCTTTGAAGGTGATTCAAGAGCTTTCAAAAGCAAATGATGATCTTAGTGGTTCTCAAGTCAGTAAATGAACATCAATAGCTAACCAAACAACATTTTCTTTGGACTGTGTGCAATATTATTAGAGCCGTCACGGAGTTGGGAAGATCCATGCCATTCTTCATGCTCACACGGTCGAGGAAAGAAGAGAGACATGAAGAAAGTTCTCCTGATCGGTGTTTCTATGTATAATTTACATGTGTGTTAATAATACTGTCAAAAATTTAATCATAGATCCGTGCATTTGCATGACACATATAAGGTTCTTATGGAAAAACAACAAAATAGTTTCACCGTAACCATTGAATATGCATACAGTACATGGATAAGAAAGGACTTGCTCTTTTCACCTTGTTTCCCATTGCACAAGTATGTAGAGAGAGCCATAATCTCTTACTCACTCTATTTCTTTTTTTTCCCAAAAAAAGTTTCTATCTTTTTTGTTCTTCCCTCTTTCAGAGAGATCCTACTTAGTAGGATTCTTTCTCTGTCCTATCTCACCAACAAAAGTAAAAAAAAAAAAAGTGCTTCAAGTTGAAACTTAGAGTCACAACATCTACACTTATTAGTGAGATTGCATCACAGAACATGCAACAGCTTGTGCCCAATGCCTTAATCTTTGTTTCACCTGTTGAGGATTGTCCCCTGCACAATTCAAACTCACAGTGATTGGTTTTATATATATATATATATATATTTGGACAAGAGAAATCCAAATCAGCATTTATAAGAAGATTAATTAAATGAAAATTTTGGTTTACCAAGGCATAAGATCTTTAATGAATCCGAGTCGGTTTTGGGGCTACAAGGTATGCTGCTTGAGGAAGTAGAAGTAGAAGACAAGGAGCCATCTCCTCCGTTGCTGCTACGGCTGCTACTAGGTGAAGGTAGTGGTGAAAGCTGCCTATTCACAGCAAAGTAAAGATCTAATGCTGGTAATGTGTTGCACAGCTTCAGTCCGGCTTCTTCCTTGAAACCAAACCCTAACTCGATCGATCCTTTGAGCTCTCTTAAGTCTTCATCTGTTAGATCCGTCGGATCGTATTCGTTGTCAGAGACGCCTTTGTGCTTCTTCTCTTGAATCTTCAACATCTGACGGCGCCTTTTCTCCCAAGCAACATCTCGTGGTGTCTCACGCATTGATAGTTGCTTCGATAACCTATGTTTAGGTTTATTTGAGGCGAAAGGCGCCACTGTTCTAACATGAGGTAGTGGCTCAGGGAGTGATGGCGTTGAAGACGAGATTGGTAAGGTAAGGCCTTCCCTTCTCCTCACCATTATTTTTATATCGCTTTGAATAGGTGGCTTGTAATGCAAGGCAAGGGTTTTGAACTTACAATTGGAAAAGATACCTTTGTGGTGAAATTTTAGGGCTTTTCGTTGGTGATTTTCTTTGACCTCTTTTCGTTATCAAAGCTTTGGCTTTGCTTCTGGGTCTAATAAATGTATCTTCTTCATCTGCTGGCCGCGTGTGACACCAATTTACACGGCCAACAAAGAAGCTTCTACGGGTCGGGCTGATCAGAAAATCTTCTGTATGCCCTTTTCTACCTGAAAATTTTGCCGACCCGACCACATAAACTCTCACAAAAGAGGACTCAAGGAGCTTTTAATAGAAAAAAAAGTAGTGTTCACCATTGATTTATGCAATGGAGAGGGTCGAGCTATTTTGCTCCATTGTTTAAATTTGATACAAAGACTCATCCCATATATTTAGGGACCTTCCTTTGTTTAGATTCTTTACCCTCTAAAAGAAAACAAGTTTCGGATTTATCCTACTCTAGAAGAATATACATTGACCAAAATTTGTTAATTTTCCTATTTTAAGTATCAACTCAAATTTCATATTTCTACTATATCTTTCAAACAATATACAGTATATAGTTTTAAGAGTTTCTATACATTTTGATTTTATTTCATAGCACGAGTTTAAAACTCAAACGTGTGTTTTTCCTCTTTTATAACCAATTTGCTAAACATAGCTTTCTTCGATTAATCCTCTCCTCCATAGGCTCACCCCCAACTACTTTTTTGTTTCTCTTTCCGAAACAACACCGAAAAATGAGAAAAAACCAATAACCTTTTGCACAAAAAGAAAAAGAGAAAGAAAACGAGTGGTTTTTTTTTTTGGTCTTGTTGAGGTTTCTGCTTCTGTTTCCATGGCTTTGATCAATTATTAGGTTGAGAGAGGAGAAGAAGCAAGCCTCCAGTTTTCTCTGCTGGTGCTTGAGGTAAAGGCCACAACAGAGAAATTTAATCTTCTTTTTTTTTTAATTTATCCTTCAATTGTTTTTCTGAGACGTTTTTCATGTTTCAGCCATGAACGAGAAAACCCGGATTCCGTTTTCCCTCCTCTGTTTCTTCTCTGTTCTTCTGGTTTCTCCTTCTCAATCTAACGGCCAAGATTTCGCGTTGAGCTGCGGTGCATCAGAGCCATCTGCTGATCCAGACAAGAAAAAATGGGAACCCGACGCAAAATTCTTGAAAACGCCAAACACGGTTCACGCAACAGCTACCTATCAAGATCCTTCGCTTCTCTCGACGGTTCCTTACATGACAGCGAGAATCTTTACAGCTCCTGCAACTTATGAAATCCCGGTTAAAGGAGACAAAAGACATTTGCTCCGTCTGCATTTCTACCCATCAACGTACACAGGCCTCAACATTACCGACTCTTACTTCTCCGTGGCGGCCAACGACGTTACCCTTCTAAGCAACTTTAGTGCGGCCATCACATGTCAGGCCTTGACACAGGCTTACCTCGTTAGAGAATACTCTCTTGCGCCGATCGAGAAAGATGTTTTGGCCATCACGTTTACTCCCTCGGATAAACACAAAAACGCGTTTGCTTTCATAAACGGTATCGAGGTCGTTCAGATGCCGGAATTGTTTGACGCGGCTGTTCTCGTTGGGTTCTCGGACCAGACAGCGGATGCTAAGACCGCGAATCTTCAGACGATGTTCAGGCTTAACGTTGGTGGTCAGGATATTCCCGGAAGCCAAGACTCTGGAGGGTTAACCAGGACTTGGTACAACGACGCGCCTTACATATTCAGCGCAGGTCTCGGTGTTACCCTTCAAGCAAGCAACAATTTCAGGATTGATTACCAGAAAATGCCGGTTTCGACCGCTCCGGCGGATGTCTACAAGACAGCTCGATCACAGGGACCAAACGGAGATATCAACGTCAAGTCGAACCTCACATGGATGTTTCAAGTCGATACCAACTTCACCTACATCATGAGACTCCATTTCTGCGAGTTCCAGCTTTCTAAAGTCAACCAGAAGGCTTTCAACATTTACATCAACAACAGAACCGCACAGGCGGATACAAACGCCGCGGATATAATCGGATGGACCGGAGGGAAAGGTATCCCGACATTCAAAGACTACGCGATCTACGTCGATGCTAACAACGGAGGAGCAGGAGGCGAGGAGGTTTCGCTTCAGATGACTCCATCCACGTTTGCTAAACCGGAGTATCTCGACTCTCAGCTAAACGGGCTAGAGATTTTCAAGATGGAGACAATGAAGAACCTCGCGGGTCCGAACCCGAAGCCGTCGCCAATGCAAGCCAACGAAGACGTCAAAAAGGAGTTTCGAAGCGACAGAAGAATCACAGCTTTCGTCATCGGTTCCGCTGGAGGAGTTGCGGCGGTTTTACTCTGCGGGTTGTGTTTCACGATGTACCAGAGGAAACGAAAGTTCTCTGGAAGCGACTCCTACACATCGAGCTGGCTTCCTATATACGGAAACTCCCACACATCAGCGACTAAATCTACTATATCCGGTAAGAGCAACAACGGGAGCCACCTATCTAATCTCGCAGCGGGTCTATGCAGAAGATTTACGTTACCTGAGATCAAACACGGAACTCAGAACTTCGACGAGTCGAACGTTATCGGAGTGGGAGGTTTCGGTAAGGTTTACAAAGGAGTTATAGACGGAGGCACAAAAGTGGCGATCAAGAAATCAAACCCGAACTCAGAGCAAGGTCTCAACGAATTCGAGACGGAGATCGAGCTTCTCTCGAGACTGAGGCACAAACACTTGGTCTCCTTGATCGGATACTGCGACGACGGAGGAGAAATGTGTTTGATATACGACTACATGTCACTCGGAACACTCAGGGAGCATCTTTACAACACCAAGAGGCCTCAGCTGACTTGGAAACGACGGCTAGAGATCGCCATTGGAGCTGCGAGAGGGTTGCATTACCTTCACACGGGAGCAAAGTACACGATCATACACCGTGACGTGAAGACGACGAACATCTTGGTCGATGAGAATTGGGTTGCGAAGGTTTCGGATTTCGGTTTATCCAAAACCGGGCCAAACATGAACGGAGGTCACGTGACGACCGTCGTCAAGGGGAGTTTCGGGTATTTGGATCCGGAATACTTCAGGAGACAGCAATTGACTGAGAAATCGGATGTTTACTCCTTCGGGGTTGTTCTATTCGAGATCTTATGCGCTAGGCCGGCGTTGAACCCGAGCTTGCCAAAGGAACAAGTGAGTCTCGGAGATTGGGCCATGAACTGCAAGCGGAAGGGGACTCTAGAAGACATAGTCGACCCTAATCTGAAAGGGAAGATCAACCCAGAATGTATGAAGAAATTTGCAGATACGGCGGAGAAGTGCCTCTCCGATAGCGGATTAGATCGGCCGACGATGGGAGATGTCTTGTGGAATCTCGAATTCGCGCTTCAGCTACAGGAAACTGCTGACGGATCACGTCACCGAACGCCTAGCCATGGCGGTGGATCCGAGGATGCAAGCGGAGGAGGAGGAGGAGGCATGGCGGTCAACATCTCCGCCGGAGAACACGACGTGAGTGACTTGTCCTCCGAGGAAAACAGCGGAATATTTTCTCAGATTGTAAATCCTAAAGGGCGGTAAGGTAATTTCACAACCGTACAAAAAAACACGTATTCGCTTATTTTTTTTGTTTTTTCTTTTCTCCTGAAGTAAAAAGGAAATGGTGTATTTTCTCCTATATTTTATGTAATGTGATAGGCAAAAAAAAAAGAAAATAGAGCTTCTTTTGTTTTAATTTTCCCGTGCTTTATCAATTAATCAAGTCAAAAATACTTGTAAAACTATATTTATCTATGTTTTGTTATATGTTATCAAGTATATTGTATAATGTGGTTCGGAGTTAGAAGTTTTAATTATTCCCTTTTACCTGTATGTTACTTAGTTTATAATAATATTATAGAACTTGGACAAACAAGGGAAAATAAGAGTCTAAAACTGAATTTATTCTTTAAGAAAAATTGCAAGGCATAGGATCTGTCAGCAAAATGTCATTCGATTTTTGGTGAACAGTTTTTTTTTCTTGATGTCCGTTTGGGTTGGATAAGCCACAGTGAACTCTTTATAAATCAATGCTACAAAAAAAAAAAATCAAACGAAATTGAAACGAATACCAAATAGTAAAATCCTTTTGGGTTGGGACTTTATCAGCCAGCGTTATAAAGCCCAAACAAAAATGTTGTAAACTTCTTCTTGATTTGATGGTATGGTTAAAACTTCTTACGCATCAACCACTAAAATGATCACAATATAATAAGATTTTCGGGCAGAGTTTTGTATCCTTGTAGAATTAAAATATTTCAAAAGCCATTATGATAGTGGCTTAGGAATTTGTCATTTGTCATATGGCACAGAAGTCAAATCATAATCACAATAACAGGCGTGACTTCTACTAAATTAACTATCGTGATTATTTAATTTTCATACTTGTCATATTTAATTTTCTTAACATCGTGATTATTTAATATAAATTAATAATTAAATGTCCTATTTCTTACAATTTTTTTTTTTGATAAAATGCACAATCGGCCTGATGTGTTGCTTGTGAGTGGGCATCCTGTTTTATAATTACTTAAATTTCAAAATTGGCGTTTCCCGATTGGAGCAGAGAGAGAGGCAATAAAACATGACAACTAAAAAAATATCTACGTGGTTGGTGAAATATTCATGATTTTGTTAGGCTATGGTAAAAAGATATAAAAAATCAAGTACCTAACAAACTATTTCTTTTAAACTCTGAACAAAATAAAAGATCGACATACATTTTGCAGACTGGATATTATATATAACGAAAAAGTGAATATTATATTATGGCTCAATGATTTTGTGTTTTAGGGATCATATTCATATTCCATAGTGGATGTGGAACCAAAGGTCACTACCAAAGTGGACGATGGTACTAAAATCATATTTTTATGACAACAATTTTTTATTAGCTTTGCAATCATCATATATTCATATGGATCATTATAGACTTATAGTACATACGTTTTTATGTATTGTGTACTATATTGTATTTTCTAGCCTTTTCAAAACAACGTGGATATTGATATCAAAATTGTTGTAGCTCGTCGTACGTACGTTATATGGTATCAAACTATCAATATCATCAAAAGCCATGTCGAAGTATAGGAACCTATCCCATGCTTTCATCCAGAACAAGATGACTACCTTATATTCGTGACTACTTACTGACAATTAATTATAGCTTAAAGCATAATCGGCTAACCCAACTTGGTTTTTACTTACTAGTTGATTTTCTAATGGGTTAGTATTATATATACATTGATTTTCTAAATACAATTGATTTATTATATTGTTAAAGACAATTGATTTCAGGATACGGCACACGTCATTATTGAAGTTGCACATGCACATCCTATACATTTGTGATATTACATGTATTATGTAAATGATTGGATAGGAGTAAAATCAAGGAAAGGAACGGTGATAAGATATGCATCGTGGCTTGATACGATATCCAATTTTTAAAAGAGGAAATGAAAAGCTTCATGCGTCAGAAAGATTATTGTCAACCAAATAATCAATTAACTTTTTGGCTTTTGCTCCTAATGTTTTTGACGGTTTCAAGTAGTGGTTCGATGCATTACATACATACATGTACTCTATATTAGTATAATAATCGAAAAAGAATACTACTAACTGAAAGTTTTAAAGGAGGTGGAGTTGGCCAATCTAGCGTGATGATGATAGCGGTTTTGTGTAGGTGTGAAAATTTGACGAAAATGAATCGGACATGCCTACTTGACCTAACGCGTAGAAGACGAACACACAATGACAAAGAAAACGACTATAATACATAAAATATTGCTTTGGACAATACAAAAGTTTTAACTTTTTAAAAATACACCCTACACAAACAGAAAACCCTATGAAAAAACTCATCACTCAAATCGTAGTTAACGTATGTAAACTGTTTCAAGTATATTAACATGAACAAAATTGAAATCACTAACCAACAAAAGTAAGGATGAGTTCTTATTCTTACGAGACAGTCTTGTGAAGAAACAAACAGTTTCATTGCATGACAATAGGCAGAGAGAATCTCTGCCAGGTCAACTCTGTTTCACGATGGGTCCACTTTTTCTTTTGTTTTTTTATGGGCAAAGATTTTAAGCTGATGCAATTGATTCGCTTTACGTTTTGTGAGTATGCAAACACATGTCTCGTCTCGTCTCGTTCAACAAACGCGGAGAAACATCCGTCCGTGGTCCCTTACCATCATACATGTAGCTCTTTTTCTTATAGAATTACATATTTCGCAATTATGGATTCGTCCAAAGAAAAAGAAATTTGGTTTCATTATAGATCTCAAAATTCTCCTGGCTTTTACCTTTTTCATGAGGAAACAAATATTAATGGTAACTCTAGTCCCAAAAAAAAAAACAATATTGGTAACCAACTACACTCCAAAACTTGGTAATGAGTTTAAGAACTTTTTTGATTAAATGAAAACTACCCACACACAAAAAGTCCCTATTTAATTTTCAAAATTACCTAACATAGAGTAATAGAGTACACTTTGATAGAGTAAGAAAGTTTCTAATTTCAAGATAAGACAAGAAACAGACAACAGTGCATGTTCAGTCAACATTCCTGATACACGTGTTACGAGGAAGACAGAGAAGTATCGACACGTGTCCAGATCTTAGCCGTCACATTTACAAGTTGCATGCTCGAGATTCTGAAGAATAACAAAGCTGGAATGTGGACCCACCATTCACGACAATTATCTAATTTTACTGTATTTTTATATTGTCTCTAATTTTATTTCATCGTATGTAACAATATCAATTTATCAAACCAATAATTGTTTTACAACAATATCAGGCTAAAACTCCAGTTTCCTCTTCCATGAACAGGAAAATAAAATTTATATATTTACATCCTCAATTCATAATAATGATACGAGCATGATTATATAAGTTCCGTTAGAACAATTTTTTAAAAAAATTGCTGAACATAAAAATATAATAGTTACTGTTGAACCTATTTAAAATTTTGTAGCTTTTGTGAGTTTAGAAGTAGACTAGTTATCTTTTGCGAAAGAATAGTCAGTAAAAGAGTAAAATTAGTTAGTTATAAGTAAAATTTTGTACATAAAGGTTTCTATTAAATCTTCTAAAAATGTCAAAAAGAGTATTATTTGTTAGATATTACATTTCAAATCTTATGCATGTTATCTGAAACTACACACTTACGTAAATGAGTAGTAGAAGGTATTACAGTTTTATGGTATTTCCAAGAGTAACAATGTAACAATAATTTCTCAAATTAATTTTTAGTTTTAGATTAATTTCTTATGTTATTCTATTTCTTTTATTTATTTTTTATTCGTTTATCTCCTTCGTTGCCATTTTTATTCTACAAAAAGTAGATGTGAGTAGGTCCAGGAGTGGGACCTACCACGAAATCTTTAACAGAGGAGGACTCTGTTTTTCTCTCCTTCCACTGTGACTGTGACGACTATCTCTGAACACCCAACTCCACTCCACTCCACTCTCTCTTCTCTCACCTCTATGCTTTTTTTTTCCTCAAAGCATTTTTTTTGTTGTATTTAATAATTAGAAAGAAAGTTGTGTGTGTGTTTTTAATGGGGGTGACTCGTGAGGCTGAGGGTGAAGGAATATTAATGAAAGACACTCTTCCTCTCAGACAGAAAAAACAAGTTTCTTCTTCTCTTCCTTTAGTTGAATTCTACTTCTCTATTTCTTTCAGTAAGACAAGAAATATCTGCGTTTAAACACTTAGCTTCTGGGAGGTTTCTTGTTCATGAGCTATTTTTTTTTTCCCCTTAATTCATATAGAAGTCGATAGCTTATTCGTAATCATGTGGCAGGTTGATCTGAGTTTGTGATTCTCTTCTTGGCTCTCAAGAGATTTGAGTGTTCAGAGATTTTTAGCTTTTTTTGGTTTTCTTGTTTACGGAAGAAAAAATGGAAGAAGTCGAAGCTGCGAACAGAGCAGCCGTGGAAAGCTGTCATGGAGTCTTGAATCTCTTATCACAACAAACCACTAACCCCAAATCCATAATGGTTGAAACAAGAGAAGCAGTTTCCAAGTTCAAAAGAGTCGCCTCTCTTTTGTCTGGAGGGTTAGGTCAAAGGAAGATTAGGAAACTCAACAACAACCACAAGTTGCTTAAATCTCCTTTGTTGCCGCAACACATCTTCTTGGAAAGTCCCATTTGCAGTAATAATGCTAAAAGTGGTTACATCCCAGTTCTAGCACCAAAGCCACTTCAGATGATACCACCTGCTGCTGCTTGTTATGGTCAAATCCACCCAAAACAGAAACCGGGTCATCATCCTCCACTGATGATGCTTAACCAGAAAATGTGTGTTGACAAGTCGTTCCTCGAGCTAAAGCCACCGTCTTTTCGAGCCGTCGACACAAAAGCGTATCAGTTTATCTCTAACCACCAGCAAGCAGTGTACTCTCGGAGCAACAGTGGTTTAAATCTCAAGTTTGATGGCCCTCCTGGTGGTGGCAGTTGCTACTCCCCAAGCATGTCAAACGGATCAAGATCCTTTGTTTCTTCTCTCAGTATGGATGGTAGTGTGACGGACTGCGATAGAAACTCGTTTCATCTCATCGGATTACCTCAAGGATCGCAGCATTCAAGGAGGACGAGCTGCTCTGGTAGTTTGAAATGTGGAAGTAGGAGCAAATGTCATTGTTCCAAGAAAAGGTGTTTTGATTGTTTTCTTCTTTGAAGAAAAGTTTTTTTTTGTTTGATTCTCTTTGCTTATAAGATGTTTTGTTCATTTGCAGGAAAGTGAGGGTGAAACGATCGATCAAAGTACCCGCAATCAGTAACAAGATTGCAGATATACCTCCTGATGAATACTCGTGGAGGAAATACGGACAAAAGCCAATAAAGGGTTCTCCACATCCTAGGTAAATTATTATACTACATGTTTAGACCATTGGACTTGTTCTTCATATGCTTTGGTTTATATATATATGATTTGCTTTATGTTTTTATGTTACAGGGGATACTATAAATGCAGCAGCGTGCGAGGTTGTCCAGCAAGGAAGCATGTTGAACGATGTGTAGAAGAAACATCTATGCTAATTGTGACTTATGAAGGAGAGCATAACCATTCAAGAATGCTCTCTTCACAATCAGCTCACACTTGATGAACCAAAACCAGAGTCCTGTAGCTGCGATCTGCAATTGTATATTCCACTTGACATGAGGGTGCTTTACTTGGGATTACTCGTTAACTCGGATTCTCTTGCTTCAGTCTTATCTACATATAGAGATAGTTTTAAGTATGCATAATCTTAGAAGGTTTTTGGTTTGCAAGAGTTGTTGATTCAGTAGGTTTAGCTTTTGAGCTAATGTAATGTATCTGCTTGCTATGATTTGGTTCCTCTCTGTTCTCTCCAAGGGCAAACTCTTCAAGAATTAGCTTCACGGCTGCTTAAATAAAAGCTAATCAAACAAGCCAGTCTTAGAATTTTTAAATGAGATTACAACAACAAATAAGTTCATAACACAAACAAATCACAAAATTTCGTCTTCACCATTTTTGTTGTACTCTCTAATCGCAACTAACGACACTAAGTCCGTACAAATCAACGACTAGTATAATTGATGCAGTCTTAAGCTCCAAGATTCATCAACACTTAAAATATACAACTTCAGATTTAAAGGTTACGTAAAATTAAAACCGAAATCATGTAGAGACAGACGTAAAAAGAAAAAAAACAATCAATAATCGCTCAACGAGGACAATTTTGAACAAATACCGGAAATAACCAGAAATCCGAGTTTGGTTTGGTTTTCTCCGGTATAATCGAGTTAGGCTATTAGAGAGCTTCTTCCTCCAGGGAAGCTTCTTGAGAGCACTCATTCATACTCACAGGCTTCAATCCTATTTTACCGACGCTGTGTCGGTTCTGTGAAGACACTGGCTTCTTATTATCTTCACCGGAAGAGTTAACCGCATCGCCACAACTCTTTCTCCGAGACATATTGAGTTTCGGCGACTTAGGACGCGTCAAAGGAAACTACAAAAAAGAGCATTTTCATAAGTTTGCTTGTCACTCACACATGAAAGATGTTGAGATGATCTTGAATCCTAACAAAGATGAGAGATATTCTTGAACCAATGAAATACCTTTTTAAGCTCTGGTTTTACGGGAGGTCCTTGGTAATAGAAGTTAGGAACGGGATTAGCCTTAAACTTGAGGTTTTTTCTATGCTGTTTAATTGCTGCTTCTTGCTCTTCCTGCATAAATTCGTGTGTTCCGATTTAGATTTTTTTCAGAAGCAAAAGAATCATTTACATTTTCTTGATATAGTTACTATATATCGGTTTCTTGCCTTTTGCCTTTGTTCAAGCTCGTTCTTTTCAGCTTCAAGTGCTTGGTGTTTCTCTTCAAGCTTTTGGTAATACTAAAACCCACAAAAAAGACTTGAAAATCAATGAACAGAACAGAATATAAAAACTTACTTGTAGATTGTCTATTTGATTATGAGTTTTATGTTAACACAATTATTATATAGTTAATTACCTCCTTGCGTTTCTCAGCGCGTTGAGCACTCCTGAATCTTGGAGCGGTTCCATGAGTTACTTTAGATTTACCATACCTCAGCGACGTTGCAGCGCTAGAGTAAAATATCGTCAAGAATCACAAACAAAGTAAAGATACTCATGATCACACCTATAACTTGTTAAGCTTCCATGGAAAATAAATAAAAAAGGATACGAAGAGGCAAGAGAACAGTCATCTTCTTCATCCAAATCCTTCTTGTTATTAGGTTGCAACGGCTTCTTTACATCATTCAGATATAACAAACAAAAGAGTCAAAAACCACTTTCATATCTCAATTAATTACACATCCTCCCTCTATTATCATTTATCATCATAATATATTATACAATACCTCCTCCGTGATTACATTAGGAGATTTATGACTCTGAGAGAGAGAATCCTCCTCAGTGCATTCTTTGACCTCATAAACCTCCTCTGCAGCTATCTTGGGAGCCACGTGAACCCTTTCATTAGATGTATCTGTCTTCACCAACTCAACAACTTCTTTTCCCATTCCAACTTCTGCCATATTTTAACCCCCCCAAAAGAAAACAAGATTCTAAAATTAAATTATGCACAAAACATATTCTAACTAAAACCCATTTCGATTAACTCAGATGACAATGTCAATCTGAATCTGCACATTCGGAGCTGATAAGAAAAGACCAGCATAAACCCAGATGATAATGTCATTTTAAGCAGGATTCTTTTTTTTTTTTTTTTTTTTTTGCAAATCACAATTTTTTAATTGGTTGATGAAGAGGGTGAAATTCACAGAGGAAACAGACATTGGCCAATAAAACACACATGGAGATTAAACAGAAATGAGGAAAAAGGAATTGAAAAAAAATCAAACTTATGCACAAATGTAGAAATGGAATCACATTTTCCTCGAACACAATACAAAAGCAGAGGAGAAAACAAAAATTGAAACAAAGAGCTGTGAGAACAATTTCTTACAGATCTTTGCCTGATTGAACAAATTGTTCTTGAGAACCAGTCTTTTTGTCGCTACTCGTTCCGATCTGCCGTGAGGTTTTCTCAGGCAAGAAAGAAAGATTTTTCTTTTACCGTCTCTCTCTCTCTCTCTCTCTCTCTAAAGAAAAGAAGAAAGATTGCTTATAATTTTTTTGGCTGTGACTGTTTTGGAAAAAGTGATTCATTTGTTAAGCTGGTGGTTATTATTTATTGGCTCTGTGTTTTCTTTTTATTTTAATTGTTAATTTTGACTGTTTTTCCTCATTTATTTCTTTTAACAGCCTTTCCTATTTTTAGTAATTTCTTATTGGCAGTTGTCTTCTTCTTCATCATCTTGGCAATTAAATATTCGAAAAGGATATTTGTCCAGTCAAAAAGAAAGTCGTTGTCCGTTGATGAGTTGAAATACTATATTGATGAAATAAAAAAAACACTCACGTTTTCATTATCTAAACTGAAATTAAAACCTAAAAATCAAACTGCATTGCATCTTTATCTTTGACGGACTTACAAAGTACAAATCTCTGTTAATTATACGCTAATTTATATAGGTGTCGACAAATTTGAACAGAAATATTGTCGCGTAGAATAAAACATCCTCGGATAACACGTGAATCGTCTTTTGCTTTTGTCGGCGCTTTTAAGTTCGCGTCGTCAATGTTGAACGACGTTGTTACTTAACGCCGACACGAGAAATAACACTCCCCGACCCAACAACTCTTCTCATTTCGATTCTCTCTCTTTGCCTCTCCAACATAAAACTCATATTCACTCTTATTGGGCTCTTAAACAATTTCTAGGCCCAGATTTTCTTTCTTCTGATAAAAAAATATGCCCAAAATTCTATTGGAACTTCTGTTAGTGAGATGATCCGTATTTCTCTCTTTAAACTCGGTCAACGAACAATCCGACGACAGACACGCGTCACTTTATTATTGGCTTTCTTATACTTAAGGCGCTTATTAAAAACGATTATACGTCTCTTTAACTTCTTTTTTAATTCCCCAAACAACAAAGAGACTTTTCCGGCTATTCGAGGGAAGAAAGAAAGTTTGGGTAAATCAAAAATCGCAATTGAGATTAATGGCGATGGAAATAGCAACTCCGGTTCATGCACCGGAACCAACTCCGGTGAGCAACATCATCGTGTCAGCAACAACCGCCGAGGAATCTCAGAAAAAGAACAGGATTCAAGTTTCCAACACCAAGAAACCCTTGTTCTTCTACGTTAATCTCGCCAAGGTTATCACTCTTCACTGGATAATTTTGTGATTTCAGTTTTGATTTACACTAATCAATACGAAATGTAATATGCATAATCAAGCGATTAGTGATCGTTGTATTCGAGATTTCATTTATCGTGTGTCTCATGCAGAGGTACATTCAACAGCACAACGAGGTCGAGCTTTCTGCACTTGGAATGGGTAGATTTTCTTAGCCAATCATTCAATATTTGCTCTCATATATTTTTTTTTTTTTTTACAGAAATTGATTAATTGTGTATATCATTATACATATGCAGCGATCACAACAGTGGTTACGATATCAGAAATATTGAAGAACAATGGACTTGCAAAAGAGAAAAGTAATTATGTTAAAAACGCATTTTCTATTAACATTTTACTTTGTTATGATAATAAAAAAATTTGTGTGAAACAAACACAGAAGTACTGACATCGACAGTGGGAATGAAAGACGAGAACAAAGGGAGAGTAGTTCAGAAGGCCAAGGCTAGTTTTTTGTTCTTTTTTCGAATTTCTCAAAGTGCTAAGCTATGATCTTATTATATGCATTTGACATGTACAGATTGAGATTGTGTTGGGGAAATCAGACAAATTCGACTCTTTGATGACTCCGGTGACCAATGTTATGGTGCCAAAGAAGGACGAGGAGGAGGAGGAGACGAATGCAGAGGAGAAACCAGCAGAAAGCAAAGCCGAGGTTGAAGGCAAAGACTGATCATCTATAACAAAAACTTGTATATGATTCTTTAGTTATGGATTTCGGCCGAGAACATGTTGCCCTAGCTTCTTACGAAATTCTTTTATTAAAAAAAAAAAAAATTAACCACAACGACGAGCATACTCTGTTTGTGACAGAATGTTTACTTACTAACTCAAAAAAAAATACTATGGAAAGGCAATGAAATGTTGTTTTGTTGATTAATCTTTTTGTTCTCTCTCTTTGTTGAACAAATGACAATGATTTTTCTTGGAGCAAAAGTATATTAATTGTAGGTTTACCATTTTTCATCACGAGCGCTTTGAATGGGGATATAGGCCCAAGATCAAATTATCTAAAGGGCCACTTTTTAGTAGGCCTATGAGTTATATTCTTCTTGAACGTTTTTGTCAAAGGGAGTAAAGTGCAATATAGGTAAGTCATTCATTCACAGTTGACATGCATGGTGTTGTGAAAATCCTTGAAGAGGCTTTTTCACTCAAAATCCAAAATACATGAGTTTTCCAAAATTTATAGAAAAAGTTCAACGAGATCGTATATAATTTAGATAAATGAACCTTACTTGTCATGGCTCGACTTGTAGAACCATATGCAGTATTCGGTGACAAAAAACATGACCGGCCAAAATTTATGATCTCCATTTTTTTGCTAGTGATCTGTTTTAGGTAAACGACAAGTCACAGCCAAAAACGCAACGAACATCTATAACGACATCTAATCATTGATCGCTGCCAATAATTGTTATCACCAGTGATTGGCAATTGGCAAACAAACATGGTCTATACTCAATAGTCACTTGTAATTTGTAAGACCAACTCCAGTGGAGAATTTATTAAAAATATCTTAAAAATATTTTATTATTTTATTTTAGACATTGAGTGTCTTAACTCAACAAAAGTATTTTATTATAAATACTGTGTCTATTTTTTAAATTTCTTTTACTATTTTTTTTATTCATTTTTATTATTAAAATCTTTTGTTTTAGACACCTAAAACTCTCTACTAGAGTTGTTCTAAGAGTACTTAATTCAATGAGTATTAGCATATTGCCGGTTTTTGTTTTACGTATTTAATTTCTGTTGAAAAAAACAATTTGTAACATTTCCTATCAAAGACAACAGAAACCATATCTTATAAATGAATAAAGTCTAGGGAATCCAACATGTGTAGTTCTACTAGTTTATTAGGAAACCATCTAAAGAGACTAATTTCAGTCTCGAGTATTGATAAAAAAAGACTAATTTTCTTGTTCTTGGTCCGAAGAGATTATGGGTCTCTTAAGATCATCTCCAATGTGTTTCTCTATTTTTTCTTCTAAAAAGGAATATTTTAAGAATATTCTCTTTATAATTTATTATTAACACATTCTTTTTATAAAATTCATAAATTAACCCTATTTATATTATTGTTTACAAAAATTTCCATAAATAATAAAAATATATTAAAATTAAACATTTATTTCATAAAACAAAATTCAAAATGACTATAGTATTTGTAATTTTCCATAATTTTCAAAACATTTATTAAATCACTATAGTATTTATCATTTTCTATAATTTTCTGTATTTTTAAAAAATTATTGTTATTTATCATTTTATTTATAATTTAGTTTGAAATAAATGAGAATTTTCTAATTTAGTTATATTATATGTTCACAAAATTTTCTCAAACCATAACAAAAATTATTAAATTTATTTATCTATTGGGTTTTTGTATTTAATAACATACAAAACTGTATAATGTAACTTTATTGACGTATTATTGTACATGTGTATACTATATTGCTATTCATGTTCATTTTTTTAACATGGATTAACCACTTTTATTTATAAATTATATAGTTAATTAAAGTATATAATGTTTTCTGTTTTTCTATAATAATTATTGTCTGAAATGATGTTAATTTTATTAAACTTTACTAAAGTTATTTAACATTTTATAATTTAATTAAATTTATATATTAGATATATGGCTATTTATTGGATATATATAAACTAGATTATGTTATTTAATTTAATTTTTTATTTGTTATATAAATAAAAATAAAAAGATGTAAAAGTTAAGAGATTAGTTTATAAATAAAAAGGTGCATCTCTATTATAGAAGAACAAATAAAGTTCCTCCAAATATAAAGAGAAAAATAGCAATCTTTATTTTAGAGGTAAAAATAGAGATGGAATGGAAAGAATTTTCCTCTAAACTCTATTTTTTACTCTAAAATAGAGATAGATTGGAGTGTTCTCAGTAAGTTAGTTTCATTTAAGAAGAAGAAAAAAAAAAGTCAAGAGAGGGAAGCAATAGAGTTGTAAAAACGGCACGAAGTTAAAAAGTGGAACGATGGGTCATTTAACGTCTTTGAATTTCATGAAAAATGGAAATGAAGATGTGACGTTTCATTGGAAGGGGAAAAAAGCTTCACCCAAACCAAACATGACATGTGAATTTTATGTCCTTTCTCTTTCCTTTTCACCGAATTCTCTTTTATTTTTTATCTTTCTTTTTCACCGAATTCAGTCACATGTTCCCTATGATATATAATAACCTTCGATTTCTTAAACAAGATAAGAGTTTTCTAAACTATTCGCAATTATTCTTGTGAATAATCAGACATGATGATGATCTACATGCTGATTTTTTTTCTAGTTTCTGATCTTTGCTATATTGTATTTGTAGAACCTTTTGTTTTGCTATTGAATTGGTTACTATAGTTTTATACAAGATAATGGGTTTTTGAATTTTTTTTTTTGTCATCTGAATTTTTATTACATAAACAAAGGAGGAATACAGGGGAAGGATACAAAATTTAATACAAAGATGGAAAACTGACACAGATCCGAAATTAAAATACAATTATGAAATACCAAACTACTACAAATGAAAAATACGATCTAATATAGAAGAAATAGCAAACCTAAATAGAGAATCCGATTTTAAACTCCATATAAGTGACAAGCACAGATCTGCAAATCTTCTGAACCTCCTGGGGACCTAGAAGACGAGAGTATCATTGTTGCACATAGCAGACCAAACGATAACACCTACCTTCTCCCGAAAAGATGAGAGACCACCTCTTCATCAACAAGTAACTAACGCTTCATAATCCGGCCAGATCAGATCTATAGATCCTAATAAAAATTCTGGATACGGCAAAGTCGGACACGACCAAGAGCGCTTAGATAGAAGCCGAAAAGAACAGGGAGCAAGGCCAACCCCTCCACCTTACCGACAAAGACAATGGTAGAAGACAGACCGGGAAACGCCACCGGCGAAAAACAGCGAGAACAGAGAAGAAACTACAGAAGGAGAACACACCACCGATGGAAAAAAATCGAAACTCTCTTTTAGAAAAGCTAAAATCTCTAGATCTGAAAACCAGATTTAGATCTGCTTTTGGAAGAAAACCATTAAAATCAGAAATGAAACTGCCACAAAACGAGAAAAGGAAACTGAAAACAAAACAAAACAAAAGGATCGACCAATGTTGTGACTGTGGAAGCCCACACACATCGGCCGATATCAAAACAGATCGGCTAAGGTTCGAAGAAAAGAAGAGAAAAGGCAGAGAGTTTTTGAGTTTATAATTACAAATTGATTGAATGATTTAAACAAACAAAAAAACTTATTCGAGCAAATTAATGGAAGTAGTTATCACTATTTGAGAACGCAAATGTTCTAAATCTTCTTTTTTTTTAAAGATTATTGATTCAAATTGTTACTAAGTAACTTCACAATAACAACTAATTGTTTTGACTGAATGATATAAAAAGTTGTTAACTACAAAATAGAATCTAAAAATTGTAGTTTAGCAAGATTTGATATCATTATAGTCGACCATGATTACCAAACATTTACGGAACTATAAGAAAGTTTAAATTCTCAGCGATTCAAAATTGAGTGGCTGAAGAAAGTGATGAGTTTTTAACAGCGATGGAGAAAAATGTAAGAGGTGTGAAAGAAGAGAGGAATGGGTATGAAAAGTAGGGTGTGGTTTTCATTGTAGAGATCCTAACATTATTTCGATGTCACTCGCTAATCATTAATGCCTTCATACCCACCCACATGTTCCCTCTTCATGTAATTCCAATCAATCTGGTTGGACAAAACACAAACACAAAGCAATATCAATTGTAACCACTTTTCTCAAATCATTGTTTCTTAAGACTCATTCACTTTCTTTTCTCTTTTATCATTACTATTACTAATAGTATAACTTTTTTTTAATCTTCACATCATGTCTATGCAAGTATGGTTCAAGTTCTATAAATGTATTTTGAAAGTTATTGTCATTGGTTTGTACTCGCCACAAAAGACGAACAAAAATATTTTGACAATGTCGATGTTGAAAAGCTAAAAACATTTAACAGAATAAAATGCTATAGATTTTGGGAGAGCAACGACTAACATGCTTATTTTATATAAATTTTACAATAACAAAATTAAAACGCCATGTTAATTCTTAAATACATATATGAGGAGTATGCGTTAGACAAAAGAAGGATGCAAATGAGAGCGAGAGTCTTCCTAACCAGCCAATTCACATAGGCCTATATCATAGCTAGGTCCCATTTTCTGACCAAATTCAACTTCTTAAATATAGTTAGATAAATATATCTCTTTTAACTTTTAATTTTGTAAAAGTAAAACGAAAAATCCAACTATATTTTCAATAAACAAAACTGTTGTACACTCGTTTGTTTGTCTAACGGATGTTTTTTTCAACAAACTATATTTACTTTTATTTGTACAATGTTTAATTGGTAACTGAAAAAGCCTAAATTAGATTAGAGATCAAAGTTTTTGACTGATTGGTAACTATTCTTTTATTTTTAACATTTTTTCTAACTACTATTTTAAACTTTTTTTAAGATTGTTAATTTCGAAAACAGTTCAACGCTAAGGTAACGATTCAATATCATAAGCAAATCGCTATCTCTCGTAAAACAAGAAGATACTAAAAATTCATTTTTCTGTAAGTATTTTATACATATAAAAAAGTACGTGTGGATGGACTTTATTATCTAAAATGCTATGCTATTTTATATAAATATATTTCACATAATAACGTTTCTTTCTTAGTCCAAAGACATCGTATACAAGAATTCGAAATTGGGAGTAGTGCCATTGGATAAGTTCCGTTTATAATTCTTTAATATTAGTATTATTTTGTTTATATTTTCTTAGGAATCTTATTCTAAACATCAACTTTTAAAGAGGAGTCTTGTCGCTAAAAAAAACAAAAAAAAAGGAGTCTTGTCAACCACCTTATTGCAAATTTTGAGAGATAGATTGGACATGACTTTCAGAGATCATGTGAGCTTTTGGGACCCAATCCCTTAATTATTGATCCTCATTTTTTCTCACATATATTTTTTCCTTTGCATCTAAAATTATCACTACGATTCTTTCTGCCATAGGAATTCGAATATCATAAATCCAATATTTGTGACAGTAATTAAGGTTTTCTTTATTTTGTTATAAACAGCAATACCGGTCAAACAATATAAATGAGTTTGGTACAAAATAATATAAATAAAAACTGCAGTTACCGCTATAAGTCTGATTCTCATTCAAATTAGAGGACAACACTCGTTGATATAAATAAGTTTTTGTGACACCAAAATGTTAAAGATCAGAGCAAAAATAATTTATTGAAGGCGATCCATATAAATTCCAATAAGACGCGCCATTGTGTGGTTATTGCCGCTACATTTACATTAAAAAGCATTTATATAACCTGTAAGATGTGGTCCAACAAATCTTGTAAAGTCAATCAAACAACCAAAAATGGTATAATTTTCATACTAGAAAGAAACTTATACATCATTATTAGCAACAACTTTCAATAACTCTGAAACAAGTAGCCGAAGCTTCAAAAGCTTCTTTCGTATCCAAGAATTACAGAAGAATGCAGGACTAGACCAGATAATAATATATATAGCAGCAAAGGTTTCTTTTTGGAATTAAACTTCATTTATATATTGTATATCAAAGTAGAATTATAAGTCCTTTTAACTCTGGTTTTTAGTATTCAACTACTTATTAATATAGCTATCGTTTACATATTCGTTCAAAGTTGGCCCTGACAGACCAACGAAAAGCCATAAATATCTATACATATACACATACGTATATGGGGCCATGGGGGAGACTTATAAATTACAAGCGACGTCAAAAACAAACAAAAAGGGACTTATAGAATTACAAGTATAGCGAGACGGTGTTTTCATAATTCATATCATAATACATCAAATCTATACTAAATTTAGAGTCTCATACGGTCATAACTCACTCCTTACATTTTATCTTCGTAAATATTTATTTTCCTTACTCCTATGAATTTTATTGTGTCGTCCTGCTCCTATGTTTTCTGATTTCTTTTTCTGGTTTTTCCTTTCTTCTCTACGCACTTACTTTGCAAATAACACTATAATTATTTGAAATTTGTTTCAAGATAACTTACCAATTCCTATATCTTCTTACAAAACGTATGTTTGGTCACGAATAAAAGTTATCTTCGTTGAAGAATTGAAACTTCAAAAAGAATGAAACTAGACAACAATCATTTTGAGTGAATAATAGTACCATACATAATTTGTTAACTAGGGTTTAATTTGTTGACGATATTAGTCTACGAAAAAAAGAAGATCTTAATTTCTTGATAACAGACATTAAGTGCATATATATAGTTCGTCATTTTAATTTAATCAAAACTATGATCATGCTAAAAGTTTGTTAGTTATATATGGAGAATGAGAAGTTGTTGGTAGGTAGAAACCCCAAAAACTTTAGTTCATTAAAATTATTCGAGAAAATAGTATTCAATATAGAGCACGCTTGGATATATTTCTTGTCAGATATAGAATCTAACATTTGGTAAAGACATATCTAAGTACTATAATACATTTAGATATGTAAAAATAAAATAAAAAATATACGGAGTTGTTCTTGTTTTTATTAGAAACCGAAACCCAGTAGTACTGTCACTTTGCCATTAAGCATTTCTCATTACTTATTTATAAACCGACAATTAACAAAACTTGCCAAATTTTAGGCGAGAAAAGACATAAAAATATACGTGGACATCACATGTTTGACACATCGGAGTTATGTAGTTATGGTCGTTTGCATGTAAAATGTGTCTTTCTCATTTATTTTCCGTGCTCACTTTAAAACTAGAGTTAAAACGATAATACTAAGGATTTTATTTACTTTCGATAAAAAGGTGCCGTCGCCATGGTATTATATAATATGGCAGAAGAAATCTATTTTGGTTGAGTAAAATATATTTGATACAGCACATTTTTGGTATAAACATGTTAATTATTTTCCACTAGGTGTTTTTCTCGCGAATAAGAAAAAAAGAAAAGAAATCAGTTTCAGTTCTCTCTTACTCTTTTTCAGAAGAGAAAAAAAGCACACACATCAGAATCATTATTATCACAGAAAAAATAAACTTTATTCAAAAAAGAAAGTATAAGTCTTTAATCATAAAAATGGAAGTAGAAACATAAATAACAGTGCGTGAAAGAAGAGCGCGTGGGGAAGATTGCGAACCAGCTGGAATCTCAATATGACGTCATAAATCTGCCTAACTGACAAGAAGTGTTATTTGGATAGAAGCGGTCTTTAAAAGACCGACGCACATATTCTTCTTCAACGTGATTCTTCTTACACGTACAACGTTTCATTTATTTCTATAAATTTTCGTAATTCCATGTATTCATTATTCTAACCACCGAAGTCTCAGCTCAAAAACTCAACAAGTTTCATTATGAATCTATTTTCCAATGTCTTGGTGGATTTCTTATTAAGCGTTCAAATATTAGCTAAACAAAAGTTACACGTTTGTTTATTTATCTTTAAGTTGTAACACTTTTTCATGGAAACATATTCTACACCAACCTCAAATAATTAGCAATAAAGCTTATAGCTATTGTATAAAATCTAAGGTGGTCAAAAAAAAAAAAAAAAAAAAAACCTAAGGTGGTCATAATGGGTTACAAGAAATAATCATTTTCTGATATTAGTCTGACGCGATAATTGCCACTTGAATTCCTTAAGCTAGATACATAGTGTATCTTATTAGAATAGATGGTTTGCTTGCTTTGATATAGTTTGATGATTGGTCTTAGATATTGTACCTAAATGAATTGATGCTTTGTTAGCGTTTTGAAACCCGATGATCAACTTTCATAATTTCAATCTACAGTGAACAGCTTTTTGTGTTGGTCTGATGTGGAAAAACAGTTGTATTGTTAATTCTGTTCTTACTGTTTTTAGTTTGTTTTAGAATATATAAGTACCGTGGAAACACTATTGCTTTAATTATTGTCTCCTAGGCATAATGAATCGGGAAAAGAAAACAAGTCATTTATCCTCCTTGCAGATTAATTAGTGCTCATTCATAAACGCTAAAGAATTAACTATACTATAGTTTTGAGCTCAAATATTTAATCAAACCACATTAAAAGTAGAGCCTCCGTGGTTCATATATGCAGAAGGAATATCTCGGATCCATTTTTGGTATCAACGAATAAGGTGTTAATTTATACTATATAATTACATCTACTAGACTACTTAACGTGGAATTAATATAACCACGCAAAGTTAATCTAGCTGTCAAAACTTTTTCTTTTAAAATTTCCGACCATCGAAACGTACTTCAAGAACTCGGACAAAAAATAATGATAATGCGAGGGACTTGCAAATTTTTACTACCAAAGCATTTTAAAAACTTTCGATATCCTTTTGGTCAAGCTAGAGATTTCAAAGTTTCAAACCAAGGGCAAGTGGTACCCAGCAATGTTATGTTTTTAATTGGTCCATATATTTTGTTTTAAAATAAAATGTGATTGATCCTTAGAGTTTTATCATCATTTATAAACATCTCCAAGTCTCCATAGTTTCAAATTAGCATTATATACTAGACTCAAAATTAGTTTGGACTTCATCTAAATTTGTTTCAGTTACACAAATTCAAAGTTAACAAAATTTTATTAATATTTAGAAGTTATTTGTAAATTTTAGTATAATAGATTGACTATTATAACAAAGTAGTAGCTTTTATATAATTTACATAAACATTCTACGAACTACTAGACTTAACACTCCAATCAAATAAAAATATATAAAAATCAAATTCATTGATATTGTAAAGAAAGTAGAAGATATAACTGCTGAGCATACAACATTTAGTATATTTTTGCACCAAAATATATTTGATTTTCTTAGAAATATGCATTTTCCTCCATGGCTCCGTCATCATCCACTCCATTCACAATAGACCTTCTGTAAATAGATATACGGAGGAGTAAATACTCTTGTTTAGACGTGTTCTACGATAAAATAAGAAGCTCTTTTATCAAAAAAAATATTAATAAATAAGAAGAACCTCGCTATAGTTAAAGGGTTCAAACTTCAAAGTAATAAACAATTGAATGAGACATATATAAATGGAGTGTATGTAAAGGTCTCACGTCTCTATAATAAGCATGACTCGTCACGTGACCTCCTCTTCTTCGCAGAGACAGAGATAGGATGAGACAGAAAGAAACCAACAAAACCAAACCCCAAACCCCAAGAAAAAGAGAAAAAGACTCTCTCTCTCTCTCTCTCTTTCCTCTCTCTCTCTATTTAAGAGACTTCACTGTCTCTCTCAGTCTTTTAACGCAAAACAACTTTTGTGGAGGAGAGAAAGCGAGATAACACACACAGACAGATACACATCTTCAATAGTAAAGAGTTTTCTATATACAGAAGAAGTGAGAGAGAGACACAGATACAAAAAGTTTAAAAGCTCCCCCTCTCTCTCTCTCTCTCTCTCTCTTGGTGTGACTTCTCTTTTTCCTTTGGGTTTAGTGGTGGGGGTTCTCTCTATAAAACATTTTTGTAACATATATAAAAATAAAAACAAATAAGAATAATCAGGTTTTATATAAAATAGCAAAAGAAATGCAACAGCACCTGATGCAGATGCAGCCCATGATGGCTGGTTACTACCCCAGCAATGTCACCTCTGATCATATCCAGCAGGTTTTCTTCTTCTTCTTCTTCTTCTCCTTCTTCTTCTTCGACTACTTCTATTATATTATCTCTTTCTTTATTATATGTTTCCTTCAGTTTAAAATTAGAAGAGTGATGAAAACTCGCTTGCAAGTATCCGAGAGACCCTTTTCTTTTCATCTAACAACATATTTAAATGATTTATTTTCTCATGGATGTAATTAAAATGAGATTTTGATGGGTTCTTTTTGTTCTTAGTTTAGTTTTTGCTATAGTTTTAGTATATCTGTGCAGTAGTGTCTCATAAATCGGCTGGTAGATGTTTTAGTCTTTTGTATTGTGCATCAGCTTTTATTTATTTTACCATGTCACAAAATGATTGATTTCAAGTTATTTTATCATTTTGCATCTCTTTTATTTTTCTTTACCTGTTTCGACAAAAATCATTTGTCTAAACCGGACAAGCTTGAGAAATATTCATTAAAACTAAGATTTATGAGACCTTTCTGGGAAAGTTTATGTCCTTGCAACGGTTGGATAGATTCTCTCTATGAAAACCAGTTTTAGGGTCCAGCTGTTTTGAGTTCTTGAAACATGTAATGGAAAACAATTTGCAAAAACAGACAAATCTTGGGAACTGAAGATTGTTCACATTTCTCGCTTTCTTTCTTTGTCTTGGTTTTCGGGTTCTGGAAGTTTCATTGATGGCAAAAACCACAAAGCCATTTATGTGAATTTGGTGGTCCTGTTTAGATTGTTATCATTAGATCTATGTGTATTTGCAGTCCAAGTGTTCCTTCTTTTGCTTACATGACCAGATATACTTTGTGGTCCGAGACGACATCTGGTCCTTATCTCACTTTTGTGGTCCTCAAATCTTTTCGAAAGAAAATCTTTCATACACTTTTGTGATGTTTCAACGTTTTTGTCTTTTGAAAACTCGGAATCTAAAGTACTGGGGTCACCTCGAGTTTTCTATGTCTTTATTCCAACAAATAAAGGATCAATTTTTTTATTATGTTTGTACCACTTCTGATTAATGAAGTTGATGATATTACTAATCTGTAGTACTTGGACGAGAACAAATCGTTGATTCTGAAGATAGTTGAGTCTCAAAACTCGGGAAAGCTCAGCGAGTGCGCCGAGTAAGAAGAAACATATCTCCTTGACTTCTCTTTTGTTCTGTTGTATAATAGGAAATGATCAAACTGGTAAAACCTAATGTTACAGGAATCAGGCAAGGCTTCAGCGAAACCTAATGTACTTAGCTGCAATTGCAGACTCTCAGCCTCAACCTCCAAGTGTGCATAGCCAGGTAAGCAGTTAAACAAGAGAACTGAGAACGGATTCAAATTTGTTGTATGAAACTGCAAAACTCAATTGGTATATTTGGCAGTATGGATCTGCTGGTGGTGGGTTGATTCAGGGAGAAGGAGGGTCACACTATTTGCAGCAGCAACAAGCAACTCAACAGCAGCAGATGACTCAGCAGTCTCTAATGGCGGCTCGATCCTCAATGCTGTATGCTCAGCAGCAGCAGCAGCAGCAACAGCCTTATGCAACGCTTCAGCATCAGCAATTGCACCATAGCCAGCTAGGGATGAGCTCGAGCAGCGGAGGAGGAAGCAGCGGTCTCCATATCCTTCAGGGAGAGGCAGGCGTGTTTCATGATTTTGGCCGTGGGAAGCCGGAAATTGGAAGTGGTGAAGGCAGAGGAGGAAGCTCAGGCGATGGTGGAGAAACCCTTTACTTGAAATCATCAGATGATGGGAATTGAAAGTAGTGCGTGGCACAAGGAATCTATATGATGAAGCAGCGGCAGCAGCAGAAGAAGTAGTAATTGTAGGAGTCTGAAGTTAGTGCGTTTTGGTTTTGTTGCTTGTTGGAGAAGCAAAAGAACTCTTTATTGTCTTTTTTTTTGTGTTTTTTTATTTTTCTCTATGTTTTGTTCCCTAAGAAAAGTGAACTCTTTCGTGGTTGTGTACCATGTAAATCTGCTCGCTACCAGTTGTGTCGTAATCTTAGTATGTTATTTCTCAAGTTGTGTCAATTTACTTTGTGATCTACCCATCTACGCATACCAACTTCAGTTCCAGCAACCACTTAATCAAATCACATCCGGTTAGGCTCAAACCGATTTTGGTGAACATTGGTTAGTTGAGCTTTGATTATTCAGTTAGAAAAGTGTCATAGCTAGCTTGTTGATTAAACACTTTGTGAACAAAACCTTTTCATAATCCTTCTTCATCGTTTTTGTGAGAACTTTTTTTTTTTTTTGGGGGGGGGGGGATGCAATTAGTAAATTTTTTTCCAATTTCTAATTCAACATTACATTTAAATCTGTGAAAACAAAAGAAAAATACAAATGCTAAATTTGAGAGCAAGTTCAGGTTACATTACAACAAAGTGATCACAAAATAAATTGTTCTTCTTCAAAGGCTTCAGCGATCATCGAAATGAAAGCACTAAACTTGCCTCCCTCTTCTTCATCCCCACCATCATCTCCTTCGTCTTCTTCTTCTTCCTCTTCCTCTCCCTCCTCCTCTTCTTCTTCTCCCTCCTCTGCTCCTCCTCCTTCCTCTTTTCCACCGCCTCCGTTGTGGCCCTTATGCTTCATATTCTTGAGGGTGGCTCCGAGACCAACCATCGCTGCAGCTATCTTCTCTCTCTTTGATCCTTCTTTCTTCTTGTCTTCCTCTTTCTCGTCCTTTGAGTGATGGTGGAGGTGGAATATGCTTCTATGCTTATGGGATTTTGCCTTCTTTTTTTCCGGGGACGACTCTCGGATGCCTCGTTCGACGTGAGCAGCCTCCACGGTTTCATGTAATCGTTTGTCCATCCTCTCTCTTTCTTTCTCCTTTGTGTTTTTTGTTTTGTTTTTCCTTCTCTTAAAACCGTGCTTTGAGGTAATAGACCTTTTGAAAATTTATAACATACAGCACACGTAGAGATGGTTGGGCTGCCTTTCACATTGTTCCAATTTCAAAGACCCAAACTAGAATGAAATCTTAGAATGAGATTTGGTCAAACAAGCATAACCGTTGAAATACAATTAATGATGATCTTCATCCACTTGGACTTGGAGATACTACTCCATATGTTTGGTAGTGATAGTTAATGCTTATTGGTGGGTGATACTGAATGACTATATGCATATGATGGTTTTGATGCAGGAAAACAAATTGATGCAAAATACTTAATAATTAAGTACATTGTTCAAATAGATAATATCATAGATTCACTCAGGTATTTCTACACGTACAAAATAATAATGATACATGGATTTTTGATACGGGAGCAACTGACCATATGACATATATCAAAATCAGACTCTTTTTTTTTTTTTTTTTCTGAATTTGTTAATCCAAAAAGATGGTTTATACCACATAGATGATGTTCAAACCGGTCACTGCCAATCTTGCGGCCCAATAATCGGTTAGGTCAATTGTGGTTGTGGCATCATCGATTAGGTCATTCTTTTTTTTTGGCTATACGAAACACATCTACGCAGGTTTCAGTTCCAGCAACCACTTTTCAAATCACCTCCGGTTCGGCTCAAACTGATTTTGGTAAATGTTGGTTAGTTGAGCTTTGATTATTCAAGTTAGAAATGTGCTATAGCTAGCAATTTATTAATCCTCTATATATTATGCACTTTGTAAACAAAACCTTTTCATAATTTTTCTTCATCGTTAATTTGTCCTTTCTTATACTGATTTGAACGGTAATAATATTTTTGTTTTATCTATTTCTGTAGACAGATTTGGTATGTTAAAGTATATAGACTGAAAAAGTCAACCAGCTTAAATAATTATGCAGCTATGGTCTTTTTTCTTCTGGGGGATGCAAATACGCACTTCTGTGTTTTATATTTTTTCAATTACAAGATAAGTCAATCCGTCATAGTTTTTTTTTTTTCTCTACTAACAAAATGTATATTTTTCTAGATAGGCAATTTGTTTTTGTTAATTTTGGTAACACTCGTAGTGGCAAAGAAATAGTAGTATATAATCTGGCGATCTAGTGCATTTTACAAAGACATATTAAAATCAAGAATTTTGTTTTTCCCATTTTCTAATTCAAAATTACATTTAAATATTTGGAAAGAGTAGAAAAATTACAAATGCTAAATTTGAGAGCATGTTCAAATTAAATTACAACACGGTGATCATAAATCAAGCTGTTACTCTTCAAAGGCTTCAGCGATCATCGAAATGAAAGCACTAAACTTGCCTCCCTCTTCTTCATCCCCACCATCATCTCCTTCGTCTTCTTCTTCTTCCTCTTCCTCCTCCTCTTCTTCTCCTCCCTCCTCCGCTCCTCCTCCTTCCTCTTTTCCACCTCCTCCGTTGTGGCCCTTATGCTTCATCTTATTGAGGGTGGCTCCGAGACCAACCATCGCTGCAGCCATCTTCTCTCTCTTTGATCCTTCTTTCTTCTTCTTCTTGTCTTCCTCTTTCTCGTCCTTTGAGTGATGGTGGAGGTGGAATATGCTTCTATGCTTATGGGATTTTTCCTTCTTTTTTTCCGGCGATGACTCTCGGATGCCTCGTTCGACGTGAGCAGCCTCCACGGTTTCATGTAGTTGTTTCTCCATCCTCTCTCTTTCTTTCTCCTTTGTGTTTGTTTCTTCTTCCTTCTCCGGAATCGTGCTTTGAGGTATTTTTGTGTTGAATATGCACACTTATAAGCACGGTCCATGATCCACCACTTGCATCTTAAATTTATAATAAAATTAATATAATATGCTGTCAATCATTTCACTAGCTATTTTTTTTTTGGCACCAACGCTTTGACTTTCATCCACTCTTGACCGAGCAAAATTGATTAAGAAATAAGAACATTAATTAGTGCTCGTTGGTTTAAACTTTGGACATGAGTTGAATTAGTCTCTTTTAAGTAAACCAAATGGGTGCTTTTAGTATTTCATTTCTTGGAAACACTCTTTCAAAGTAGAGGCGGGAAATGGGAGACTCAAAATAAAATGGAGGTCTTCTAATCCATACTATTAATTAAGAATCATTTCAATGTTAAACATTTAATGTGTTATATTACATGAAATACCATTGCATTTTAACCTATTCTTTAGAATTTCATTAATAGCAGTTTAGTCATTTGTTAATTCAAACACTCTTTCAAAGTAGAGACAGGAAATAGGAATTTAAAAGTTCAAAATAAAATGGAGGTCTTCTAATTAACTATTTATAACATACAGCACACATGGATGGTTGTGCTGCCTTTCACATTGTTCCAAATCCAAAGACACCAATTTAAAATGAAAACTTAATGAGACTTGGTCAAGCAAGCATAACAATTGAATATACAATAATGATGACTTTCATCCACTTGGACTTGTAGATACTCCATATATATGTTTGGTAGTGATAATTAAGGCTTATTGGTGAGTGAACTGAATGACTATATAACCATATATGCATATAATGGTTTTTAATGCATAACAAGAAAACAATTGATACGGACGTAACAAATAAAGTAAGTGCGGCTCATGAAAAATGAAAATAAGAAAAAAGTGTAAAAGCAACGGAATTTTGTTCAAAATGCCGCAAAGCTACGAGAAATTATGTTACTCAAAATTGTTGAAATCATGATCATCTGATGGTCTCTGGCCTCGTGCGCATATATTCAAAAAAAAATTATGCTGTATCACAGCATTGTTCGTCACCTTCTATAGAGACTATGCATTAAAAGCAACGAGTTTCTTAGAAAGAAATAAGAACATTCATTCGTCTAGCATTGTTATATTTGTAATTTGTGGATTTGACTGTTAATGAGAACCAGCCTCTTTCACGTGAATCTTTTTTTCTGATTGAATTGGTCCCTATATATGTTTTGTTTTCAAGTTTCCTTGCATTGCATCGGTTGTTCTTGTTGTTTATCAATTATGTCTCGACTCTATTTCTTTAGAGTTAATGGCGTCTAAAGACCATTAAGAGTTACATATATATGCCTTACTTGATCATATTGTCTCGGTAAAGACATTAGCAAGAGAAGTGTATGACTTAATCCTCGTATGTAGATAGTATTTACCATTTTCAAGATGTCTATATCGACCGCTAAAATCTTCTGAAATTTCAAACCATAACTTTTTGCTTTAAGTAAATTATGTTAGCTGTTAGAAAAAAAGCTGCTACAAAAAAAAGTAGATTATATTAGATGATAAATACAATTGATCTAATAAAACCAACAAGATTTTTTAAGATTACATTAAAAAGCCAACAGACTCGTTGATCAGAACGATAGACAGACATACACTAAACCATTAGAGGATTGATTATCAGCACCTAATCACAAATGTGACTCCAACACACTCATTTTTTACTGCTTCCAACATCATGGCAAAGGGGAGAAAAACTCAAATCCGAATCCAAATCTTAACCGAAACCAAACCGGAAAAATCTGTATTTCCACCCACTATATAGGTAAAGTAGAATTGAAAGAGAAGGTAACAACAAGAAGAAATACTATCCATAAACCACAAAATTTTTGAAAAAATTAAAAAATTAAATAAAAAAAGTTTTTGATCTTAATATTTTATATATACTGTGTACTAACTAGCAATTGCCATTCTACCCTTTGGGCACACACACATACACATTTTATTTATTTTTACCTTTTTTTTCTTTTCTTTGTTGTAATTTGTAAACGTTTTCTTCTTCTCTCTCTTCTTATTTGCTTTCAATTTTATTAAAAACAAAGTTTTTTTTTTCACATGTACCATATAATTTGAATTTTTAAAAATGATTAAATTTCTCAAAATATGGATAATAATTGTAATTAAAAATTTAATATTCTATATAGAACAAAATATTATTCTATTATATTTATTTATATATGCAAACCATAAGATATACTAACTATTTAAAGAATAAGAACACTAAATTAGGTTAAGATTTAGGTTTTTTAGTTGATTTTGGTTTTATATTTTTTTTTGGTTTAGTATTTTACATATAAAATGATTTATGTAAGTCTTATGGTAAATAATTTAATTCTATTTTGTATATAGTCAAATATGTTTTATAACATTTCTATTTAAAATTGTTTTTGTAGGTACATATTTTCCTTCAAACAGCCAACTAAATAATTACTTACCTTGTTTAAAATCTTGACTAGCTACATAAATGAACTCTTTAATGAATTACTAACCATTGACCAAAACATAAAAATAAATTACTAACCAAAAAGAAGAAAACAAAAAAAGGCTGAGAAGTCAAGATACTGAAGTCAAAAGTTTGATCCAACGGCTGAGAACACATCAAAATCCCAGACGACGACAACACGATAAGCTGATAACTCTTTCTTTTATTATGGAAAAAAAATAAATATCCGTAAAGCATAAAACCCTAAAAGAAAATGAAAAATTAAGAGAAAAAAAAAACAATTTTATTTTCTCTCTATCTAAAAAGGAATGGAACCCAACGAAAGGCACCACCACCAAGAGCAGCAGCAGCATCATCTCACTTCTCCTTACTACCATCCTTTCCATCACCACCACCACCACAATCCGACCACCGTCTCCGCCGCACCGGCAACCAATTCCGCCGGGAACTCGATTCCATCCTCCAACAATGGTAATTTGCCACCACCACCAAACGATGGCTCTTCCTCTCTTGCGGTTTACCCTCACTCGGTGCCGTCTTCGGCTGTGACGGCTCCGATTGATCCAGTCAAGAGAAAGAGAGGGCGTCCCAGGAAGTACGATACACCTGCGCAGGCCTTGGCGGCCAAGAAATTGGCATCTTCTGCAAGCAATTCCTCCGCTAGAGAAAGGAGAGAGCAAGCCGCCGCTGCTGCTGCCGCCGGCGTTTCTCCTCTGTCTAAATCCGGGTCGAAAAAATCCCTTTTGGGCTCCGTCGGTTCGTAATTCTCTCTCTTTCCGACGAATCCAAAAACCCTTTTCGCTTTCTCATCGACTTGTTGAAAAATTTGATGCAAAGGATTGAATTTTCTGGTGAAAAATTGATCTTGAATCATAAATGCTTCGAGTTCTATGTGAATTATGCGGATTTATCGAAGTCCTTTATAGCCATTGACATTCGACTACACTGTTAGTTTCCGTTTTTAGCTCCTAACTCCTTCCTAGGGATGATCTGCAAAAGTGCATAACTTTTTTCTTCCTGTTTTGGTATAGAACTCTTTATCTTGTATATATGGATCTTTAATACTCTGACTGTGAGTTTTCATAGACACTCTCTGCGCTTCCAAATCTGTAATTTCTTCGAGCCAAAATCTTGTGTTTAAGGAAACATTGAAGGAGTTTGCTGGAACTCGTCTCTCTGACATCGCAAGATTCTTATTTCTAACATTGCATCATTTTGCTGTAACTCCTCTCTCTGATACATGGCCTTTGTTTCCATTTAAATTTGTGGCAGTACCAATCATATAAATCTTGCGATGCTCGTCGTTGAAGTTTTTTTTTAAACATGGCTGATGCGTTCATATCAAAGTTTCAAATCAGTTAATAAGATCAACTGATCACTAATATACCTTCTAGTGTATTGCGCTCCTCTTTGATAAGTTTTTTTCTTGTTACAGGGAAAACTGGGCAAAGTTTTACTCCACATATTGTTAATATAACTCCTGGTGAGGTGAGTATTTTTTTCTTCTATACGATAAAGGCCTTCTTATGGGACTATGATTAGTTTAGAACTTCGAATCTATTTGTTTAAACGCAATATAGCTTCAGTTGAAATCAGGTTTGCTAGAGAGCTCCTTCATTAGTTGTTCTGTTGTTTTACTGATGCTAATACATATTGGATCGATTTTTAGCTGTCTTCTCATGTGCTTTGCGGATTAATTTGATAGGATGTGGCCCAAAAAATTATCCTTTTCGCTGAGCAGAGCAAGCATGAGCTATGCATTCTTTCTGCATCTGGCGTCATCTCTAGTGCATCCTTGTCTCACCTCGCATCAGGAACCAATGTATCTTACGAGGTGATTCTCTTGTTGCTATCTATTCCCTCTAAACAAGTTCTTGAACTGGCTTCGTTAAAAAAGATTGAGCACTTTGGTTACTCTGAAAAGAAACGACCTCTACATTTTTCTTATCTTATTCTGTGAGCTGAGGATAAATTAATTCTCTGCTCAGTGTATGTTTAGAGCCTTTGCAATCCGTTTCTTTTGGGAACTGTTTAATTTCAGAATCCGTGTGTCAAGTACAATATGTGTTTGAGCAGTAAATGCATGCTTTATCAACCTCCATCACAGCTAAAGAATCTTACGTAGTTGTGACGTACATGCTTGAGAGTTGCATATGATCATCAACTTGCTTCAGAATTACAATTTTTTATTCAGGGTCAGTACGATATCATCTCACTGAGTGGATCTTATATTCGGGGGGAGCACGGTGATAAAACTGGTGGCCTTAGCGTTTGTTTATCTAGTTCAGATGGTCAGATCTTCGGTGGAGGAGTTAGGGGACACCTGAAGGCTGCTGGTCCTGTTCAGGTACCTTTTTCCTCTTGTCTTACAGTTTGATTTACATGTGTGCCCGTTGCACACCTCTGAGTTTATTAAATGGGGTTCCTTGAGTATTCGCCACGTTTGATATGATACTCTGGCTTTGGTTTCCCCTACAGGTGATTCTTGGTACGTTTCAGCTAGAGAGAAAGAAGGATGGAAGAAATGGAGTGAAAGGGGATGATGCTTCCGGAAGTGGAAACATGCTACCTTCTCCTTCTGGTACAGAATCTCTGGTTGGGTTTCATCCTGGTATGGAATCTTCCGGAAGAAATCTAAACGATGAGCATCATAGTATTACGAGTAGTGCATTGGGTGGTGGAGCACATTTCATGATGCAACCGCCTCATGGCATGCACATGACTCATGCCCGACCTTCTGAATGGGGCGGTACTGGGTATGATTTGTCAGGTAAACAAAAAAAAAGCTAACAATTTTACTCTCTTTTTTTTTCGTTTGTATCTTTGAGTATCTTTGGGGATCTTTTGGTAGAGATTGGTAAATAAGTACTTAGCATACTGTGTTGTCGACCATTTAGTGAGACAGGGTCATTTCAAACCTAATAAAGACTGTTTATGTTTGGACTGTTGTGGTGGACTTACGGATGTAATGTTGTGCAGGGATGAGAGGAAATGGGTCATCAGAAAATGGAGATTATGAGTAAATGGCAGATTAGTACTGATTCAAGTTTCGGAAGAAGCGTGTAGAGAGGTTTATGATCGAAACAGAAGCTGAGCATGAATCAAGGTGCGAGAGTGGACTTATCGTCATCATATAGTGTCTGAAGATTTTTTTCACTGCAAAGGCAGAGAGAGAGAGAGAGAGAGAGAGAGAGAAGACAGTGATGCTTTTGTTCTTGGTTTAGTGTAATTTTTATACTCCGTTTTCTGGATTCTGTTTCATTTCATCTTTTTTTGTTTTTGTTTCACAAAGGAATTGGTCATTTTAGAAATATAGACAATTTGTTTGATAATTGGCTTTTAAGTTTAATCATGCGTTTTCCTTTTTTTTTTAATGTGTAATGAGAAGGTGTGTAAAAATCTCTTGTGGTAAAACCTGATTAGGTGCGCCACGATCGTACGGTTAAATTTGATTTTTTTTTGGTTTGTTTCTGTGTAATTTCGCAATGGGGGAAAATTAAAGAAAAGAAAAGTCACAAAAAAAAAAAAAAATCCCCAAACAGTGAGAGCCAAAACCCAGAAAAAACCAATGTCGAGAGTTCGAACCTCAACGCGGAGAGTGCTCTATCACACAGATTAATCCTAATTGAAGAGATCTAATTTCTTTACGGATTTTTATTTCTGATTCTCCTTGCAAATTGTTCGCTTTCCCGATTGTTCCTCTCCTGCTTCGAGTGGCAGATCGTCGTTTCGGTAATCAGAGAAGCAAAGCAGATATCGAGGTCCTTCTGGGGAGAGAGACGGTACCAGAGTCTGAGCTAGGGTTTCTCGGGTTTGGCATCTACTGGCCCCTATCTTCTTCTAATCTATAACCTTGTAAAGGTTTTCCCCTTGGCGATGGCGTTGAAACCGTTGAATAACATCTGGATTCGGCGTCAGCAGTGTCCTTGCGGTGATTGGAAATGCTATATTAGGGTCGACGGAGATGATTCAAGCTTCCAGGTAGCTAAGAGCGAGATGGAAACATCATCAACAACATCGGCATCATCACCATACGATACTGTGTTCATGCCTTACGTCGGTCAAATCTTCAGAACCGACGACGAGGCGTTTGAGTATTACAGCACATTCGCTAGAAAGAGCGGTTTCTCGATTCGGAAAGCACGATCCACGGAAAGCCAGAACCTAGGAGTCTACAGGCGAGATTTCGTTTGTTATCGTTCCGGTTTCAATCAGCCGAGGAAGAAAGCCAATGTCGAGCACCCTCGCGAACGCAAGTCCGTGCGATGCGGATGCGACGCCAAGCTGTATCTGACTAAAGAAGTTGTTGAAGGAGGCACTCAGTGGTATGTCTCGCAGTTCAGCAATGTGCATAACCACGAGCTTCTTGAAGATGACCAAGTGAGGCTTCTCCCCGCGTATCGTAAGATCCAGCAATCTGATCAGGAGAGGATTCTTCTGCTCTCTAAAGCTGGTTTCCCGGTGAATCGGATAGTGAAGCTGCTTGAGCTAGAGAAGGGTGTTCAGGCTGGGCAGTTGACTTTTATAGAGAAGGATGTTAGGAACTTTGTTAGGGCGTGTAAGAAGACTGTTCAAGAGAACGATGCTTTCCTCACCGAGAAACGAGAGACGGACCTGCTCGAGCTTCTAGAGTCGTGCAAGGCGTTGGCTGAGAGAGACGTTGGTTTTGCATATGACTGTACCTCAGATGAAAACCATAAAGTTGAGAACCTTGCGTGGGCTTACGCTGACTCTGTTCAGGCTTACTCTATGTACGGCGATGTGGTTGTTTTCGACACCACATATCGGTCAACCACCTACGGCTTGCTCCTTGGGGTTTTCTTTGGCATAGACAACAATGGCAATGCGATTCTTTTGGGATGTGTTTTGCTGCAAGATGAGATCTCCCGTTCTTTTACATGGGCTTTACAGGTTTGTGCATCCAAATTTACTGTAATTGTCGAGTTTGAGAGTACATTTAATGTATATACGTTCTTATATTGGACAGACTTTTGTTCGTTTCATGAGGGGAAGACACCCTCAGACGATTTTGACGGATGTAGACACAGGACTTAAAGATGCTATTGCGAGGGAACTGCCAAACACCAACCATGTGGTGTTTATGTGGCACGTTGTCTCTAAACTAGCAAGCTGGTTTTCTGAGACTCTTGGGTCGCACTATGATGAATTCAGAGCTGGGTTTGAGATGTTATGCCGGGTGGGGAATGTAGATGAATTTCAACGGCAGTGGGGTCTCCTTGTCACTCGGTTTGGTCTTGTTGCAGATAAGCATGCGGATTTGCTTTATTCTTGCCGAGCAACCTGGTCACCTTGTTACATCAGAGAACATTTCTCAGCTCTAACCATGACCGCTGAGTTTAATCTGTCTATAGATTCTTTCTTGAAAAGACTCGTCGCTGGACCTACATGCATGCAACTATTTCTCGAAGAGGTTTGTGAATTTACAGTTTTAGCTAAATTTCAATATCGTTTTCATCGCTGCCTTGAGTTCATTATTCTAGAGAGCATGCAGGTCAGTGCTGCTGCCAAGCAAATCCCTCCGCGAGTGCCTTATCCGAGCATGAAAACAAGTATGCCTATGGAAGATCATGCAAGGGGCGTTCTGACGCCTTATGCCTTCAGCGTGTTACAAAACGAAATGGTTCTGTCTGTTCAGTACGCTGTCTCTGAGATGGCCAATGGTCCGTACATATTACATCACTTTAAGAAAATGGAAGGTGAATGTTGTGTGTTCTGCAACCCGGAAAACGAGGAGATCCATTGTTCATGTAAGGAATTTGAGCATTCGGGAATCTTGTGCAGGCATTCTCTTCGAGTGCTGGCCGTGAAGAACTGCTTCCATATACCCGAACAGTACTTTCTGGTACGATGGAGACGGGAAAGTCCTCTTGTCACTGATGAGAATCAAAATGACCTGAGCGTTGGCGATGATGATGACTCTGCTCAAACGTTTCATTCCCTCACAGAAACTCTCCAAGCAGAGTCTATGGTTTCAAAGGATCGGCTTGATTACACTAACCAAGAACTCTCTGCACTTATCGATCGTGTAAGAGATATTGCACCAGCTAATACTTGTGTCAGCCATGACTGCTAATCTCTAGCAAGTGAAGTGTTTCGAGGAGGGCAGATGTGTTTTTGGTTCCATGAGACACATTGCAAAAGTTTTGTTCAGAACTATCAATAAGACTTCTTTGGCTGCACAGAATGTAAGAGAATCTTAATGCAGATTCATATATAAAAGAAAGGCAATCGAGTAATGATCAAACATAAGTACTGTATTGTTTTACAGAAGTTACTTGGTAACTACAAAACTCTCTAATGTATACTTCTAATCCCAATCTTCATCGTTTATCCGCAAATCATCATCGTCATCTCTCGGCGGCCTCACCACCAAAACAACCCTCCCTAAACTCTCTTCCACTCCTCTCTCCTTCAACACGGAGCCTCTCTCGACCTTCATCCCACTCTCAGCCACAACCAGATAGTATCCATCTTCAGCTTCCACCGTCTTCTTCTCCCTATCCGTCACAACCATTATCGCCTCTTCTTTCCCGTTCCACGGCAACACTTTCCTATCGTCTCTAAACGAAACCACCACTCCTCCTTTCCTAACCGCCACCACCGGATCCCAACCCGGTAAAACCACCCATCGACTCCATTCTTTCTCAGCTTCCACCACACCGAACTCTCCTCCTGCTTCGAACTCCATCGGAGCTTCGTTCAGCTTCTCCACTCCTTCCTCTTCTTTGCAAACCGGTAGCACAACAACAGAACTCGCTCCTGCTACTTCTCCAAACCTCAGCCTCACCACAGGAACACGGATGATTTTGATTTCCTCTTCTTTCGCTCTCTCCTCGTTGCTCTCTCCGTGTAGCTCCCTAGCCACAGCTTTCTTGGCTTTCTCTGTTACAGCCACTTCGAGGGCTTGTTCGAGCAATGTGGTTCGAAGCTCCGATGGGCTCTTGTGCTCTCTGCTTTTCCTATAGAGCATGAAAGAGAGACAGTCTCCTGGTAAATTGTAATCGAAATCCCTCCACCCAACGTCTCCACGCCGGTGAGGATAGTCTTTGATGGCTCGCGCAAGATCCTGAGCACCTTTCGTGTCGAATCCGTGATCAACGATGTACTCAGCTGCAGCGATACGCTGGATTGTGCTTAGGAGGCGGATCTCGTAGAGAAGCTCTGCCCCGCCGGTGTCGAAGGAGGCGATGAGCTCCGGTTTGGCGCCGGACTGAACCAGAGAGTCGCGGACTTGTGCGCCCACGATGAGGCAATTCTGCTCGACGCCGGAGATTCCGGTGAGTTCCTCGATGGTGGGAGGGGTGAATCCTTCGGTGTAGAGGGAGGATATGAGAGGAGCGTATTCGAACCAGAGACCCAAACGGTCGGCGAGGACTTCGATTTTGCCGGCGGCGTCGAGGGATCGGAATTTGGGAGGAATCGGAGACGGAGGAGGACGGAATGGCTGGTAGAGCTGTTGCTTGGCCGGGGCTTGTCGGTTTGAAGCTGGTATCAAGGCGGCGTTGATGGTGAAGGGTTTCGGGTTAACGGGTCGGGTAATCTGGTGAGAAGGTAATCCATTAGTTTTGGATTGTGTGAAGGGGGAGAAGATTGAGGATTTGAGAGTGGTTGCAGTGAGAGAAAGCATGGTGTGGTCGTGTGTGAATGGTGAGAGAGAGTCTCAGAGGAAGACGATGATGATTGATAAATTTGCCTTATCGTCAAAAAGAGATAAGACCCGAAATAAATAAGTTTTTGAACCGGAGGTAAACCGGATTGGTTAACGATTAATTCATTTCCCGCCAACATTCAGTCATAACTCCCAATCCTAGAATGAGTTATAGATGCTTGTTTTCACTGGCATGCTTTAAAACAAAAGGAGATAAACCATAAGCCATACTTTTGCTTTCTCATCATCATTTTCACCATCTGAAGAAGTCAAATTAGTTCCATTTCAGGTTTTATCTGAACGGCCTGGAAAAAGAGTTTAGTAGCCAATTAGCCATCACTGATCTCACAAAACGCATCTATTTGAGTATGTCTCCTCTATTTAACGAGCAGTTTTTTCTTGTAATTGCAAAACATCCATCTACTCCATTTTGCCTTGAGAAGAAACTAGCAATCTTTGATGGCATTTAGTTTCTTGGTCTACTTCTTACTACGTGCTGTGATATCTTATAACGAACTATAGGTGCCAGAAGGAGGACAAAGATGTTTGCTCTTGTATTACAATTTTGGTTTTGATTTGAAAAAACCTATTGATTCTACCCTTTCTTCTTTTTCTTTTAAACAATTATGGATCCGTACCACTTTCACATCGTTTTCTTTGACTATCAAAACTACATCATATATATGTTTTAATCTATCAAAAGTTTTCCATCAAAAATCTAACAACTAAAATTGGTAACACGTGGTATATAGTTTTAACTAAACACTTAGTTTTAGTCTACTTAAAGCTTTATATTAGTACAAACGTGTAATTTACAAACAAATCATTTATGGACGAGTTATAAGTGTTGGGTTTTGATGAACAAATTTAAAATGACAAGTTTAATAGACCAAAACATATTTATAGACTAGCTTTCAGTCCTTCAATACAATCAATACAACAATAACTTAAGTCTTTCCATGTGTTGACAACTCAGTTTTTTTGTGTTATTAGAAACTGACATATCAGCAAAATACTGAACTAATTAAAAAATTTCATTAATACACTTCATCTCAATATTTTGACACATAAACAATTTTTTTTATCATCAAAATTTTTCATTAATAAGATCCAATATGGACAATACATAGAAATTGAAGCTCAAATATTATTATTTTGGGATAACTGCAAAAGTAACCATCATTATATCGATGACAAAAATTAAAACACACAATTTTTAATAATGTACTATGTGTTGTTTTATAATTTTTATTTTTTTTTTAATTTTTTTAAAAGAACAAACTGAAGCTCATTGTATATTATCGACATCTTCTTTCTCCTTTTCCCTATCATCATCTTCTTCGTCCATCTTCTTCAATTATTCTAGAAATTATCTAATTAACCTAACTAATTGATAACGTTTATTGACAAACAAACCTAAAATTCTAATGAATCAATTAATATTGTTATCTCATCAAACTTACAATTTCACTTCTAAGATTTTAACTTTGTGGCAACTTTGTGGGGAAGAAGGATTTTTTAACCATGGATCTATTCAGGAGATATGGTGGTTCTCGAAAGAGTTTGAAAAAGATCTACAATCGCATTGTGTTGATGAATTTTCTGAAAGTTGAAACTTTAAAGTGGTAAAGCTTTGTCTCTGATGCTAAAGACGGATGAGATATCTAATTACAGTAACACCATTGTAGTTTAAGTTGTATTTAGGCTTGCGTTTAATATTTTAATGTTTTGGGCCTTTGTATTTGGGTGTTACTCCTGTATCATATATGTCTTATGGCTTATTTATAAAACTATATCTAAATATAGTGTGAAGTTTGAAGGTTTGATATATACATATAAGTGTGACTAATGTTTAGGTATGATAATGTTAATGTTTACATGTTTAAAGCAAAGATATGAGAAAAAGTAAAAAATCCAGAAAATTATGTTTTCTATATATTGAAATTAAATAATTTTGTATACTTTGATAAAGAGAGAGTACACCAAATTTTAATTAATTATCAAAAGATTGAATATTTTTTACTCAAGTTATTGAATACTTATGAATGAATATTTGAAAGTGTATCAAGTTTTTGTAAGCAAATATATTATATTTAAAGGTATCAAAGATCTAATCGAAAAAGTTGTCAACCGCCTAAATCTCGACCAGTGACTATGATTCAATAGATGAAAGAAACACTGATATGATTTGGAGAATGGGAGAAATGGCGACATTATGAAACCATTTTCGTAGTTGCTAGACTTGTTTCTAGCATATGTAAGAGAAGAAGAACTGAAGAAAAATAAAGTTATAAGATCTGAGGTCAATTAAATACGAGCTTCAAACATTTGACATGGTTATTTGGTTTCTTTCGATATATTTTGTAGCTTTTTTAATTTCTAGAGCTAAGGTAGCGATCTGGTCAATATATAAACTTAAGCTATAGTAAATATGTAAGCTAATGTGAATTGTTGTTTCATTTGTGGTTTTTTACTAAATATTTTTTAATGCTAAAGAAATATTAATGTTAAAATAATTATTTTAGTTAGTGTAAGAAAAACATGCAATTGAAGTTTCATAATTAAAAATATGAATATAACCTGCGAGTAGAGAAATTTATGATCATAAGTAAACTTATAATAGTAAAATGTGTTTTTTTTAGTTTTGGTTGAAAAATGTGATTTTTCGATTTTACCAGAAAATATGATTTACCAGTTTAGAAAAAAAAATACAATTTTTCAGATTTCGTTAGAAAAACATAATTTGTGGTTTTCGAAAAATATGATTTTAAGTTTTTTATTATTTTAAAATTTAAGAATATTTTAGTCATTTATCATTTTGAACTGAAACATCTCCATCAAGATGATCCAATTTGGTTCATTCAGATAATTATCATAAATTTATCTAAATCTTGAAAAATCATCTAGATAATTCATCTAAATATTTTTTGATTTTGTTACAAAACAAACAAAATTCTCATTTTTATTCAAATGAACCATATAGATAGAGAAATAAATAGGGCATAAAAAACTAATGCTAAATTTAAAATAAATATAATATTTATTTATACTGTAAAAAATAATTTTTTTTATTTTTAAAATATATAAAATTTAGAATAATATTCTACAGCATAGCGCGGGTAAATACTTAGTTTCTATAATAAAAACATATTTATGATATATACACAAATACGGATAAAATTGGCAATTTCTACTAATACCATATTGTAAAAATGGCAGATCCGAAAGAAAAAAAATGACACAATGATTAAAAGGTTTTGTTATAAATATTTCGCTTCTTTTTTTGTTTGTTAGTTTTTGTCAATTAATATTGTGCTACCATGAACATTTATTTGTCGTGCGGATAGGTTGTGTTTGTTTCGCCTGCGTGTAACCTCTGTTCTCGCGTATCTGTCATACGTTGTTTGTTGCTTCGGTCGTTCTAAAAGCAATATATGTATGCTTACATTACATGTGTGTATCTAATATGTATATACTTTTAAAATCCTCAATGTCCAACGATGAGTATATACATCTCTTACATAATTCCTATAATTCTCATTTAATGGCGGTACGCATACACATGTACGTAAGTATATTCAAGTACATATATGTGTAGGATATGGCATGTGTACCAATACTTTTGTTCTAGGTGGGAAAATGTCGGTAATTCTTTAGCATAAAAAAGGATTTAAAAGGGGTTTAAGATAATTAATCAATAGAAAAATAACCAAAGTGAATAAATGCACCCTGAGAGAGACACAAGAAGGGAGGAAGGGAATCATAAGGACATGTGGTGAAGAGTCTACTCTTTTGCCAAATATGGAACAATGGTATTTTGCTACAAAAGGGAACGACAAGTTTGAAACTTTTAGATGGAGATTAAAGAATAACTCATCTTGATTTAACCAAAACAAATGTCTTAAAAGCTTAACCCTATATAGAGATCCATGGTAGTAGTATGATAATATTGATAGGGTTTCAGTTTCCAAATGCTGGAACTCTGTTCCCCGTATAATGTTCTCTCTCTCCAATATCATCTATCCTATGGAGATCTCAAAGTATATACATCGTGTGTGTGTCGTTATTTAAGGAAAAAACTGGTGATAGAGACGAAAATGATATGTCGACAATTCAACATTACAAAGTATTTAAATGTTGAATTCATTTATATATTATGAATGCCCTCATCAATAATATACTATAAGGTTCTGTAGAAAGAAACCAAAAAGAAAATTGTACAACAACACATATGGTCGAGGTCGAGGAGCATATACCTGGAGGCTTTAAATATATCTTTAGCCAAAAAAACCACATGTATGATGAATCGAGAGATTGGGATACTTAACGGAGTTTGTATAAAAATCAATAAGTGTGTGACGTTAGTGTCAAATCATAACACTGTTGCTTCTTGCTTTCCACTGACAGAGATGGAATTCCAAACGCGTGGATTGTCACGCGCCATTCCATGGCTCTACCTCTCATTTAAAAGGCGCCCATGTTTCATGTTTACTTTATTATATATTATATATTATATATTAGGCGCCCACTTATTAGACAATTCGATGTTTTCATCTTTTGGCTCTAATCTTCTTATAGATGCAAAGCTTGTCTTCGTAATCTATGTGAATGAATACATATAATATTTTTCAATCAAAACATTTGTTACAAATTTCACAACGCAATATGATAAGTAAGATAAACATCGTTTAATCCATTCATTAGTAATTGATATTAAATTAAAAACTCATATAACTAATCATGATTTTACAACTATAAAGTCTAAACATATGCTGGTTTAATAATATCTACCACATAATAAATCTTCTAAATATTCCCAAGTAATCAACGTTAACGATCCTTCTTGTAAACACAACACACTACACTTTATTTCTGGCTGTTTTTAGAAGGTTGAATTAGACTTTAGATATTAACATGTCAGCCACGGTATGAATAAAACGAAGTGGCGACAAGAAAAAGTATGGAGAAAACGAAGGTTCAACAAACATTTTACATAAGATCTTAGAGTTATTGTAGAAGAGACAAACGCAGCGATAAAACAAATATCCTTAGAGTATTGATTCGTCGCTACCAAAAACCAATAACTGAAGATCTTGGCAATGATTTTCTATCAACTAAGTTTTCTCAGATGTTAAAATTTTCAATATTCGACTCTAAATTCCTTTTAAAAAACCTTTCAGTTGCGATCTCTTTTTTATCCAATTTATTATTGTTCAAGCAATATTCTCTATTTTTTTTTTATATTCAAACTTGTTAAATTTGGTCCAAATAGTTTGGTGCTAAAATTACTGTCGGAGTTATTGCAAAAGTTAAACACAATTACTAATACCGCTGCTGAACTGGCAGCTTTAACCATTGACATGAAGCTGTACACACATAAACTTTCCTCGACTTGTAGCAAACAAATATAAGTATGAATCTAAATACTTGGGCATGGACACCAACAAGCAGGTGTTATGTTGTTCTCCCCTCTCAAGAAATTTAATTTAAGAAACGACCGGGTTTAAAAGAAGTATTATTCTGAGTTTATATAACCCATGATTTCCGGAAAAAAGATCTATGTTAATGAGGTCGTTTTCAAAGTAAAAAAATTAAAGTGGAGGAAGGAAACAAGAATAATGCAATAACAAAGTAAAAATAAATAAATGCATCGCAACGCAACGCATAAAGTAGAGAAATGAAAGAAAAAAACAATAATAAAAATGAAAATGTCGCTGCAAATTGCAGGCAAAGAACACAGACTCTTCCTCCTCATGTCATGTCAATGTTCAACTTCAAGTTCCCCACTTGACCCATTGGTCACTCTCGCTTTCTCTCTCATCAGCTATGAAATTACCCTTTTCTACGCTGTGTAACACTCAGTCCCCTTTCTTCTCTCTCCTCTATTGTACTCATCTGCTCAGTCTCTCTCTCTCTCTCTCTTTAAATGACATCCTAATGCTCTTGAGTCTTGAAGCTACTTTCACTCTTGATCCTTGACAAGTGTGATTTTGTGTATTGTCTCTCCATCATCCTCCCAAAGTAGAAAAGCTAGAAAATAATAAAATGGAAAAAAAAGAATCCCACTTTTGATCTCTTCCACTTATATATCCCCTTCTCTCATCTCCTATAAGCAGCAACAAACTTTCACTTCTCTCTCTCCTTTTTTCAGCTTATTCTCTATTTGCCTCACCATTTCTGCTAATATACGTTTGTTAACGGCTTAGATCTGCCAAAGTTGAATCTATACTTTTTATAGTATCAATCTCACCATGACAAGCAGCTAAGTCCCTGTTTCTCATTTCAAGAACCCTAATCTTTTAATCCATTCAAACGCAAAAACCCTAAATCAGATTCCATCTTCTTCTTTCTACTCCCCAAACTCAAAAAGCAAGAAAAGAGCCATGGAATTGATCTCTCACCAAGCAAGGAACCCTAATACCTCCACACAATTAACACCTCCTTCCTCAAGCCGGTACGAGAACCAGAAACGCCGTGACTGGAACACCTTCTGCCAATACCTCCGGAACCACCGTCCTCCTCTCTCTCTCCCATCGTGCAGCGGCGCACACGTGCTCGAGTTCCTCCGCTACCTCGACCAGTTCGGGAAAACAAAGGTTCACCATCAACACTGTGCCTTCTTCGGCCTCCCTAACCCTCCCGCGCCTTGTCCTTGCCCTCTCAGACAAGCCTGGGGCTCACTGGACGCCCTCATCGGCCGCCTCCGTGCTGCCTACGAGGAGAACGGTGGCCCTCCCGAGGCTAACCCCTTCGGCTCACGCGCCGTCAGGTTATACCTCCGTGAAGTTAGAGACTTCCAGGCCAAAGCTCGCGGCGTTAGCTACGAAAAGAAGAGGAAGAGAGTCAACAGGCAGAAAACGCAAACGCAGCCGCCTCTGCCGCTACAGCAACAGCAGTCGCAGCCTCAACAAGGTCAGTCTGTGATGGCTAATTACTCGGGTGCAACTGTGTGATCATATATATGTATAATTCCCCTTTTATTATGTATTGTTTCGTATTTGCTTCTCTATGTGTTTAATGTAATGACTTCTTTACATTATCCACTGATGCTGTTGGTGCTCTTGTAGTTGTTTACGAATAAGATAAAGTGTTATAACTATTGACGACGCTAAAGTGTTTGATCCTTTTTGTTCTTGCAGTTTTAATTTTATTTTAAATATTAATCACTCGCTTAAAAATTATTCAATGTTGATTCCTGAGACAGTTAGGGCTCGTGTGTTTTGTGTTAGTAGTATGTTTTATGATGATCAGTGGAGGCACCTTTTATATGACTCTGTTAGACTAGAGATGATATAGTAAATCATTTCTTTCCACGCGATGATGGTTGAGGTTTTAGGAAACAGTTGTATATGCTCATATCATTTCAATGATTAGATAAGAATATGTATATGAAAGAACAGATGCTATATATTTATATGAAGATGTGTATATGTAATTTTATATATATACATACTAGTAACAGATACGCGTCTCACTGTTAAAATAAAAGATACATAAAACACAACCCAGATATATTGACAATAAAAAGAATGCCTTTTGTAAATGTATGTTGCTTAATCAATTCCAGGTAATCTTAATTGAAAATAGTAGATTGGTCGTTGGTAGCTATTGTAGTCCCAAAATTTGATGAGCAAAGCCATCTGACATGCTTTTTCATTAAATGCTTACTATTGTTTTCCTTGTCATGAATATGAATTCACTGTTTTGACTTTCAAGGTCACATAGAGCCACCTTATGAATTATTGTTCTTCATTTATCGATGGATTATTCCTTCATGTATACAAATCTTTCTTACAGCGATTTCACTAAAGGTAGAAAACATTAAGGAGAAAACCATGACTTAACTGACAAAACGATGTGTAGATTGTAGAAAAACCATGACTTAATTGGCCTAGTTGACTATTAAGATAAGTTCAACATCAGAAAGTTTCTTATAAACCGGCCCCGAGAATATTCACGAGGCACTCTATGCAAACCTAGGTATCATTTTTTCTACACTAAAATTGAAAATGAAATTCTTGTTTTGTAATAATTACCCTAATAATATTAGTAAGTGTATACTTCTTATTTATAAAGTATTGAATATTAATATATACAGTATGATGACCTAATGGCGAACCAATAATTTTTTTTTTTTTTTACAAAATGGTTGATAAAATTTTCTGATTTTGATTGTGTTAACAAATAAAAATATCGGCATTTTATTTTCGAGTAAAAGGTATACAATCAAAGCCGAAAAAAAAATTATGTGCTTAGAGAATGTGGTATAATAAACAAAAAACCTAAACCTAAACCTAAAATGGATCTATAAATCTGCAAGACTACAAGTAGCCAAACAACACAGAAAAGGGAAACAAGAAAACATGCACAGCAAGGAGTTTTGGGATTGGATTTCTTCACGTGGCATATTTAAAGTGTAAGAACATACAAAAAAATACAGATAATTATCAATAAAAAAGAATAAATTATTGGTAGATTCACATATCAGAGAAGATCAAACCTCTTCGATAGACACAAATAGGAATTCCCAAACAGCAGACAGGTTGGTACGATGTTCTCACACTAACACAGAAGCGAACGGTTTAGATTAACAATTTCTATTAGAGACGAGCACCCGATGCTTCCCACGTGTTCTCCGGCTTTACTCAAACAGTGGTCCCGGTTCGAAACCCAGTCGCACGTGGAACCGAGTAAATTCTGTCCTGCGCGGTGTACAATAAGATCGAGTGGATCCCACTTTTATTTTTTCATTTTCCCTCTATTATTTATTTATTTTGTCACCAAATAAAAAGATAAAATAATTGTACTCTACTTTTGGAGTTTTTGTCACCGCACCACCATCTCTACTTTTTCCCAAATTTGGGAAGAGGCCTAGTTCTAGTCTTTTAGACCTATTGAGGAATCGTGATTCGATTAGTTTTACTCTCTTATTTACAAAATCCATATCATGTGTAGATAAAATGTAGCATCATACTATATTAATTGGAGGCTTTACATAGAAGTCACTTTTATCGGTAACCCATTGGACAACAACAATTTTGAAGCCGTCTGTATAAAAATTCCTTAATGTTGTTATTCAGAAAAAACCATATTTTTGAGCCACTCTGAAGACTGAAAAGAACTGTTGTGATTATAAGGCCCATTGGTCTTGTAATCGATATCCCTTTTAACCTAATACAGAAATTGAAAACGAGACAAATCTTGGGACAGTAGTAGGCATTAGATCAAATGAAAACAAATTTGTGAAATTCTTTAAAGTGTAGATTTATGGTTATATTCTTGTAATACTAGAGTTTAGTAGAATATATATATATATATATATATATTGTGAAATCATTGGTGACTATTATTTTGTTGTTGTTGTTGATGACACCAAAAACAAACGAATCTCTGAAGTTTAAAACTATAAAACTTACATTACGAATAACCATTTTGAACATACCAATAACCATTTCAAAATATGTCTTTCTACGGATATAAGCCATAGTACACACAAAAAAAAAAAAGAAGAAGTGATCAACCTCTTAGCTAAAAATCTCTGTTGTCCTTATTTTTCTCAGTGACAAATCTGGAAGCAAAGAACCTAAAATAGAGCAGATTCAGGACTTGAATGCCGCCTATTATGAAAAAGTAGTTCTCAAGCCTGTTCTTGTTCAAGTCTTTATCTCCTAACCACGAATGACCTTCCTTGCGTGTGACGCTATCGATCACATTGATAAGAAGCGTGCATATGTAACTCGCTATCGACGAGCTCAAGAAGAAGATCGCTCCAGCGACGGCTCTCATATGCTCAGGCATCTTAACCGTCAGAAACTCCATGAGAGCCACCGCGGAAAACGCTTCGGTTAGACCCGCAAGCACGAACTGAGGAAGCAGCATTACAATCGAAACCGGAGACACGAACGAGCCGTTCTTTAGAGCGGCAGCTCTTCGATCCTTCTCCAAGAAACCCGCGACAAGCATACAAGCGACCCCCATCACGATGCCTATCTGGATCCTATTTTTCATCGTTAACCGTTGCTTGCGTCCTGTGATTCGTTTCGCTATCGGTAGGATGACGCATTCGTACAGTGAGATCCAGACGGCGAGAGTGATCATGGAGACGAGATTCATCCATCCTGCTGGCACTTTGAAGTTGTTTCCGAACGTTTTCTCCATCTGAATCGCTTGAAGGATCCCGTAAATGTTCTGTTGGTCAGTCAGCATGAAGCACGCGATTCCCGTGACCCAAACCGGTAAAATCGCGGTCACGCACTTGAGGTTCTTCACCTGCTGCACACTGCATAATCTCCAGTTGTTCTTAGCCTTACTTTCTTCGTTTAATTCGTTCGGATCAGTTATCACCGATGCTTTGTCAAAAAACCTTAAGCTGTCGTCATACCGAAACATCAAAAGAAGAAAACGTTACTAGAGACTTCACTCATATGAACTAATTTGTGCATTAAAATTATGAGAAAGACATAATTTCGAAAAAAGAGTAATTTAATTTCTTGTAACGTAAATGTTTTTTTTTTTGTTTTGTAAACTGCAATCTCAAATATCCAAACATAAACAAAATCCCTCATTCTAGCATTTATATTTAATACTTAAAAAAATACTAATTTTCTTTTCTCATTTGGAAAAAAGCATATTAGCATGTGCTGTCCCAAATAGACATGTACTACTACTAACATGAAAATTTAAATTAAATGTATTTTTTGTCTAACAATAGTAAAACTTGTGGATTAATTTAGAAAAAAAACAATGTAACAATCAAATAACAGATTAAATATCTTTTCGTTTTATAATGAATTTTTTTTAGTATAAAATATATAAAGTTTCTAGATTCGTTTACAATATAAAACATCATTGTATAACGTGTAAAGTGTAAACGCAAAAACATATAAAACAATAGTTAATGTAATATACTACAACAAACCTCTGCCTGTTTTGGATCAAAGTGGTGGAGGATCCATCATTAGAAGGGCCTAAGTAGAATGTGACACCTTCTCCAGATTTCACCTTACGTTTCTTACAAGCCGCGGCAACAACCTTAACCATGTCTGCGAACACACTTCCCTTAGGCTTTGCACAGATGTAAGTGTGCTGACCAATGACGAAGGTGGTGATAGAGAGTGCAAGACAAACCGTGGGGATCACGAAACCAATGACCCAACTGATGTTAGTCTGTATATAGACGACACCTGTCAGTGCAATGACAAGAGCCACAGTGAAGGAGAAGTACCACCAGTTAAAGAATGTTTCAAGCTGAGCTTTGCCCTTTTTTGTGTTTGTATCGAATTGATCTGCTCCAAACGCGATGTTGCATGGTCTTATTCCTCCTGCTCCAATGGCTAGTAAACCTAAACTTGAAAAGAGAACCGCAAGCTGCCAACGCGCGGGTGGATTTGAACAGTTTGATGGATCGTTGCAAGCCTCGGGTCTTAAACGCGGTAGAGCTGCGGTTAGAGCCATTATTCCCATTCCCTTTCAAGTTGAAAAAAAAAAGAGAGAGAGAATCAATCACACTCTGCTTTCACATTACGATCATGGTCGATTCATGAATGAAAAGGGGAAGAAAAACTTACGAGGAAAGAGGAGATGGAACCGAGGAGAAGAGTCCAGAATCTTCCGAGGTAAGCATCAGAGACAAAAGCACCTGGGATACTAAGAAAGTTGCAGGAACCAAACCAGATGTTGACGATGTTCACCAAGAAAACACCCCCAAGATTGTATTTTGTCGTGAGATACACTGATAGATTCTCTATCAAGCTCATCGACGCCAGCTTCTCGAACGACTCGTTTGCTTCACAAACCCAATTGATTATTTTTACATAAATCAATGAGATTAAAACCCCAAAAACAAAGATTTTTTTTTAAGAATGTATACATACGAACCAATAATGTACTTGATGGCTCTCCATCCTCCCCTCTGCTTCTTGAGAGCAGCTTGGTTTCTGGATTCTTGATGACTAGATGATGAAAGGGATGTAGAAGATTCGATGTCCATTTTGTTCCCTTTTGTTTAATATTAAATAAAAAAATGTTTTGATGGTGTTTTATAGATTTGTTGCAGATAAGAAGTAAAAAGGAAAAAGTCATACAGTATGTATGTTACTATGTTCAAGCTGATTACTAGCGACTAGGGATTGCCTTCCGAGTTTGTTATAGATACTGCTGCAAATTGTTTTGTTTTATCAGTCAAAATTGGGGCTTGGGTTTCGTTACCCCTTTGCTAATTTGGTTTTTTACGTGGTTTTACTTAAAACTCTCGACCCTAAAACCTACTATAACTTTTAGTCAATTGGGTAACTGATGGTAAGTAACACCGATTTAGAGAGAAAATAGGTAGAAATTAGGCAAAAAAGAATTATGTAAATAACAATAAGACTAAATCAATATCTCAATATCTCATTATTTCTTTTTTGTATTTTATCTAGTGTTATGGATGAAATATTATTATTTTTACCGCATGGGCCGCATCGATGATAATAATATGTATGTGGAAACAAATGATGAAAGCATTATATTACTCCAATTATGAAACAAATGATAAAAGCATTATAGCTACTCCAAATATGAACCCTACCAAATGTTAAGCGTGTGAGAAGATATTGGAGTGCCCCATATCTATAGTTTGGTTGTATCGAGGACAATATAAATTATATGTGGCAACCTTTCATTCTTGAGCTAGCTTTTGGATGTGAGTTAGATTCATTATTAATATGATATTAGAGTCCAAAAATTCTAACTATTTCGATTGTGGTTTATATCCATAATTTCAAAGCTTCAGATGTTTAATTCTAAATGTGAAGGAGGTGTGTATTGAAAAGTCCCAGTTTGGTTATATTATGAATAATCTCTTTTATATAAAAAGAATAGATTTACTGCTCTCTAAGAGGTGCCACATAGGCAAAAATAATCAACCAATAAGAATATAATAAGTTGCCACATTGTTAAATTATAAAAAAAAACTAACCAATAAGAATAAGACAATATACCACATCAGCAAAAATAATTAACTAATAGTATATTTCAAATTGCTATGTCATCTTCTCCAAGCAATAATTTAAAGCCATTTTATTAAATAATTTATTAATCAAAATTTCGTCAAATTTTACCTAAAAAAACCTTTTATAATTCTTAAATTCTCAATAAAAAAATAAAGCAAAAAACAAACTGAAAACGAATTACACTAAAACTCAATTATAAAGCTTAAACAAAAGCTTATTTTATGGAGTCATCGTCTTCTCGGTTTCCAATCATCTCGCCTCTGACTCACCAGAAACGGAATCAGCCGTCACTAAACATAAATTTTACTTATTAATTAATGACAACCAAACTGGTGATAAACAATAAAACTTAAGATTTTTTTTTTCAAATAACATATAACGATATATTCCACACTCTTCACCAATATTGACAAATGATTGAGCTAGCTAAAAACTATCAAACAAATATTATATCAATCAATAAAGAACTCATATAATAAAAAAGTTTATTATTAATTGCCATTTGTTTTCTTCGTTGAATATATGAACTAATTATAAAACATTTATGTACATACTGAATCTTAAAAAATTGATAGGTAGAGAAATGCATACTATATGAAAATTAAAAACAAAATCCTAATACACAATATGAAACAAAAATGGAGTAAGGATTGAGTTTTTCTTTTTAAAAGTATCAAGCAAAAGGGAAGCTTATGCAAAATATTTTTGAAAGTATAAAAAAATACTCATGGTGTTCACTAAAGAAATAGCATTATAACATAAGATGTCCAAATTTAGACAATATATTTCTAATATAATATATAGTTCATGTGGATACTATTTACATAAACAAAAAAATATAACAAAATTACAAATCAAATTATTATACAAAAATGTCAAACTTTACCCTTCATATTTGCAAAAACATGCATTAAGTCTTAAAAAAGGTTTAACTAAGCCAAAAGGTATATTAATCAACTTTCAAATTATTATACAAAAATTTCGATCATCTTTTCACATATATATATATATATATACATCCTTCTGATACTTACTTCGCTCGATTATATCTAAGAATCACATGCAAATATACTACTCTATAATTTATCACAATATTAAACACAAAATTAATTGACAACCTTTTATAAAACTACAAGATAACTATACAATCCACGCGTAGCGTGGACAAAATACTAGTATAAATAATATGTGGTAACCCTCCATTCTTAAACTAGTTTTAGATGTGGGTTAGATCTATTACTAATAAAATGTAATAACTCAACATTCTTTCTTGGATTAAATATCTACTTCTAATCTTTCTTGAACATGAACATCTATTTGTTTACTGTTGTAATCACATGGGACGATATACTGTACTATGAGAAAAAAACTATCTACAGTTGACAAAGTTATATAAACTTGGGTAAGAAGAAAAAAATGTGTGGTTCGGGTATACTATTATGGGCAGGATCAGGAATTGAAAATTGTAAACCTTGGTTTAGGCCCAAATTAATTGGATATATATATATGACTACTAGGGTTTCCCGCGTCCCCAAAGTATTTCAGAGGCGTAAAAACAGAGGAAGTTCGCTGCAAGTGGCGGTACCTGTTCGTAGACGTTCTAAGGAGCGCATCCGACCGAGGTTGAAGAAGCGGCTCTTGCTTGAGCAGGTGGCAATTGAGATATTTCTGTCTAGGCTTTGTTATTCATTGATTTGATTCTTAATCACAAAACTTATAGATATATATATATATATATATATATATATTCATTGAGTGATTCCAGCGTCCATAAAGTGTTTCAGAGGCAGAACAATAATGGGGCGGAAAACTGGATGTCGACCTCCGGATCTTTGGGCTCGGAAGAACATGCAACGGATGTGGAAGCGGGGCATAATTAAAAAGGTTATTTTACTTTATTGCAATTGTAAAATTTGGGTTTAAGCTTTGTTTTTCATTGATTTGATTCTTAATCACAAAAACTTATAGATATACATATTCATTGATTTGATTCTTAATCACGAAACTTACATTATTACAGAGAAAATTGGCAAATGGTTATTGCTTTAAAAAAAACACGTCGCCATCATCAAGGTATACATTCTGTCTTTAGTCTAGCTAATGTTGTGTATATACACATAGATGATACTATCAATTAAGCATATAAATATGTAGATGCTGTTGCTTGCTCATATATGTTTGAATGTTTTTTCACCTGACTCAGCATAGTTGTGATGATCAATTCCAAAGATGCGATTCCTCCACATCCGCTAAGCTTTTCAGAAAAAGAAGCAGAAGCTCGTGCCGTGACCGATCAAGAGTAAAGCCATATCCATCACACAAGTAGGCAACAATTTCCATTCTATCTTGTAACTTAAACTTTGCCACATTGCTTAAACTTGTCTCTGTCTCTTATGCCCCGGAAAATGCTTTATGACTTAGAAATAACCTTTTATTCTGTATAATATATCTGATTTTGACAAATCGTCGTCCGATAATGTAAATGTATCTCATTTCGCTCATATTCTTTTATATTATCTGCTCGTTATTTGAAAACAATTATCCACGTTTACGAATTAATAATTATATAAAAATTATTATAAAAAAAAAACAGCATCTAATCAGAATGACTTTTTGTCACAAATATTTGTGTCTAATAGAAAGTGTCACGTTCTTGAAATATGGGTTACGCAAGAAAAGATGTTCTTCATATATTGGGTTATGCAAGAAAAGGTTTCCGTAACGTAAAAGTTGAAAGCGTTTTTTTTTTTTTCATCCCCAAAACCTAATGATCTCTCACAATGAGGCAATGAAACATATGCATCTATTACTGCTTTGACAAAGGACAGACCTCCGAGTTTCCGAGCCTGATTCTGTTCGGCTTCAGTAGCTGCAAAGTAATAACAGCTAAACTTCTAATTAAAGCAGCCTAGAACCAAAATTCCCAAAGTTCTAAAATAGAAAAAATAATGTCTCAGTTGTCAAAAAAAAAAAAATGTCTCAAACATGAAGCTGCAATTAAAACAGATGAAACTTGCAAAAAGATATATAAAAGAATACAAAAATACCCTTTTCTAAAACTAGCTTTTCCATGCTTAAAACAGATGTGGAAAAGGGTACCTCTTTGTGCAATATTGTTCAATGTTTTAGCAAATAATTTAGGTGAATTCCATATAACTGCTTTCATTTATAATTTTTTCCATATAATTTAGAACCCTTGGTTGCCCTTCTTGACCTTTAGGTTTTGGTTTCCTCTTGCCTGTCTTCCCTTCTCGGTAAGACCGACCACTCACCATCACTACTTGCTTCTTTCAACTGATTCTCTTTGAGCTTTGCTCACATTCTCGATATGTTTTCTTCTACTTCCTTCGCCTTTGCTTCCTTTTGCAGCTGCTTTTTTTTTTTCATCTTCGCGCGCCTCTACAAGTTTTATCTCTAGCCTACAATAACAATATCAACACCATCAACACTTAGAATCAGTAGTACCCATGTAAATATACGCCTTCGAGCAAGAAACATTTGTAAACAAGATCCCCTAATTAATGATGCTATATTGTCTCCAGCCCTTTTTACTGTCTGCCATTAAAGAATCCCTAATAAATAGAAATGGATATGAGGTAATGTTTGGTTCAGATTTCAGACAAATTCACGTTGACGTATGCGGAAATTTAGACAATAACAGTTGACGTGAATCTAAAGACACAACAGCTAGAGGGAAATCGGATTTTTTTGTTTTTTCTGTAAAATAACCTCGTTGTGTATCTTTTTTCTTATAAATAACCTTTTTACCGTCCGTTTCCAAATGTGGGAATCAGTACACATTTTTTTTGTCTATGAACTAGTGAAGTGTAGTAGTAGTATTTTGAGAAGGAGAGAATGCAGTTATGATAGGCTTAATTTGGGTTGGTTCGGTATAATTATATGCAAAATATTAAAGTAATGATCCAAATTCTTGGATAAAAAATTCATGATTTTTTTTTTTAATAATAATCGAATGACCGTATAGAGTAAATCAAAAGATTTTGGTGCGTATGGAAAGTACTTTATTCTTGTAGGGGTAATTTGATAATTAGATATCTTTCAAGGAAAGAACATTTTAAATGCAAAGACTTAAAATGTTCGGTTAAGAAGAGAAATTTGTAGGTAGGGAGTAGTTGAAGCAAAATTTAGTAAATTGAAAAAAAAACGTTTTGAGGAAATTTTGAAAAATATCTTATATAGGGGTTTTATTTAGAAAACTACACCATGTTATTTTTTCGGTTAAAACTTTTAAGTTACTGTATATTAACTAGACAGAAGAAAGCCTAAATTAAGAATTGATTATAATGGGGTATATATATGCCTAGCTAGGGTTTCCAGCGTCCCCAAAGAGTTTAGGAGGCACACACATCGATCAATGTTGGAACAGAGGGTATATGGGAGATACGATGGTGCTAGGCATCGAAAGTTAATCAGAAGAAAACTAGGTATCGATACCAGGAGGAAGCGTGGTGGACCTTGTGGTCATGCTATGCGTCTGGCCGATTTAGAGAAGAAGGCGTTGCGTGAGCAGGTTATTTTACTTTATTGCAATTGAGAAATTTCTGTCTATAGGCTTTGTTTTTCACTGATTTGATTCTTATGTAGTCACAAAACTTATAGAGATTATATTCATTCATTTGATTCTTAATCACAAAACTTATATTACTACAGAAAGAGTCGTCGGCTACTAGCTCCATGGGGGTCCAGTTAGAGAAGTTGGCGTTGCGTGAGCAGGTTATATTTTACTTTATTGCAATTGAGAAATTTCTGTCTATAGGCTTTGTTTTTCACTGATTTGATTCTTTAGTCACAAAACTTAAGATACTATATTCTTTGATTTGATTCTTAATCACAAAACTTAGAGATATATGTATTCATTGATTTGATTCTTAATCACAAAACTTACAGGAAGAGTCGTCGGCTACTATCTCCATTGATCAGTCGCCATCAAGGTACACAATCTGTCTTTACTCAATTAATTAAGCAGTAGCTATATATATTGCTTATGTTGGATGTTTTTTTCACCTGACACAGCATAATTGTGATGATCACTTCCGAAGATGCGATTCCTCCACAAGCGCAAAGCTTTTCAGAGCAAGAAGCAGAAGCTCTTGAAGCCAAATCCACCAGCTAAGTTAGCAAACAATAATTTCCCTTCTATCTTTGTCTTTTATCCGCCGGATAATGTTTTCCGGTGTCTTTCTCCTATCATATGTAGTGGTCAAAGTTTGGTTTATCTCTCTCTTATTTTTGTAGTTACATACCATTCTAGTCCATACTTTATTCTTGTAGGGGTCATCTGATAATTAAATACACTATAAGGAAGAGAAAAATCTTAACCTTATTACATTCGTACGTCGATCCAGACTAATAATTGTTATGTATTATGGATAACTTAACAAAAATCGACAATGCAATCCATTAGACATAAGGCGAGGTATTTGAGATTTCAAAAAATATTTCCTGCCTTAATATATCACTATGGATAACATTGCTCATGGCCATCCCATGAAAGTAAGTAGTAACCACATTAAAGTAACCCCATTATATATAATACCTAAGATTGATTTTGGGTATATATATGACTACTAGGGCTTCCAGCGTCCCTAAAGTGTTTCAGAGGCAGAACAATAATGGTGCGGCAGAGTCGGCGAAACCTTAAAATCAGAGCTCGCTTTACTAAATGCCAACCTCCGAGTCATCGTTCTCGGCTGAGCATCTGGCGGCAGTGGAAGCGGGGCATGGTTAAAAAGGTTATTTTACTTTATTGCAATTGAGAAATTTCGGTTTAGGCTTTGTTTTTCATTGATTTGATTCTTAAATCACAAAAACTTATAGATATATATTCATTGATTTGGTTCTTAATCACGATACTTATATTATTACAGAGAAAGTCGTCGGCTACAACCTCAATGGTTCAGTCGCCATCATCAAGGTATACAATCTGTCTTTAGTCTAGCTAATGTTATATACACATAGATGATATTATCAATTAAGCATATAAATATGTAGATGTTGTTGCTTGCTCATATATGTTTGGATGTTTTTTCACCTGACTCAGCATAGTTGTGATGATCAATTCCGAAGATGCGATTCCTCCACATCCGCTAAGCTTTTCACAAAAAGAAGCAGAAGCTCGTGCCGTGACCGATCACGAGTAAATTAAAAGATTTCGGTGCGTATGGGGAATACTTTACACTTGTAGGGGTAATCTAATGGTTTCAAGGAAGAGAAAAATCTTAACCTTATTAATCAACCGTCTGCAAACCATTCGTACGTGGATCGAGACATATTCCATTTTTACTACTCATATATATTACATATATCACACTTTTATTTTGAACATTATTATAAATCACATTACACCGCTTAGAATAATCCTGGGCTCGAATCGGAGGATTTCTTGATCCGAAAGTAACTTCGACATCTCCTCCTCTGGCAAACTCACCGTAACTGTCCTCCCAAACCCTTTCTCCGGTGACGGCATCACCGTGATCACCCCTTCTCCGCCGTCGTTCCCGATCCGGTAACTCACGTGCACAGGCTTGACGCCGTCCTCGAACACAGTTTCGTACATCAACGGCTCTCCGTCTACGATCATATGCTCCATGTTCACAATCGTCAAATCCGCACCGTACATTTTCTCTTGGGACCCAGCCCGCTTCAAATCCGACCGGATTTTGTCAGCGTCTAAACTCGCCACGTGTTCGTTTATCACACGTGTCACGTGTCGAATCCCCTTATCCATTACGTCACTCATCTCAAGAGACGAAAAGTTCAAAGCGTTTCCGAAGAAACCGTAAGGAAGCGGATTAGGCAATAGCCTCCTGAAATCCACACACATACAGACTCGATCGCTCTTGCGCTCCTTCACCAGAGCGACACGTGTCCAGAAAAGAGCGGCGAACACATCGAACGGCGAGGCTTTAGGGAATATTCCGTCGATAGAGTATTCGTCGAGGCATCTCTTGAAAGCGGCCCCAGAGAATTTAAACGTGGCGGTGGCTGTTTTGGTTGAAATGGGCCAAGCAGTGGGCTTCACGTATGACTCACGGTCGTATTTAACGGCGGCAGTATCCGTTAAATAGGAGGGCAGGGGTGAAAAGGATGGAGGATGAACGATGCACTGACGGCGTTGGGCTTCCGTCCATGACTTTAACAGAATTGTTAGTGTTGTTGGGTCTGCATGTCTGTGTGGGCAGCTCAGGCCTATAGCTACACCACCCCCTTCAAATTCGTTTATCTGTCCAAATCGTTGCAAAACAAATACATAAATTAAAATATTTCTTGAATATACACTTACAACACAAAATATAATTATTTTTATATAGTAGTTTGGAATTGTTTTCAAAGAAATATATATATAATCTTCTTTTACCTGTAGACGAAATGGAGACCACGTAGAGGGATCTTCTGGCATGTCTTCCCAAGCCGTTAGATGAGATTCCTCATGTCCATCGGCTGATCTCAGCCATTCATCAATGCCAACAGAAACTTTGGCTTTCAAAATTCGAAGTCCGGCGTCGTTACACTTGACACCCCAGACCCCGTCTGGATTTTTGGTGACCCGACCAACAGCGGGCGGGTACATGGAAAGGAGCTCCGATAAGGGGATCCGGACCGAGTCGAGGTCAAATGATCCGAATGGACTACGAGCGTAGTAGAAGATGACGTGTACCGTATGGGGACTCATGGCGTTGTCTAAGGCGCTAAACGGGTGAACCCGACTCGATCCAGACGGCTTGCTGGATACCGCGGTTAGTATCGACTTGACCTCGACCCTGCTCTCTCGGACAACACCCATTTATTTTTAATTTATTATTGGAAGACTTACTATAAAGACCTAGAGAAGAGAAATATTTGGTATATGTGTCTATGAGGAAATCAGAACACACACATATATATATAGAACAAAAATTTGTTTGACCAAAAAAAAGAAAGAACAAAAACTCATTTTCTGTGAAAGTTGGAGAAGACTGAGAGTTTGTTGTGATTGCATTGATGCAAATGTGGATATGGATCGGTCATCGGTCATCGGTGTTGGTGGTAGTTGTGTACTTTGTGTGTCCAATTAAGTCACACCGCTTCATAAATGTTTTTTTTTTTAACGAGACCACTCCATAAATGTTCATACAAAAACAACTGAAAATGAAAGTTACCAATCAATTTAATGTACTTATATGTACAGAATCATATTGGCTAGCACGTGGAGTTTGGTAAGCACGTTTCCCTTTCATATCGTAAATTACAAAATATCCAATTAGGCCAGAACTCAACCGCTACTTATTCTCCCATAAAATCCACGATTTCCGTCAATCCATTTTAAACTATCTATATCTTTATGTTATTGTTTATTACTACATAACTATACATATAATCACGTACGTATACAGTTTTATCTTAAAGAAAACTAATATATATTCTTTTTTTTAAGTTTTCAGTTTGAAATCATGTTTTTAGATTTAAATTGGTTATCCGGGTACTTGTGTTTTTCCGAGTTGGAAATGCTCAAATGGGTATGAAAAGATATCAATTTTTGATGTGAATTTGAATAAACTCATCAATCTCGCTTTCAAAAACAGAATTAACGTAGCTTCTCATACCCAGTACTATGTATCAGCTTATGTTATAATATGGGCTTCAGAGAAGGCCCAACTTTTGTTGTTTATCTTCTGTTTTAAAGGTTATGATATGGGCTTCAGTGGCTCTGTATTTGTGGAACTCAAGGTATTATCAAATTGAACACACAATGGGCTTTTTGGTTTATGAGTTGTTAGACTTTTCCTTTGATTCAGAGGAAGAGCCTTCTATATTGTGGATCTTTTTACTGCAATTGTCTAAGGAATCCTACAAAAAACGACCGATCAAACTTTGACAAAAAAAAAGCTCAATCGATGATATAGTCTACTTTTGAACTATTTCTTTTTGTTAGATCAACTTCACTCTTTCTTTTTGTTAGATCAACTTCACTCTTCCTTTCTCGACTAAATTTTATGTTAATTCATATATTTTTAGGATGTATATACTTTGTTATCCCAAAACTAGTATAACTTTTACTACTACTAAACATTGAATGATTTATTCGTGCTAGTCTTTGTAATCTTTCAAACTTAATGGCATTAACCTTTCAACAAAAAGAAAAAGAAGAGAAGATATTTATTAATGCAAATAATGTGACGTCTTTGAGCAAGCAGATGAAAGCAAGAGACCGACACTGGAAAAAAAAAAGGAGAGCAAGAAAGAATTTGCACGTACCTCGTCCTAATACAGTAGTCCATGATCCAATGGAAAAGTGCTGACGCAAAAGCGACAAGAGAAGAGAGGCGCACCATAAATAGGTGGACCTGAGAAGCAGATGAGTAAAACCGAAAAGACAAATGGGGGACATAAATAAATCAAAATATTTAATAAAAGAGGACCCAGTTCCTGCATGTATTCACGTGCCCTGCCATTCCCGCTTGCCGTTTATTGCACTATCATCTGCATCTGCTTCTGCATAGGATTCTAAGGTACCTTCAGATTTCTATTTTATTTTATTTTTCCAATTTTTTTAATAATAATGTATCATATAATAAAGACAAGAACAATTGATGTAAAAATAATAAGTCAGGCACAAATTTATTTCCCTATGAAAATGCTGGCACTCTCTAGATATTTATGGAAATAAATGAGTTGAAGAAGATTCCGTTTTAATATCACATTAGTTTATTTTAGTATTTTTTGTATGTTTTTCCACTACTAATTAAACAATTCATGCAGAATTTCATTTCATTTCAACTCAAATAGAATTTCATTATTGTTTGATCAGAAGTGATTATTGTTTTTAGTAAGCATGCATTTGACATTACTATCATGTAATTTGTTAATATTTAGTAGGAATCAAAAATATTGTGAATATGCTCATTTTAATCCTATGAACCTGCGGAAAAATATAAAATATACGAATGTGAAGAAAAGTGTTTAGTATTCAACTGTACAGTTTCTTCTTAATGCTTAGGTTTAATCTAATTTGTTTCAGCATAAGGGGGTGGCTATAACATGGGCTAAATGATTCGTTTTACTGTTTGGACAAAATGTCAGTGATAAATGAGAGAGAGGTGATATTTGGCTTTTTTAGTAAGATTGTCTTTGTCTTTGCCATTTCGTAAATTAGATCTAAAATATATTTTTACACGTAAAATAACACTCACTATCAGTCAATTACTACTATGCAAGAATAAACAAAATAAACTTGGATGTGTATACGCGTGTTTATCTACACGGCAGATTTTGAGTAAAAGATAGTCTTGTAATTTCATTATTGCTAGACATAATACTATACAATATTGAAAGATAAGAGCAAAACGTACATATTGCTACTATATGTTTTTCAGTTTTTATCAGAGAGCAAATTGTAGACAGTTTTAATGTAAAATAGCATCTAAACATTTTCATCCGAAAAAAGTTTTGGACCGTGTGATTCAAAATTATCCTGAGCTCTCAATTGTTGGTTGTATGAGATTCCCTTGTTTTATTTCGCAGTTATATTCCAATAATTCGAGAATCGCTCGAATATTCTCAATAAAGTTAATAGAACTTATTTTTGTCAATAAAGTTAACAGAACAAAAACTGAAAAAAGTATTTAGCATTCTCTTTTATTCTTGCACTTGCTATTACTTTTTATGTCAAATATTGTAATGTGCTCTAAGAAATTTGTTATACAGAATGAAAAAGAAAAAAAGAAAAAATCCATTGTTAAGATATTTAAAATTAAACAATAATTATATCATTAATGGCATATACCAGCCTCAGATATTTCACATATATAAAAAACAATTTCTATCCCTCGAAAAAAAGAAAAAGAATAGCAATATATATTATAAAAGCGAGACCAAAAAGAGAGAGAGAGAGGAGAGATTTCGATGTGAATAGCTAAGCGAAACAAGAAGAAGAAGAAGAATAAGAAGAAGAATAAAAGAAAATGTTTGATGGCGGAATACCGGAGCAAATCCACCGGTTCATAGCATCTCCACCGCAACCTCCTCCGCTTCCGCCGCATCAAGCGGCGGCGGAAAGATCACTCCATTTTCCTATCCCATACGCTTCCTATAACACTAATCAATCCCAGCATATGTTGAGCATAGATAGCCGTAAGATCATTCACCATGACATCAAAGATGGTAGTGCTACTACTGAGTGGATGGGTCAAACGGATCATGATGATGATAATCATCATCACCATCAATGGTGTAGTGATGAAGTCCTTGCCCTTCTTAGGTTCAGATCTACGGTGGAGAATTGGTTCCCTGAATTCACTTGGGAGCACACCTCAAGGTACCACATCTGCATACACACACAAGTACAACTATGTAATACATATTTCTAAATATAACATACGCATCAACATATATGTTATATATTTTCATATATGCATATGGAATGGACATTATTTTTGATAATTGAAAAACCTACGCCCAATTATAATTGGGAATTCAGGTAACGCAGTCTGATTTGATAGACTAGATCTTGTTTCTTCGAATAATTATCACTTCTAGGAAATTCAATTTTGATGCTAACAAATGATTGGCCATTAATTTATAACAATTGGCAATTTTGTGAATTTTCATTACAGTTTTTTTAGTAAAAGAACGATGAAATTAATCAATATCTCTGTATATATGTAGGAAAATAAACTACGAATAATTATACAGTTTACGCGCATGTATAGTTTTGGTATAAGTGTATGTATGTATGTGGTATATTCGCATGATTAATGATATTATGTCGTTTATGAAATTATGATGGCTGTAGAAAGTTGGCAGAAGTTGGGTTTAAGAGGAGTCCACAAGAATGCAAAGAGAAATTCGAAGAAGAAGAGAGAAGATATTTCAATAGTAATAACAACAACAACACTAATGATCATCACATCAGCAATTACAACAACAAGGGAAATTATAGGATATTTAGTGAGGTTGAAGAGTTTTATCATCAGGGTGGTCATGACGATGAACATGTCTCATCAGAAGTTGGGGAAAACCAGAACAAGAGGAGCAATTCATTAGGGGGAAAAGGAAACATTGAGGAAAGGGGGCAAGATTTATTGGAGGAGGACAAAAGAGATCACCAGGATCAGGGTCACGTAGAAGAATCATCATTGGGGAATAAAATAGACTCCATTGATAATGGTGGCAAAGTTGGAAACGTAGAAGATGATGAGAAGTCATCGTCATCAAGCTTGATGATGATCACGAGAGACAAGAAGAAGAGGAACAGAAAGAAAAAGAAGGAGAGGTTTGGTGTGTTAAAAGGGTTTTGTGAAGGTCTTGTGAGGAACATGATAGCCCAACAAGAGGAGATGCATAAAAAGCTCCTAGAGGATATGGTGAAGAAGGAAGAAGAGAAGATCGCAAGAGAGGAAGCTTGGAAGAACCAAGAGATGGAGAGGCTTAACAAAGAGGTAGAGGTTAGAGCACAAGAACAAGCCATGGCTAGTGATAGAAACACCAACATCATCAAGTTCATATCCAAGTTCACAGACCATGATAGTGGGAATTACAAGGTCCAAAGCTCAAGCCCTTCTCAAGACTCATCTTCTTTAGCTCGATCATCACTATTATCTCAAACCCTAACTCCACATAACCCTTTAATTTCTCTACAACCCAATGAAAAAACACTTAACCCCATTTCGACTAAAACCCTAAAAACCAAAAACCAAAACCCAAAACCTCCAAAAAGTGAAGAAAAAAATGATCTTGGCAAGAGATGGCCTAGGGATGAGGTGTTGGCTCTTATCAACATTAGACGCAGTATCAGTAACGTGAATGAAGATGATCATCATAAAGATGGGATCTCGTTATCATCCTCAAAAGCTGTTCCTTTGTGGGAAAAAATATCCAAGAAAATGTTGGAGGTTGGGTACAAGAGAAGTGCCAAGAGATGCAAAGAGAAATGGGAAAACATCAACAAGTATTTTAGGAAGACAAAAGATGTCAACAAGAAGAGACCACTTGATTCAAGGACTTGTCCTTATTTTCACCAGCTTACAGCTTTGTACAGCCAACCTTCTACTGGGACCACCGCCACCGCCACCGCCACGTCAGCCGAAGATCTGGAAAACCGACCCGAGGAAAACCGGGTTGGATCCGGAGATCCTGATATTCCTGCAGCCATGCATGTAGATGCAGATGGTGCCGGCGAAAAAGGCAATGTTCAATGTTCAGGCTTCGATCTTCAGTTCTAATAATAAATTCCCTATATATATAATAGAGATATATTTATCAGTTTAATTCTCTTTTCCTGTTTTTTCTCTTCTAAAACCTCATTTTTGGTTATCATGAAAAGGTTAAATAATAAATGAATAGTATCGTCATGTACTGTTTTTTTTTTTATTATTATAAAAAGTGTACTGTTTTTATTGCATCAGTGGAAACGTATGTATATTCACTATCTTCGTTGGACCGCACACGTGCACCGACAAACAGTGAAATTCAGTTGAACTTGAATAATCTACTGGTTAAGTCCCAATTCTGGTTTTGAATTTCCATGAATCACATATATTGCATGAATCTTGGGAACAAGAAAAGAAATTGTAAGAAAAAAAAAGTATATTTTCGTGAATTTACAGGAATTATCCACTCAAATCCGCCGGATACGTTTTTTATTCGGAGCCTACGGTGGAGAACCAGATAGATGGGTCGACAAAACAAAAATTAAGAATTGATTAACAAATTATAATTTCTCGTTTTAAAATCAAATTGAAATGGAGAACGAGAATGAAAGAGAGAATACATGTCGTTTCAGTCAGGATTAAAAATTAGCAAAATACCAAAGATTTTTGAAAAAAAAAATGGACAAAAATATAAGAATTGTTGTCTACTTCTTTTTCCGTCAAACTGTTGTGTTAATTTTACACGTGACTTTGGCTTTTAACAATTTAGAGTTTTCGTGTAAGACATATCTATATTATTGTTTTATGGGACAACGATAAAAATGCTCCGCTCGAAAGGTGGTGGGTTAGTGGTAGGATGGGCTTGGGAAAGGGTGAAACTTCCTCACCTGGGTTCGATTTTCCTCCCTTGCTGTTATCAACACTTTGTTGGGAAGTTTGTCAGTTGGGTCTTGGCCCAATTGGTTTAGTCAGAAATACAGGCGGCCTGATTACCCCTGGCATATAGTCGGATAGTACTTCAACTCGGTATAAGCAGTGCGGTAACTCTTGGATTTCATTGCCTGTTGACTCAGTTCATGGTGTCCGTTGAACCGTTGAACCATAAACAATCAATCCGCTCTTATAGCACTTCCGTGTATTCCATGTCAGGGCTAGCCGAATAGCCGATAAGGTTTATAAAAAAAATAATTCATGTTATGTTTTTTCTTTTAAAGTTTTATTTACAAACATAATTGGAAGTTTTGTCTCCATCCGGAAATGTATTTTATTGTAGTAAAGTTATTACCCTCGTATTCCTCACAATCACATATACATTGTAATGTTGGGACGTTTGATTATAGATTTGTGATTGATTTTTTAATTAATGACTAGTCTTTACTTTGTCCTAAATATTGTTACAATCTGTAACAAATTTCATAATAGAGACATAAAACTTGCAGTGTTATACATCGACACACAGTGAGTGACAATTTACTCTCTTATTCTTGTAAAAAGCACAATTAGATTCAAGTATTAATGCACAACTATACTACAACACAAGATAAAACGAACTTTAGAAAATTTTAAAACTTTGATGTGTTCACACTTCACAGTTCACACACACTGTATTACTTAGCTGTAATCAATTGTTCTTTTATAGAATAGTACTTATTAGGAACCTCGAAGCTCCATGATAGAGACGGTACTGTTGCTGTTAGAGATACATATAGAAATATTCTATTAATTAATTTTAATCAAAGTCATATCCACAACACGTAATTCACACACACCTAACCGGCAAGAAAAAGAAAAACAATTATTCTTAATGCACGACCGACGAGAGGTGTATTAACGAACTTGGTTTTCTTTCTTTATCTGCTAAAAACATGAATAGTTACCATATTGATAAGCCAGGAAATATCGTCTGTACGTATGTAATTTTCTGACAATTCAGTAAATGGTAGAATTATATTGCACATGCATAAATCTTAGTTTATCGAAGGTGCCTTGTCACATTAAAAGTATCCTGATAATTACTAATTAAGGATAAGGCTAACCATGTCCAAGTCCTGATTAGATAGTAAGCGTTCCCCGTCGTAGGATAAGTGACATGCTCATACGTGTGTGAGTGATAATTCTAACATCATATATATTACAAAATCGGTCCAACTATAAAATTTAAAGAAGATTCGAGTGTTACATATTCACATGCTTAAACGTGAGTGATAACTATAGTCTTAACAGTTACTTAATATATATAATTTCAAAATTTTAAACCATAAATGTGTGTTATTATAAGTTATTATAGATGAATGATTTAAAGATAGTATTTCATTCCTATAAAAATTATATATGTAGCTACCATATAAAAAAAATCAAATAAACATATTTTTTGTAGTATCTTACGATTTTAAAATTACACTTCAAGTACTATTTCGTTGAAAAAGATATCTACAAAATGGCACTTTGCAACCACATATAGACTAGATTTTTTTTATTTTACAAAAAAAAAAACTAGTTTATTTTCATGATTTGTTATAAAAAAAATTCTTCTCTTCCATAGAGTATCTACAGTTTATCTTTGAATATTAAAAATTGACCAATTATTTAAGGAAATGTCAAAATACCATACAAAAATATATTCGGCGTTATATATTAAACAATGAATTTAATAGACAATAGAGTGTCAGGGTATATATATATTTATATAAAGAAATAAGAAAGTCGATTTACGTCTCTCACGGTAACTCTGTCGTTTTCCTCACTGAGAGAGAGAGAGAGAGAGAGAGAGCAGGTCTCATGGCGAAGCAGCTTCTTTCCCAGCTTCCGATGCCTTTTCCTCTCCACAGTCTCTGCTTCCTCCCCAACGGTGCCGTTTTGTAGCTTCTCCTCGGAAAATGCCGCAACCACGTTTCTCCAATCTCGCACCGACGTTTTTCTAGGTTTGCTTCTCTCTCTGCTCTCTGCTCTCTCAGTTTCGAACTCAAAAACTCTTCCTTTTTGTTTCTGTGGTGTTTAATCGGCCTACAAAACTCGATGGGTCTCTTCGTTTTCGCAAATGTGAGTAGAAGCGATTAGGGAAATTTCTCCAATTATTGCAATAAAGATTCGAGCTTTAACAAGACAAAAAAACAATTCAAGATTTTCTTTTTTGTTAATTGGGCATGTGTTATTAGAAAGGGTCAGTTTTCATGATGTGGATGCCTTTCTTTTCTAAGCTTTTACCCTTAAAATTTCATTTTCGTGGCAATTTGACTTTATTAAGTCTGGTGGGTCGGCAGGCGATTTTCAACCCAAATAAAAAAAAAGACGTAGAAGATTCGTGCAACTTCACTTTATTAGCTTACTAAATTTTTCACTTTTTTAGCCTCTCTTCTTCCTCAAATCTTTATATGTCCGGAAAGGTACGGTCAGTGTTGCTTACAAGGACCAAAATTTGAGAGTTGAGATGAACTGATCACTGCTGTTTTCGTTTGGCTTCAGATTCTAAACAGGGAGTTAATAGTTGTTGAGGAGGTTGTTTGTCAATGGAGCATTACGAGGTTCTTGAGCAAATTGGGAAAGGGTCCTTTGGCTCAGCTCTTCTTGTGAGGCATAAGCATGAGAAGAAACTGTAAGAACTTGTCATCACTTAAATGGAAACTGGAAAGAGTTTTTTTAGTTGAAATGCAGTGTTTTCATGTATAATTATGATGTCTGCAATTGATTCTCTGTTATGTTCTGTTTCTTTTGTTGTTTTGATGTCTGAAGGTATGTTTTGAAGAAAATCCGGTTGGCTCGGCAGACTGGTAGAACAAGAAGATCTGCTCATCAAGAGGTTAATTCTGATTTCAATGTGAAATTTAAAAACGAACAAAATGTGGCTCCTTTGGAAATATTTTTAACATGGATCAGGCAAAATTTTATAGTGTTGCGGTAATTGAGCTGCAAATTTTTGAAATCTTAGAAGGATATAGGTGTAGGATAATGGCACATGATGACTCTTTTTTTCCTGTTTGAGATTCAAATTCTTTTTCCAATAGCCATTTTGGATAATATTTGTATGCAGTATGAAGTCCATTAGATTGTTAATTAAGCTGATAAATCTTTCGTGGAATGTGAGTGTGCACTGGTAGTTGAATATGGTCTTGTGACTAACAGTTTTACTTGTTATCTCTCTGTAGATGGAATTGATCTCAAAGATAAGAAATCCATTTATCGTGGAATATAAAGATTCTTGGGTTGAAAAGGTACGTTCTTCAAGCCTCTATGTTACCTTATTAGAGATTTACAGTATTTATATGCATATAAAAGAATATAATCGGCTCTCTGGTGTTGTGTTCTCAGGGCTGCTATGTATGCATTGTTATAGGCTATTGCAAAGGCGGTGACATGTAAATTGTTGTTTCCTTCTCAGAAATTTTTGGCCATTCTTGACTCTGAAAGGGTTTCTGATACATTGTTTCCTCTGCATTACAGGGCGGAAGCAATAAAGAAAGCCAACGGAGTAGAATTCTCCGAAGAGGTGTTACACGCATTTGATCTGAAGTTTCATTTATTTAAGATTATCAGTATAGAAAGTTCTGAATCCCTTTTCTTGCTTTGTTTTCAGAAACTCTGCAAGTGGCTGGTACAACTCTTGATGGCTCTTGAATACTTGCACGCCAGTCACATTCTCCATCGCGATGTCAAGGTTGGTTAGGATATCTGGTTCTGAGCATAACACAACTATTGATTATCTCCTTGTTCGAATCATATTAATATAAAATCTACTGGTTTGATTCAGTGTTCAAACATATTCCTAACAAAGGATCACGATATACGTCTAGGTAAGATACTTAGCAGATATCTCAAGTTCTATTCTTTTTTCCAAATCCTGTGAAAATTTTGAGTCTAATGACTTCTACAGGTGATTTTGGACTTGCCAAGATCTTGACATCAGACGACCTTGCTTCTTCAGTAAGTAGATTTCACTATTTCAGACACCTTCAATATTTTGTTTCTAGTCTCAGCTCTGAAATGATTTGATTTATATCAGGTGGTCGGAACGCCAAGCTACATGTGCCCCGAGCTTCTTGCTGACATTCCCTACGGGTCAAAGTCTGATATTTGGTCGCTGGGCAAGTTTCTCATCCATTGCTAAGACATTAACTTTTGCTCTAGAATAAGGAAATTTTAATGTGACTCTATTCTTCTTTTCAACTTCGTTCAGGATGTTGTATGTATGAGATGACGGCTCTGAAACCGGCATTCAAAGCCTTTGTAAATTTTTCTCCATCTTCTCCTTCAAGATCATGTTCCTTTGTCCCATGTTCATGATAATCTGATATTCCTCACAACTTCCTGCATTTTAGGACATGCAAGGGCTGATCAACAGGATAAACAGATCGATCGTTGCCCCACTTCCAGTCCAATACTCTACTGGCTTGTAAGTATAGATTCCTTATTTTGTAACGTGAACCTGTTAGAGCTTATTGAATCGCGCAACAGCGTCCATATGATTTGCGTTCCTGCTTTCTCCAGTCGAAGTCTGGTTAAAAGCATGCTCAGGAAGAATCCAGAACTCAGACCAAGCGTACGCACAATTCTGTGGCATTTGTGATCATTCAACCTGAGCTGTACAAACCTGATGAGTTACATCTCTCTTCTTCTGTGTAGGCTTCTGATCTTCTCAGACAGCCGCTGCTTCAGCCCTACGTTCAAAAGGTTCTTCTCAAGCTGAGCTATAGGGGACACGATGCATTGCCTGCAGAATCTGAATCCGCAAGGAGAAGAAGCTATCCTGAGCAGGGAAGACGTTCTTCTGGCAAAAGCAAAAGCTATGGTCCAAGCAGGTTCGTGGTTGACCAGGAAGATTCTGTTTCTTCTGTTAAACCACCCGTGCACACGTATTTGACCCGGCGCAGGCCAGCGGATTTGTCTGCCAATGACAATAGTGGTGTGGTTGTTCGTAGACCTGTTGTTTCAAAAACTTCAGCGGTTTCTAACAGTTCGAAATATGTGCCACTGAGACCAAGCCAGCCTAAGAGTGGTGGTCTGGTAAGCGATTCGTCCAAAGGCTCCTTATCTTACTAGTTGTTGATTCACTCTGTTTATATATATTTTCAATCTGATGTCTCTCAGAAACCAGCGGCAATGATTCGTAGGGCCTCCTTGCCTATCTCACAGAAACCTTCAAAAGGAACAAAAGACTCTCTGTACAGCCCGAACATCGGTATACTCCATCAGCTAAACTCTCCAGATGTGTCTGTAAACTCTCCAAGAATCGACACGATCAAGTTCCCCTTAGCTTCATATGAAGAAATGCCTTTCACTCCCGTCGTGCGTAAGAAAAAAGGATCTTCCAGAGGATCATACAGCCCGCCTCCAGAGCCACCACTAGACTGCTCAATCACGAAAGACAAATTCACGCTCGAACCAGAACGAGAAACCAAAAGCGACTTGTCTGATCAGAACGCGACCGCTGGAGCATCAAGCAGAGCTTCCTCAGGTGCATCGAGGAGACAAAGATTTGACCCGAGCTCGTATAGGCAACGTGCCGAGGCACTTGAGGGACTGCTTGAGTTCAGCGCAAGATTGCTTCTAGACGAGAGGTACGATGAGCTGAACGTGTTGCTGAAACCGTTTGGTCCGGGAAAAGTATCGCCGAGAGAAACGGCGATTTGGTTGTCCAAGAGCTACAAGGAAACTAGTACTAGCAAGCAGGAAGATTAAGAAACAGGGTTTTTAATTACTTTTTGAAACTTGTTGAGGATGCTTCCACGATTTGATAGAAATTGTTTGACACTTAGGCTGTGTTCTTTGAAGCTAACCCCTGTATCTGATACAATGAAAATCCAAGAAAGACTGATACCAAAAATATATCTCTGTAACCGTTATTCCAGTCAGAAAAAAAACATATGAATCACATTGTTCAAGTGCCAAGAATTACTTAATGATGTCTTGAACTTCTCTCTGATCGCCATTGTTGCATACCACATTGTTTCAGGCTGTGACCAGATGAATTTTGTTTAATAGTAATCTTCTGAATCTGCTACTAGTCCTCTGAGAAATATGGAAGTTTACTTGTATAATGATATAATTTTTGAAAATTTGTCAATAAACCATGATGATATCTTCAAGACAAAGCAAAATCTGGACATTGATATGATACAAAGATAATAAAGTGAATTGTGTAAATCCAGATCGAAACGCAACGTTTTACTTAACTGACTTTAGCCGGTTTTGGGTTTAATACAGATCGGTACAATCATAAACCGAACCGGTCCGATGGTTTCTTCCTCGTAGGGAAGTGAGTCGAGTAGCAGATCCACAAGGTTCGTAAGTCGTAAGGTACAAACAATCACGAGAGAGATGGTGACGAAAACAGAGGAGACGCAGTTGAAGCAGCTCGAGAATCAGGTCGAAAATGGCGGAGGTGGAGCTTGGGAGTATCTTTGCCTCGTTCGGAAGCTCAAGGTTCGCCGGTCGGAGAAAGTTTTAAAGCACGGCTCCTCGATTTTGAATGATCCGGGGAGGCGATCTTCTCTCGGTCCTGATGGTCTGTTTATTTCGAAATCCTGATTTCATGTTTGCTTTAAATTTCGTTGATGCTGTGTACCTTCTGATATCCTAAATCGTTTTCTGCCTGGTTTATATGTGATCGAAGTGTTTTGTGGTTCGTTAAGCTGGATTCTCTTAATTAGTTGTGGATAGTTCAAGCAATTTGCTAATCATTTCTACGCTACAGTTTTTCATAAATCGCTTGGCCAACTTAGGAATGATCCTACTTTCTCTATGCAAATGGAGAAGCTGAATATATTAACATTCTGAGATATCATATCGGCCCGAATTTGTTTTGATTCTTTCTCCACTTTCGTAGCTATAGATTTGTGTAAGTCTGCAATGATATTAGAAACTACATTAAGATATTTTGCTGCTCTTGAGTTTGTTCATGTAACTAAAATGAATCACTTATTCTTTTATATACAGAATGGACCTTAAATGAGCAGGTGGCAATTGCAGCAATGGACTGCCAGTGTCTTGATGTCGCTCAGGTCTGTCTACTTTCTTCTTTCAGCTTGTGGGAAATCGATGATGATGATGTCTCACAATGAGGTCACTACTGGATTTTTTGTTGTTGCAGAGTTGCATTAAGGCTTTGCAGAAGAAATTTCCTCAGAGCAAAAGGGTTGGTAAGTAAATGATATGAGCAATGATAAATTGAACAAATATCACAGCTTGCTCGGTCTCTACTCTATAGGCTTTCTAGAACAGATGCTTCATGTATTGATAACTAGGTCCCTGAACAAGAATATAAAAGAAAACATGTCTCTTTTCATGTTTTCTTTTGTACTTTTTCCCTTGTGGAAATTCAGCAGAATTTATCAAATCTGAAGTGTACCAGTTAACTCAGCTGTGTTAATTTAGTAACTCACATGTTTAGACTGACCACTTTGTGTCTTATTTGGCCATTGTTGAGTCGTTCAATGGATATGTCTAAGCCACACTCTGGCAACAAATTTCAGGGAGGCTGGAGGCATTGCTGCTTGAAGCAAAGGGATTATGGGGAGAGGCTGAGGAAGCATATTCTAGCCTTTTGGAGGATAATCCACTCGACCAAGTAAGTTTTCACACCTTAGCTTTGTTGAAACCACACGATTTGCTTCTAAGTGTATAGTTTTGTAAGTGTAACTGATAAATGTCTCATACAGGCAATACACAAACGAAGGGTGGCTATATCCAAGGCATTAGGCAAGCCTTCGTTAGCCATTGAGGTTCTTAACAAATATCTTGAATTGTGAGTGCTTACATAGACTATTTAGCATATATAGAGGAGGGCCACCATATGAGATCATTTTAACGATTTTTTTCCTTTTTGTCTGTAGATTCATGGCTGATCACAATGCATGGCGAGAACTTGCAGAGATTTATCTTTCCTTGCAAATGTAAACCTCTTTATATCCTCTTCCCTCTAGATTATGTTGCACAAACAAACTACGTCACTAGTAACATGAGTTTTTATTTCATATTATTATACTGGTTTCAAGGTTTATATTTCGATTACAGGTACAAACAAGCAGCTTTCTGCTACGAAGAGCTCATACTATCTCAGCCTACTGTTCCATTGTACCACCTTGCATATGCCGATGTAACTTCAACTACCTCAAAGAGACCGCATTTGATCAGATTTGAGTTTAGTTGTTTTTAATTATACTCTCTCATTTGTGTAAAATTTCAAATCAGGTTCTCTACACAATCGGTGGATTAGAAAACCTAATCTCGGCAAGAAAATACTATGCAGCCACCATAGACTTAACTGGCGGCAAAAACACCAGAGCTCTTCTCGGAATCTGTTTGGTAAGTCTTTATCTCCTCTTCTATGGTAATTTTAACAGATTTACAACTGAGACATATAATCACCGAATTCGCTTCTCCTCCTTCAGTGTGCATCCGCGATTGCACAGCTCTCAAAAGGCAGGAACAAAGAGGACAGAGACGCGACGGCGGCACCAGAGCTTCTCTCTCTGGCTGCAGCTGCAGTAGAGCAAGAGTACAAGCAAAAAGCTCCGGCCAAACTGCGACTCATATCTTCTTCATTACGAAGCTTGAAACTTTGATCGCAGGTAAAAACACTTTCTTACAAGACGCAAAACCCTTACTATTCTTGCAATTTGTTTTCACTTTCAAATCATAAAATACACCTCTTAGTTGTTTAGCAGACTTAGCGATACTCTCATTTTCTAATAAACAACTGTTACATAAACGTCTATAACCAAAAATTCGTAGATAAAATATTCCGAATCTTATACAAAACTTTTGAGACAGTTTCTCCAACTAAACACTGCATCAGCCTCTGCAGTTTCCATGCCTGCGGCGTTCCGAGGCTTGAGTGTCCATTCGAATGCGCTCAACGTACATTGGAAGACGAACAATCTCTTTGATCTCCTGCACCAAAACCTCCTTCGTGATGTTCTCGTTTATGGTTTTTATCACGCTAAGAGCGGTTCCGACACCATTTGGTTCAGATTTATCAACTCTGATCCGCAGCACAACCCATACTTTCTTCTCCTTGTCCCAACAACACTCTAAAAGCTTCCCAGAGTAAGTAGCCGGGTGGTCCCAACCATCACCTCTAAACTCAACCGAATAGTCATCCATCAGCTTCTTCTTCCCATATTGATTCAAGAAGAGCATCTCTCGACCATCTCTGCCCATCTCAAACAGAAAGTCAACCGAATCCTCAAACTTCCATTTCAGTAAACCTCTATTGGCTCCGTAAACATAAGGCTCGTCCCACCCTTGGAAAATCACTCCATCGGACTCATGCGAAAGCGAAGGAATCAACTCGTTGAAGACCTTCTTCTCCAGTGCAGAGAGTAGACAAAACGCCTTTATCCTCACCCCAAAAGGCTCCTGCTCGTATCTGTAGCAATGGTTTCTCACTTTCTTCTCATCGTTACGGGGTCTGATCACTTCTCTCTCGATGATACTCCATCTCTCACTGAAAGGCCGCTCTGTCACGGACTCCCCGTTGATCGCTACCAAATCATACACGAGGTACCTCCTCGCTTGGCATTGGCGCCTTTGTCCATCGAGAAACGTATCTACAACCATCTCTCCATCAAGCAACGTGTAATCATGCACTCTTTGATCTTGCGTCCTACAAGGAAACCGCATCTGCACCCTTCTGAATCTGAACTTCCTGTCTATCAAGTAACACCCTTCTCTAGTCAGGAGCATCATGTACCGTGTTCCATCTGCTTTCCAGGTCGCGTAATAGTACCTCTGCCTCAAGAGTTTGAATCCCTCCCTGTCCAAAGATACAGGGTGAGAACCAGGAAACTTCATATCTCTTCCTCCTCCCTTAACATTCATCATCTTATAACAGAACTCCTGGTAAGACATCTCCTGACTAAAAGGTATTTTATCTCCCAAAATGTCATCGTTTGTCATCTTCTTCACTTTCTCCTCCTGATTGTTTTCTTGCACTGCAGGGACACACAGAGGCTCGCACTCAGTTTCAGATCTCTTCCATTCAGGAGTTGGTGGGCAAATGTCACTCGCAGGCTTGGTTTCGTGATAGAAACTGTAAAGAGCATCGATGTAGTCCGGTTTGTAGATACCGGGCGGACGAGCATCAGAGAACGTTTTCAGAGCCTGCGCAACGCTCATATTAGACCAATAGCGCATAAGGTAATGAACAGTCATGAACCCTGTGCGATTATGGCCGTGCGTACAATGAACCAGGACATGCTTGTTTGAGAAGTTGTGTTTCTCGAACTGATTAACCTCGTTGACGAATGTGTTAACAGAGGCATTATCTGGCACAGCATCACGACCACAGCAACGAATCTTGACATACCCGATGCCTTCCTGTCTCAACTCTGTGCTAGGATGATAGTAGCGAGTCGTGTTGGTGAGATCGATCACCAGACCAAGGTTCCTCCTTCCGTTAGTAACCCACTGTCTGAAAGTGTATCTTTTTTCAGTAGGAAGACCGTCGTTGTAAGATTCGCTAAGAGGAACCTTGGAAGGTATGATGCATCCGATTTCCTGACCAAAAGGAGGACAATCAAGCCAACCCTCAGGGATGATTGCGTTCGGATTACGAGGACAGTCTCTCATTCTCTTCCTTTGTTCTTCGGAGGTTTCGAGATGCCTCTTACGGGGAAAAGAACAAGTCCCTCTTGCTTCTTCTGAGTACATCGTATCATTCATTCTAGATTCAACAACGAATTCTCTGTCTGGACTGATTTCTCTTTAAAACTGCATCTATCTTCTTCAGTCTAGTCAGATTTCTCTAAGCAAGAAACTTGACTTGATCGAGTAATCAGAATCTTGGCGGATCCCGTTTTATGCGTCAAGGGGACTGAAAATTGCGATCGAAGGTTTGCCACCGTAAGTTGCGAACAAGGAAGAGAGATACAGGAAATCGGGAAGTGTATCGCGATCGAAAGTTAGGGCGGCTATTTATAGAGCGTCATGTGATCGTTTGAGTCGGGCCACATCTTCTGGGCTTTTGTGGCCCACATATATATTTTCCTTTTTTTTCAACAACTAGGTTTTTTTCTAAATGTAATTAAATAATTTCGACGAGTATATAATTATTGGCTTGTTAAGCCCGTATAGTTTGACTCAGGGATAGATAAAGTGGGCCTGGAAAAAATATTCGTGTTTAGGTGGACACCACCGAAACAGAAAAGCAAACATGTGATGATGTCACAAAAGAATGTTGCAGTAAACACAAAAGAGACACTCTTCCTCACTTTTTGAGTCTTCTCATGAACTTCTCCTGACCTAAAAAGACAGAGGCCATTAAACCGGCAAGCAGTTGCAGAGATTCTCGGTTAAACAGCGTGCAATTTGAATTTCACATATAAATTGCAATTTAAATTCAAATTATCTGTGACATATGACAGAAACTTTCTGTGACTCTTGACAATTCAAAATCTTTTAAAGTTCTTTAGTAGAATCTCTCTGACGAAGACACTTATATGCTTTTCCACTGATATACCTATAATCGTAATTTGTGTTTTCTCAGGGTTACATCGAAGTATAAGAGCTATCCTTTTGACAGATCTTATGACGATAATTTCCAAATAGTAAATGTTTAAAACTGACACAACTTAGCTATTATCGATACCGAAAATTTCTGCGGTCTTGTCTTGACTAAAGAAACAGAAGAAAGTAAGGCGAAGAATCGAAACGTGAAAGCTAAAGAAATATCTGATTTACTGATTTCACAAGTTAAGAATCTTCATATACAAATCCGCCTCACTCTATAAACAATCTTTATAAGCAATCTGTTATTAGAAAGAAGACAACCAAAAGTTTGCTAAACATCTAAACATTCACCAGCGACAGATCAGAGACCAGTGTAATAAGCTAAACAAAGGGGCAGGCAGAAAAAAATCAAAATGAAGAAAGACTGCAATGCAAACGAGGCATACTTGAATATGAAATTGATGTATACAGAGATCCCGTTCGTCAAGACTGATCAGGTTCCAGGGTTGTTGTGTAAGGAAATATATAGCAGAAACCAATTATGAATCAACCCATTCATCATCATGCTATTAAGAACAAATGTCGATAAGGAATCAACAGAGTCTCTTCAAAGTTTTTGTTAGCACCCATAAACTCTCTTTTTTCTTCTTCTACTCGGTCTTCCAAGCGTACAGGATCAACGAAAAACCAAAACTTTGAGACTTGGGGTTTGTTGTTGTCATGTCCTGTGAGAAAGACATGCTCTTCTCAGAAGATTGACAAGTCCTGAACATGAACACGGCGTTTCCCGCTGAAGGCATCCCAAAGAGCCAACTATGAACATCCCAGAGAACTTCCACAGCCATTCTATTAACAACTATCGTGTCGTTGCCGCGAAACTTCCACTTAAGCCGCTTCACCTGCAACAATGTCTTTCCATCCACACGGACAACGAGACAAGGATCGGTGACGCTCGTGTCGCATTCAATCACAAGGTCATGGATCCTCCCATCCGCGCAGAGCTGTGCTTTCGTTGCAAACACTCTCTTACCAAAGACATGCTCTTTCTTGGCGATGAACACAGCGCCTATAGACGAAGGTGAGGCATTCGTCTTCTTGAAAGCTTCCTTCTTCATATCACCAAGAAGCAGGACCATTTCTTTGTCTACAACAACACCCACATAGAATCCTCCGAGAGCTTCAGGGCCTGATCCGAATTTCGCGGAGGACAGATCCCAGAAAACTTCGATGTTACAAGAATAGGCCTCTAGACTCTTGGACCCTTTGCGTTTGGTGAAGAGCCACGGCTTAATCTCGACTTTACACAGACTTTGGTTAAAGGAGTCGTCAACTCCAACGGTTACACTCTGGCCCATCAGATTCTTAGTCCATGTCACTGTGATCAAGCAGTTTCTTCCCCGAATTCGACACTGGTAGATGCAAGTCACTAGATTCTGGGCATTTTTACCGGAGTTTGAAGACGATGAATCCGCAACTTGAACGCCATTTTCGCCAAAGCAGGAAGGAAAATCCTTCATCTCTATAATAAGCCTCTCTCTCTTTGGAATTTCAACAAACACTTGGCGGCCAAACTGCGCAAACGCTAAGAATTGTACACAGCCGAATTTGACTAAGACAATGACGGATGCTGTAAGCAGAGAAGAAGAAACCAGAGAGAGAAAAAAAGTTGATTTTTTTTTATTTACCTGCAGAGACGGGTGAATTGCTTTAAAGAAGGAGAAGCTGCATCTCAAAAATGCATCGAAATCTGAAGAATCCTCATGGGTATAGTTTGAGAGTCTCGTCGATTAGATCCGTTGTCTCCAAGAAAAATCAACAATCAAGGAAAGAGATTAAGAGATTTGAAGAAGAAGAGTAAGGAGAGAGAGAGAGGTAGCAAATCGCCAAAGTAAAAGGGGGAATATGTGTGTTCGATAAAACTCATAACGGAGACAGAAACAGACAAAAAGGAGACTTCTCTCGCTCTCGAAATTATTACCATATTTACACCCGAAAAATAATAACCTAACTACAAATTGAGTCGGCAAAAATTGACAATCCAGGACGTTGCCAAACCGAAATAAATTAAAATAAAATGAAGACTTTTTTTTTAATATTTTCATGAATAATCAATCTCTCTTTTCTTAAAATTTGAGTTCACATATCTTTCAAATTCAAGGAATGTATCCGGTGTTGTTTGACGATAATATATATGAATTTTTGAATTTTATATTTTATGGTTTTAGCTTTTGAAAATTTTGGATTTTATCAAAACACTTTATTTTCAGGATCTATTAACTCGTTGAATATTTAAGTGAATCTATGGATATATTCAATGTTAGAGAAAGATTATCAAAGTTATCTACAATATTATAAAGTCAAAGTTACCAAAAAAAAATTAGGGTTTGCACGACCTTATAAGTTATATAACTATACACGAAGTTTTACATTCTGATAAAGTTAATTTTAAAGAATAATAATTACTTTTTAACAAGTTAAATGTGAAGTCGCCAGAAATCATAGTGGTCGAACTGTATATGCAGCAACAACAACAACAACAAAATTAAGTATTACGTAAAAAATGCGTATTCTTGTTGCTAAATCCATTATTAGAATTCCAGCTTTTTGTAAGATAATCTTTAACTTTGTTTCTTCTTCTTCGACCATCTCTTCTCAAACGTGGATTATTTTTTATCGCAAGACTAAGACAATCAAGTATTTGAGCTCTATCGAATCAGTTATCCCATAAAAATCATAATTAGCACCTTGAGGAATGAAATGGATCCATCGAATATTCGAAAATGCAAGCACGACTTATATAAATTTATGTATATACAATGCATTAAAATATTATTATTTCCGAACCTAGAGCTGGTGTTATAATTTTGACGATTGCATATGATTTTAAATAATTATGTATGATTTATATATATATATATATAAAAATAAAAGTAGGCATAATTTGATAGAAATATGTTGTTAATGTTATGGACTTATAACGAGACAAGCATAACTGCATAGGGTTTTCAACTTCCAACGCTTAATGCTTTGATCTTTAATACTATCCACAAGAAAACAATATATACATACATATTGTGATATGGATCATGAATTTGTAATGATCCAAAATGCTGTGCTTTTGCTCGACCAAATATTATGCTTCAGCTACACGAATTCATCATAACACGAAAAAATAAAGAAAAATTCGAGGCAATTACTATATTTTTTTTTATAAAGGATTATATTAATACTCAATTTAAATTTCATAAACTGCCAGCCAGCTTCATCGTCATCATTACAGCCATTATTTCTCTCTCTAAATCTAGTCCCTTTTTCTCTCTCTGCTTGTTTTTTTGTTAATATTCTAATAAAAAAGCTATGTTGTTTGGTTGGATCCGGACTCCGGAGATTGTATGGTGAATAATTTAATAGTAATGTATTTTCCATTTTTGAGTAATTGTGCTTTAACAACAAAAGCTCCAAAACAATGTTGTTTGCCTTTGTTCGCCTGTCGATTGAATCCAAAATCCATTCATTTGAGAAAGAAAAAAAATTCATAATTTTATCGGTCACTATTGAATTATGTCCATGAAAATATTTCTTAAAAGTCTAAGAAAGTAACAAGCTAAGAATAATTTTGACGAAAATGGTTTGGTTTTATACGTACTGAGGAGGAAATGGTATTCACGTGTACTTGTCCATGAGTAGTTGTCATGCGTTACAACCCAAATTTGGGCCCATCTTACTTGGACTTTTTGGGCCTTTTGCATAAATACCGTTGTTTTTTATTCCTTTTATACATGATAATAATACTGGTGCAGCACATGAATGACACTAAAACAAAAAGTATATGTATATGTTTTTGTTTATTAAAAATGTATATTTATTATAACAATTATATATAATAATAAACTATATGGAGTCAGACGCCAAAACTACAATTATGAAATAATAAATTATATGGAATATTTGCATTTATAGTTGCATACTATTTTCATAAGTAGTATTTTAACAGACCTTCGGTAACAATTTACCTAACAAAAACAACGTAGCTAATTGTTTTACTGCATGAAAGTAACTAGTTGTGGAAAACTTTGACAACCCAATTTGGAAATATGCCACGTCATATTTGCATGTATCATAAACTGTCTGAGTAATTTAGTTATCAATATGCTTTTGAACCGATCGACCGACATCAACGTGAACTTTAGCCTTATAGCCTTTTTAGGACCCAAATTTTGTATTTATTTCTGATTCTCTTGTGATTTCTTGATTTATCTATTTAACGATTCATCTCCCCCACATCCCACTTTCCGTGTAAAAGCCGTCTCTTCAGGATAAGCGATTTTTTAAATAAAAAAATGTTGAAAAAAGCATGCTTAGTGTTCATTGTTTCTTTATATTCTCTTCCAACGTAGTCTCTAATCTATTTATTACTATTTCGGTGTTAATTAATACTATGAAAGAGCCGTAATATTTGAGAAGTCAAAAGCATCATTGAAAATAAAATAAAATGTCTTAGTCCCATACCTATTTATTGACAAAGTTACTAAAAGCTCATGATTTGCAAAAAACATTGCTATATCAGGAAAGCTATATATGCGAGTTGAGGCCAAAGCTATCAGGAAAACTTTTTTTGAAAAGACCACATGCGTGCATTTGTAAACAAAGACGGTAAAATATGAGATATATCACGATTTGTTACATAGCTTTAATTGATTTTGGTTTACTATAATTTTTGTTTGGTCTTTTTTTTGTCACAAATATATCGAAGCCTTGAAGAAGTACTGCTTACTTACCTTCTGAATTCTTTGTTCAACATTGGTCATGCAAGGCCGTTTGGCCCGTGCTCATTGTAAAATGAAGGCAACGATTTAGGCCCACAATTTATCAACCAAACACGAGTCCCCCCCCATTTTTTTTATATAAAATACGATGTATTAAACTGATACATTTAAAATTGTATTTCTTATTATCGTTAGTTAACAAACAAATGTACACAATCCGTATACACATATATACTTGTGATCAAGCTGACGGAAACTTAACCATGAAGAGAGTAAACCAGTATTAACCACTTATACACTATATTACGTTTGTTCATCAGTTCATGTGGTGTTTGAAATCTTTGCATAGTTATTTGGTACGATTGTCCATATATATGACTATATGAAGCTGTACCTCTATTTTATATGTTTGAGCTCTTTTTTTTGTTAGAGATTAATTTTGTTCTGTATTTTTCTTTATTCTTTATTCTCTTGTCAAACTTTACAAGTCGAATAATAGATCGTTAAGCTCATCTCCCAAGGCAAAGAAAGAGGCCGAAAAATTCAAGATCATGATCTCGCAACTCCATGTTAGGCGGTGAACATGTCACTAGCGGAGACGGGTCTGAACGAGCTACAAGTGCAGGCAGAGATCACAGTACATGAGTCCATCTCGAGTCGACTATACATTTTCCTGCATTTGGAACTATGGCAGAGGTTTCACATTTGAGAAGGGATACTTATTTTCTCAAAGGACTTATCACGATTCGCATCCTGCTGTTCAGCACTTGTATAATCTCTTGAACTTTAATAAACAAACCGTAGTTAATTAGTTCATTTTAACGAACATTAATAAACAAACCATATATTTGTATATTGTTAACTTTTCCAATATTTTCCCTGCTTAAAGGTCCCTTTAAACCTAATCCAGCTTATATCTCTTTCTTTTCATGAATTAAGATCATCGATTCCGTTTAAGTAATAACCTGAATTTTCTGTTATTTAAAATCATTCATTCGGAAATACAAAATTACTTAATGTGAATATTTCCATGCCTTATTAATATCGGAGGGTCTTTAAAGATTATGATAGGGTTTATAGAGCGTTACAGTTCTGGTCGAAAAACAAAAACAAAAGTTTGGTCTTTAGTTACCCTTTTCTGATATAGAATTAACCGTGAGAGAGTATAACCATAATTGGTAAAAAACAAAAAGCATGATGATGATGAAAGAAAGGTTGGTGGTGAGATTGCTTTGGGTTGGGGATTTCATAATTTGAATACTTAATTCCGTACGAGACTACCACGGAATCGCCGACGGAGTTGCGAAACAAAAGAATTTCCCGAACAAATATAAATTAATTACACTTTATTATCAAAATATATTAATTGTTTTATTTATCATTAACTGTAAAGTCTAAAGTGTCTTTTTCATATTGATGCTTATCTTAATCATATCATCTTTGTCATTTACCACAAAGTTTATCATTGAAAAGAATGAAAGTAATATATATATAAACAATTTTTAGAAATATCTCGTAGTAGTTGGACAGCGTGTTCGTCGACGTGATTCCACCACTATCGCATTTCATTTAAAAGGTAACCTTAATTTTATATACATATAACTGTATAAGATCGATCGGTGATGTTTAATTCTTTAGAGGAGATAATGAATTATGATTGGTACTTACTTGCTATGTTTTTAAAACTCGTATAATGAGAAAAACCATACAACACCACAAGCATATAGAAGCATCGTGTCAGCCTTCACCCACGAGCCACTGGCTGGGGAACCTTAACTTGGTCCAAGACCAATGTCCAATGGGCAATGGCTATCATCGAACGCCTCAGTTTTAAGGTTTATTTACACCATTGAACGGTCTAAGACATCCGAGGATCCCTTGATACATGTCAAATCATGAGTTTGGGCCCATCACTCATAAATGGGTAATCTCATACAAAGAAGAACGAATAAACGTTTTAGATGTGTATTACAGTATTTGTTTAGACGAAATCTAGCATCGGTAAATTCGTTTTTTTAGATACCCTGTAATTTCTAATTACGTAAAAGTTACAAATTAAAATATTCAACGAAATTATGTACATTTATTTAATTGGATAAGTACATTATTCTAGTCTTCCAGCCATTTTTATAATGATAATTTTATTTACTGTGATTATTTTGATCCTTCATTTATAATTGATTTGATATGCATCAAAATTTCATTAATACAGTTTGTTTATTAATTAGTTAAAAGTAATATGATAGATGTTAAAAAAAAAAGTAATATGATATTTTTAAAGTAAGATGTGTCTATTTGTTAGGTCATTCAGACCCATCTAAAGATAAACTAATAAGATAAAACATTTCTTTCATATATCAGATATCTTTGGAAAATGTATTTTACTATAAAGATGGGTAGATATCTTAGGGAAATGTATTTTAATTTAAAGATTGGAGAGATATCTTAAGAAAAAGTATTTTTTAATCCAACATTTGTTTGTTGGAAAGATAAATAAAAATCAGATATTTATTCACTCCTCTGGACCACGCTCTCTGCGTCTTGCAACGGCCTATGCCCACAGCTTTCATGAGATAGTTATGTTTCTATGTAAAGAAACAACTGAAGAAAAAATATACTATAAAGCAAAAAAAAAAAAAGGGGAAAAAGAAGAAAAGAAAGAAAGGAAGAAAGAAATCTGGTTTTCTTTTTCTGTTGTCTTCCAAACTCATACGAATCTCTCTCCTCATTTACACGAGTTTAATGTTTATTTGCGTAACTCATTATGTCAGAGGTACAAAGATGATATACTGAAAAAGGCTACAAGCAAAAAGACGTACCAATTTTTTTTATAAAAAAAAAAGACAGGAAGAGGATTATATTAATATATTACCATATACTATTGCTCTTTTCTTTTCCCGAGTTTTTCTTTATATTTTCCATTTTTGTATTGCTCTTTTTGATCCTGCTTGGGGGAAAATGATGAACAATCTCAACCTTGTTGAACCAGATTACTCTGAGTTTGTTGAAGTTGATCCTACTGGAAGATATGGAAGAGTAAATTTCTCTCTCTCCTCACCTCTCAGTCTTGATTGATTAGCTCTGTTTGTTTTGTTGAGTTTTGTTTTTGTGTGTTCGTGTTGTTGCAGTACAATGAAGTCCTGGGCAAAGGATCTTCAAAGACCGTGTAAGAATCCAATCTTCTTCTTACATTTTTCTCTGGATTTGGTGTTGGAGTTTCCTGCCTACCAAAACCTGTTCTTGTTTTATTTCTTGCAAGTTTTATTTTATTCTTGGGGTTAAACTTTCTTGCAAGTTTTCTCAGTTTAGTTTGATTATTTTTCGTTTCCTACTCCAAAAAAATCCATCGATATTTCTTTCATTTTTTGGGTTTTTACTGGCTGTTGTTTCATGATTGAGTCTGAATTATTTTTTATCATTTCAAAGAAAAAAAAGGTTCCCATTTGGTAGATTAATTTACACAATGGGAGGATAATCCATTTTGCTCTGTTGGCCTAAAACAAATAAGGCATCTTTGATCATAGATTAAAAACTGGCTTTAATGATTCTAAAATATACAAAAACCACTCTGTATATTTGCAGTTACAGAGGATTTGATGAGTACGAAGGTATAGAAGTAGCATGGAACCAAGTAAAGCTCTACGATTTCTTGCAGAGTCCTCAGGAACTTGAGAGGCTCTACTGTGAGATTCATCTCCTTAAAGCCCTAAAACATAAAAGCATCATGAAATTCTACACTTCTTGGGTCGATGCCGAGAATCGACACATTAACTTCATCACTGAAGTGTTCACTTCTGGTACCTTGAGACAGTAAGCTTCTTTGTTTATCTCATATCCTAAGTTATATGCTGTTTAGAATTACTTAACCTTCAAACATTCATCTAAAATGTAACATGAAAAGATGATATTGGTTCCAAAAAATCTGGTGAATCCAGGTATAGGCTAAAGCACAAGAGAGTGAACATAAGAGCAGTGAAGCATTGGTGTAGACAGATCTTGAGAGGCTTAAACTATCTTCATACCCATGACCCTCCTGTAATTCACAGAGATCTCAAGTGTGACAACATTTTCGTTAATGGGAACCAAGGAGAAGTCAAGATTGGGGATCTTGGTCTCGCTGCTATCTTACAAAACCCTCACGCTGCTCATTGTGTCGGTATGCAAATCTTTGATGCTTTCTTGCTTTACTGTGTTCATGATTGGTTTCTTGTGATACTGAATGTTTCCTTCGTCGCTCTCACAGGGACACCAGAGTTCATGGCTCCTGAAGTCTACGAAGAAGAATATGATGAATTAGTCGATATCTACTCGTTTGGGATGTGTGTTTTGGAAATGGTAACATTTGATTACCCGTACAGTGAGTGTACTCACCCTGCTCAGATTTACAAGAGAGTTATAACGGTGAGGATCCACCAACTTTTACTGGGGTTATAACTTTTTTTTTATTGAAAAATCCTTTGTATTGAGTTTAAGATTGTTGTATCTCATTCTCAGGGCAAGAAACCAGACTCATTAGACAAGGTGAAAGATCCCGAAGTTAGAGGCTTTATAGAGAAATGTTTGGCCACTGCATCACTTAGGCTCTCTGCTCGTGAACTACTAGACGACCCTTTTCTTTGTATCGATGAAGGTGAAGCCAATTTGAGACCAGTAGAGAGCGAAAGGGGTCGGAGAGATGAAGCCGGGACTCTTCTTATGCATTCTTATCATATAGCTGACCATTACTTCAACGACCGAGCCAAAGGAAACTCTTTTGATCATCCTCACTACTCAAACGGTTACTACAGCCACGATGATCAAAACCAATGGTCTTACCATGGAGATGAGATAGTGGAGTCGCATGGAATAGATGTCTTTGAGTTTCGAAACGATGATCATGAAGAAGAAGAAGAAGATAAGAAGTTTGATAATGTCCATATAAGCATAAAAGGGAAGAGAAGAGACAGTGGTGATGGACTGTTCCTTCGACTCAGAATCGCCGACAAAGAAGGTTTGTGACACTCTATACCATTCTTCCTCACTAATTTGGTTTTAACAAGATCTTTACAGTTCCTAAGTCGAAAAGACACAACCTTTATCGGTTCTAGACTAGAGAAGACTTTTCCCTGGTTTCAGACCAAAAGAAAAGTTTGAAGAGTTCCTTTCATTTGAAAATTTTGCAGGGCTTGTCAGAAACATATACTTCCCGTTTGACATCGAAACCGACACTGCAATTAGCGTTGCGAGAGAGATGGTGGAAGAGCTTGAGATGGACGACCGAGATGTCACAAAGATAGCCAACATGATCGATGGAGAGATTGCTTCTCTGGTTCCTGAATGGACATCTTGCCTCGAGTTCTGCAACTGCGCCTCGAACCGTTCCACAGTGGGCTCAGTCATGGGCTTCAATGTGAGGCAGTGTTGTAGAAACGGGTGTGAAGAGAAGCATGGACGGTTTGAGGAGATCACCTTTGGGACAAAACCACTCTGACGAAGAAAGTGGCGTTTGCTTGCGGGTGAAGCAACGTGATGATGCACAAACTATATATATGGTTCCAGATCCTGTCTCTTTGACACTTTCCAATGTCAATAGACTGAAATGAGCTATCCGATGAAGCTGAGAATTGGATTCACCAGCTGAAAAATCTAGCGGCAGAAGACGCAAACAGTAGAAAATACTGAGAGTTTTAGAGAAGCTTTACGCCCAAGTTGTCTTATATGGACTTTTTCGCTTCCTGTTGATGTAGAAATATTTACAGTAATGTTGACAACTTGACATACACAATATTAATTCTTTGGAGTAGAACTATCAACTATAGTCTACAGACTACAGCTCACTACACCTTGATGATCTCAAACTCAATATCTGATTTTACGAAAACTAAAGTCACATTAGTGAAAAAGAAACAAAATATGATCAGAAAGATTTTTTTCCATTTGTGTTTTGTGTTAAGGGTTTACAAATAAAAAATAAATTTCGTTGAAAAAATATTTAAGATTGTAAGTTAACCTAAACTTAGATATCACGTAATACTCAAATTCAAACATAAACAAAACAGCCATAATTACATCGCATTGTAAAGATTAGACTCTTAGTTTTAATTTTAAAATGATTTTTTTAACCATTGTTTCCATAAGTAGTCTCATGAGTCTTTCAACCACTAAAATCCAAACTAATTTTTTAAAACTTGCAGGTGATAAACCATATATAAATCGAGTTGTAAAGACTCAAACCTAGACTTACTTTTAAAATGAGTTTCAACCGCCGTCTCCCAGTCCCGGCCTAACATAAAAATTGGTCATTGGACAAAAAAAAATTTTTTAAAAATTAGATTTTTATTATGAGTGTTTTAAAAAAATTTAGACCTCTTTTATATCTATTTTCAAAGAATATGAGTTCTTTTTTACATGTAATTTTGTAAAAAAAATTATGGACCCCTGAGCCATGGCATCTTTGCCCACCCCTCTGAACTCATGTTTTTTATTTATTAAGTAGTTACCTCAAAAAGATTAAATATCTCTCTGGTAGCTAACTAGGTACCATTACTAAAAATTAAATAAACTGAACAAAATGATGTGAGAAGCCTTTTGCTACCAGAATAGTGAATACAAACCAAAAGCTCCCATAAATTATTTTACCACCAAAAGAAAAACAACCCCTCCTAAATTTGGTGTAGATAGTGGAGTATTAATGGTTGGGCCCAATGGGCTTTATCATCCGTTTTAACAGTATGTATAAAATCCCAAACAACTTAATATACTTTCACATCTTGGACTTTATAAGACCCACTAGAAATTAGGCCCATCAAACTCGAACCAGTAAGAAAAGGAACCCTAAAAACTTGAAAGTGAGAGCTATAAATATTCATTTAGGGTTTTGCCTGTTTCTCCTCTGTCTTTTACGGCTGCTGCGAGAGAAACTCGTCGATATTCACAACCGGAGAGCTCACTCTGATCTCGTTGGTATCGCAGCCATGGCAGAAAAAGCAGTCACCATCAGAACCAGGAAGTTCATGACCAACAGGCTTCTCGCCAGGAAGCAGTTTGTGAGTTTCATCTTTTCACTCTCTGTGTTCCCTACGATTTGCCAGTGTACTGTATTCTCTGACAAATGATAAAACTGTTGGGAGGTAGAACAATCTTAGATGAGCAGATTCATAGGATATTTCTTCTGTTTCCCCCCTCACAGATTTGAATATAGTCATTTTTAATGTTTAAACTGAAGAATTCGAGGAAGTAGGCCTAGTGTTTAGTATTTTGGCAACTTGATTTTTCACTACTTGTGTTACATTTGACTGCACATTTCGAATTGAGCAACTCGATTTGTACAAATATATAACTTCACATGGCAAATCGTTATTGTCAACGAATAAAGCTATTGAAAGTTTGGAACTTTTATCCATTTTCTCATTAGATTATGTACTAACTACTGATGTTTGCTTATGAATGCAGGTTATTGATGTTCTTCACCCAGGAAGAGCCAATGTTGCAAAGGTGTGCCCTTTACTTCAATTAGCGTCTCAATTACAATAAATCGATAGTCTAGCTATTTCATTCTTCAGCTTTTTCTTTAACCTTTGAGAAGCTTCTGATTGTTGTTTTTTGTTTGTTAATTGGAATCTTGTTGAAGGCTGAGCTGAAGGAGAAGTTGGCACGGATGTACGAGGTTAAGGACCCAAATGCTATCTTTGTTTTCAAATTCAGAACCGCTTTTGGAGGCGGTAAATCTTCTGGGTTTGGTTTGATCTACGACTCTGTCGAGAATGCAAAGAAATTCGAGCCCAAATACAGACTCATCAGGGTAAACACATTCTTCACACTCTTCTCTAGTTAAACTTTCGGGTCTAGTTTCTACTCTAGCTGTACTCTTAGTGCTTTGATTTCCCCTTCTTTCCTATGAAACTATATAGATAATTGATGTCCGAGATGTGACAGTTTTATGATTGTGACTCCTTGAGATTTGGTACTAAAATGATGATGGATGTGATTGACAGAACGGACTTGACACCAAGATCGAGAGATCAAGGAAACAGATGAAGGAGAGGAAGAACAGGGCCAAGAAGATCCGTGGTGTTAAGAAGGTGAGAGACCAACACTACCTGTAATTTTTATTTGCAAGTGTTTTCTTTCGCGCCCTTTGTGACTTTAATGTGTGTGTGTGTGTGCAGACCAAGGCTGGTGACCCCAAGAAGAAGTAAGGTGTTGAAGACAGCTGGAGCATTTTGGGTTTTGTTCTGCATCATCCCTTCTTTGTTGCCATGTTTTCTATTTAGACCTCTTCTAATTAAAAAAAATCTCGATTTTGTGCTTCTCAATGTCACACTCGTTCTATCTTGGTTTGGATTATGCTTTAAGTGTTAGAGAAACCGTGTGTTAAAGATTTTGCTGAATACATTTGTTTAAACTTCCATCTCCTTGGTTCTTGAAAATCTATATTAGTTTGCAAACCAGTCTAATTTGAGCCGCAAGAGCTCACATTTGTATTACACCCGAGCGTTGTTGATTTTGACTGCTTTTGCGTTTCGGTGACTGGAGTTTCTTATTGAGTGGATTACTGCAAAACACAATCATGTTTGTTATTACAAGATTAAGGCATAAGTGAACACATCCAAATTGTACACAAACTTGGCGTTTGTAAACAGTTTCGGGAACAAGAATGTTTTACCAACCGACTGACTTTTTATTAGAAAGTGTTTAGAATTTCGGATTACTCAATAACCTTTCGGATTATGTGTTGTTCTTGTCAGACGAGCCAAATCTGTTACTACAGTGTTTGCTTCGATATGTAAAAAAAATAGATTCATTTACAAGTTGTGGAATCAGCTAACTTGAAAATATCATATAGAGTTATAGACAAATGATAAAGATACCATGGTTGTGAGCCTGCAACAAGTTTATGTACGATTTTAGGAACTCCACAAAAGAAATATAATTTGACTTGGTGAACCACTCAAAGGGCAAGTTAGATGATCAAGAATTCGTAAAGTAAAGTTGTCCTTATTATTGATAAAATTTTATTTTGGCTTTTAAATTATGATACTATATGTATCTTCTTTATGTGTGAGATCTTCTCGCCGAAAGAGTGGAGTAAAATATGTTAGAAATGAGCATTGCTTCCTTCATCGGATTCTTATTTCAAGTAGACTAGACTAATACCCGCACGTACGTGCATGTTTTTTTAAAATAAAATGTATTTTGTTATAAAAATAAAATATATCTATGTGAATATCATACTTTTAAATTTTTACAAATATAATATATTTGTTGGGTTCATTTTTACCGTATCCTATAGGTGAACGTTACGTTAGATTTGACCGGAATGATAAACTTAGTGTCTAGGCTTATCTAACGACTCTCTACCTAAATATTCCTCGGTATATGGCAGACTTCCCAATGAGTGTTTTGTGGTAGCATATGTATTCTCTCTGAGCGTCTCTCTCGAATGGGACATATCAGACGGAAAGGTGTATAAGGAAAAAAGAAGAGGTCAAAGAGGAGTAGAAAAGCCAAAAATCCTCCGAAGATCCCCCAAGCATTCCCCGAAAGCGAGAGGCTGAAAAACTTCTAATATTCCCCCAAAGGAGCGCTAATTGAGATAAGCATTCACTTCTTCCCTATCTCTTTACTATATCCCCATTAAGAGATAGCTCCACCTCCACTCTGTCAATTGTTCATACATTTCACATTCTCCTTTACCAAATGACAGAAGAGTATCACGATCCTCGGACGGGGTATCCAAACTATAAAGCCATCACCATTCATCTGCCCTCCTGAATATCTGTTCACTGCGTGACGTAATCTAAATTAAGCATCAGAGAACTTTCGAGAAGGAAACTCATTTCTGGTATTCCAAATGCCCGATTCACCCGCTGCGAATATTTGCATAATCCAAAAATTTTCTCATCCAGAGAGTGTATACTGCTCGACCCTCGAGGCCTAATATAATAGGCTCAGCTGTACTACTCGGATAAACACGCACATCTCCATAAAAAATCCGTAATTTTCTCATGAACAACATTACTTCGTAAATATAATAATTAAGTTTTTTTCTATCATATATATATATAGTTGTATATTAATTTATGTTATCAATTAATTTATAACATTATATACTATTTTTTGGAGAGACCTATCAAATATAATTATAATTTTTTTTTAATAATTATTATTTTCTATTTAATTTTTAAAATACCATCATATAGAACTATTACACACATCTATTATTTTTTTTCTTTTTCTTAATTTTTCTTTATGTTCTTTTTATCATCAAATTATAACTATATTCTATTTTCAAATAAATGTCTTTTTGTTATGTAATTAGTTCATTAATCATCAGAGTTTCACCACCGTTTTCAATTTTTTTCGTTTTAGCTACAATTTGCTTTGAGAATTTTTTTTTTTTTTACAATAAAAGAAAGTAGTTTTTTCTGATTTTTTTTTATATTTTGAATTATTTTTAGTTCAAATTCAATTCAATTTTATCATTTAAAA